AATCGCTGCCATTAAAACATTTACGAATAATTCACAAGATGAATGTATTAATATGCAATGCCCAATATTATGCACGTGTAAGATATAATATTATATTTTATGGGAAAAAATAACAATTATATGCAATTTAACCCATTAATAATTCCTACAGTAAGCATTTTACTAAAGCTTTTAATTATTTCTGGAGGATGGCTACATGACTACATATTATTTATGTCTAGGGGATGGCTGCCCAAACAAGTTTATACTTTTTGAAAGGCAAATTAATTGCCTTTCATATCATATGTAATAAGAACAGGTTTCATACAGTTAGCGAAAAAGTGCGTTTGGGTTGTATTGTGAATTAAAAGTCAGCCTTTATAAAAATATCATATCTTGGTATATGTTAATTATTTGACAAGAACTACATCTTTTTTTTAATCTTTTGTCCCAATGTGCAGCTCTGAATGATGTTTGGCCAATGCAAATAACAACTTGCAGCAATGCGACGGTGGCACAGGCAGGGGCGGGGACAGCAACAGCAACAGAAGCAGCCACAGCAAACGGCAATAAAACTTAAGGCAAACGAATTTGACAGAGACAACTTGGCAGTCTGCAGACATACAGCTAGCTGTGTGGAGGTGGGGAGGGTTGGAGGGAAGTGGGAATATACAGCAACTGCACCTCAGTGGTCCGTTTCAATTGCAACGCAACGTTGTGCGTGGCCCAGTCTATGCGTTTGGTGGCAACAGGGAGATGGGGGGCCGTGCGAGGGAGGGAGGAAGTAAGCCACTTGAGTTGAAAACTTGATTATGCCATATGTCAATACGAAAATCAAAACGCGCTCGTTTTCAGTTGCATTTAAGTAGTTGTTGTTGTTGTTGCTGCTGGTTGTTGTTGTTTTGGGGTGCGGAATGTTGCGTCGTTGTCCGTGTGGTTGTTTGGTAGCTTAGCTAAAAAAAAAACTATTAAGAGTCATCAGCATTCATGGCGGTCAACAGCAATTTGGAGTGCCAATTGCATGGCGTATAAAACGCTTTCAAGTTGAGGCAATGCCCAATGGCTAAGACAGCAACAACAACAACATTGGCAACAACTGCTTTGACTGCCATTTGGTGAACCCTGAACATGAAAACATTGATGCAACTGGTTATCTTCTTTCTTGATTTTTATATCTTAGTGCTTTCGACCTCTTTAAACAGATCGCGCGCTGAGCAGGAGCAGAAACAGCCACGACTTGTATGTGGGCTTTAATCTAAGATTTGCATAAGCCCCATGGAGGCATGGAGGAGTCGTCAACGTTGTTGTCGTTGGTGCACATCTAATAACCATAAACTTTAATATGTTTATGGCTAAAACGTGTATGTGTATCTCTGTGTGTGTGTGTGTGTGTGTGTGTACTGTTTAGGCCATGCAAACTCGTGTTTATATTTGTATTACAAAGGCAATTTGAGTGCTGCTGTCTGTTGTCTTTGGAGGCGCACTGGGTTGCCATTGAACTGATTTGATCGAACATCAATTTAATTGCAATATTTTTTATGGGATGAAGAGACTACACTCACACAAATATAAGTGCTTTAAAAATCGATCTGATAAATATATTATTAAGCAAAGCTTTAATTTGCATTCGAAGGTATGTAAAACTCAAATTTGACGTAGGTAAACTTCAACTTAAGTGCTAATTAAATTGTAAACTGAAATTTTATTGCTGCTATCTTTTGTTTTTGACTTGGTTGACATTGAACTAATTTGATTCGAACAACAATTTAATGCAATAATTTTGAATAGCCCTCTTGGATAAAGAGATTAAAGACAAGCCGTCTCCAATTTAAATAAAAAAAATATTAAACTTATCGATTTGGTTATAAAAGCCAGTCTCCACGGAATATTGACTAGCTCAAAAAGAAAATTTTGTAATATTATTCAAATGGAAAATTTCAATTTTGCTTAAACATTAGTTCTTTTTAGTTAACCTTGACTTCAAAATTAGTAAAGTAATGCAATAGTTTATGTCCAATTTAAGCATTTCCATTTTATTATAAATGCGTCTTCACAACGCAATATTGAATACCTCAAATGAAAAATTTTGTTAATTAATTTTTGAATTGGTCAAATGGGAAACTTGGTCAATGGGAAACTTAAACTGAAGATCGTAGTGGTTAACTTTAATTCAAAATTCAATTACAAATAAATTAATTTTTTTTTATTTTGAGCATTGATCAAACTTTCAATAGGTTAGAAAACATTGATCTGTCAGAGCAGGACTAAATCTGAATCTAAATATGAAAATGTCACAATATTTGGAGTTTAACAGTAAAATGTATTTTTGAAAATTACCCAAAAATTGTGAACAGTGTATAAATGGATTGGGCGTTAGGCTTGGTTCTTGCTCATTGTTTGGCCACAGATGACAGACTAGTAAGTAGATAGATATTTATGTGGCCTTCGCCTTGGTCTTAGTTAGCTGCCGCTCTCGGAAGTGCTGTTGTGTCGAAGGTGTTTATATTTCAAGGTATGGGACTGGTTCAATTAGCACATAGTGCAGCTGAAACTCAGCTGACAGCGAACATGTTGTTTCCAATGATGATGACGAAGACGATGATGATAATGATGATGATGAATGAAGATTATGAAATTGCAGCTTGGGTTTCAAATTCGCGCGCACGCGTTTTGAATGCGCGCTTTGCTAATCGCGCAATCAACTAAGCTCAGCATAGTGCGCATATCAAACACACACACACACACACACAACATTTGACAAATGACTACACACACACACACACACAGACTTTGTGCTTTTGCTGCGTGTTGCTGCTCTGCGGTTTTGGCAGGTGGCTGAGGAGAAAGTTACCAACATTGAAACAACTTTTTGTGTTGTGTGTTGCCATTGTTGTTGTTGTTGCCCAAGCAGAGACCCGAAAAAATCAAAAGCTAAACACTCACATAAAAAATGCCAAGCCATAAACGAAAAAAAAAAACAAATGTAGTGAGCTGAAGAAGCAGCCACCACAAAAAAAAAAGAAAAAAATTAAGTTAAACAGGGGGAAGCAGCGCAAGCGATTATGAAATCGCCGCCAATGGAATTCGAATCAATGTAAATACATACGCACATATACATATACATATATATGTATACGTATATGTATATGTATGTATAAGTGTAGTTATGAGGCGTGCAGCTTGACTTTGGCCAACAGTCTGACTGAAAATATAAAGCTCTTTCGCAATATGCGAGCAAGCATCGAATTGAGGCCTGGGCCGGGCACAGAGACAACTCTTCAGCAATGCGGCAGCTTGGACTGGATTGGCATGTAATTGAATCACACTTACAAAAAGCACGCATTCACATATATATATATATATATATGTATATATATTCAGTTGGTTGGCCACATAACGCACCCAAAGAGTAGGAAGCGACAAGCGCACTTGACAGAGTTGTTGCTGTTGTTGTTGGAGTAGCTGTTGCAGTTGCAATTGTCGCCAGCGGCTGTATGGCATTTTTCACTTTTGCTCTTAATAGCCAGCAAAACACAACAAAAAAAAAAAAACAAGGAAAACACGAGCAGACAACACAAAAAACAATAATGCCAGTTGCATTTTGGGTAATATTTTTAGTCCATACCCTGTATAAGATCCACAATAAGGAAGCCAATAAAATTGAAGAATTTGTAGTCAACAGGTAAGAATTCATTAGCGCATCTGCAAACCTGGGAAAGACCAATAAAAATGAATTACACTTGAAAGTGCTTAAAATTGTTTTCATTTTATAATTGCCTTATATTTACTCAACACATTTCCATTTTGTTTTTTTTTTTTCTTTACAATCGCAGAGAAAGATGAGTTTATGTTGCGAACGTAGCAGATAATCAATCTAAAAATATTTTTACCAACTTTCTACGAAATTGCGATCGCAGAGCCAGGCGAATATTATAAAAACAAACACATTTAAAGCATATACTTGCTGACAGGAATCAGTTGAAAAATATTGAAATTTGAAAGGGATTCTATTTTCGTACACTTTAAATATGGTAAGAAAACCGTTATGTTTGTAAGAAAACTGTTTCTAATTCATATGGAATTGAATTGAAAATAGTTCAAGGTAAAATAATTTATTTAATATACAAAAAGAGAGTAGGACTCCATTTTAGGGTATTTTCTAGTTGATCACTGTCTCGCTTTCCCTCTCCCGTGGATACCACTCGTGCTTGCTATAATTTGGTTGTTGTTTTTGTTGTTTTTTTTTTTATAAATTTTTCAAATTGCCGCTCTTCACATAACTGTAACTTGAATGCGGTGCAGGCAGGCACACCGCCGGGCAGGCAGTCAGGCAGTCAAGCAGTTTGTCTATTTGAAGACGCCTGTCTGCGCCAGATGTCGCTCATTTCATTTCATTTCATTTTAGTAAACGCACGGATCACAACAGAGCAGACCAGACCAGGCCAAAACAGAGCAGAGCAGAGCAGAGCTGGCCCAGCTAGGCCAAGGAAATCAAATGGCTGACATTGAATTTGAAACGTTGGCGGCAGTTCATCGACAGTTGCAGGAAATGGAAAAAAGTTAATAGCGCAACAATGGAACGAAGGAAATGGAACGAAGGATGCTGCTAGGCCTGGCGCCTAGTCGAAACAATTTCGTTGCGTTCAATGGAAATGGCAGTGGGGCACACTTTTCACGAGTGCTTCAAGCAGGAAATGCACTTATTGACGCCGCAAGAAAGTTGCGCAGAACAACATGCCCTGCACATGTTGCGTTCTTCGCAGCCGGAAACGAACAACCCGCTGATAAGGGCCAACAGCCAGCAGCTAAAAAACAATAACAACTATTGGGATTAGTATTTGTGCGTTATGCAATTTGCACGCATAATGTGAAAATGAATTAAATGATAAATGCTACGAATTCAAGCAGCAGCAGCAGCAGTTAGCAACTCATTTTATAGTATTCGATTTGATCAATTGATAAGGCGAGCAACGTGTAAAAAATGCAAATGTGATCTAGAACAAAACGTAAAAAGAACTAACCTCGCTTTTGGTTATTTTCGATGCGCGATATTCGATTTTGTTTGTTGCTGGGCGGAACGGGGTGGAGCGTGGCGGGTTGGCTGTCGGCAGCAGTAGCTGATGTTGATGTTGATGCTGATGCTAATGTTGTGTTGATGATGAGTGTCACGAACTAAATGCAAATGTGTCGTCGTTGATTCGACGACGAACTAGTTTCCAATTGGAGTGCGTTTGATTTTTCGATTTTCGATTTAGAGCACAAAATCTGTTGAAATTGGCGTCGTGTTTGTTTTGATTTTGATTTGGACACTTTGCAAACAACAAATCAACATAATTGTTCACGTGTGTGCGTGCGTTTGTGTGTTAATTGTTGCTTAATAAATGTATAACAGCATTTATATAACGATCACACAAGCATTAACTTTGGCAGCCGATATCGTTTTCGGTTCTGCTTAAACAATTGAAAGTGTTACTTTTGTCGTCGCATATGCAGGCTCTTTGTTGTTATTGATGTTGTTGCAATTACACGCACGCATTTGATTCGACTGTTTTTGTTAGTTGCACGTTTAGCACTGCGTTGGGAGAACTTGTGGTTTGGCTGCGCTTTAGCAATCTGATGGCTTATATCCTTTGCGTTCACGTTTATAAAATATTTTTGGTATTGCCAAATGCAGAGTCTCTTTTTTCCGTGCACCACGACTTTCACGCTCAGCTGTTCTCACTGAACTGAACTCCCCACGCTCTGGCGAACAGCTGTTCACGTTAACTGTGTGCAGAACAGCGGCATAACTTTAACATTAGCATTTACTCTACTGTTATTATCATACGAGCGTGCCAGATGATTTGAAAATTGATTTATACATTTAGACGAGTGGAAGTTAAAAAAAAAAATTCTCTTCAGTAATTGCTGAGTTCTACTGCTAATTGAGCACTTATTTGCTAGATAGGCTAGTGATTTATAATATTTAATCAGTGTAAAGTTAAGCACTGTCATTCAATGCCAGACAGTTGCTTTTAGAATTGCCACCTAGGTATCCGGTTGGTGTCTTTGCTGAATGTATGCGGATTTCTGGCATGACACGCTGTTTGGTTTATAAACTAATTTTTCAAATAATACATTTTTCAAGTCTAGTGTGCATGAAACTGTTCACAGAATATTCAATAAAATAACTGAATGTCGTCAAATTGCATGTTTCGATAATTCACCATCATAAAATAATGTCATTCTCGCAGTGATCGATAGTGGCATTATATCGATATTTTAGGCGTCCCTAATTGTGATTTGCAATTTCATTCTGCCTAATTTCTACGTGCATACTTTTTATACAAAAATTAAATAACTATTATTCAGAATATAGATCAGCTACAAATATAGCAAAAATGTCGAATACGCAAGCGACAGTTACTGCTTACTTGGCGGCACAAAAGAAGACCACAAACAAAGATCTCGCCGCCGAATGGACTCTGATTGAAGAGCTCCACAACGAGAAGTAAGCATTTTCTGCGTCATGTGTTTTTATTATTATTTATTCAAATATTTTGTGGTTTTCACAGGTTGTGGAATGAGCTGACTATTAAGCTGGTGACATTTGTGCGCCATGAATCGCTGCAAGACGAGAGCGCTCTACTGCAGCTATATCAAAATTTTATCTCCACCTTCGAAACAAAGTAAATCGCAGCCGGTTCAATATTTAATATAATTCTAATAATATATACGAAACTTGCAGAATTAATCCATATGGTCTGATCCAAATACTTGAGGTGGTCGTGGACAACATTGCCGACAAAAAGGAGGCCATCGATTTTCTCGAGAAGATGAAGGATAAGGTGAAAATATGCGATGAAGCCGTGTGGTATCTGCAAGTCATGCAGGGCAATCTATATCTGAGCAATCTGAACGATCTGAATGCCACCAAGAAGATCATCGAGGAGTTGCGCGATGTTCTCGAGGAGGCTGGCAATGTGACGCCAGTGCATGGCAAATATTATATGCTCGCCTCGCAGTATTATCGCCGTGTGGGCAAGCACAGTGAATATTATCGATGTGGGCTGCAGTTCCTCGGCTGCTCGCTGGATGATTATCCGCGGGATCAGTGGGCGCAACAGGCATTCTTTCTGGGACTGGCCGCATTGCTGGGCGATGGCGTCTACAACATTGGTGAGCTGTTGGCCCATCCCATTTTGGAGTCGCTGCAAAACACAGAAAACGAATGGCTCGTCGAATTACTCAAGGCATTTAACATGGGCGACATCAACAAGTGAGTGCCTCTCAAGAAATTGAACTTGGTTTATATCTAATAACTTGTTATCTTTCTTCAGATTCAATGCCATGAAGAAGATTTGGTCGAAAATACCCGATTTGGCTGCCCAGGAGGTGAAGCTGCGCCAGAAGATATCCCTGCTCTGCCTCATGGAAATGACGTTCAAGCGCTCGGCCATCGAGCGTGCCATTTCTTTCGCGGATATCGCCAGCGAGACCAAGTTGCCGGCCAAAGAGGTCGAGTATCTGATCATGAAGGCGCTGGCCCTCGATCTGGTGCGCGGTGAGATTGATCAGGTCGCTGGCGTTGTTAACATGTCCTGGGTGCAGCCACGTGTGCTGAATCGCGCACAAATTGTTGGCATGGCCAGCACCCTGGACACTTGGATGGGAGCGATCACCAATATGGAAAAGCTTATGGAGAATCGCGCTGCTGAAATTCTCACAAATTGATAATATAAGTTCCCCCTTTAATTTCCATTTTGCATATGTGCTTTTTGTATTAAATCAACACATGTGCATGATGCAAACTTTATCGAGTTGGTTTTAATTTCGTATAAGGATTGAGTCAAAAATAAAGATTCAATTTGAAGGCATCGCTGAATCTCTTCCAGAGAATAGCAAGAAAACCATTTTAAATGAAATTATTCATAGAATTCGGCTTTATTCGAACAATTAAATTGACTTATCTGACGCCAATTGTTTCCACATAACCGATGCAGGTTTCTGGATTAAATATAAATAAATTACGATGGGGTGCCTCCATTTTGGTCACCACTTTGATAATCTCTTGGGCGACGACGCCGCCAACGACAGCCACAGCTGGCGAAATCTGGGCAAAAAGCAATTCCAGTGCCTCGTTGCTCAGTGACGAATTTGGCAGCACTTCATCACGGATTTTCTTCAGGAGCGTAATATCCGATTCCCTGGTCTTGTAGCTGGGATCACGCTTATGCTCGCTGCGGAAGACTTGGAGAATGCGCAACAACAGAATGCCAGGTCCATCGCGTTTCAACTTACGCGCATACTTGGGTGCAGTAATATCAAAGTCAATCCAATTTATGTAAGTTGGATACTCGACTTCGCACTGCCTTGGCGTGGAGATAGTTTCATATTTAACTTTCTCGTTTGGCTTCGAGATGCATTTGTGCTTGAAAACGTTCCTAAAATAAAAACGAGCAAATTCTATAATCTATATATATATTTATTTCTCCATCTATACTTACTCTACGTAGCTGTGCTTTTGAAGGCTGGCATAATGAAAACCAAACATGCCCCAAACATCGGTGGCATAGAACTTGATGCCCAACTCCTGGCAAATTGAGTCGATGCGCTGCAGTTCCTTGTTGCTCTCGCCGCTGATAACCACAACATTGAACTGTTTGAAGAAATCAGACGATTTCTCCTTCAATGGTTGCGTATCCGCAGATATATCGACCATGGGATTGAGGGCACGTGCCCGCGTCAGCGATGCCTCCGCTCGATTGCTGCCCAACGATTCACGCGCCGCCAGAAACTGTGAGCAGAAATCCTCTTCGGTGATCAGTTTGTCGTCGTGCAGTTTCACCATGTTCACGCCAGACAATATAATATTTTTCGTAATTTCCGCACCCAGTCCATTCAGGCCGGAAATTAGTATATTGGCCGTGCGCAGTCTAAACAAAAAACATAAAATCTTTTTTATGTCTTTCTTCCATTTAATACCCAAAACATACAACAAAAATGGAGGCTAGCCAGTTAACCGGCAAACATACCGTTTTTGCGACTCCAAGCCCCAAAGTCGAATCTGTCTATCATATAGTTCGTTTTCGGCTTCGGTGAGCTCCACGCCACTTACGTTGGTATCTTTGTCAACGTCCATTTTTATAAATTGGTGAAAACGTTGTAAATTGTCGCAAAAAAATTGAACGCCAAAAATGCTAGAGGTGTATAAAAACTATCGATGCCTTATTGAGTAGTCTTTTCGATAGTACAGTTGCACATGATTGTTCAATTTTGATGGTTTGTTATCGATAACTTGCGGTTTCCAACATCGGCGCGCATTTCAATTTATATATTTTTAATTCAAGCATTTTATGATTTCTTTGAAAATCGATTCAGTTTTGTTAATGTTTTGACTGTGATTATATAAAAGCATAATTTTTCTACAGACATTCATCTAAAGCTAAGTTTTAATCATAAACAACTTGTTTTTTTGAATTCAATTAATATTAAAGCGATTTATTGATATATTAACAATATAATTAAGCTTGTGCTGTTGTGTTTTGTTCATTATAAATACTATATAGTGATGATCGTATAAATGCATCACTTTTTTCCAGAAAACCATCCAAATGCGTCCACAAGAACCAAAATATCAGAGTGAAGAACAGAATCTTACTGACCAAGTCAAGGATATATTGACGGCGTAGAACCTTCCTTGCATGTGGTAATGTATCATCACTTTCACCTATAATATATCTGCGAACGCCAAGTATATAATTGCTAATGTAGAGCTCCCAGTTGACTTGGCTAACCGATGTGTCGAAAATGTCTTGATCTGTCCTATTCAGCTTGTTCCACATCTCCAGAAATCGTTCGGTCCTAAAGTCCCAGTCTTTTGTTGTATAGTACTGTAACAGCTTCAATCCCATCGAGACTTTACGCTGCACATTTACCAAGCTGAAATAAGAGCAGACAAACTTAACCTTAAATCGACATAAAACCCATAAGTCGTCACTTACAAGGGCTTCTGGCCGAAGACCAGCATCCAAAAATCTATAAAATAGGCAGGTAGATAGTGATAGAATATGACGCAAAATAGATGATGGTAATAGTTTTGCTTGATCGATCCACCCGGATACCAAAGGGCAAGACTAAGCGGGGCTATGTAGATGAATCGGCGACCCATCTCAATGCTCTCGCCCCAGGACATCAGTGTCTTGCTGGGGATGCACAGGTTGCAAAACTGAACGTTACTCTGTTTGTCTGTCGTCTGTGATTCGGCAGCGACCTTGCCACATTGATAGCCGCAGAGTATCATGCCATTTATGGCCTTGTCGACGGGGATCACTGTTGATTTATAATCCGGATTGCAGTGCATGGAACGTATGACGCCGCGTGCGGCGCCAACCATCAGACCGGTTGGCCCATTAACGCCCTCGATCCATCCTGGCAGCGGCTCGCTTATGGCTGCCGTCACTGCACAAAAAAAAAACAAAAAGGGTGTTACCAACAACGTAACCACAACTGCAGCAACCAGTTTATACTGGCACAGGGGTGGGGGGACCTACATACCAATGGAAGGCCTTGTGACGATTACAGGCAGCTTTCTGGTATATCTGCAAATTAGATCTTCTGAGAGTGCCTTGCTGTAAGCATACGTGTTGGGCAAGCCATTGAGCAATCTGTAAAATACAAATACATACATTTAATCAGACACTCAAAAAAATAATAGGAATAAAAAAAAATTGTATTCTAAATACAAGAAAAATTCTAAAAATGTCTTAATTTTAGAAAAATATACTTTGAAATTTCCAAAAAAAAAGAAACCCAGTGTTTTTTTGGAAAATATTTTCTGAATAATTGAGATGAGTTACCCTTGGAGCCCAAAGTATAGAGAATTTTTTTCTGGGTGCATATATATATATATATATATATACAAATATATATATTTGCAGATGACTCTCAAATCGTACATACTTGGGAGTTATTTCCGCCAGAGCAGCATCATCCATCGTTTCGACCATTTCGATTATATCGAAGGGATTCTGTGGCGCTGGATAGGCGCGTTCCTCCACGGAACCCTCGTTGCACTGACAGAATGATGTGGACACATGGACCAGAGCCTGCAATTGGCTCATTTTCTCGGCAAGTTGAAGTACCTTTAAGGTGCCAACGACATTCATGTTGACCATCGGTCGCAGTGGCTGATCGAAGCGCACATTTGCCGCACAGTGGAACACAATCTGCACATTGTTGGCCAATGTGTTGATGTCATTGGCGCTCAGGCCAAGGTTCGGCTCGAGCACATCGCCTTTAATAACGCGCACCTTATTTACGATGTCGGGATGCTTCTCAAAGAGTTTGTTAAAAATCTGCAAGAGTTAACAGGGAAAATGAAGGCGGTCATTAATTAAGCCGACTCATGTTAAGCCAAGCCGACCGTCCAAGCGATTTAGTCAAGTTGTCAAGTACGCGTTGATGTTTGGAGTTGGAGTTGAAGTCCGAGTTGGAGTTGGAGTAGCTGCCAAGAATCGGCTAGCCTAATGCGCCATGTTGGTCTTTACTGTGCACTGTACAAATATTAATAGTCATTGTAATTTTTTGGATTTTTTCGTCACCGATAATGATTACCTTGACTTATAAATGCTGCACATATATCGTACATAGTACACACAGTGGTTTTGTCTTTATTTGTTGTGTCTTTGGGTGTGTTTTACTGTTTAATGGATTGTTGCATTCATTTTTGGCTACTTTGTGTTACGCTAATTTCGTGTAATTTACGTCAAAGTTAAATGGAGGACAACTTGAAAAAAGTTAAATTAAATAAATAACCAAGTGATTACCAGGTCTATTAAAAACAGAACTATATATTTTCAACCAGTTAGTAAGGTTATAATAATAAGCGTTCACACCAAATGTAATTCATTTTTTCATTGCTACACGGATTTTGTAATATTGTTACGGATATGTGCAAAGCAAGTTTCGAGTTTATCTTGCGTTTCACCATGATTATTTGGAATAGCCTCACAGCAAATGATAATTATTACCTATTAAACCAACTAATTAATTAGTATGTACTAACGTTTCCGCTAGAATGGCGATTAGCCGGAAAACGATTGCATTCGAAAATTACTCATTCGTGATCCAATGTTTATAGAGACACATACCAGAAGTAATTTACCATCAAGCCACCTGTATCATTTACAACTAAGGTGTATGTAAATGTATGTGGAATATCAGATGGAAGGGCAGACGGCGAGACAGTTAATGGCTCTGGTAAGTACAATTTAGTCATGTGCAAATTAATCGTTGGTAATTTTTTAAATGTTTCTACTACGTATTATATGAATTTAATTTTAATTACAAGAATAAAATGTTTTGTAATTTGAGAATGATCATTAATTGTTCAATCAATCTTGAAGCATACTTATCTAAATGCTTAAGAGACATTAAAGGTTGTGTTTTCCATTTAATTGATGCCACTGAATTATGCATGCAGAAGCGTTTTAACATTTAATTGGTATTTAAACTTACGACACATTTGAAGTACTGCTCCTTCCGCACAGTTGGCTCAACGCCCTTCTTTGTCCGAATTAATAGATAGATGGCATTTAGATCAGCACAGCTCCGTAGCAATTTCTCGACGAGCACTTTGCCCATGAATCCAGTGGCGCCCGTTATCAATATCGTTTTGCCGGCATAATAATTGGCGATTTCTGATACGCCAGCATCGGCGTCATTATTCAGTATATCCATGCTGCAATAGACACATATACAAACATATATATATATATATATAAATACTTTATTAGATCTTGCTAAAATGCACAAGTTTAGATTACAAACAAACTGACTTTATTGTTGCTGCAAATTAAGATCTAATGTGAGGCCCACTTGTAGTTTGTTTGCTCAACCCACTTACTCTACAAATATTCTATTTCAATGTCAGCTTTTACGAAATAAATATTTTAACCACAGCAACAACAACAAAGTCAGCTGTCAGTGTGGTTGTTGTTTGGTTGACTAGATGTAATTGGCGTGAAGGGATTTCTTGAGTTTGTTTACTCTTTTGTTTCCCATCATGAGCTGCAAGCGCCGCCGTACTTTAAATTTTTTTTCTTAAGTAAACAACGTCAAGTTTAAAGACCTCTGTTAACAGGCACCTCATTTGTTTGTTTTTATTTATGTGTGTCTCACATCTTAATAAGTGAGTCAGTGGTTTACCAGATGTGAGTATTTTTAATGAAAGTAAGCATAGCTTTTTTAGATATCTAATAATTGTGTGCAAAAACTGGCAATTGCTACTGTAAATGTAACATAACACGGCAATAAACCTAATTTTTTTATTTTATTGCTGCAAATAATAATTACGTATACGACGGGTTGCCACCTTACGTATACATTACGACTGCAAGTGAAAAATTATTACTTCCTCCGCTTTAAACTTTATTGTTAGTAAACAGAAAAGTAAGTAAGGCAATAATAATAAAAAAGGTTCTATAAAATTTGTTACGCCCTGTGTGAGCCAGGCCCCTTTTTATACCCTATCAGAGGCTGTTATAATTTTTTTGTTAGGTGTGTCAGGGAAAAGTCTCCTTCCAAACCCATTAAGTATATACAATGTGAAGAAAAAACCTCTAAGACAAGAGTCTACGAACAAATTGTATATGTTTGAATGTATTTCAAATTCCTTACGAAGTTAATCACCAAGCAGTCAGCACTGCAATTATTTCTTAAAAAATCTGAGCGCTCTCCAGGAATTGACTGATTAGTGATATAACTCACACACACACACACACACACATGCCACACCGTGTTGCTGATGTTGCAATGTCCAAAAATTAATGTAAATGTCAAGTATTGCAAATTGATTCATTGCAAAACAAAAGACTTGGAGCACAAACTTTATTGCCTTGCAGTCTATGCAATTTTGTATCATCTATAATATTTGCCATTTTTATTATAGCCTGTTGTTTGTCATATTGCGCCTTAAGATGTTTGTGCACAAAGCGTACACATACACAACCACACACACACACTCACACACACACACACACACACACACAGATTATGTGGCAGGCAAATGGGCTTTTGGGGCAAATGGGCAACAAAGCTTCTCACGGCAGTGGCTTTGGGTCAGATCCACACTGCAAATGGGTATTCACGTAATCTTTACAAATTCAAACAGCCGCCAGTCGGACACGCAAATTGAGACACTTACACAGTTTATTTTTAAGTGTTTTTTTTCTTCTATTTTTTTTTTTTGTTGGTTTTGTTTTGCATTGTGTGAGTGTGTTTTTTTTTATATTTTATACTTGGTTTGCAATTGTTTTTTTCTTTGTTGTGCGCTGTAAATTGTTAAGTTCAACAGCAGCGTTTTTGGTATTTAATGCATTAGACTGCCACAATGACACAGTTCACATTAGTGTTAGATACACGAAATGTGCGTAAGGACTTCAATCCGTTGCCATTTAGCGCCTAATTAGCGCATGCTTAACAACTACAGGAATTTTTTCTCGGCTTGTTTTTCTGTCTATTGTTTACTTCAGTGATTAACGCCACGCTTAAGCACATTGACTGATTTTTGTCAAACTGGACTTGAAACTAAAACTCACTTTTAAAGCTTCTCAAAAAGATGTTGTAATTGTTGTTGTTGTTGTTTTTGTTGTTTTGTTTTTTAATCTTTAACTCGGTAGTGCTAAAAAATGTGTCGAATTGAATCTGTTGAATACTCAGCAGCGACTGAATTCAAAGCTGGCAATTGGCTTGAAGTTATACTCGTCGCACACACACATGTGTGTATGCACTCACACACACTCACACACACTCACACACACTCACACACACACACACGAGCAAACATGATTTGCAGCTCATGCGCAGCACACTTAAGCAGGTGTGTGTGTGTGTGTGTATTGGTGTTTCTATGTGTGGGATTTGTATAGTTATTTTCCAGACTGGACACTGTTTTCCGGGTGGTCCCAAAACTGCATCATACGCTTTTCAAAATAAATTGATCAACTATACTTGCAATGCATTTAATAAACCCAATTAAGGCCGCTTGAGAATGCCTACATGTAAATGCATTTTGTGCCATTCAGCCACTTGGCCAACAACAACAATAATATCGACAACAAAAAAGTATCCCAGAAAAAGGACAGGCAAACAGCACATTTGCCAAGGCCAGCCAGTTGAGTCGGACTTGATGCGACTCCAAAAGTGCATGTCATCCAACCTCAAGATTAAAAACCATATACTATACGAGCCGCATACATATTTACATCTATATATGTATATTCTCACACACAACTGCAGTTTATGCATTTAGGAATATATATATTTATTTTTTTGGAACCTGCTTCGATAATAATATAGAAAAGAAAAAAGTTGTGCGACTGGTTACTGAGCCTGTCCGGGGAGAAACCGCAATCAGGCACTAGATATACACAAATACACACGTTTTGGCTTGCAGTCCAGTCCCGACCAGTCCAGTCAGGATGTTGCTCTTTAAAGGTCTTTCGCAACCGCAAAGCCAAAATCGTCCCAGCAGCACTGAGTATGTTGACGACCTTGGCAAGGGTGCATGTTTGTATTTGTATTTTCACTGGTTATTGGCCCGTAATAATAACAGACCGTCTCTTTTATGACGATGATATAATTTGAACGTGAGGCTAATAAAACTCTAAGTGGTTCTGTAAATTTATGAAATATGCCGGGCGTATCAATAAACTTTTCATCAGCTACAAAATAATTATATGTAAATATTGTGGATTTTGTTATTTTTAGTTAACTGACTGACAAGTGTGAATCACAATAGAATTTGAGTCGTGTATTATTTTGTGGTTATTCCAAAATTAATTTTGCAATAATTTATAGCTGTTAATCATTCAAAATTGCAAATTTTAGCTACACGCCTATCTCAATCTTAAGCATATAGTTGCAGTTTTTAAAGACATTAATTACACATGTGTGGAAATCTAGCAAAGTCTTTCAGTTAATAGACAAATTAATTGTTTGACCTAAAAGTCAATCAGCGTTTACATTGGACTCACTAAACAAATTTTAATAATATTGATTTGGGTAATTGACCTTTAGATTCTGTAAACAATGTCAGTTGTAATTTAAAATATGCATTCAAACGAATGTTTGAACATTTAGTTATTTATACAATAAAACTATAATTCCATTCAACAAACAAATCAGGTGACTGCTTAATGCTAACATGATCTGTACCTTTGACAAATATGTGCCTTTGAATGCTTTAAAGCTTTTCTGGTATCAAGAATCAAGTGGCATTTACATCGACTTACGCACAAGAAAACGGCTTTTTAATTAGGTGTGGAAGTCACACACCTTCCACTTATTTAATAGTTTTCCCCTAACGACAAGTCTATTTGCCTGTATTCCATCTAATTGAATATTCATTACATTGATTCAAACGGGTTCTCTCGGCTCACAATATGGATTTGTATCGGAACTGCATTTACTAGATAAGCATAATAAAAAGCTGCTTGTATTCAATTATTTTGTTGTGGCGATGTTTGATACTATTTTTATTGAGTAAAACGAGTGCTTGTCACAATATTACATTGTATATGCCAAAAAATAAATAAATAATTACCCTTAATCCATATTGAGTATATAGAAATGTAGTAATTATTTATGTATATAGTATATATTCAGAAATTTGAATCAATATGCATATGATTAAACAGAGATATTTTCTATGATTGATTGGGTGCTGGGTATCTTTAAGTCGGGAAAGCCCCTCCTCTTTCTCTCACTCAATGTTGAACAGAAATTTTCCAACAGGATGTCGCATTCTGAGTAAGAGTTTTGCTTTTATACATTTTTAATCTGCCAATTCATAAGCTTCATTGAGTACTTTTTCTACTCAGTCAGTGAATGCATTGAATTAAGTACGTCAGTTGGCAGCTGGCAAGCCCGAGAACAAGATTGTAGTTTTAACGCTGTAATTGCCGATTTAATAAAGATACAAAAAGTACTAATTCGATTTTAAATGCTTTTAAAATAGAAATAAAATGCAATAAAATATTATCGTTTTGTTTTTGATGCTTATTTTAAAAACAAATTGTTCGATACAAAGAAATGAAGTATAAATTATATTCGCATAGGTGTCATTTAAATTACTGAACTAGACTGGATTTTGATGGAAGCTTACATTTTGTCAAAATGTCACAACTGAAATTAGAATAAAATTAAAATTAAAAAAACAGGTAAGTAAAGCAGGCGTAGTAAAAACAGGTAAACCAATAAACAATCAATTGCTAAAACGCTCTACTTAACTGCAACTTGAGCTTGTATATGTAAATATGCATATAGAAAGCCAGTTCCAATTTGAAAAAATGTCAAGGTTTCGATCTTTTTGGGGGTAATAAACCCGCCAATGTGTGCAATATATATAAACACCGCATTGTAAAGATGACAAGATTTTTAATTTTATATATTTTTTAAAACCAAAACAAACAAATTCGTTTTCGATTATAATCGTGTGTCGCATCGAAATCAATTCAAGTCATATGTTTAACAACTAATTATTGAATCAAATTGCAAAAGGGTTATTCAGAATCAGGTTGTAATCGGCTTAGTAGCTGCGTCCAAACAGCGTGTAGAACTTGGGCTTTTTGCTGCACTTGGGATGGATGCACTTGTCGTTGTCAGCTATCTGCGCTGGTTGATCGAAGGGTGTGCAGAGGGATTTGGCGCCCATGGCTGGTGCACCCTCTTCGGCCTCTTCGCCACGTGAGCTGTCCGCTTTGATTTGATCCTCGCAAGCGATGTCGCCGCAGAACGGCGATAGCAGCATATTCTTCTGCTCGAGCATATCGCAGAATTCGGACCAGGTCTTGACGAGCTTCGTGTGAGTGCTTAGATCCAGTTGCGCCTTGGCCAGCATACTCTGATGAATGGTCTCGAGCAACGCTGGTATCTTCTTCTCCACATCGTCCAACGCAATGGTCATTTTCTCACCGGTATCACGACGCACCGCGACAATTTGCTTCGCTTGCATATCCTTGGGACCCAGCTCAATGCGTATTGGTACGCCCTTCAGTTCCCAGTGATTGAACTTCCAGCCCGGGGAGTAGTTGTCACGGTAATCGCCCTCACAGCGAACACCGGCTCGGCTCAAATTCTTCACGATCTCCTTGCAGGCGCCGAGCAGCTGGGCACGCTCCTCGTCCTTGGTGTTGACGGTAATGCCGCAGGGCACAACGATTGCCTGCGTGCAGGCCACATGCGGCGGCAGCACTAATCCCTGATTATCCGCATGCACCATGATCATGACACCGATGGTGCGTGTGGTAATGCCCCATGAGTTCTGGTAAACAAACTGTTTCTGCTGCGTCTCCGGGTCTTCGTACACAATATCGAACATCTTGGAGAAATTCTGGCCCAAATGATGACTGGTCGCACCCTGGATGGCCCGGCCGGACGCTGAAATGAATGCCTCCACCGTGGTCGTATAGTTGCCGCCAGCAAATTTCTCCTTCTCGGTCTTGCGGCCCTTGACCACGGGTATGGCCAGCAGATCCGTGTAGACCTGCGCATACAGTTCCAACATTTCGAGTACTTCCGCTTCGGCTTCCGATTTGTTGGCGAATGCCGAGTGACCCTCCTGCCAGAGGAACTCACGAGTGCGCAGGAACGGTTGCGGATGCTTGAATTCCCAGCGCTATAAAAAGCAAACAAACAAGGATCAATTTGGTTTTTTTTGGGTTATCATTTTCTGTACGCACCACAACATTGTTCCACTGATTCAGGCGGATGGGCAAATCTCTGTAGGATTGCACCCACTTGGCGTAGGCCGGATACATGCCCGTTTCGGAGGTGGGACGTATAGCAATTGGTTCCGCCAAATCGGATTCACCTGATTTGGTTACCCACGCGACTTCTGGCGAAAAGTCAGCAATATGGGATTTCTCACGCTCGAGCGCCGCCTTTGAAACAAAGATTGGGAAATAGCATTCCTTGACGCCACTGCGCGTAATCTCGGCATCGAACCAGTTCCTGATCGACTTCCAGATGGCATAGGACCAGGGACGCAATATATAACAGCCGGATACATCGTAGTATTCAATCAGTTCGCCTTTGGTCAACACTTGCGAATACCACTCGGGCAGATTGTCCTCCTTGCTGGCCTCCAGACCCAATCTGGTTTGTTTCTTAACGCCAGACGAGGCATCCGGTTTAGCTGCTGCTGCCGATTCCTTCTTAGCCGGCTTCGGCTGTGGCTCTTTGGGTGCCTTCTTGACAGCACCGCCGCCGCCGCCGCCGCCACGACCAGCGACGGGAAAATCTGTGCCGGTTACCTCCTTGTATTTGGCCTTGAGTGCCAACAACTTGCTGACCTCCGCATCGATGATCTCCTTCGCGGCTTTGCTGCTTTTGGCGGCACGCACCTTCTCGCCCTGAGCATTAATGTCCAGCGTCAGCTGCTCATTGCCTGCTGGCGGTGCCATCTCCTCCTTGACTTCGGCCTTGGCGTCCGGTGTCCAATCCTTGCCACTTAGCTTCTTGTACTCTGCTTTCAGGGCTAAAAGTGTTTTCACTTCAGGATCGATAGATGCCTTGGCTGCTTTTGCCGACTTTAGTTGACGTATTTTATCGCCCTGGCTTTGGATTTTGGCCAAAACGTCGTCAGTGTTAGGTTGCTCAGCGGTTAGGTCAATGGTAGCAGTTACAACCGCAGTGGGTGCCACTGTGCCCGGTTTCCACTCCTGACCAGTCAGGCTCTTGTAGTCCGTTTTTAGTGCCAAAAGCACCTTCACTTCGGCATCGACCAGCGATTTCTCCGCTTTTGTTGACTTTAGCTCGCGTATCTTGTCGCCCTGTTGCGTGATCTTGCCCAGCAAAGTGGCCACAGCACTGGCAGCTGCCGGTTCCGGTGACTTTTCCTGCTTGACTTTGAAAGCAGCAGCAGCAACAGCCGATGGCGCTGTGGTGCCTGGTTTCCAGTCAGTGCCCGTGAGCTGTTTGTAGTCGGCTTTCAGTTTGAGCAGCGTTTTGACGGCCGCATCAATGCTTGGCTTGTCCGCCTTAGCTGATTTGAGCTCACGCACTTTATCACCCTGGGCAGCTATTTGGGTTAGCAGACCGGCAACGTCTGCGGAACTAACATCAGCAGCAGCATTAGGTACAGCTGGAGCTGAAGCTGGAGCAGTACCTGGCTTCCAGTCCTGTCCAGTTAGCGTCTTGTACTGAGCCTTCAGTTGTAGCAGATGCTTAACAGCTGCATCGATGTCGGGCTTCGGTGCCTTTTTACCCTTCAACTCGCGCACTAAATCGCCCTGCTTCACAATGCTGGCGTTTATATCAGTTGCGTCGTTGGCTGTAACCGGGGCAGCTGCGGCAGTTGCAGTTGCTAGTGGCGGTTGGCCTGGCTTCCAATCCTGACCACTGGCTGCCTTGTAGTCCGCCTTGAGGCTTAGCAATTTCTTGACGGCAACGTCAATTTGATCTTTGGCTGCCTTTTTGGCTTTCAGCTCACGCACTAAATCGCCCTGTTGGCCAATTTGTTTGTCCAATTCGGCGGCTTTGCTCGTTGCTGCGTTGGCAGTTTTGTTGCTGGCGGCCTGCAAATAGTGTGAACAATTAGTTAATGGCTCAAAATCAATGCAAATAAAGAACGTTTTTAACTATTCTTTTATTAATTTATTTATATTTTTATTTTTTTGAATACGTGTCAGCAGCGAACACAAAAAGTACTTTTCACCAACAAACCAATGTTTGCTTCTTCTTCTTGCACGCTCAGCAAAGGTATGGCAGAAAGAAGAAGAAAAGTGAAGTAACAAAACCGATCGTAAGCAAAGTCTATAACTGGTTTTTGCCCTTATCTTGTACCGTTAGAGCTGCGAAGCTTTGACAAACCGGTGACTGCGTTTTTGGTGACTGGCAAATTAAAGCGTGATTTATATTATGGGTTAATAATACTGAAAAATATTTATATACCCTTTCTATGGTAAATTTAATATTGATCTTGAAATATTTACTTGGATATTTTACGCTTTAGAACTGTGCTTTCTGTACGATTCTCAGGAATTCAAGTCTGGATTATATATTTTTACATACCAAAAATCCTCTGATATTGTTCTTGAAATAAATACAAAGATAATAAATATTTTTCTTTTCTATGCAATTCTAATCAATTCAAGTCCATCCCATATATTTTGATATGAATTTTGTAGTAATTTGTAAAAATAATAGTGATATTCCTAAGACTAAATATTCTGAAAAATATTCGAATATACTTGTAAATCTGATATTTATCTTGAATTGAATAAATATTCAGATATTAAACGCTTTTGATCTGTACAAATCAAATCAAGTCTGGCTTATATGTTTTAAAAATAATTGTGATATTCACAAGATGCCTTCTTTTATTCTCCATTTGTAGGTCAACCTTACTCTCAGTCTTTCTCCGGCATATTCCTAAGCTTACTCACCCCTCTTAATCGCACTCCATTTCTCCTTATTTTTAATATACCCTTTCTATGTTTCCGAGGATTGTTTCTGATACACAAAAAGTAACGTTTTGCTTTACTTACATTTGTTTTAGCAACCGGTGCTGGGGCCGCATTGATCTTGAGGCCCGAGGAGGGCATGTCCTTGGTATGGCCATCGGGTATGGAGAAGAGTATGATGGGCGAGATGACATTTGTGTAGGGGCTGGCCGGGGCATAGGCATTGTCCACCTTGAAGAAGCCGCGACGCTGCAGCTGAATGATGTCGCCTTTCTTGCACTTCTTCAACTCGGGATCGCCGAGCATTTGGACCTCGTCGCGTGTCTTGTGGCCAATGTACTGCTTGAAGTCCTCGTCCTTGCCGAGCACCGCTTTGCTGATGATATTATCGAAGTAAACACAAAATGTGGGCGGATAGGCGCTGGCATCATCTTCGACGGCCAGCCAGGTTAGTTTCAGTGTCTTCTTGAAGTCCTTGTTCTCCAAGTTGAGTGCTGCATCTACAGATGTAATTGTGCCGCTGGCATCCTTGTTCACTTTCTTGACGAGCAGATTACCCCAGTTGATAAAGGTGGCATTTTCGCCCTCTTTGAGCGCCTCAGCATCCACGTAGTCAATGAAGATGCGCGGACCCATTGTTACCGTTTTGGTGCCCAGTTTCTCGTCCTTGGGATGGACGGGCACCTGCATCTTCTCGAGCTTCGCACCTGCCACATTCACAATCACACGCTTGTCGTGCTCCAGTGCCGTATAACGCGGGGCAATGGGATCAATCACCTTCTTATTAAACGCCCAGATCTTGTCCCAGTTCATGAACACCACCGATTTACTGCTGCCCTGCGCAATGATGAACTCCCTGAGGCCCTCGACGGTCATGCCACGCCTGATGATGCCGCGCACAGTAGGAAATCGTGGATCATCCCAGCCATCCACCAGACCCGAGTCCACAAACCATGTTAGTTTCCGTTTCGACAGCACCGTATTCGTCATATTCAGGCGACTATATTCCCAGATGTAAGGTTTGCGCAGCTTCAGTGCATCAATAAACCAATAGAACTGATCATCACGATCGTGATACTCCATGGTGCGTAGCGTGTGCGTCACATTCTCAATGGCATCCACAATGGGGCAGGCAAAGTCGTACGTGGGATACACCCTAAACATATGAAACAGTTCTCATTAGCAAGGAACACAATTTTAAATATTTCATTTATTTCTACTACTAAGAAAATATAACTTAATTTATACTCTGCTGTATTGACAGCTAATCTAAATTGTGAAAATAAGGAAGGAAAATTGAATACAAAATTAAAAAATTGTAAAATGCATCAAAATTTTATTATTGAGATCATTTAAGTTGGCATATTCTAAATGAAATGATCAAAATTAGGAAAATGGGATCAAAATTTAATAAAAAGTGAAAAATTGTATTAATCTCGCAGGAAATGAAGTCTCCACATTTAAAGCCAGCTAGGCAAAAGATAAACTGTATACAAATATCTTTTATCTAGCAATTCGTTAGAGAAAATCTAAGATTTTTCTACACGCACAGGAATACCACAGCGCCGTAGACCTTTGTAGCTAGTATGCTAATCTAATCTATTTATTTAAATACATTTAATTAATTAAACAAAATGAAAATCACTGACTTTTACTAAACTGACTGATCAAGCATCTTGATTTGTAATATATAAATATATAATATATTTTGATAACAAATTAAGAAGCTGGATCTGGTTTTTGTTTAGACTCACTTGTATTTGGTGCCTGTGCGCGGATGTGGCTCGTTTTTGCAGCGATAGATTGTTGGATCACGCATGCAGCCATTGGGCGAGGACATGTCAATCTTGGCGCGGACACAGCACTTTTGGCCAGCCGCAGATCCCTGCAGCATCTCTTGCCACAGCGACAGATTCTTCTCAACAGCTGGGAATGAGGAGACATGAGATTGACATAGGTTATATTAAGAATTTCAAGAATAAACATACAATTTGAACGATTTTCGGATGCAACGCGCTGTTCGCGTTCCAACTTCATTTGCTCGGGCGGCGTGTCGTCCACATAGGCAGTGCCCTCTTTGAGCATTTGCACGCAGTAGTCAAGCATGAGATCAAAATAGTTGGAGGTGTGTGTGAACACATCTGGTTTGATTTGCAGCATCTCCAAGTCGCCCAGGATGACATTTTCAAATTCGACCGTCTCTTTGGCCGGATTGGTGTCGTCGAAACGCATGATCAGCTTGCCCTGGAAGGCCAGCGCATAGTATTGATTGAGCAGCGCCGCCTTGGCGTGCCCAATGTGCAGATAACCAGATGCCTCGGGCGGGAAACGCACCACAACTTTGCCCATCTCAGCGCCCGGCAGCTCAACAAATTTACCCTCTTGCTTGCGCTCGCCACTTGACTTTGGCGCCGGCTCAGTGTTGATGCTGCGCTTGACACGCGCCTCCTCCGGCAGTGATTGCAACACCTTCTGGATCAAGGGCTGGGCGTTAATCAGATCGTACCAGCGCTGCACATGCTGCGGAATGCCTTTGGCGGCGAGTAGCTCGTACCGGGAGTGCATCTCATTGAACAGCGCAAAATCGGCAATAGTCAGTTTATTGGCCACCAGATATGTGACCGGCGCAATGGACTTGTCCAGGAATGACATCGCCCAGGAGATGTCATCCTCGCAGGTCAGCGAGAACGATAGCCAATGATCGATCTGTGTCCGCTCGATGGCAGTCTCGCCATACAGCTGATAATCGGGTGCAGCACGTGCCAGCGCCCGCAACACATCATTGTTCGAGTGACAAACGAGGATGCGATTGTCGGGAAACTGCAGCGAAGTCTCCTTGCTCCAAATGATTTCCACGGGCACCGTTGCCTTAATCAAATGCGCCGTTGCCAAACCGCCTGTAGAAGTGTATTTATATTATTCATTGAAAACTGATGCAATATTTAGATAAACGGTGTACATAAATAGATAAATAAAAATAAAAGGCAGGCCGCAATGATTTCGCCATAACCTCACAATATTGCAAGCATATTTATTCACTTGACAAAGACTTACTTATGGGTGGATTGTTAACGTTCGCCTTTAGCTTAATGGTCATTTTGCCTGTATGTTGATTCGTTCGCAAACTAAACGCAAATTATGAAATTGCACGCCTTAAATACAACAGCTGCGCAAACGGCAATCTGCCAACGTCGCTTTTATTTTGATCAAAGAGGAACTAAATGAACTAAAAGAACGTTTCATTTGTTTGCCACAAGAATGAACCACTAAGCAGCACTGCTGATATTCCCGCTGTTCATATGTGTTATATTATGTACTAATAACACAATAAATTATTTGTATTTTATAGTGGAAAGTCTAGCAAATAATAATTTTGTTTTGTGTTGGAGCAGGGGAACTAGCAAATTGAAATAATTTGTAACTAAATTTTTTAAACATTCTCACTTTGAAATCGATAACACACTAAATCTCTTAACCATTCTCACCTGCCTGGACCTACAGCTGATTGATGCGGCCGTGGTGAATGTGTAACTTTATAGAAGAAGCAATTTTTTATGTACTGAGTGAAAAAAGTCTAATTTTGTTAATATTTCTAATAACTGCGGCCCATTAAGAAAAGAAAATCACACAGCTGCAATAGTTATAATGGTCAGTAATGTTAAGTGGCTAGTTGTGCTTGTTTAATGTGCTTTAAAAAGGTCTATTTGAACTGCTTCGCTGGCCAGCGCAACTCACCTGAGTCACCGTTTTTTTTTTTTTTGCCAATAAGCGATGTTAATTATTTGTATTTCATTGTGTCGACAGATGCTGTTCATGCTGCTCTTCAGTCGTCAGGGCAAATTGAGGCTACAAAAATGGTACATGGCCTATCCCGATAAGACCAAAAAGAAGATTACCCGCGAGCTGGTCACAACGATATTAGCCCGCAAGCCGAAAATGTGCTCGTTCCTCGAGTGGAAAGACTGCAAGATTGTCTATAAGCGGTAAAAACATAATTTTATCTGTTCTTGGTTAATGTTTTAATTAATTGGTGTTAACTTTATTGCTATGTATGATGTAGTTATGCCAGCTTATATTTCTGCTGCGCCATCGAGCAAAATGACAACGAGCTGCTGACCCTGGAGATAATTCACCGTTATGTTGAGCTCTTGGATAAGTATTTTGGCAGCGTAAGTTTAGCATAGTTTGATTATCTGTTGAAAGTGTATTGTTTATGAGTTAATATTGTGGTGTTTATGTTTGCAGGTATGCGAATTGGATATCATATTCAATTTTGAGAAAGCTTATTTCATATTGGATGAACTGCTGATTGGTGGCGAGATCCAGGAGACATCGAAGAAAAATGTCCTCAAAGCGATTGCCTCACAGGATCTGCTACAAGAGGTCAGTACACCCGAGACATATGATCTTTAATGCATACTGTTGTGTACATCAGTACATCTATATCTTATATATATTTATATATATATATATATATGTATATATATATCTATGTCGGAAATATTGTTAATTGTTCTACATATTTATTCAACTCGCTGGTTTTTTTTTGTTTAATTTTTATGTTGTTAGTGTTTGTTTCCATATATACAATTTTATAAGTCATTTCATGCATTTCACTTAAAATACGGTTTCAAATTCTCTACTTAATTATTGTTTGACTCTCTTTACTTTCTCTAATTTGTGCAAACGAATCTAATATTACTTATGAATTTTCAACTCCAAAAAACAAAACACATAAAAAACAACAGCAAGAAGAGTTCTTTTACTCACTGCAATAGCTTTTTGTTAACTGAAATGCTGCGTGTTTTGTATATAAATATATATATATATATTCAGTGAAACTGTTTTTAATCTTAAGTTGAGTATATTTTGTAAAACGATACACACTCGATTGAAATTGTCGATTATTTTTGCCTTTTTACTTGTCATTGCTTGCCTCATGCGCATCTCAATTTATGTTCTGATTTGCCCACAAGCCAAACAACAAAAAAAAAAAAAACGAAAAAAGCTAATAATTATGAGAAGTTAATGAATGCGTTTTTTTTTTAACAAAGTATTGCGCTTGCCATAATTGTAAATCCTAAATATCCTATATAAAAGAAACCAACGTAGTTCCGTCCATCCATATAAACATCTAGAATATATATGTTAAATAGAACATTTGCCATTCAATTGTAGTCAAATGTTTAGTAAAATATTCCTGTTAAAAAAAAAAACAATCGAGGAGAGGTAACAATTGAATCGTTTTGCATGATCTTTGTAGTTGTTTTTATTGTAATTGCATAATATGTACAATATTATATTTATCATATATATTTATGTTGGTTTTGTAGCAATGTGCTGTAGTAATTACATACATACTAACTGAACTAAATTAAACTAAAACTCAATTGTTGCAAGATACATAACTACAATACTTTTATTTACATTGCATATCTAAATGTGTAACCAAAATACCCTCTCTCTATTGTTATTACTATTAACGCTTACCCTACCCGCCACTGCATATATCGATGTTAAATACAACCATCAACAGGACTTCAATGAGTATCTAAACTAAATAAAAGTTGAAAAAAAAAACAAGAAAAAAACAGTGTAAAAAGATAATACAAAAATATATATATATAAAAACACACAAAAAGAAAAAGAAAAATAATATAACATAGCTATTTGACGAATTTCAATAACAATGTAATTATTAGCACTACAGTTTTGAAAGTCTGATTCTAAGCAGTAAAAAATATTAGTTTGGGGACTGAGTATTTTGTTATTCTACTTTGCTTTTGGAAAATCCAACTCGAGGCTGTAAATATAGCAAAGCTTTGCCCGTCTTCGACAGCTGCACACATACACACGCACATCCACACAAAAGTGATTGTAGTTTGTGTTTTTGTCCCGCCCCTGCGCGCTTCTAATACATATACGCCATACATACACAAACACACACATACTTACTACAAATGTACAAATAATTGTTCACACACACACACACACACACGCATACACCAAGCCAACAATTTGTGCCGTTCTTCTTCTTTTAAGCAAATTGACACTCACACAAAAACAACAACAACACGTCTTTTATCTATGTAACTGTACACTTCTTGTTCTTATTGTTCTTATATTCTCTGTACTCCAGGACGAAGCTGTTGAGGGCACTTTAAGAGACATTGGACTACTCTAAAAGAAAGCCATTACGTAGAATGTAGTTAATATTACACACACACACACACACACGTACACACATATACGCCAACAAGCAAGCACGCCTCAATATACACACACACCACACACACACACATACACTCGGCAACAGCAGCAAATGCAACTCACAATGCACATATATGAAAAAAGTTTGTGTGTGTGTAGCTGTGTGTGTGTGTGTGCTGTTAAAACGTTAAGGCTAAAACAAAAATCACTTTATTTTCACTACTTAAGCAAATATTCAAGTGCAATTAGTATTTTCACGTAGCAAGGCTAAATAAAAACCGCTAACGAGAATTCAAACTTCAACTCAACTCGGCATTTATGGCGCGGTTTTCCACCACACTTCATCTTTTAGTCTTGAGTAAAGTTCATGCAAAACGCTAATACTCCCTCCCCCCGGCCTCCTCCTCATGAGCGTTTTTTTTCTTCAAAACATTATTTATTAAGTCAATATCATTCCGAGATCATTCAAATTAAGAAGCAATGTGAACTTTATTTGTAGTTATAAATTGGGCAATAACACTCGAAAATAGGGAAAAAATGCAATATGTAGCAAAAGTAAGCTTTAAATTTTATCGATGGAAAAAGATGAAGCAAATGATAAATGAAATGTAAAACTTTTAGTAGTTAATAATATATAAAAACCAATAGTTTATATACAAAAAAATATATATATCTATATCTATATATAGTTAACTTCGTTTATGTGTGTTGTACAATATAGCCAAATTCCTGTGTTTTGTATATTCAATAATAAAAACAAACAAAATATTTTCAAAAAAAAAAAAAAAAAAAAACACCAAAATTGTATGTATGTGTATTTGTATGTAAAATTATGTACGTAATATGCTTAGAGGTAAGGTTGAACGGTGATTACTTTATTGTTGTAATTTAATTTTGTTTAATTTATGATAATTATAGCTTATTGATTGCTGTTATTGGTAATATGATTGTTTGACACTGGCTCGATTCACTGCGCTGACATTTAATTGTGCCTCAATTTCTCTCTTCCACTCTAACTCTATCTATCTGTCTATCTCTCTTGCTTTGCTCTAAAAAAAAGAAGAAAACTATCAAAAATTTGATTTTATTTGCCCACCTGCTGATTTTGTCCTATTTTGGTGTCCTTAGCTTAGTTTCCTGTAATTTTACTTTGCAAAAAAAGAGAAAAAAGACGAAGATATGTGTAGCATAATTATTGATATAATTTCCTTTATTATTGGCATATTCAATCAAGTTAAATTCCGAGAGATACATAATGAAGAACGCATTTCCATTTTACAGGATGAAACACCGCAAAGTTTCTTCGACGATCACGGCCTTGGCTAGAATGCAACAAAAATGCGAAAACCAATTACCATAAAAGTCGCCTTAATGTATGCGTGTATTTGTATTCAACATAATCGAAAAAAAACACTATATATATATCTATATCTATATCGTATTTGTCTTATATTATTTTAATGAATATACAGTGCTCGGAGCTATAAACTTTTATATACATAAATGCTGTTAAAAATATTTATTCAAATGTACTCGTAGCTTATTCCATTCCACAAACGCTTGACAAATTTTATTTGACCCAAAAAAAGTACATATATATATAGACAAACTAATTACTTATAAAGCTAAAACTAACCCTCATTTAACAACAACAGAGGTTATTGTACCTTTGAGATGCAATGTGATGCCGTCTACAAGCCTCACGGCGCTGGATATATTTATTAGATCGTTAAACCTCCCACATATATATACATTCATATCTATATAGACGTACATAGTTTGAAGTAAACTATTTAGTACAGCTAAGCGAATTCTAAAATACCTGCGTGCTCAAGTAAATGTGGTAACATTTAAATTTCATTGCTACTCATAAAAACAAAAATATATATATATATTTATATTTATATTCACACATCATCTTTTAAAATGACGCTTAATTTTTAACTGCTGGCATTTGTTACACATATATGCTAATAAAGAATATAATAAAATAAATGCATTTCAAAAACGTTTTATTATTTAAAATGATTTAATTATTGGTCACAGTGCCAAATATCGGTTAAGCGATATAATGCGTAAATGGTTGCTGTACTGGCTAGAGTGTGTTGCTGTCTACGCTTAATGCAAGCAACTTCATACAAATTCCAATTGGATTTCCATGACCAACAAGTAGTTTTTAAAGCTACAAATAGATTTTGTAAGTTAAATTTCGTAGAAATGATTTCTTATATGGCAGGTAAGTGAATTTGAATATCAAATAAATAAAACGAGCAATATATAGTTTTTTAAGAGTGCATTTTGTAACTCATTATTTAACATAGACTTTAAAGTTTTAAACGCTTTAAGGCCTAAAGATATTTTATTTTATACATGACGATAAATTGAATGAAAAGGATAACATGCCGATTATTTGATATATCGATGCTTAAAATCGTTGTGCGATTCATAATTTCATCACTATTACGCCAAAAAAAAAGAAAGAATAAATACAAAAACATCACGGAAAACAAGAAGAGCGGGCGCCTGTCAGCTTGAGCGGGAGTATCGCGACGCGAGAGAGACAGGCAGAGAGAGAGAGCGAGAAAGAGAGCGCACTGAGTGTTGAGCGAATGTGGGCAACGCTCCCGCTATTTTCCCAGTGTTGTTGGTGGGACTTTCCGCTGCGGCCGCCAAAAAAAAAAAATATAGAAAAATTCAACACGCCAAATTTGCGGGCAGCAGTAGCCGAGCCGAGTGGCGAGTGGTGAGTTTTGGTGAATGGTGAGTGGTGAGTGGCGCCAGCGAGCAGCGTTTGAACAGTTTTTCGGGCCCAGTCAGAGCGCACCATCGTCTTCAACGAGGCACAAGCACACACAACCACTAGGTGTGTGCTCTTTGTACGTTACGACGGGGGCACTGCCACACACAGAGAAGAATTTTTCACATTCATTTTCACATACCACACACCAAAGTGGGCAAAAAATGTACAAGAAACGCAGAAAAAACTTGAAAACTTGTACACTCAATTTGTGAAAATTTTCCATAAACAATCGAATGCTTCGCAGTGCAGAAACCAAAATACACAAAAAAAATAAAATAAAATAAAAAACGCGAAACGAAAACGTAACCAAAATCAAGTGCAAAAAAGAAAAATATATATATATCTATATAAAAAAAAATACCCAACGCCTGTCAAAAGGGCGAAGAGGAAAATTTGGAATCGCAGTCGCCCAGCAGCAGTGAAAATGTTGATGTGCAAACGCAAATCAAAAAAATGAAAATGGAAAATTATTGTGCAAATTGTATTTGCAGCAGCAGCTTCAGTTTTTGCGAATTTCAGAATATTGCCGTCGTTGTCCAGCAAAAATATATGGTACATAAAATTTGTATCTGCACGAATGTGTCTGCGTGCGTATGTGTGTGTGTTTGTGTGTGTGTGTGTGTGTGTGTGTGTATGAAAATTACGTTGTCATATGTGCAAAGTTCGTCAGCGTTTGTCTGAACAATTTTCCGCAGCTATTGACAATATTTATTTGCAATGCAATCATTAAATTAATAACATTAAAGTGTTGTTTATTTTCCAAATATTTTTTTTTTTGTTTTTGGCAATAACAAAACTATGAAAATAAAAGCCACGCATTCAAGGACTTTGCTGATACACATATATATATATATATATATGTATATATGTGTGTGTGTGGGTGTGTGTTCAAGTGAATTTATATATATAATTGTGTGTGTGTGTGTGGCAAGGAACGTTTGTGGCACAGGAGTTGTCGAGGCAGAGAGCAAAAAAATTCTCTATCTATTGCGATTTGCTCATGCGGCTCGGAAAGAGCGGAGAGCAGACAGAGAGAGACAGAGAGAAAGAGAGAGAAGTGCTCTTATAAAGAGAAAGAAGGGGGAGGGCCGTGGGGGGGGGGGGGGGGGCAATGGGCGCTACTGGGGCCACTCTGGCAGTGGGTGCAAAGTGTTGCGGCTGCTGCTGCTGCTGCTCTTCATATGTGTGTATAAATACACAAATTTATGTATGTGTGTGTGTGTGTGTGTGTGTGTGTGTGTGTACGAGCAGCCGAGTGCTTTGACTGCTCGGCCTTCCACTCAACTCATCTCGAGCATCATCAATAATTTCATTTAATTTCCACAACAATTATTCGCACATTGAAACAACAGAAATTTATTAAGCGGCATCAAGTTTTTCCATGCGCCGCGTTAACCCCTAAAAAAAAAAAATCGAAATGTTTTGGTTTCTTTTTTCGCAACATTTTGTGCGCTGTTTTCTTTGGCTCGCTTTTGTGGCGCTGTTTCGTAGTGATTTATCCTTAAACTTGGCCACTTTTCGCACGCACAGCTTGCTTTTTTCTATTATTTTTTTCTTGTTGAGCTGTGGTGAGTTAGGCAGTGCGCATGCCAACTGCTCCTGACCACGACACAGGACACAGGACACATTGAGCACATATACAACGTCCCACGTCGACAGGCGACAGGAGTGACAGGCCTTTGTGGCAGACACTTGCCTCACATAGTGTTATACTTGAATACACACATACATATTTACATATGTGTGTACATTATTTATATTTGTGGCTGTTGCGGATCCTTGTTGTGCTTTTCTTTTCTTTTCTCCTATTTTTTATAGTGTCATAAATTGTTGTAAAATTCAAGTGTGTGACGCGTATTATTAGAATTTGTGTGAGTTAATGGTCAAGTTTGGACAATTGTCCTTGGCTCTCTGTGTGTGTGTTTGAGTGTGCTCTGCGTGGGCGTCATAGAACCACCTATACATATACACACACTCACACACACTTGGAAACACACACACACACATGCACAGAGCATTCCCTAACAAAAGGCAGACTCTATGCGGTCATCAGCAGCGTGGCTGCACCCCAAAAAAATGCTGCTCTATGAATTATACATTATTCGCTGCATACTTATCGGGGCTGGACAACAGCAAATGTGCCAGCAAATTCATTCAATAATTTTAACTATCAAAAAAATCTACAACTTTAAATGCAGTTTTCTATTGCGAGCATAACTCACTCATTCGCTCTCTCTTTCTCTATCTCTCTCTCGCTCTCCCTCCCTCTCTCTCTCTCGGTTGACTCTCTTGACACGCTGTTGATATCATATTTTTGCCAGTTGTATTATTATATGATGCCTGCTGCTTGTGTGTACATATGTGTGTGTGTGTGTTTGTGTGTGTGAGGGGAGTGAGCGAGTCTGTTCGCACAAATAACGGGTAATGCTGCTCTTTATAAACTCACCACGCGTAGACGCGCTCTCGCGCACGCTCGCTTTCTCTCGCTCTTTCTCTCTCGCTCGTAGAGCACGACAAACTCCCGTTCGTGTATATTATGTTATCTCGAAACTTTTATTGCCTTTCGTTTCGTTTTTTTGTTGCTCTTTGGTCGAGGGAGGGGGTGCGGCGCCCACGTAGCACACAAGGAGGCAGAGCAAAGCAGCGCAGAGCAGAGCAACGAGAGGGAAAACATGCTCCAACTGCTCGTCTCGATTCTAACGAACATTCCAATATTTTCGCTGCTGTTGCTCAGTTCTACACGCGAAGTGCAAATAAAACAAATATATCACAAAAATAATGATTATATATCCAACATAAAAAAGCGTATTGAAACTGCTGCAGCAACGCATCAACTGTGTAACTAAAATGTGCTCGTGCTCTTTACGTTTTTTTTTCGATTTTAGTGCAGAGCTTGAAGCAAGAGTCAACTGTTAATTGTAAATAAGTAATCATAAAGTATAACAAACAAACAAACAAACAAAACACTCCACCAAACTCGAAACGCATAGTAAACAAAATAATTATAAATATACAACTAAAACAAAATAATGAAAAACAAAACAAAAATGATATACATGTTTAGCAACAAGCAGTAACTATTATTATTATTATTAAATGTAAATGACAACGTAGCCTTGAAACTCAACTATAATAAAAACCAAACCCACAAATCTTATTAAAAATAATATATATAATAATATATATATAAACAAACCAAAGGAATCAATAGTAATATTAAAAATTGCTATCGCTGCTCTCAAGTTGAAAAGTGGGGCGCAGAGGCGCTGAATTCCGGCAAGCAAATGTCTGGATAAAAGCAAAAACCAGTTGACCAATGGATGAAAATGCAGCCGTCGTCGTCATTTTTGTCGTCGTCGTTGTACTCCATTTGTCATCGCTTTTGTCGTCAGCACCACCAGCAGCACCAAAAGCAGCAGCAGCAGCAGCACCAGCAGCAGAAGCAGCAGTTGAAGCCGGAGCAGGAGCCGGAGCTGCCACAAGAAGAGCAACAGCAACAGCAAAAGCAGCAACAACAGCAGCAACAACAACCTCAACAGCAACAAAAACACCAAGGGGCAACATCAGCCGCAGCAGCAGCGGCAGCAGCAGCGGCAGCAGCAGTAGCAAGAGCCGGAGTTGTAGTGTTCCAGCAGCAGTTGGCGACATTCGAACACGCCTACTTTTATACGCCCAATTTGGTGGAGACGCCACCACCGACGCTGCCGCTGTTCCACAGATCCAGCTGCACCAGCTTAAGCTCAAGCCCAAGCACTCTGCCACTGCCTCAGCTGGCTGCGGCTTAGTTCGCTCCAGTTTCTTCAGTTAGTTGGCTTGCTAAACCATTTCAAGAACAACAAATATAACAAGGAGCCCATCAAGCAACACAAAACAAAACAAAACAAGCAACAGCAACAAACACCAAATTGAATAAAGCAACATACGCTTCAGCAACAATAAAAGCAACAATAGTAGTAACAATAGCTAGCACATCAAGTCTCGTGCCAACCACAACAAATAAATAAGAATAACAACAACAACAACAACTACTACTTCAAACACTAACAACAACAACAACAAAGCCAACAACACTAAAACGGTCCCACGCGATTTTTAGAACGGCGCCATTTGCCGCCCGGAAACTGTAGCTCCAGCAGTAGCAGCCGAAACAAAATGGCGGATGGTGGGCATTCATTTGTGAAGAAGACATTTCATAAGCCAACTTACTGTCACCACTGCTCGGATTTACTGTGGGGCCTCATACAGCAAGGCTACATATGCGAGGGTAAGTAACAACAATTCGAAGCGATCCAAAAATACCTTCAGTTCCAAATGTTTTGGTATTGTTACGTTTCTTCAATTGTAGTGCCAATTCAATCAATATTTCGAGAATCACACTGTGCTAACATTATTATGAAAATATTACACATAAATATTGCAATCCCATAAGTGGCTAAAGTACCCCATTTGAAAAATGGTGGACCGTAAACAAAACTAGGAAAATATTCTGTTTTTAGAAATAATTTCTAAATAAACGAAGTAGAAAAGTTATTTTTATATTTATTTATTAAAGTCTTTTTTATTATTAAGAAATACATTTCTAATAAAGTGTAAATGAAAACTCTTAAATAAAAAAATGGTTCTCAAATTCACAGAAAATAATAATTCGAGAATTCAAAATGCCATAAAATGTTGTCTGAGTGAGGACGACATTGTTATTATACAAGAAACAACCTAAATAATGTTCTGTTTTAGAAGATGTAGCTTAATGAAAAATCGTTCGCCTAACATTAATAAAAATCACAAATAAAAAGGACTAGTTACAATTTAAGTTAAGGCTTCTGAAATATCCCATCGACATCGTCGATTACTTTTTTTTAAGGGCCAGCTCTGGCGATAAATATCTCCGTATAGTCTTTAATATATTTTCAACAATATATTCAGACGAATCGGTCGTAGAAATTTAAAATCAGTATGTTTATATAGGGGCGATCTATGATCGCCAATAAAACTTGTTGAATGTGAAAAGTCATAGGATACTCAGTGTTCAAACCATGATGAATTGTCAAGTTTTTATTAAACCAGGTTCAGATTTACACATCCCAATATGACTATTTTTACCTTAACTTTGACTAAGAATCGTGTATTCAGTTGTAAATAAAGTATTAATATAATCATGATAAAAAAGTGATGCTTCTCAAGAATGGGCTTAGTTTTGCCACGCAAAGTTGTGAACCAACCACACTATTCTTGGCATTGCATTTTAACCAAGAATAAATGCAGTTTTAATCTTCAGTCAAAGCTTTAAATGAAAAGGTATAGTTTTTAAAAATCGTCTGTGTTTTTGTTGCCAATTCAAATTTTAATACAGACTATTTCTTAGTGATGCAATCTGGAATAGAAAATGATTACCAACTTAATTGACCTATTTTTGCACTTAAATGGGTCCAACGAAATGACGTTTTCGCACTCTTAAATTAGTATTTCCTGTTCACAACCCAGATCATTGTATACAGTATGCCTGACAGTAAAAAATCGTGTCAAAATGATGTTTACTATTATAGCTGAGCACTTGTGGCATTTAATTAGTTGCGAGTGCCAAGTTCAAATTGATGGGCAATAAGCGCTCTAAAACGGGCCAAAACGCAAATCAAACGAAAAGTAACCAGCAAATGTTAAAAATACATTTGTCTAGTTTCGATAATATATATATTTGTGTGTATACACTTTTTAAATTGCCATAAATGTTATGGGCCAGCGACAGTAAAAGCAATCGTGTGATTTTTACAAGCTGCATCCGCACGTTCCCCACATGACCAAAGTGTATACTATGAAATGCATGATCATCATCATCAAGAAGCTGTTGCTATTTGCTCGTGGCAGAAAAGTGTGCGCATTTGAACTTAGCAAAAAAAAAAAAGAAATGGCAAAAAAATACAATGACGTGAGTCGGCAACGACGTCACAATGGCAGACAGTATGTGGGACCGTGTTGCCGCAATTGGCAATTGGCAATTGGCGACTGGCTACTGGGGATGCGGCTGTGGCTGTGGCAGGGGCACGAGCAGCGAGCATCTATCAAAGCAGGCAAATCGCTGCCTGCCTGCCTGCCTGCCTGGTTGGCTGCTTGGCTGCCTCTCCCAATTGGAAGCGTGTTAAGCGCCGCGCGCGCGTTTTTAATTTGTGTTTATTTGAGCTGTTTTGCTATTATTATAATTATTGCATAGAGCGTTTCTACTTATAAGCAACGCAAAATGTTTATAGAGGCGCTGCTCTTCTTCTTTCAACAAAACTCACACACACACGCACACTCACATACCTTGTGTAATATAAAAGTGGCTGCGAGCATGTGAATTTTGTTGAAAGAAGAAGAGCGCCTTTAGCCGCAAGCCATATTCCAATTTTTCTAGCGCAATTTGACAGTGTCAGCTAAAAATAAACACTCAGCTCTGGCAAATTTTAAATGCAATTATTTACGCTGACATTTTCAGCGTATTAATTGCAAGCTAAAACGAGCGAATGTGTCAACATATTAATGCTTCTTCTTCACACACACATTCACACAGGCATGCATCTGTATGCCTGTCGGTGCGAATCGTTTTGTGTTTTTTTTTATAGTGCTGATAATTGTCAAAGCATAGCTTCAGGCGCTGTTCCCATTTTAGCCAACAAGATGCGCTGGAGCATTGCCACTAATTGAGTTGCATGCCGCTTCTTATTGCGAGTGGGACTTGGGCACACTGTCCGGCGGACTGTGTGCGAAAGTTGGGAATTGTGTGTGTTGTGATAGCAGATTGCACATTGCAGATTGGAAATTGCGGGCTGCAGGCAATTGCAACAGCAGCCGGGTGAATGCTGCACAACCCATTTGCGGAGGCGTTTGAAAAGTCAAAAACCCACAATGCCACTCAAAACTCGCACAGTGAGCGAACGTGAAAAGAACGAGATAGAGCTAGAGGAGAGACTGATTGATAGAGAGGAGAGGAGGAGAGGAGGGGAGGAGAGAGAGAGCGGAAGAGAGGCAGAGAGTACGATAGAAGAAGAGAGTCGCCTACACAGTTGCCAGGCAAGGAATTTGGCTCTCTCGCTCTCGCGCACTAGCGTGAAAGTAGGTCGAGATGCACTCACACACACACATACACACACATATACACGTGCAAACAGGATGCGCACAGCTGCAGGCAACATTTCAATTGGTTTTCAAGGGTTGCGGGGGCGCTACGCAAATGCAATTGCAGCAGCGACAGCATCAGGTGAGCATAATGAATGTTTAAAAAAATTGTGTTTATGTGTGTGTGTGTGTGGGCTTGTTGCAAGCCGGCTGGCTGCCACACACTCTCAATGGGGCCTGTTCACAGTATGTACGTATGTACATTTGTACATTTTTACATACCACCTACACTTTGGTTATGGCCCATTGTAATAGCGCTGCCATCGCTGTCGTTGCCGCTGCTGCTGTTGCTGCCGCTGCTGACCTAGCCGATAGCAACGAAGGGCTAAAAGTGCGTCATCAATGGCCGCCATGAATGTGGCAGCGTTTGGTTAGCGGAACCAACCGAAAATACCCAAAGTGTTACACTTACAAAAAATGCGCTCATTTTTAATTTAATATGTTTTTATTTTTTATGTCGACTAGCATTAGTTCTCATTAGATAAATAAATTGATTTATAAATTGATTGTAAAACTAAGAAAATTGTAGGGTTTTTTATGATTTTAGAAATAACTTTAAAGTATACAAAAAAGATAGCTTAAAAAAAGTTCGTATACAATTCTTTAAATGCTAAAGTTTAATAATAATGATTTGAGATCGGAGTAGACATAGATAACTACAGACACTAGACCTAAAACCACAATAATATAAGTAACAAAAAGACAATTTGGGAATTCTGTGCGCAGACATAAAAAAAAATACAAAATCGAACCTGAAATCCAGAAATGAAAAACCTTGATTTTTAGCAAATCACAACCTTTACTTTATGAATAATAAGCTGAGCTACACTGGGCGCCAAAAGTATGTCGATGTTTTTCTGAGTGTAGCCACCAGCATTGGTGGTGGTGCTGCTAGAGAGATGCGGAGGCGTTACCGTTTAATTACCCTCTTCACATCAACGTCGACGTTGTCGCTGTCGCTGCTATTCATTCATAACGAAATGAAAGCGACGGCAGCACCACAATCCACGCCAGCTACAGCAAAAGCAACAACAACAACAGCAGCAGCACCACCAACTACAACAACAGCAGCAGCACCACCAACTACAACAACAACAACAGCAGCAACAATAATGGCCAAAAGCAAACAAATGAAAACAGGATTGTTTTTGTGTTTTTGAAAGAAGGGGGTCGTCGTCAGTTTGGCTGGCATATCTATCAGATGGTGAAGAGAGAGAGAGAGAGAGAGAGAGAGAGAGAGCCTGCGGTCCTCAAGTGTAATTGCTGACGTTGCATGTCACACCAATACATCGATCCAACACATTTGGCTTTGGGGATCGATTGGTCCATGAAGCAAACGAAATTCACTGCTCGTCGCAAATAAACACAATAATGAATAATATAAAAAGTAGTTCGATCGAAAACTTAAAAAACTTGAGGTACAAAAATGTATCGCTTAAATATTGAAATGAATTCGCAGAGAGAACAGATCTTAGTTGATAGCATCGGGTATATTAGCATTAATATTTTTAAAACATTTGCTTTGTTGCTGGGGAAAATGATTTAATAGCATCGGTTAAATTTAATTCTTAATAAATATATAGCTGAAAAAATTGTTATTTTAGTCCCAAGCTCATAAGCTCTTTATAAATATATAAATCAAATTAGTGTAAATTTAGAGGGTCGACAAGCAACTTTAGTTGTTGAATGAATGAATATATGTATGAATATGTATATATACATTTGACCCAATTTTGGTTATATCTAAAGTTTTTTTTTATAAATAATACCAGTCGATAATGAGATTTTCATGTAGTTTATAGTTTGACGATGCGGCTGCACTTAACAATTTTATATTTAGCTAATGATTGCGTTATTATTTATTTATTGTAATATATAATTCAGTCTTCTTTAGGATTGACAAATTGCCTAAGAAGTTAAAAAGACCTTTAAATATTCAAACATGACAAAACAAAATAAGGACCAAATTTAAAAAGCTGATTCAATTAAATTTGGTTTCAAGTTGTGTTTATAGAACTATATTTATTTATTTCGCTTTAAAACAACGCAAAGTAATTTAATCAGAGTTCGAGTAATATTATTATATTTAATATTTAAAAAAAAGTACTTTAAAAATATTTAAAAACATAACAATTTTAAATTAAATTTCAAATAAAAATTTAAGTTACAAATTAAAATAATTGAATTTAAAATTAAAGAAATGTGATATAATAAATCCTTTACAAACTGATATTTGCTTATATGGACTAGATATATATCCTGGGACTCTCTGATCCATTGAAAGATCTAAGACAATCCAGCCCTGGTAAACAGTGCTGCCAGGGTATGCAAATAGAATCTGTATCAAGCAGCGCATCTGGCAGCAATTTCGACGTCAAAATCGGCGTCGACATCACCCGTTGATAGCCCATCCATAATCATCGTCCGTAGTCCGTAGTCCGTAGTCCGTAGTCATCGTCCATAGTCACTACGCACGCGATATCCTTGACTGTTGCCTTGTGAATGCTTACGTATGTACTTGTGCCAGCGTGCTCCAAAATGCAGTGTATGTGTGACGCACACACACACACACACACGCATACAGTGGCACTAAAGTTTTGCAGCAATTGCGCTATGCGCAACTAAAATGATGTTATGCTCTTTGAAGGCAGAGTTTTAAAATAAACACAACACTGCAATTTTATGCACTGATAAATTTAAATTGAGTTTGCTGGCTTTGATTCAATTTATATATTTTTTGCCAAAGCAAAAGTTGGCATTTCCAATGAAATTGAATTTGCTTGTTTGAGCTGAGTTGGCCATGTTGAGCATACGTCATGTTGGCCCTGGTCAAGTTCAAGTGCGCACAAATATTGAATATATATATATATATGTATAAATATATATATTGAAATAGCGTTTTACATATTATGCATGCGTCACATTGAACCAATCACTTCTATATTTAATTATGGTTTCATCTATGAGTGAGTTTTGGCTGGCTGTCAGGAAGTTTGATTCTAAATTGATTTCCTGCTCGAAACCAAAAAAAAAAAAAAAGAAAAAATAGAAAAGGCTATAACTCACAGCTGAACATGCAAATCTCACGCGCTCCCCCACTCTCTCTCTCTCTCTCTCTCTATATGTATATATATATATTTATTATACTCGTATATATATATATATTTATATATGTGTGTGTGTGCTTGAGGAGTGGGTTCTATGCAAATATCAATTTTAATTGTTGCTATTGTACTACGCATGTCAACTTGTGCCCATTCAATTGCCACAGCGCGCACACACACACACACATAAAGATAAACACAAATACATGCCCATAAATATATTTAGTTTCGTGTATGCTACATATGTATATGTGTGTGCGTGTGAGTGTGTATGTGTGTGTGTGCTTGGCTTGGCAAACATTTTTCGCCACCTTACACTTATATTTTTCGGCTTCGGCTTTGACTTCTACTCGCTGCATACTTCTTTGAGTACTTTTAGACGATTTGGCTTTATGTTTCCTTTGTTATTGTTGTTATAAAAGCAACACATACACACACCACACACACACACACACACACATACACACACACACACGCACACAGGCACACAGCGATAACGCGCCCTTGCCAAGCCAAGGCGAAAGATGTAAAAGTAAAAGTGTGTTGAGTTTCGTGAATTTCCCCACCACTGCCAAGAAGAAAAACATTTGAAAATTCCCCATGCGTCCTCAACGCGCTTATCTTCTCTGTTGCCACACACACACACACACACAGACACATTTATACGAATGCGTACACTTAAATTATGGTATACATAATGCCAATGAGATTTTCTAAAATATACTTGAAAAATAATAAATGCTCCACGTGCTCAATTTGTCGCAATTGCATCGAATACGATTTATGCCTGCCACATTTCAAAATATAAAATTATATTTCATACACACACACACATATACGCACATACAGAGATTGAGAGGTTGCAGTTGGTTTCATGCCAACGTCACGTTTGGCCAAAAAAAAGTAAAAAAAAAAATAATGATCCACTTGGAACATGCAACATGCGCCGTAAACGCGTCGAGTACTCGTTTATTTATATACATTTCTATATATACGTTTGTATGTATGTGCGTGTGTGTGTGTATCTACATAGCTCAACAGCAACAACAAGGACAACAACAACAACAAAATTCATGAGTTCATTCATGACGTCAGAGCGTCAGCGTCAGGTCAGCGGCCTAGTTCTCTCTCCTCTACAAACAAACAAACAAACAGACATACAGCTGAATGTATGAATGTATGTATGTATGTATGTATGTATGTAGACATATGTGTATATGTATAGCAAGTTGCATAAATATACACACGCATTTATATAGACAATTATGAATTTATATATTTACTGTATGCACATAAGATATGTATATATGTATGTTTGTGTGTGTACAACTTTCACGCATTGCTAAAAATAAAATTCGAATTTCTATGTTGGGGCTCTAAGCACACTCACAACAACAACAGCTACATAAATACATAAATACACTCATGTATATGTACATGTGTATGTGTATAGCAGGCAGCGCTGCACTCAATGCTCGAGAGTTGCTTTTGTATGTGTGCCCAGAGTGGAGGACGCTGCTGCTGCTGCTGCTGCTGTTGTTTCCATTCACACACTAACACAAGCGAAGCGAGAGGGAGTGTGAGCACGAGTGCGAGCGAGAACGAAGGTCTTTGTTTGCCCTGCATTATTGCTGCGTTTGTTTTCGCTTTTGTGCGTGGCTCTCTGCAGCTTTTGTTTCTCTTTAACGGTTAGCCACTTAACGCCTGCTGCTTCTTCTGCTTGTGTATGTATGTGTGTGTGTGTGTGTGTGTTTGCTTGCATGCAACTGCTACGTGTGTGTGTGTGTGTGTGCGAACCTTCAATGAATATGTTGCCCATGAACTCAAGAACTAACTTGGCCATTGCTGTGAATGGTGCTCTATGCATGGATGGATGGCGATGACGTCGGCCTGTCCCCAGGCTCAAGCATGAAATGTCAAATTTACATGGCACACATAACTCACACATACTGCCACATACATATATATATATATATATATATATATATTTGTATATATATATATATATCTATTTGGTATATGGGCACCATTTAAGCCTGCTTCATTTAGATAAGAACCTGACATTATACTCGGTTGAGAGACAGTTTGCTGCAGTTTGCTGCTCCTGTCTGTCTCCATATATTCTAGTCTCAAATGAATGACACTCACTCATGTTGGCCATTTTTCCGTTTCTCTTTCAGTTTGCAACTTTATCATACACGAACGATGTGTCACAAGCGTGGTAACGCCCTGTTCCGGCATTGCGCCATGCATTATAAAGGTGCGTATACACAATCTATGCCACTTGCATTCACATACCACATAATCACACTCACACTCACACTCATACTCGTGCTCGCATCGTTGTCACATTGAATAACTTGGCATCTGTCATGTCTTTGGACAGAATCCCGTCGCCCATTGTTGGTCGGAGCCAACCCATCACAAGAGAAAATTCTGCACGGTTTGCCGTAAGCGATTGGATGAAACGCCAGCGGTGCATTGTTTAGGTAAGTCTACCCCCTCACCCCCTCAACATATTTATATCACCTACCACATAACCCTACCTCCCCCTACCTTCCCTTCCCATCGCTCTACTCTTCTGTTCTTCTATACTCAGTTTCATGGCTGTCAGTTAATTCGTGTTGTGTTTCATAACCAATTCCTGTAGCAGTCGATTTCTATTGTTGAGTTGAATATTTTGAATTAAATTATATATTTAAAACCCTTCTAATCATATTTGTATCACTTCACAGTTTGCGAATATTTCGCGCATACTGAGTGCCAAGATTTTGCTGTGCCCGATTGCACGGAGAATGCAACATACGTGCCCGGCAAGGAATTGCTTAATGTGAGGCATCAAGTGAGTATAAATCTTGCAACTCGCAACTCGCAACTTGTTTCCTTCCACACACACACACCCATTTCTTACTTATACTTGTTATAATTCACAGCACCATTGGCGAGAGGGTAATCTGCCATCAACGTCCAAATGCGCCTACTGCAAGAAAACCTGTTGGTCTTCGGAATGCCTCACAGGTGAGTCTCTAAATTAAATGACATTAAATTAACTTTATAAGGAATATGGGTGGCTGTTGTTATCAATACTACATAAAACTTATTAGTGCTGTGGCAACTTTTTTGAAGCCCAATTAATTACTTAATGCTAAAACTAAAGCTCTGATTTACAAGTCTAATTAAATAGTATTATCGCAAGTGAATAGCTGAAATTTGTTATACAATTTTTGTGTTCTCTTCTCGAGCCTGTCCTATATAATTGTAATATTTGCTCTTCTTTGTTAGTCAGTGATGTAATGATTTCAGTTATTTTTTGTATCTTATTTTGAGCGATTTAAAGTTTATTAGGATGACAACGAGTTCATTACTCCAAGTAGGAATCCCATTAAATTTTATAACATGAAACATTGACATAAAGTTGGACAAGCGAGAGCTTATATCAAGGAATATCAAATTCTGATATACTTATTTACTTTATCAAGATAAATTTCTTGTCTAATATAAACCCCAAATATTTCACTTTATCTTCACAATATGTTATTCAGCTGGTTGCGGGAAAATATCTTAATTATAGCAGATAGATAGATAGTAGATAGCTTGGGTTTTATCTGCGTTGATCTAAGTAAATGAATATGTTGCTAGGAGGTCTTACAGGCTGTCTTCGTGGTCTCCCTATGAGTTCTCAAATTTCCCAAAGAATTTAGCTTAACTAAGAATGTTTAATCTTGTAGCAATCTTAATATATCATTTATTTATTTTTATTTCTCAGGCTATCGGTGCGAGTGGTGTGGCATGACCACACACGCTGGATGTCGCATGTACCTGCCAACCGAATGTAATTTTGGTATACTACAACCTATCTACTTACCTCCGCATTCAGTGTCGATACCACGTACTGAGGTGCCAATCGAGGCGATTATTGGCGTCCAGGTCAAATCCAAAACGTCGCTCGTGCGCGATTATTCGTGTCGTAAGTACCAACTGTCCCCGCCATCCTCCCTTGCTGGCCATTTTTAAAATAAAACGATCACAGTCGCGATCCCATTGGAACCCACTGCCCAATGGGTTATGATCGCGTACGCAGCTCACTTATAGCTCACTCACCCAAAATAGAACAAAAACAAAACAAAGACTCACCATTCAGCTGCATCAGCTCTCGATGTTGTGCACATTTCAATGTTTCCTAAATGTATCCATGGACAATCTTAAACTTAAGCCTCATCTTAAACGCCTCACCCCAAACCCAAATCACATTCAACATTATTCGCAAACAGTTTTTCGACTTCCAAGCTGCGGTTTTACTTATTATTATTTTGGTTTTTGATTTTTGATTTTTGTTTTTTTTTTTTCATTTAGATTTCGAGTTTTAGAATTTGTTGATTAAGTTTTTCTTGTGTTTATTTTAAACGTTTCTTTTTTGGTTTTTGACGCAACGGCAGCCAGCCCGGAGCTCGGTGCCGAATCCGCGGCTGGTGACGTTGCTGCGTCCGGTATGTGTCTCAAGGAGCTGCTCGAGCTTCACCGGCAGCGACTTGAGCAATCGAAACAACATTTTTTACTTTCAACGCCGCCCACACCCAACTCCTCGCTCTGTGTCTCACCCACGCCGTCGCTGACAGTGGGCGAGACGAGCAACAACGAGCAGGATCCGCTCGATCCAGAACCGGACGAGGATGACAATGAGCAGCAAGATAGCGCCCTGCAGCTGACCACCACCTCGACCAGCCATGTACCGCTGGGACCACTGCAAAAATCGCCCTCGGCCAACTCATCGCTGCAGTTGCTCTACACGAGTCTGTTCCGCAAATTGGCCCATGGTCGGGGGCGAGGGCGTGGTAGACGGCGTGATGAGCGGCCGGATGATGGTGATGGTGGAGACGGCGATGTTGATGATGATGATGATGAAGATGATGTGGATGATGATGATGTAGATGGCGGTGTCTGTGATATAAGTGGTTACGATCTGAGCGACGATTATGATAATTGTGATGTGTCGCTGCGGAAACGTTGCACGCGTCGATCGCCGCGCAATGTCAGCGATACGGATTACCATGGCGATGTTGAGCTGGAGACGGCGCCACGGGAGAGCTGCTACGAGACATCCGATACGGGTGGCGATCTGACCAACACCGATGAGCTCGACTCGAGCATGAATTTAATTAGCAATCTTAGCTATAATAGTAGTAATAGTAACACCTCTAACACCTCCGAGCAGCGCAACACTGCAACTGCCACTGCCGCAGGCACAGCCACAGTCACGGCCACATCGACAGCCAAGGGTAATGCCCCCGCCCCTGGGCCAACCAAGGCTGCTTTGAGCGTGCTCGCTGGCCGCAATCCAAAGACTGGCGCTGGTGCTGGTGCTGGTGCTCCAGCGAAAGCCAAGCCCAAGACCATACTCAGTGCGCCCAAGCACAAGGGTGGCTCCGTCAGCTCACCTAATTCCAGTGACTGCTCCTCGGCATCGCCGGCGCCCGCATCGGCCATAACGCAACTGCAACTGTCGCCGGTGGGTCGGAGCAAATCGTTTCAAGAGCCGGGCATTGCCCGCTACAAGAAATACGGACGTGGCCTGTTCCAGCGACGACGCTCGAAACGCTCACCCAAAGGTGGCGTCAAGAGCAACTACAGCCTGGACAGACTGTCGCAGAACATCGAGATAACCATACAAGACGAGGATGGCAACTATCAGGCCTACGATGATAACTATCATACGCTATCCACGGCCCGTCGGCTGCGCCGCGATGTCTACGACGATGTTGACGATGTCGAGTACGAGGATCTCTATCTGGATGATCGACCGCGGAGCACGGGTGGCCTCAGTGGCGATGACATTGCTGGTGATATCAGCGATGATGGCAGTCGATCCCGTGCCAGCGATTGCCAGGGACAGCAGGGTCACGTCTTTGGCCGGTTGCTGAGACGCGTACGCGGTTTATCCGTCGGCTGGCGCAAGCCTCGCTACCAGAAGCGCAGAGGTGATACCCATTTATTACCCACTCGTTATGTATAATCTATCTGTCTAACAGCAAGTGCCACCGACTGACGTCTACACTCCAGTTTGGCTTCAGTTTGGTTTTTTGGTTATCGGTTCCTTGTTTCTAGTTTTTGGCGCTAACCTTTCTATCTGCTTTAGTTACTTTGGTTCTGTTCAACTAACTAACTAACTAACTCGACTAATCACACCATTTCGCACCATTATTCGCATCGCATTATACTCGCCACGCTCATAATCAGACAACTAACCCAATCCCATTGCATGACACCCCAGAGACACCCCACAACTAATACCCAGAGCCTCTAGTTAATAACTAGATAATAATGTGCGGAATTGTATCTATGTGCTCGTTTAGCACGCAGTATATCGGAGGAATTCAGCAGCGGAGATGCACCTCGCTTCAAGGATGAGGAGTCCATGGGCAAGGCCGAATCCTCGCATGGCATGAGCGCAACAGGTGGCCCCAGCAGCAGTGGTGGTGGCGGCGGCGGTGGCGGCGCCGGCGGAGGAACGGGAAGTGGAGGCACAGTTGCTGCCGGCGTTAGCGGTAGCGGTAGTGGTGGTGGTGCTGGTGCAGGTGGTTCCGGAGGTGGCTCACACTATCGCGCCGATGCCTCGAGCCACAAGTCCGACAAATCGGAGAAGGACAGGGAGAAGAAAGAGAAGGAACGCGAGGAGAAAGATATAGGTAAGTGTTCCAAACCAATCACCAACTGTCATTGTTCAGGCGCGGCGCACAACTAAGATCGATTTCCCACAGAGATGATCAAGGTCTTCGATGGCAACAACTCATTCCGACGCCAGCAGTACCGTGCCATCATCGTGCAGCGTACATACACGCTGGAGCAGCTACTGACCACCGCTTTGCGCGCTTTTCACATTACGCGCGATCCGAAGGCGTTCTTCCTGACGGATATGTATGCGCCAGCTGGGATGGAGGATGCACCGCTGCTGGATCCGACGCCCGTGTTGAATCTGACACACTTGGAGGGCAAGCGACCGGCTATGTATCTCAGGTTTCACGACAGGGACAAGGGACATGTGCGCGTCTATCCGGGCAAATTGCAATGCTCCATGGACGATCCGTATGTCAATGTGCCGGTCGATAATACGACCGTCATCAAGGACCTGATACGTGATGCACTCGATAAATTTGGACTACAAGATAACCAGATACAGGACTATAGGTAAGACCCCTTATCAGTCATCAGTTATCAGTCATCAGTTAAACTAATTCTTAATCCCTCCATCAGATGCTCGGAAGTGTTGCTCGATCGCGGCGTAACCGAACGCATTCTCTCGTGGAACGAACGTCCCTGGGATATTATGAAGCAGCTGGGCAAGGACTCTATCCGTCAAATGGAACTGATGCGATTCTACATGCAACACAAACAGGATCCCCATGGACCAAACATTGCCCTATTCGTGGGCAATCTGCCCACGGGTCTGTCGCAGCGCAACTACGAACAGATTCTGAACAAATACGTGACAGATGAGAACAAGTTCATTAGCATTGGACCCATCTACTATGAGTACGGCTCGGTTGTGCTAACCTTTGAGGATGCCCAAAAGGCGGTGAGTTGTCTTTGCTTTTGAAAATCGATTCAGTTTTATCAAAACAATGGCTGGTTTCCAAAAAGAAATTCTCTTGGCAACAACTGATTACTCGTCCACCTTCGATCAATAAATTTTATTTATATTTATGTGATCTTCGGCAGGTTCGCGCTTTCTACAACCTACGCGAGACGATCATCGAGGACAAGAAGCTGTTGGTGTTGTTGTTGCCTAACATTGAGCCCAGCATGGTACCCTCGGATGTCCGGCCGCTGCTGGTATTTGTGAATGTCAAGTCTGGCGGTTGTCAAGGCCTGGAACTTATATCGAGCTTTAGAAAACTACTGAACCCGTATCAGGTCTTCGACTTGGACAACGGAGGACCTCTGCCAGGGTAATTGTCAGCGACAAAAAACCAATCTGCCTGCATTTTAGAGAATCGCCATGAAAACTATAAAGCTTTTGCCTGTTTTTAGAAATAATTTCTAAACATTGGAAAACAAATTTTTAAGAACAAAAAAGGCTTGCCCTAAATCGGAAAATCCAAAAAATGGGGTGTTTTTTATTTATTAGAAAAGTTTTCTATTATTGAGAAATGTAATTAGAAAAAAATATTCTTTCTAAAATGTAGAAACAAGTAATGCAATTTAATGACTCGACTTTTATATTAGAATTTAGCTAACTTTAATGAGTTCTCATATTCAACTATTCAATTTCCCCTTAGACTCTATGTGTTCCGCCAAATCACCAACTACAAGATCTTGGTATGTGGCGGAGATGGCACCATTGGATGGGTGCTGCAGTGTCTGGATAATGTTGGTCAGGACTCGGAATGTTCAAGCCCACCGTGCGCGATTGTGCCATTAGGTACAGGTAAGTAGAGCGAACCTAAAAATGTCCACCCGATTTCCTGTTGCCTAAGCATAACTCTTGCCAGGCAATGATTTGGCACGCGTTTTATGCTGGGGCTCCGGCTATACGGGTGGCGAGGATCCCCTGAATATGCTGCGCGATGTCATAGAGGCGGAGGAGATACGTTTGGATCGATGGACCGTTGTTTTCCATCCGGAGGACAAACCGGAAGAGCCGGCCATGAAGGCGCCCTCACAAACAACCGGTAAGAAGAAGAAGGCTCACCAAGCACATCTATCGCAACAAACAAATCAGCATCATCAATTACCGGCTCTGACATCGAGTGATATATCAGGTCATTTGATGTTTCAAAATTCTTTATTCTTTTATACGTTTTCACTGTCTAATCAATCTAACGTCCCACCCCACAAAGCCCCCGCCCCTCCGTCAAAAATCCCAAAGCCAACAACATTCCTGTATAGACAGAACAATAGCTGTTCTCTTCTCGTTGTAATTTGCTATGTGCTCTTAAATATTGCTGTATTATTATTATTGAAGCTACTTAGAATTATTTATAATTTTTCGCTTTTTTTTTGTTCAAGTATTTTTGCAACTGATTAAAGCAGCAGTTAAGATTCAATTGCAGAAATATCAATTATGTATTTTTTTTATTTTTTGCAGAAAATCAAGACCAAAATTATAAAAATTTAGTTGAATTCTTCCAGTCCCAAAACCAAAAATTGTAGCTTATTATAGAATTGGGAGCCCCAGCTAACCCTTTAATATGGTAAAAAGAGTAGCTGATGATAAATGCTGTTGGTTTTGATGTGTATACGATGTATTTATTTACCTGCATGCATCATAATCCATAGTTGTAGTTTGTGCTGGCTCCAAACTGCTGTTGGTCAGGTAATGTACACATAGATGTTCATGGTTCAGTCAAAGTCGAGTTGACGGCCCGAAGCGGGAATCGGTAAATCTGACCCATATATATCTATCTCGATGTTTTGTATAAATTCAATGTTTGATGTCATGTGTGTGTCGATGTGTGTGCTCTAAGAGTTCCTCTACCAGAATCTCGAGAGAATCGAAAACTAAAAGTGAATACTCTGATGCTCCGTTGACAGGTGGCGCCCAAAACGAGGACAACTCACAGATCTTTGTGATGAACAACTATTTTGGCATTGGCATCGATGCGGATCTCTGTCTGGACTTTCACAATGCACGTGAGGAGAATCCCAATCAGTTCAATTCACGGCTCCGCAACAAGGGCTACTATGTGAAGATGGGACTGCGTAAGATTGTCGGACGCAAGACGGTCAAGGATTTGCAGAAGGAAGTGCATCTGGAGGTCGATGGCAAGGTGGTCGATCTGCCACCCGTCGATGGCATCATTATATTAAACATTTTAAGGTAGCTACATCTATATTTGAAAATACCTCAAATCAACTATTGAAACTTACTACGTTACTTCTTTACTTTATAGCTGGGGCAGTGGCGCCAATCCCTGGGGTCCGGATAAAGATGATCAGTTCAGCACGCCCAATCACTATGATGGCATGTTGGAGGTGGTGGGCGTCACCGGTGTCGTCCATTTGGGCCAGATACAGTCTGGCATACGCACAGCCATGCGGATTGCACAGGTGGGTAACTCATACGCCCCGTACTCCAAACTTACATACTTAACTTAACGATTGCCCTCACCAACAGGGTGGCCACATCAAAATCCACTTAAAAACCGACATGCCAGTCCAGGTGGATGGCGAGCCGTGGATTCAAAGCCCCGGCGATGTGGTGGTGCTCAAGTCGGCGCTCAAGGTAAGTGTTATTCTTGAACCATCTAAACCATCTAACTCCATCTTGTACATAAGTTAGGACTGCATGCTGAAGATGTTCAGTTGTTATTGCATGACAGCTTTCCGTTCTTATTAACCAGATTTTTCTTTTGTATATACATATACATTCCATTTGGGCCCAATCATGACAATGCCAACAAAAATATAATAATAATAATATTAATAATAATAAATAAAACATGAGCACCGTGCACAGAAGTTTTTGTTTCCATGCGCTTTTCAAACCTTATTTGTTTATTTGGTTTCTCAACAACTTCTGCATACGCTACTTACTGATTGTACACCTGAGAGAAGTCAGAACTCACAGCTACTACTACTACTACTACAAACCACAATAAATATACAAAACGACTCCAATAAGAACAACAGCATTGTTATAAATTACGCTAAACACATCTGCCTCATGGACGCTTTAGTTAAAAATGTATTGATTATACGAAGTATATGCAAAGTTTTTAGTTTCGTTTGGTAATCTGCCTTGCAGCTTCGATACGAGTAATTTTCACTTGTCACCTAAATTTGAGCACTTAAAAATTGATTCAGATCGAAAAGAGGATGAAAGAATTGTTACACAAATTTATTTTCAACTGTTCACTTATCATAGCATTGATTTTCAAACGAATTTACATTTTTGGAAGAGCTTCTGCTTGTAGAGACGAATATCTGATTTCAATATATATAGATGAGTAGCAGGTACAGTATCTGGAGTAATCGGTGGGTGGGAAAGTATTTCACATTTGAAAAATATCTAGAATGTTTCACACTGCAGTGATTAGAAAATCATACAAATAAACATTGGTTAAAAAAAATCCTTTCGAAAACTCACGAGCGATAATTTTGTTTAGGGCGTTTGTCCGTTAGACATTCTAATTTATTAATAAATAAAAAATGGTGCAGAAAAATAGCTTTCAAAAAACTCTCGGGGGATAATTTAGTTTAGATCGATTTTCTATAAGTCATAAAATAAAAAAATAAATGTTGCTCTTACAGACCTTGAAAATTTCCTCCACAATCTTCGACGAACGTGCAATCCTTAACTTATCTGCCAAACTGATATGAAAACGTGTTTTTAGCACTTTTGTTCAACGTTACGAATAATTTACATCAATATTTCGATTCAGTGAAAATCCCCGTGATAATAATACACATAACTGTCACTAAATTGGGCTTTCCAGATATATAGAAAATAAAAGTGTTCCTAATACCCCTTTAACAAAATACTATACATATAATAAAACTGATTTAAGTTAACAGTAAAATAGAATAAAATTAATTACAAAGTTCCAGTAAAATCCCATTATTTTAAAAAATGTTGTAAATTTATTAAAAGGAAAATGCTTCGTTGCATCAAAATGTATGTAATAGTTGATGGATTATTGTGAAACTTAATTTCATCATTTTAAATAAGTAAATGAAAATGTGTGTTTTGTTTTTGTTGAAACTGTGCATGCAACCAACTGCGTCCCCCGTCCCCAAATGCAAATATTACGAACTAAACTGAAAATGTTGTGCTACATGTGTTTTGTATGATTTGTTTATCCAAGTTGTTGACAATTGTTGATGGCAAACACAATTAAAGTACAAGCCAACATTGTCACTGTTAGTGCGTATGGATGTTCAATATTTCCTATGTATGTTTATACAGCACATGCTGTCCCAAAATGACCAAAAAAAAAAAAAAATCTCCAGAATCCATGTACATACCTATGTATATATATAATACAGTAATATTTTGTACCATTTTTGTGTGTATTATATTATAAGTATGCTTGCAGAGGGTATTTGCAAACTACGTAACAAAAAGATTAGAAAATAAAATATATATAATTTATATATATAAATATATATCCGTTTGTCCGCTTAATATAAAAAGTCGTAAAGTTATTGGTTACAAATTGCCTGCAAGGATATAAACTTCGGCACATCGAAGATAGAATGATTTTTAAAAAGAGAAGAAGAAAAAATGGCAATTTTCAAGTGAGATGCGAGAGCAAAGCCGTTTTTAAAGTTAGACAAACAATTTTGTTTCTAAATATGTGTATGTTATGGATGTGTACGTACATTTGATGTATAAGCGACCTTGAGATATGATGTGGCTGTTGAACATTTGTGTTTTTTATGGTACATTCAGGCCACCATGCTGAAGAAAACGAAGAGTAAACGACGTCTAACGGAGCCGCATATCTCGCCGGCTATGCTGAGCCTGGCGGGCAGCTCCTCGGCCTTGCAAAACATACAACAGCAGCAACAGTCACAACAACAACAACAGCAACAACAGCAGCAGCAACAGGGATCATCTGAGATTGGTGACAAGGATATTTCAGTGCCGCCATCACAGCCTTTTGGCAGCACATAGAGCATGGCCTCAGATTTTGCGTCCGGTGTGCGATATTGGTTCTCCTGCTTTTTTCCATAGGCCGCAAAAAAACAAAAACGAAAAAAAAACATACATAGAAGCAGTAACGGGCAACATAACGAAAAATAAAAATACATACATAGCATATAAGAACAAACTGAAAATCCCAACAAAAAGAAAAAAGAAAAAGATATCTGAATTCGAAAAGCTTTCTATAAACAATATTGTGAATAATCTGGTGATAGACCAGAAAAACTTTGTTGGAAGATCCTTCAACTTTGTATGGAGTACTTAATCCGAACCACCTATATAAAAGCAACCACCCCCTTGCCCAAGAGCAACAAACAACATTGAGAACTGTGACCACCGCTTACAAAACTTGAACTAGTTGTAAAACGTTAACACACACACACACACACACACGCACACACATACACACACGCACACCCTTAAACTGTCTATGATTTGAGTATTTATATTAAATTTAATTTGCTTTTGCTCATTTTCAAATGCGCTTAGATTGTGCAAAATGAAACCTTTAACTACTCATATCCATCACACAGACAGCAACAAATGTAATTTATATTGTTTTTAGCAAATTATTACAACCTGAAATTTAGTTGATTAAAATTCAATGCATTTTGCTTGTTTAACAAAACTTATTCTTTCGATTTAAGGCCAATATTATACAATTAATAACTTTAACTTTACTTTTGCCATATACTAAAAGCCTTAATTCTAACTAAATACAATAAACCTAATTTCATTTATGTTAACTATCTTTTTTCTTACTCTCTCTCTCTCTTTCTCTTTTTCTCTCTAAATATTAACAAATATATAATAATATACATAATATATGAAAATAAATTAATATAAAAAAAACTATGTAAATAACTCTTGTGCCACACAACAATTACAAACAACAACAACAACATACAATTAAACTGCGCCTAAACAAATTCAAACTAAATAATGCACCGGACGTTTAAATTAATTATAAATGTCCAAATCGACTTAATATCAAAAAAAAAAAAAAAAAACTTTATTAATTAAACATCACACCTACCTAGGCCACCATGCTAAAAAAGAACAAACTTAAAATGAAACGTCGCAACACGGAGCCCACAATGATGGTCGCCGGCTCGGCAACTCCGCAGTTATCGCTGGCCTTGCCGCCCAGTGTTGGTGAGGTGGGCGATGCCGCCGAGGGGGATGCGGGCCCAAATAATACGGACTTCTGAATATGGTATAGCGAGCGTTTGATTTAACGTGCTAATTACAGCGTTGCCACATACATCAAAATAGCAGATCCATAGCCAAATTGCAAATTGCCACACAGAGAGATATAGATATACAGTGTCATAGTAAATTGTTATAGCCAGGCTTCAACTCAAATCAAAAACTTTAATCAAAACAACAAAACGAAAAACCAAAAAAAAAAAAAAAAGGAAAAGAAAAAAAGCAAATACCTCTTTTTATCATAATATTTATCTGTGTAACTATTCGTATGTATGTTTGTGTAGGGATGATGTCTATGTCATTCTCATTCTCATTGTCGCATTCTCATTCATGTCATGTCTTGAAAAGGTACGTTAAATTCAAACAGCTCGAAACTAACTGTAAATCTACAGAAACTGAACAGCAGCAACAATGAAACTATATATATATATTATATATAGTATTTCACAAACTACAAGAACAACAAGATGAACAACTATTAATACTATTTAATACTACAACTACTACTACTATACTATTAGTGCAACTGTGCGCAACTGTATCACTTTAAATTTACGCATAAACTAGTATTGTATGTATGTACATGTGTCTGTGCCTCGAAATTCGAAGGAATTATACGATAGTTTGGGCTTACATATGTATATACATATTGGCATATATATGTATATATACATTTATATATATGTACTTTCGATACTGATATCCAAAGTTTTATTCCATACTCAGCAATAGTCTGGCAAATGTTGTATAAAATTCAAGTTCAATTATGTTCCTTACCGTTTTGTTCCTATGTATGTAAAAACTGCAACAGATTAGTGATACCGTTAACAAAAGAGAGAGTTCTAATGCAAAATCCAAAACAAAACCAAAAAAAAACCAGCGCAAAGGCAAAACAACACAAAATAGTACAAAATTGAATTGTTAATAATTGTTTGTTGAAATCAAAATGAAGCAAAAACAAAAAACAAAAAACCAAAAAAAAAAAACAAAACGCGACAAGAAAAAAACCCTTAAAAAATCAGCAATTAGACAATTGCCGTGCTAATGTGTCCCCTCAACGCTAGAGGACGCGTCTGTGCGGCTATGCGCTACGGCGCAAAACAAACGACACGGTCGAGTATCGAAAAGTAAACCAAAAACATACAAAATAGTACAACAGATGCGGGAAAATTTGTATGAAGCTTTTGAAAAAAAATTAGCTGTAAATTGCATAGTTTGTCTAACAGAACTAATTGGGACGCAACAACTCGCACATTCAAAAATCGTTAGTCCAAAGCAGACCTAGCGATAAGAATTAGAACTACAAATTTGGGAGAAGTACGCGGTATGCCGAGCATACTCGTACCATGAATGAGAAGTAAATACCAAAAACAAAAAAGAAAAAACAAAAAACAAAAAAAAAGGAAAAGAAACCTAGAAAGAGTCAAATCAATTTGGATTGTGCAATTGGTATGAATTTTCTCCGCTGTTGTGCTTATATTATAAAATGTAAACCAATGCATTTTCTTATGGAAGAAAACAATGTGCCTGAACGCTGTTCCTGTCCGAATGTCTGCCTCTCTCAGTCCGTCAGTCGGTCAGTCAATCAGTCAGTTTGGGGCGCGTAAGTATTTCACATGCATTTGAACATTTTTGGATGTTGAATCCACTTACAGAGAACACAAGAAAGAAAAAAACACACACACACACACACAAAAACAAAATGAAAGATAGAAGGAAAGAAAAAACAAAGGAAAGAACCCGAAAAACTACAATTTCAACTTCAAAACGCTTATAAAGAAAACAATTTTTGAAAATTTTATAACTAATTTTACATTACGTCTTTTGTTAGACACAAGACAAAGCACACACAAACACACACACACAAATACGCACACACAACTTGTTGTAATGCCATCTATGACCGTTGCCAGGGATGGGATGAATGCGCATGGTCTGCGCTAGCGGATGTTCGCATGCGCAAGCGTTCCATCCCTAATACACACGCGAGGGCGGCTGTGGATGCGAATATCCGGTTCCTAAAGTACTTGGAACTAATCGCAGATCATTCGCAGTCGCCCTCGCAAACAACACTCACACAACAATAAACACATACAAACACAAACACACACGCACACAGCCCACGAATACAGAAACAGACAGTTTAACCCGCATTTTCCAACTACTGTTATGAAAACACGGAAATCGAATAACAGTGCCTAAATATTTCACAACAAAATTGAGACACGCACACACACACACATTATGTTCAGGACAACTTTAAAAGAGAGACCTGTAGAGCTTAACACATTTTACGTTCAGCAAATCACCTCGTCCAGCTGCGATTAAGGGGCTCAGTGCCAGGGGTTAATCAGAACACAGCCGATTTCCGTGACCCTCCCAGCGATCGCGCACGTTTAGCGCCCAACCAATCGGCTATGCAATGGATACCAATCAAAAAACAAACCAAAAAAACAAAATTAAAGACAAAGACGCGTCAAAAAAAAAAAAAAAACTTCGACAAGAAGAATCGGTTAGAGTAGGGAAGAGTCCTGTTTTAAATTTGTTATATTAAGTTTATTAAGCCAATTTTTGACACTCCCATCCCATATTGTATAGCCCTCTGGATTGCGTAACGTGCGTCGTGTTGCGCACCTATTCGAATTCGAAAAATGAACTCGAATCGATTAGCCACTGGCACATAAATTCCAGCTCGCAGGTGATTTGAGTTATTGCCTCATTTGAAACAAGAATACACCGACAAAAAAAAAAAAAAAAACAAAACATCGTTTTTTCCAACATTTTTGTTATGTTTTTTAAATGTATTAAAAAAAAAAATTACAAAAAATTAGTGTAAGTAAAAAACCAAAAACTTAATATATAATATGCTATTCAAAGAAATCCAAAACATACTACCAACCAAAATGAAAGAAAAACAACAAAAAAAAAAAAACACAAAAAACAACTAAAAATACTAATTATAGTACATACATTGATGTAGTGTTAATTATAAGAAAAAACCAAAAAAAAATATAAAACCGATAACATTTGAGAGCCAACTACACATTTGTTTCACAAACGCAAGAGAACAGAAGAAAGAAAATCCATACATAAATGTACAAGTAACTATTTTTCTCTAAACCAAAGTAAAATGCCACCATTTTTTGCTCCACATTAAATTAAACCTTATGCCGGAAGAGGATGATTGAATGAAAGAAATAAGTATGTTATGTATATTGAAATGCAAAAGTTTGTCAAAGCAAAATTCAATGAAATCCTTGTGGAAATTGTTAAACAGACTACGCATGCAAATACGGAATTTATAATGTACAATGGGAGTCGCTTTAAAGTCTTTAATGAACATTTTGTTGAAATGCAAATACAATTGCGAAAATCCAAACTCAAATCCGTTTGACAAAACAAAAAATTCTTGCAAAAAAAAAAAAAAAAAAACAGATATGAAACTGCAAAAATAAATGTAACTGACATAACAGAATTTAAATCTATGCGTTTTATTTTTCAAAAGACTGATTTTGGTAAGTATATAGAAAGTATTGGTTAGTGATTGCAATTTAAAAAACTTCTTTATTGACTACCATTGCGAAAACAAAGCAATTTATATTAAATTCATACTTTCAGTTTGCATTCTTATTTTTGGAAAATTGCTAAACACATATTTTATACCATTTTTTTTTTAAGTTTCTCGGTTGGATTGTCTCATAAAATAATTGAATAATTTAATTAAATTGAAGCCACACACTAACACTAGCCGATGAAATTGATGAACATGATTTAACTAATAAATAAGTTTTAAAAGACCACGTGCCCTTATGTTATTATAAAATTTATTGAATATTGGATTAAATATTTATATCACGTAAATTATAATACAAAACGCATATTACATAACAGTACATTCTTATAATTTTCACTAAATTATGGATTTGTTCTGCAGCGTCTACATCGCAGTTATGAGAAAGATAATTAAATGGCATAATATTATTTTATTATGCACAACATGAGAAAAACACAAAGCATAACGAATTGCTGACGCAACGAACTATTTATTCTGGTCGGAGTCAGAAGTAGCTCCCGATGCAAGCGGCGGCGTTGAGCGCCCATCGAATTGTTGCTGATTGACCAAGCGTTGACGTTCCAGATACATGGATACCTTAATGTTGCGCACCTGGTGGTTGTGAATAAGTTTTAGCAGCGCGATGACTCCAATTCCCACTGAAATGGCAAATGCTCCCCATGCGCCAAACTATAAGTAAATAACAACAACCATTTCGCTGGTTTTAGGAGCAGATCTATCTAAGCATAAATATCACTTACCTGTGTTGTGCCCATTTCAATGTAGAATCCCGATGTATTAATTTTCTCCTTATCACCCAGTATAATGTTCTGTCCAGCCGCAGTCTCACACGATGGAAAACGTTCCGATATTCCGTCGCACCAGACAATGAAACCCAATGTTATAAAAATTGCGGATAGAATTGACATTGCCAGCATCCAAATCCCAAGCACAACGTCAACAAAGAGCGCAATAAAAGACTCTTCATCCTTCATACGCACATACCTGGAATTAACCAATTGATTGTAAATATGCATTGCATACTTGCATACATACATCAGTTGTAGATACGCACCGATAGATTTGCACCAGAGAGATGGTGAAGAGAAAGACGCCAGTGATCAATGGAAACGTGCAAAATCCGTCAGACGCCCAGTGCACATCGAACATGCCGTCCGACACTCGCCATTTGCCTGTCGTGAAGAGTAAGCAGTGTCCGCTAGGGTTCATAAAGTTCATTATGTTGATTATTCATTTCCGTATCCCAATACTACGTAGTTGCATACATACCAAAACTGACTGAGATTAATGGATAGCGGCAGCACAATGCATAACGATAGTATGAGTAGCAAAACGTGGCCAGAGATTTGACTCAGCAAAAGTACATTTGCCAAAGCCATTTCTGTATATTGTATATCGAGCTTGCAAAAACTTTTACTTATGTGTTACTAATTATATGTATGTTAATATGTACAATTACAAGTACAGGGTTGTCAATACGCAGTTCCTCAGTTTACCTGATTTACTAACGCAGAAATACCAAAAATAAAAATACCATCAATGAGTAGTTTTAATCTTATTTTTAGCATATTTTTATTAAATTAACTTTATTAATGAATGGCTCAAAAATACCTTAAGCGACTTAACAAAGTTTTGTTGCAAGACATTCAAGTATCTGATATTATACCAAAAGAATTCTACAAATATTTTAAATAAGCTAACAAACATATTAACATTAACTACAAGACTCTAAAAACGGCGGTTTACAAATCTTACCCAATATTTTTTTAGCCAATAAATATGTTTTTTAATCAGCTTACATTTAATTGAAATATTAAATTTAAATATTTATATTTATAGGTTCTTTTTATGATATTTGTATGTAGGCATTCAGCATTTTGACAACTCTGATTGGTTGGTATTTTTATTCTCGCTCATTTTTGGGTCATGTTCGGGAATTGGGCAACACTGCTCAAGAAATCGTAAAAAAAATTGTTAAATTTGTTTACATTAAATCGGATCTCTCTGAAAGGTATGTTAAGTTACAATTTCTAAATTGGTATTTGCGACAGACGCTAACTGCAACACAAGCCAGCTACGTGTCTTGTGTAACTAACTGTTGGCTTCAAAATTGATAGTGTGGCAAATGAAAATAATGTGGGAACAAAGAGCAATTAAATAGATAGTGAAAATGAAATTGGAAAACAAGAATTGCATTACTTTCTCTTCTCTCCTCCTACCTTTCCAACAGATAACGCAATGAGATTGCAATAAGCAATTGATCGACTGCAGGTGATGATCGCATTCTTACATTTAACATTCTAATGAACAACAAATTTCACACTCTCAGCTAACCAAAAAAAAAAAAAAAAGACGGAAAACGAAAAAGAAAAAGGAGAGAAAGACGGCGCCCACACACGACAACGTCGCCTTAATTGAAAACGGGGGGTGAAGCCCAAAGCAGCTGCAATTCGATGTTTTGTTTATGAACTGAACTATGGCTATGTAGCATTCGAAACGGCAGCCGAGCAGTGAGAGCGAATGAGAGAGAGAGCGAAAGAGCCAATGTCCGGAAGCAAACAACAGCAACAATAGCAGCAGCAGCAGCAACAGTGACGACGACGACGACAAAGGTGCTTACCTAGCTGTTAAATGCGAGCATTATTTTGTGGCAGAAATAAGAATGAGCTGCGTCCGCGTGTGAGTTGTTTGAGTGCAATCAGTTAACGGGCAGATCAACGAACGACACTGGGCCAACGGACACCGGCAAGTGACTCTACTGCGACAAGGTAAGAAGACGTGCTCCCTTCAATACATTATTGTTATGCCGAGTCCATTGCCATAAATATATATATTATATGTATACATATTGCAGTACACATACGCAGCATTCGCTGGACGAGATATGCTTGGCTTGGCTGGCGTTTGATTTACATGCTAGACAAAAGAAAAAAGAAAAAAAAACAAAAAACCCAAAATAGGAAAAGATATTTAGAACTTGGATTCTTATGTTAATTGAACCTAGATCATCAACGTGCACTGCCATTAATTAAATAATTATAGATATTTACATATATAAATATCATAATTGGTAGATTTAAACTTAACAACAAACGTAGTAGAAGCAGCAGCAGCAACAATAGCTAAAATGTCCAACTCCCACTACAACAACCACCAGCAACACCATAATAACTACCAGCAGCAGCAGCAGCAACAGTCGCAGCAGCATTCCAGCAGCAATGGCGACGGTAGACATGAGGAATACCATCAGCAGCAGCCGGTGCATTACTCCCAGCACTATGTGAACGGACATGGCGTGAGGATAAAGCCCCTGGACAATATCGCCGTGCCGGACATGTGCCTGTTCTGCTTCGAGGTGCTCGATTGCGAGCTGAACAATATTGATGGTCCTGGTGTGCCGATGTTTAGCAACGATGCCTATCCATTGTTTGTCACCTGGAAGATTGGACGCGACAAGCGATTGCGTGGCTGTATTGGCACCTTCAGCGCCATGGAGCTGCACAATGGACTGCGTGAATATGCGCTGACCAGCGCCTTCAAGGATTCACGCTTCTCACCGATCTCTCGTGACGAACTGCCCCGATTGACCGTCTCCGTATCGATATTGCAAAACTTTGAGGAGGCGCAGGGTCATCTTGATTGGCAGTTGGGCGTCCACGGCATTCGGATCGAGTTCTTGACCGAGCGCGGCCTGAAACGCACAGCCACCTATTTGCCGCAGGTGGCCACCGAACAGGGCTGGGATCAGTTGCAGACCATCGATTCGCTGTTGCGCAAGGGCGGCTATCGATCCGTAATCACTCAGGATCTGCGCAAGTCCATCAAGTTGACGCGCTATCGCTCGCAGGAGATCCAGATGCACTACAAGGAGTATCGCGAGCATTTGGAGCGTCGCGGCGATCAATTTGGCAAAGTGCAATGCTAACAATTAGACAAGCAGGCGTCTGGTCAATGATCCTGGCTAAGGGCAGGCGTGGTCTTCGTCTTGCTCCTGCTATTGCTGGCCATTCAGTTGACCCAGGGCATGGGATTTTTAACCAGCGGCTTTCCCTACTCCTGAGCCACGTTATATTCAAGTTTCAGTTTGCCCTGATGCGTGCCACATATTGACTTTTTCATAATTTTTTTCTAATATATTTTACAAATATATTTTGCCTTGATCTGAAATGACGTGTCGTCACCGAGAGTGACGCGAATTTTAACTTACTTTTTACAATTACAACAAATGCTTAATCGACTTACTGAGCTTCAAATCAATAAGCTATTTTAAGCGACAAAATAGATCATTAAAAAACAATTTAAAGATTATAATTACTTTAGTTCGTTAATTGTGTAACCCTTGACGGTTTTTTTCCTTTCGTTTTTTTACTACAAATTGAATAATAATGACAAAGAAAACTACATGCAACAAAAAAATTATATACATCTACATACATATGCATATGTGTATATTATAAATAATAATATAGACACAAATAATAATTCAATTAAATAGTTCAACAATTATATATTTCATAGTTTTAACAATTACAACAAATTACTATTACTAATTCTATGCGCAATAAATAAAATGTCGGCTTTTTTCTGCAGAGCCGCAGAAAATAATGCGAATTACTGAATTATGTATTCTCTTTGAGAATTATCATGTTTCTGGGTGACGGCAAAGTAAAAATGATTCCATTTTTATTTGTTAAATGTAATTTTCTTTTATTGTTTTTTTGTTTTTAATAGATGTGCGTTATTATATATTTTTACGATTTACTTCTAAAGCAAATTAAATTTTTATGAGCAAATTAATTTGCCGTACACAGGTTTATATGCCTATACCTAGGTGCCTCTGGGATTCTCTTTTAAGATATAGCTAATTAAAACTGAGCTACGCTAAGCATTATCAAGCCAACGGGCCAAGCTAAAGTAAATTAAGGTTTAAGCAGCGAACAGTTGCTAATAATATATATATATATATATATATATATATGGCTAGAAGTGCGTGGCTAATTGTTTAGTACGTATTTTATGTTGGCGTATACATTTGCAGCATCATCGTATATAAAACGTATGAAAATTTCAGCAGTCATTAGTATTATGTTGCATATTTGTGTGATGAATATATAAAAAAAATAACATCAAATGAAAACAATGTTGCAAGCGCAATAAACTTAACAAACTGAAGAATGTTCTCTTTTGCTTTTGTAGATGTGTGTGTTTCTTATGTGTTTGGTCATGTGTAATTGCAATAATTGTCTTAAATATCATCAGTCTCAGTGCGTGCAGAGAAACTGCTCCAAGCACGGGCACTAGGTGGCCGACAGCGCATTCCACTCGAAGCGTGGGTTTTTCGAGTGCGTTACCGGCAGACAGTCGGGTTCGACCAGCTTCCAGACGCCATCGATCTGTTCCACCGTGGCTAGACTGCAGTAGGGTATCTTGTGGATAACCTGCCGCAACTCGTTGGTGCTGCGTGCAGCGCCGCCAGTCAATTGACGCGAACAAGTGTCCAGCGTGGTGGCATGTGCCACAACCAGAATATTGCCAGCTGTGCAAGAGACAATTTGTTAGTTTACAAAATAAGTTCAACTAGTTGTTCCGTTCGATTACTCACTGGTGCGCTCAAGCATCTGCAAGAGGACCTCATGGTTGCGCATGTAAAACTGCTCTGTGGATTCCTTCAGCTTGCCTGTCAACTCAGTGGCCGGCTGCACTGGCTCATAGCTCAAATCAATATCGTACTTGGAGTCAATCAACTCGCTGTTGCTCAACCAATCGGGCACACCGTTGGGATACCAAGCCATCCATTCGAATAGGCCCGGCTCCAGTCTTATTTTGTGTTTACCACTCATTTTCAAGCCCTCCAATGCACTAGTACAGGTCTGCACGCATCGGTAGGATGGCGAGCAGTAAACGTGATCGATTTGAATGTTCGCTTCCAGCAGAGCCTCGCCAGTTAAGCGCGCCTGGTAGAGACCCACGTTTGTCAGCGGCGAATCGTTCTGCCAGCCCTCTGGGCTGTTTTTGCGATGTGGCAGTACCTTGGGCATATTTAGATCCTTGCGCATATAGTTGCCGAATTCGTCGAAACAATAGGGTATCCAAGTTCCAAAGGTAAAGTCGACACGCTCGCCGTGTCGCATAATGTACACCTTCCGATTCCTGCTTTGCATCGCATCCAGCGAGTTCGGCGCAATTGAGTGATCGTGATCCGAGTGAACGCTGAGCGTGTCATCTGGTCGTGGCGGCTGCACCAACGGTGGCTCCACCATGATCTCGTCAACGTTCTTCGATACTGAGTTGGTTGTCGAACAGGAAGACATATTGGCAGTGATCTCAATTGTGGGCGTGTGTGGATTATGCTGATGTGATAAATTATGGCTATTGAGCACTTGCACCGATGGCAACTCCAGGCAAGGCTGTAGTGTCTGGCGCAAGTACTTTTCGACACTCTGTTCGGACTCCTCAAACGAAGAGCCTTCTATGATATCGGGATGTTGTGTACCTAGACAATATTTAAAGCAATAACATTAGTAGCGACCAGATGAGCTCTCTTTAATCTTACTCTGTAGCAGCTCACGCTGACGCTCCTCGGGCTCCGTGGATATGCTGCGTCCGTCCACAATGTCCAGATCCTCGGCAGAGTTCAGCGAGGATGATACACTCTTCGAGAGCTGGACGACACGATGCAGAGTCCAGGCATCCGATTCGGCGGTGCGCTCCGTATAATTCACTGGCAGGTGGCCGGTGCTGCCAGTTAGCCACGAAATGCCCTCGGCCCAACCGTCGCTGGAGTTATCAACGCCCTCGCTATTCAAGTAGATGTAGTCGCCAATGCGCAACTCCAATTCGTCCGTTTCATGTGGATTATGCGGATACACGACTTTTTGTACCTAGAAAACAATGGGAATCGTTAAATTTCTATTGATCCAATGGGTGCAAGGAGTGCGTCAACGTGGTGCTAACTTGTTTGGTGGCGAGTCGTGGATCGCGGGAATACAAACGCAGCTCCCAATTGGATGCGCAGCTGGCATCGAGAGTTTCCACAAGTGATTTCAGTGCATTGAATTGTGTCTGCGGGAACTGATAGGCGAGCGTCAGGTGCAGGCTCTTTACGTGTGGCTCGAGTGATATAGCTATGGGCAATAGACTCTCTATTAGACCAATATCAAAGGTACAATTGATAAACACGCCTCTCTACTTCTTATCAGCTAATGAGCGACGAGTACGTGCGATTAGATCAATGTAATAAAGTCAAACAAAGAAATAACTATAAGAACTACGCATGCTATTGCCAAATTAACACTACACGTTAAATTGGGTTAATAATTATATTTAAAATGTGAGAGAGGTTTACTACTATAGACTAAAACTATAACTAATGACGCTTACATCGACTGCTGCGGGGAATGCAGCGGGTACCAGAGGATACGGCTCCACACCAGGGGAAGCAGGCCACAATGGCGTCCAGTTGCTCGTAAGTATCGCTTATAACTGTGCTCCGTAACCATTACCATTGTCGTCCGTTCGCAGTTCGCGATTAGTGTGCGTGTGTGTGTGTGTGTTTTGTGTATAGGTGTGTATGTAGGCAGAGAGATAGGAAGAGAACGGAAACCGTAAGCCAGGCCAAAAATGTACTGAATCGAACCGAAACGACAGTAAACAGATAACCAGATAAATCAAATAAAAAACAACCAATGTAAACAAAAAGAAAAAAAGAAGGCAAATACAACTGTAACCAATTTTCAATTGCAATCGCTGGCACGAGTATACTTGAATTTGACACCTCCTTGACATATTGCAGGGCCAGACGCTTCAAATAATTTGCATCATCATCGGCGACAAAGAAACCCATAAAGTTTTGGCTCATGTATGGCTCCAATTTGATGGGGCGGTCCAAGAGTGCACCAGTCATATCCACCACTTGCTTCAGTGCCTTGGAAAGCTGCAGGGAGCACTCGTCGGGTGCCTGATTATATGTAAATATGAATATAAATTGTATTCACTTCTAATTGGTATCAAGTTGAACCTTAAAGAACGACACTAGCGTTATGTGTGGCACATAGTTGTGGGCTCCGTTCCAGCCGCACGTCTGGCGCTATTTCGACCAAAACTCCTCGAGTTGCTGTAAAAACGGTCCCGTCGGACACGCGTATATAATGTACTCCCTGGGCGAGCACTCGTCCAAAGTGGCATCGTTCACGTGCGCCAATAGCCAATCGGAGGCAATTTGCACGCCTCGATTGCCGGTGGAAGCCAGCGCATTTTCTCTATTGGTATGTTTTTGGGGGTGCGTGCGATAGAAAAAGAAAATAATCAATACTTGACGCTGTGCTGGCATGTGTCTTGTATTTCTTATTGCATTGTATGGCTACTCTTTAAATGGTGCTAGCTAGCCAGCTACATATTTGGGGAGCATTGTAGCGCTGATACGTACGCTCGATGCTTTTGGAAGCCCATTTGGAGCAGCGTTTGGAGCGGGGTCAAATGCGGTTTCATGTTTTGGCAGATTCGAGTTGGTGTCTGGTTCTTGCGCGGCGGTAGCGTTGCCATTGTTAACTTAATTTATGGCTGCCCTTACGTATACAATTGGCACACAAACCCTTTTTTACGTAGTATTTATAATTTTGAGTCTTATTTACTGTCCAGCTTATAATTGTTATAAATATTTTGTTTTTCGTTTTGCCAGTGTGACCAACAGCAAATCTAATTTCATTATGTGTTAAGTAAAGCTGAAATCAATACCGATGTTTATATCGATGATAACATCGATACACCTTCCCGATATATCGCAACGACCGTAATCTAAAAAAGGGTTTCTGTTATTATTTTTGTTTTCCTTTTATTACTGAATATTTCTGAAATTAGATTTGCATATTCATCTAATTTAAGAAAATTTTAAAATTAAAAACTTACAAATAGGTGTTTGCTCATTTAATTTACAAATATATAAACAACAAAAAATAAATGCCACATTAAAAAAGAATTTACTGAAATCATTGAAAGGGCTTTTAAAAATTTGTATACTAAAAAATTTGGAGAATTTGCGGAAAGGTTTTTTTTTTTTCTTAACAGGCAATCAAACGAACCATATGACTATAAACAATTTTTCCAACAACTAGTAGACCCAACCTAGACCTAGACCTAGACTAGTATACATACATATTTATTATATATGTATATGTGCAACTATTCAATACTTTTGTTTTAGTCATAATGATAATGAGTTTTAATTTTCCAAATCTGTAAACTTGAACTTGAGTGGAATTCTAGGCTTTTTGAGAAGCACCGTGCGAAAGGCATTCTCAGTGGAATGGTTAAACTCGACTTTAAAGTTACGAATGATTCGAGCAATGCCGAGTTCGAGTTCCATTTCCACAATGCGTTTACCAACGCACATGCGGGGTCCAAAGCCAAAGGGCAAAAACACAAAGGGATTTGTGGTCTTTAAAGGATTCGCCGGGCATTTGGCATCAGAGCCCGCGTCATTTCGAATCCAGCGTTCTGGCAGATATTCCGAGGCTCGTGGAAAGTATTGCTCACTAGCCAGCGAGTTGAGGGGAATCATGGAGATAAACGTGCCCGCTGGCACCCTGTAGCCACTAAGAACACAGTCCCGACTGATTTTCCGTCCATGGCCCACAACAAGGGGTTGCAATCGTTGCGATTCCTTGAGGCAGGCCCGCAAATAAGGCACATTCTTCATGGACGCCTCTGTGAACTCAGAGTCCTTATTGGGCAGCACACGCATCACCTCCTCGCGCAGCTTCTCTTGCTTATCCGGATTAGTCGCTAGAGACAACATTAATGAGGAAAAGGTACTTGCAGTCTTCAAAAAGTTAGAAAATATTTAAATTAAAATCATTCAATTGATAATTATTATAATAGATTGTGTTTACCGTATCGACGCCAGCCATGAGCATATCCATAGCCATGACAACGGCCACTTTTTGGTCAATCCTCAACAGCTTCTCGAGCACACTCCGTTCGTTCTCGGGACGCACAGTGCCCTGTTTTTGCTCCTTGTCCAAACGCTCCAGAGCCTCATCCACGTACGCCAAGGTCACTTTCTGGATGTTGTCGAAAGCATTCATCAGCTTCTTCAGCATTGGGGTTTGAATGTAGCGCCAAGGTGATGCCTGCATCTCCAAAACGGCGGCGTACTCAAAGAACTCGTCCAAACTCTTAAAGAGTAGCTTTGCGTTTTCATCCAACCGTCTTTCCTTGAGGAGACCCAGCTGCTTGTCCAATGCAACCACAGAGATCGATTCCAAAGTCCATCTCTGGATGTAGTCAATAAAATTGTCGGGCATCTCCAGCGAGTTGGGATCCCTAATGGCTTTGATGCTGGGCAAACAAACGTGATCATTTAAAGATGTTTAACAATAGAATGTAGAATGTGCTTACCGTTCCACAAATTCGCAGTTCACTTGGGACATTTTCTTATAGTACAGCCGGACATTCTTCGGCTGCATCAGCACGGGATTTACAATACTGCGAAAGTCGCCCCAGGCCTTGCCTTGACTAGGAATCAGACCCTCGACGCCCTGAAAGAAATCCCTACGATGCTTCTCTCGATGGAATTTCATAGTATCGTTGCCCGGTCGATTCGGCCAAATGCCTTCATTGCGAAAGACAACCTCAAAATCCTTTGGATTATAGGTGCCCACAATGGGTTCGCTTCCAAAAATGCCGGAAAGCAGATGAATGTCACCATAATCCTTGCGCATTGCCAACACAAGCCCTTCCAAGTCCAGATTTTTGTACTTTCCGCCGGGAATTAACATTTTAAACGTCAGTGCTAACGGATTGACAGTGGGCATGTCCTCTAAAGGACGCGCCTGTTGCCATTCGACATCGTCTCTAGCTGCAGTTGGCTTCTGACCTGCGATGGCAGTACTCTGATAAAGCTGAATAACAATTGCTGATAAGTATTTATATTTATCAATTGTGTATATCTAACACTCACCTGTTGCACAATCGGGCATGCATATTGCAGAGATTGTGGCGTCTGAATTATGGCCAAGCAATTGCGTATTTTTAACATTTTGAACAAGTCTTCACGAGCTGAATTACAATGTTCCACTAACTACATTTAAGCAATTGTCAACAAGCGACCATTGTTCAAAAGCTTTTTTAACCATTTCGAAAAGCTTTCTGAGAGAATTTAATACACAGAAAATAATAAACTATATAAACGAAAGCAAACAAAGCAAAAAGGCAATTGAAAATTCACTCATTTGAAATTTAATGCGTTTTGCTTTATTATGATGTTTTTTTAAATCATAATTTCACTGACTTATGTTTAGCATTCCTCATTATCTGATTATATTAACAAGAAGACATCTGTAGAATTTTGAGCATTGTTTTAAAGAAAATTTTCTTCTTACATTATAATTGTAATTTCACTGACCTGATATTACTTTAGTATTTAGCATTATATATATTATATATCCCATTTGTAATGTCAAGATAATTATTTTGGAGAATGATCTAATAATTTTGAAGCGGTGTAACGATGTTTAGTGAAATACTTAAATTAAATGTTACAGTCTTATCTCAACAATCGACTGATATAACTCTATCTGTAACCACATTGTAAATTCTTTATAGCTTTGATTAATATATTACATCCACTAAACTTGGCAAATTGTGTTTGCATTAGTTCAATAATTTCTACACATTAGTTCAATAATGTTACACACAACAAAATTGCTTTTCTATCTGTTGAGCTTTTTTAAATCTCAGTGGGTAATCAACTTTCTCATTTATGTTAAAGTATAAATAGCTCAAGGTCAAGCTCGGAAATATAAATAAATAAGAATTGCTTGCCTAAATTGATTAGCATATTTAAAATATTGTGTTCTGCTCACCAGATGCTATAAGGGCAGTAAATAAAATGACATGTAGATCAAGCTTAAAAAGTTGCACATACAAATATTTATCTAGATTTGAAGATAGATACGAAAAAGTGCATCATTTTATTATAACTTTTAATAAACAACGTGTTTATATTTATATATATATATATATATATATATATATATTATATAGAACACGTTGTTTATTAAAAGTTATATCTATAAGTAAATTTAAGTAAAAATGCAAACATCACGTTAAGCTGTAAGACTATTTCAGAGAGTCCAGACAGAATCGACTGGATCTTGCTACTATATTATGTAGCTGTCATTGTAATGAGATTTGAATTATTGTATGAAATCCTTTTCAAGTGTGTAACCTCATGTTCTGATCTAAATGGCCAGAAAGCTGCGCCTGGAATCAATGTCGCAGGAGTTGCGATAGAAACCATTTTTGCGATTGCTCATTTGTCGGAAGCGTCGCATTGCTTCGTGTATTTCCTGGACACTAATGGGCTTGACCACCTCCATGCCTCGACCCTGGGTCACCTCGGGACACACATGCATCATGGCGGGGCTCCCACCGGCTGAGGTGACTCGGCTGTATGGCTCTGTGACACGGTTCTCTGAATTCAGTCGCGTCAGTATCGAGTAGTCGACAATCGCCGCAATCGTCTCGTGCGCCAGATATGCCAAAATGTTCATCGTCGGCGTCGGTATACGCAAATCAGCGGGCAGATCCAAGAAGCGTCTAAACTTGTTCTTTATCTTCTCCCCATGGCGGCAGTAGAACGAGGTCTTCCGAGCCTCGTTGAACTCCAGATACTGTTGACCGGTGAGGATTTGTGAAATGCGATCGGCGCGAAACAGGCGACGCATGCGATCCTCGTCGTGCAGCTCATGCACATCGATGGCCAGCTCCTCGTCCTCCTCCGGCTTCTCCAAATCGTCCATAAAGTCCTGCGGCCGGCCAGTGCGTATGCTGAGGAATCGTTTTAATATACGCATATCCTTGAGATGCTTCCGCATGCGTGCTATCTTTACGGGATGATTTCGCATCAAGAATTCAAAGTCAGCCTGCGAGGGGCAGGGATTCTGTTTGCGTCGCATAGCCACCAGAGAGGCTTCATTGAAAATGCCGCGTAGCTGCTGTTGCAGTATCTGCTCCACCAGCTTCACGCTCCCGGTGCGCGGCTGGTCGCTGTCTCCAAAACTTCGCATTATGTCTGCAATCTCTGTGAGCAATGAGACGGGTGCATCGTCCGCAATCTGAATCGTGGCAATATTTGCATTTTGGTTTGACGCCGCAGTTGCCTGTGCCTGCAGTGGCTGGTGCTGCGGCTGCGGCACATTGCCACCCTGCACCAGTATCACCTGACGATGGACGTGCACCGGCTTGTTGTCATCCAGATTCTGCAGCTGCGGCGTGCTGGGAGCCGAAGCTGTCGCTGCCATAATCGGCGAGGCGACACCAACGACATCACTGGCTGCTACGGATACTGAGTTTTGGCGCATTACACGCTTTGCTTGATAGTTCATTTTTGATAGTTTTGTTCTTTTGCTATTGAGGTTTGTGTGTAAACAATTTAATAAGATAACAATATGAAGCTAGTATAAGACTGATAATAATGAACCAGCAGTAATGAACCACATGAAACTAAACTGAGATGACACCACAGAGAAATGAATCCGTCAATGAATAAAGAACTAGATAAATATTGATAGATTGATTTGTTTACAAATTGTTTATCAATTAAATGTTAAATTATTCGAAAATACATGTATTTAAATTTAACTTTGTTTTTGCTTTTAGAAAAGACAATTACAATCGAATACCTGTTGTGAAATGATTACACATATTATTTGGAGAATAATAATAATATTTTTGGAAATGTCAGAAAGAATTGGGAAACGCTCTGAGCTATACAAATTGCTGAAAGTTGTGATTGTGAGTTATTTACATTTACAATAATTGTTGAACTGGTAGAAAGTGTTACTCTGTTCATTAAAATAAGGAACTAGTGAACTGTCTTATACTGAACTAGAATGCCCAACACAGTGTAAATTGTAATCAGTAATCGCCTATCGAAACATTTGACTATCGTTCGTAATAAATCAATTTGCAATAATCGATACGCTCGCACCACCATTTTTGTTTGGACAATGGAGAATAATCACTAAAAATAATATATAGAACTAGTAGTAATACAATTTAAAAAAAAATCGCCGCAAAAATGTTCAACGGCATGGTAAAGACCATACGTGAAAGCATTGTTGGCACCTATCCATCCTGTCATGTGAATTCACGTCTGGAGGAGCGTCGTGCCAAGCAGAGGGCAATGCGCCAGGAACGAAGGCGAAAGCCGGACAAACCAGACGATTTTGTTACCTATGAGGACTCTGGCAGCGACGAGGAGTCGCCCCAACAACAGGACGAGGTGCTCAACACATCCTACAATTTGTGCGACTATCTACGGAGCAGAGAAAATTCGTTACGCGACGTAAGTAGAAAGTGCGAAGATAGATGCGTAAATTATTCCACTGAACTTTGATTAACTTTCGAACTTTGCAGCGCCGCAACGTAAATGTGGAATATACAAGTCGTTATGTGCTCACCCACGATATGTTGCGTGAGACACAAATCAGTTTGGGTTACATCAACAAGGTATTCTGCTCGAAATGGCTGAGCAACCGACAAGTGGTGTTTGGCACCAAGTGCAATAAGCTGCTCGTCTACGATGTGAATATGCGTCGTGTGGACGCGATACCCACCCTATCCAACAGTCGTGCCAATCATCCAGAGATCCAAGGTGGCCTCCATGCAATCGAATTGTCTCCAAGCCGCTCATTTCTAGCCACGGGTGCACGTAACTCATCCGACATTGCCGTCTATCGGCTGCCCACACTTGATCCGGTTTGTGTGGGCGAGAACGGACATCGCGATCTGATAATGGGCATGTGCTGGCTGGACGATCAGTTTCTTGTCTCCGGCTCCAAGGACTCGCGCATGGCCCTGTGGCGCATCAACGAAGATCACATGGACTTCCCGGACGGCGGCGAGGAATCGTGCCCCACATTTGCAACCATTCATCCGCTTAGCGTTAAGGAAGTGCGCACCGCCCAGCGAGTAAGCATTTGTCCATATAATTGTAGTGCACACTCTATTTAATATTGTGATCTTGCAGATACGTTCACTGTGCTTCAACAAGGAGTTCAAGGAGATCGCCGCTCTCTCCCTAAACGGATACATACACATTTTCAACGCAGAGACATTCAAGCAGACGCTGTCACGCAAGCTGCCCAACTGTCAGGACAATGTGAGCATTGCGTACCATAGCGATGGCCTCTATGCCGTCGGCTGTCGCTCGTACACGATTCTCCTGGATGCGCGCACGCTGCAAACGATCAAGAAGATCACATCGCGTTACAGTGGCTGCGGCATTCGCGCCACATCGTTTGAGGGCAATCTGTTGACAGTGGGCACCGGACTGGGCATGTTGCTTTTCTACGATATACGGGCTGGCAAGTATTTGGAAAGTAGCGTGAATGCATCGCGAACCGTGGCTCTCAAATGTAGCAAAGGCATTGTGGTATGTACTGGAAGCCAACGAGCTGAACTTTAATTTGAATTGCACTTTCTTCTTTGTGCAGTATCCGGAGGATGAAATGGATGGCTTCCAGCAGGTGAAATATGTTCCTGCGATTTACACGCACTGCTACGACAGCACAAGAATGCGTCTGTTTGCGGCGGGCGGGCCGCTGCCTGCCACCTTGGTTGGCAACTATGCGGGGGTTTGGCAATAGCTCCACCGTCAAACGACTAGTTCGAATGTTTAGGCAATAGTTTATTATTTGTTTTTATACCTGTCGCCGTCTTGGCTGCGATGTGCGAAATGTGATTTTTGATTTCTCTGCTGATTTTGACTAATTTCCTTTAGTTTTGTATGTAAACTAAAAACATACTTTCACATATATATATATATATATATATATATATTAATTGTATAATTTTTGTGTTTGTCTTATATAATGATAATGTATGCATAAACTTCGCATAGGTTTAGCCAATTACAGCTCGTATTTATACAGTCTATATAAATTATACACAATTGATTTTTTAAGTTTATACATACACACTCGAAACAAGCAAGCATTGATTTTATAGTCTGATCTGTATTGTAATAGAATTTGAAATTAAACTATCTACAAATGCAATTTGCATAACAAAATGAGAATGTTTAATATTATTTATCGGTCACACGGGAACGCAGATATATATTATTAGTATTCTTATTGATTGATTGACTATAGAGTGCTGTATAGGGCGCTCTACGCAATGTATATATATATATTTAAAGGACAACACTACACATCAGGACTATTTTTTAAAAAGGACATAAATACAATTTTTGGGACAATAACCATATACAAGATTTACATAACGATGTAACTGGCCAATAAGGGCTGATCCATCCTCCAAACACACATAGTAAGTATAATACCAATTAAGACAAATGGCCGGAAAAACACCTAGTTTGTGTTGTTATTGTTGTTTGACGTGTTCCCAACACCGCTCCACGCGCTGAGGAAACCAGTCCAACTGCGATTGCTGCCATCAGTGGAAACTAGAAGAAAGTAACCAATGATGTATAAACCAAGTAAATAAATGTTTAACACTCGATATTTACCCTTCTGTCCCTTGGCCACACAATTGAGCATTTCCACTTCGTTGCGACTCAGACGTAGAATTGTATTTAGTACCGGAACTAGACGTTGCCGCTCATCCGAATTGGATAATGTTATGAACTGTAATCGAACACAACATATAAATATAAGATATATATAAATATAATAATAGTTTACCTTTAAGAATACGTTTTTCAGATATTCGGAGTTGTGCATGTGCTGTTCCCGTTCCTCGGACCGTTCCTGGCGACGCAGTTCCTCTTTGAGCATGTCGTTCATTTGCGTTAGCTTGGCCAAATCCTGTTCGTTCTCAGCGAGCAGGGCGGTTAGATGACGGACACGACTCTCCTGTATGTTCAAACGCTCCTTGGTTGCCAGGAGCGTTGCCTGAGCATCGCCACGAGCTTGATCCAGTTCAAAGTCATCATCCTGCATGCTGACACTGCGTCCGAAATGGGATATTGTTGTCACCGTATCGCTACTGATGGCATTAAGCGATGTATTCAGCAGCTCATCCAGCGGCATAAAATCATGCGAGCGACGCGATGCCGTCGAGATCTTACGCTGAGCTGCTAGCTGGGCTAGCGTCTCCCCGCTGCCATCGTGCTCCAAGAGGTAATCGATCTTGCTCTGCTCCGGGCTGCTGGTAGAAGCGATGCCAGCTGTTGCCGGAATGGGCACGACTTGGGCTTGAACCGGCTGCTTGGCACTGGCCACCTGCTCGAGCTGTTCGATCTGTTGCTCCAGCTGCGACACACGTAACCGATGTCCCTCATCCATTTGCTCGATTTGCTGGCGATGCTTTTGCAGTTGCTCTTGCTGCAGCTGCAGCTGCCGTTGTTTTTCCTCAGTTAGCGATTCGTTCTCGTCGCGCAAATCATCGAGCATCGCCAGCACATCCTGATTGTAACGCAGCTTATTTTGATTCATCTTGCGCATATCTTCGATTTGTGCTTCTAGTTTGACGATGCGCACTGCACTCTCCTCATTGCTGGCGCGCAATTGTTTCTCAGTGGCACGCACCATGGCCAATTCCGACTCAAGATCGCGTTCCTTGTCCGTGTCGCGATTTTGATGCTTGCGCAGCACAGCCTGTGCCTTCAGCTTGTAGTCCGAGTACTCCGCTTGCAGCTGCTCACTGGTGCGCTCGGCATTTCGCAAGGCCGTCTCCAGTTGGGTTAGCGCTGACTGTCGCACATCCAGCTCTTGGGTGCTCTTTGTGAGCAGCTCCTGGGATTGCTGCAGTTTCGTCTCGTATTGTTGTGTGTTGTCTGCCAGCTGCAAATGCATTTCCGCCGCTTCCAGCTTTAGGCGCTCAATACGCTGTTCCAGTTCCTTCCGGCCAGTGAGTGCCTCCTGTTTGCCATGCACGGCGTCCTTGAGCTGTGTCTGCATGCGATCAATTTGCTGCTTCAGTTGCTTGCTATGCGCTGCCTCGCCGTTCTGTGACTCTTCCAGAATGCTAATCTCGCGACGTAGTTGGGTAATTGTATTCTCTTTGCTGGCAAGCGTTTCTTTGAGTGCGTCCAGATCTGTGGTTTTGGCCAACAGTTTGGCACTCACCTCGTTCAGCGATTTCTCTGCCGCTTCAATTTCCAGACTTAATACATTCGAACCCTTTGACCTGTCCTTGGATTTGAGTTTTTGGTTCTCGGCACGTGCCACATTCAAGTCCTGTTGCAGTTGCGTCTGCGCCAGTTTGATGGCCTCAACTTCGGCCTCCAACTTGGCGGCACCAGCCTGCTCCATGCTCTTAATCTGATGTGTCTGTTCCTGCAATTTCTTTTTCAGTTTGGCAGCCAGCGCCCGCAACTTGTTGTACTTCTCCTCGTAGCCATCGTCGAGCTCGCGCAGCCGGCTCAATTCCTCTGCCCGTGAAATCGTCGAGGTGGACAGCACATCGCTCTGTGCATCGCCATTAACTTGCTCCTGTTGCTCCAGCTCATGAACTCGGCTCTGCAGCTGCTCCAGCTGCTGGGACTTGTCCGTTAGACTGTCAGTTAACAATTGCATCTCGTTGTGATTCTTGTCGTGCTGCTCCTGCATGCGTGAAATGACATCGCCACGTGCCTTCAATGCCTCATTCAGTTCCCGCATCTCGGCCAGCAGTTCGGCATGTTCGTGCTCCTTCAGCTGATAGCGCGCCTGCAGATCTTCATGATTCTGCCGCAACTCCACATTGTTTGCCTCCAGTTCTGCCTGCTCACGCTCATATTGCTGCCTCATCAATTGCAGGGCGCTCTCCTGTTGGCTACGCTCCTCCTGCAGCAGCTGTGCCAAGCGTTGCATTTGATTGAGTTTCACATTAAAGTGGGCGACATTGAAAGAGCTAGTGGACTTCTCAGATTGTTGTCCTTTGACGATATTTGCCAGGTGCTCTATCGTGTTTAATTTCTCCAGCACACGATCTACATTTAGAGTGCTCTTTGGAATCTGCTGCTGCTCCGGCTGCTGCTGCTGCTGCTTTTGTTGTTGCTCCTTTTCTTGCATCTTTACCAGTTTGGCCAATCGTTCCAGTTCGTAGACCTTGTGCAGCAATCGCTGATTGTGGCCTGAATCTTGATTAGTTTGCTGTGACGACTCTAGCCGCTGCTTAAGCTGCATATTCTCCTGCTGCAAGCCTGTCATCTTGGCACAGAGTAACTGGGATGCTTTAATAATCTCTTGCTGCCACTTGGACACGGAGGCGGCATACTCGTGCTGCGTTTCGAGCAACACACACTTGCATTCCTTGAGGTTCTTCAGCTTGCGATGCACATCGATGAAGCGATCCTTGAGCGCATTGAACTTCTTGCGCTGCTCCGAGTTCAGTTGCTTTACCGCATCATACTTTTGCTGCAGCTCAGCAAGCTCAGCGACACGTTGCTTTGCCTCGTCGGCTGCACTCTCCGCCTGTTGTCTTAGAATTTCATTCTGTGACTCGGCCTCCTTAATTTTGGCAATGTCCACCTCGAGCAGCTCAAGGTTCTTGCGTTGCTCGCTGCCAAGTGTGTTAACCTGATGCATGGCCTGCTCCATGCGTTCGATGTCCGCAAGCAGATCATCATTCTCGTCGCTGAGACGACCCAATTGACGTTTGAGGCTCTCGTTCTCGATTTCGAATTGTTGCAATCTATCGGCATCCTCTTTGGTGCTGCGCTGCAAGCTGCTTAGCTGCTCCGTTAGAATTAGATTCTTGTCGGTGAAGTCCTGCAGCATCTCTTGCATCGCTGGTATGCTGCTCTGTTTGGCCGCTGCCCTTGTTAATGCCTCCTTCAACTGGCGATTCTCCTCGTTGAGTTCTGGTGGCAGATGATAAGGATTACATTTATTATTGGATTATAACACAATGTAGACTCACCATCTTTTGCCAACTTTGCTTTTTTGGCGATGCCAAGCAGGCCTTTGTATTTGCTGATGAGTTCATCTTTGCTCAGAGCTTCAATTGGATTCTTCTGCACGCATACAGAAATACATAATACACACGTAAACATAGATTTGAGACGTCATTGTTTTGCTATTGCTTTCGTTGCTTGTTCTGCTGGCTCATGCCTTTTTCTACATACCTGCGTGTCCCTCGTTGATGTGTCCATCTTCAATACTGCCTGTCTGCTGTCTTAGGAATCAACAACAAAATCATTTATGTGCGAATTTTAGCCGTTCTCCCGTTCTCTTTAGCTTATTGTGTAAAATGAAAATTGAACAAGTTGTCGGATGGGTAAATTAACGATAACCGATATTTTTTGTCGAATTAAGGTTTGCCAAAACGAGCTGTTATTTCGAACGCTCGTTTCGAATTATCGCTCATGTGAAAATTGGCAATGTATTCAAATCATAATTAAAATATTCGATGTTATTTAAAATTATTTATTCAAATTAATGATTTTGCTGTAAAAATAATATAGATTTCGAATTATCGGTATCATTTTGTTTTGTTCTTAAATTCTTTGAAACAGCTGACTTGTGATCGATAAGATTTATAAAATAATCTAAATTGCTGGAAAGAAAGAATGTTGCTTCGTCAGTTTCATTTTTGCCATTACAAGAAGCACACAACTTTTATCATATTCAAAATAGTCAAATAATATACATAAGTAATTAATTTGTAGACAAAATCAAACACAAAGAGTGAATGAAAGAGTGATGCATCACACCGTTCGTTCACAGAATGTTATCGGGTTTTTGTCCCATCTCTAGATATTTGTGTTTTGGTATTTTTTGTGGATTTGTTATTTTGGGTCGTTGTTGTTGGCAGAGGAGCCACGGGCCGTAATAAATATGGATTTGAGCGATAATCAACTGGAGGACCAATCCTTCATGTACAAGCACGAGCAATTATTCAGCGAGAGCTTTCCACTGTTCAAGGAGATACGAAGACTGGGCAAACTTTGTGATGTCACCCTGAAGGTTGGTTATCTTGGCTTGGTTGTCAATTCTGTTGTCATTGCACTATCATTATCTAGTGCCAGTTTCTAAATATAAAAAACATGTATACATGCATTTTGCAATCGTATTCGTACGTACAGGTTGAAGATCAGACATTCTCCGCACATCGCGTTGTTCTGGCTGCCACTGTGCCGTATTTTCATGCAATGTTTACGAACAACATGGCAGAGAGTCGCATCAAGGAAATTACCATGAAGGAGATTGAGCCGAGCGCTCTGGAGAGCCTGATTAACTATGTGTACAGTGGCCAGGTGCGCATCGATAACCAAAATGTGCAGAGCCTCATGGTTGGCGCATCGTTTCTGCAATTGTCCAATGTGCGCGATGCGTGCGCTTCTTTCCTCATCTCTCGATTCCATCCGCACAACGTGCTGGGCATACGAACATTTGGTGACTCGATGATCTGCCGCCATTTAACCGATGCCGCCGATAAGTATATTGATCAAAACTTTGCCAAGGTATCCCAGTCGGAGGAGTTCCTCACCCTGGACTGCGAACAGTTGTTGGAGCTGATGCGACGCGATGAGCTGAACGTTCGTAACGAGGAGGTGATATTCGAGGCGTGCATGCGTTGGGTCAAATACGCCGAGGAGAAACGGTCGCCACTATTTCCCAAAGTGCTGGCCGCAGTGCGTCTGCCGCTGCTGTCGCCGCAATTTCTCGCCGATCGAGTGGCACGCGAGGAGCTGATACGCTCATCTCATCAATGCCGCGATCTGCTAGACGAGGCAAAAGACTTTCATTTGATGCCCGAGCGTCGCGGTCTACTGCAGAGTTTCCGTACGCGTCAACGTTGTGGCGAATTCTTTACGGGCCAAATTTACGCTGTTGGTGGATTAGCCAGCACAGGCGAGTCGGTCAGCACCGTGGAAATTTACGATCCAGTTGGCAAGAAATGGAAAATGGGCGAACAAATGTCCATGATGCGGTGAGCTTTGATTTATAGATCAATTATATAGTTTGACTATAAGTAATTCCCAACTGACAGTTCCCGAGTGGGCGTGGCCGTTTTGGATGGTAAACTTTATGCATTTGGCGGTTTCAATGGCACCGAGCGTCTGTCCACGGTGGAGGTCTATGATCCGCGCAAGAACAAATGGTCTCAGGGCTGTGCCATGTTGTGTAAGCGCAGTGCTGTGGGCGTGGCTGCCTTGGATGATTGCATTTATGTGTGTGGTGGATACGATGGCGTCACTTCGCTCAACACAGTCGAGGTCTACTATCCCAAGATCAATACGTGGAAAACGGTGCGTACTCAAGCAGAAACATTAATAAAGTTGGTACTGATAACTGGAATTTCGCCCTCTTAGGTGGCCCAAATGATGAAGTATCGCTCAGCTGGCGGTGTTACGCAGCTAAATGGTTATGTCTATGCGTTGGGTGGCCACGATGGCCTGTCCATCTTTGACTCTGTGGAGCGATATGATCAAAACGAGGATGTCTGGGTCAAGATGTCGCCTATGCTGAATCGGCGTTGTCGCTTGGGCGTGGCCACCTTGAATGGCAAAATCTATGTGTGTGGTGGCTATTGTGGCAACTCCTTTCTGCGCTCTGTCGAATGCTACGACCCGTTAACAGATACCTGGAAACTGGTCACGCCCATGAATTGTAAAAGATCTCGAGTAGCACTGGCTGCCAATATGGGCAAGCTGTGGGCCATCGGCGGCTATGATGGCGAAACGAATCTGTCCACCGTTGAGGTTTACGATCCCGAGACGGACAAGTGGACCTTTATGCCACCAATGTGTGCCCACAGTGGCGGTGTCGGTGCCGGCGTCATACGCATTGAATAGCCTGCCTAGCCAAAAAACCTCTCGTAGTTATTTGATTAGTTAATTTATGCAATTACATATTGTAGTCCTTATACATATATATACACACACATATATATATATATATATATGTTTCTCAGTGTGCAACTAAGCTTTAGTGGTCCTTTGGCTACGGCTATATTTTTAAAGAATAAATTGTTTATGCCTCTTTCAGGATTGTTAAGTGTATAACATTCCAGTTGTATGTATATGTTTGATAGTTTGTAACTTATCCCTAGACTCTAATACTCAATAAATTGTAAGCAATTGTATGTTACTCCAAATTCTACAATGCAATTCAATATAAATGTCTTGTGTCCACTTATTTGAGTGTTGTTGTAATCCAATTGTGCCAAATTTCAATTCATATAAATCGTATTTTTTCGCTTAGAGTATCAATCGATTTCAGTGGAGCACTGCACATATGTAAGTGCAACAAATTCGCTTTGTTTACTCAGCAATATTACATATATGTGCCTAGCAAATATGAGATACGAACAAAAACTTCACATATTTTTCGATAAACGAGGGTAACTACATTTGTTCCTGAGCCAACCAATTAAATTCCCTTCAACTGCTTGGATATTGTATAATTAGATTAAGTTTTTGTTTAAATAAGAGAGCTAATTTTCAATGTAATATACAATTGTTTTTAATTTAATCATTGTTCAACATTTTTATATTTTTCTATCCAACATAACGCATACAGTATTTGTTGTCCTTGGAATTTTTATAACAACTTAATTCAAATAGATTTCCCCAATTTGCAGAAGTTATTGAGCAACCCTCGTGCGTGTAGTTCATATGTTTTTGCTATTTGTATTTCTGAGTCGACTCTTTTTGATGTAATGCAATTTTAAATTGAATTTATGCCACCTGCTGCTGCAGTCTCAGTTGTGCCGTCTCCCCTATCGAACAACAGGTGTCGCCACTTATACATTTTGCGGCCAGCTCAGCTTATCTTGGTGCAATAAAATATCAGTTCCACAGGGTCATATTGTAATTAATAGAACATATTTTATTTGTAGATAAATGGCAGCCACAAAACAAAACTGTCGGCTTGATTTATCAATTGGGGCGGGGGCAATGTGTATACTGTACCATTCCCAGATTACAGAATACTGTCTATAACCGCGAATTTGGTGCTTTCATGGCAATGTTATCAGTTGTCACACTATATACTATATAGTATATATAGTCACTTTTTGCGGCAGCTTTATTTGATTTCAATAATCAAATCACCAATCGCTTGTCTATCAGCGAAAGCATGGCGCAATTTTATTTTAATTAAATGCTAATTATGTTTGTCATTGCCAGCGTAAATATTTGATGGGGGTGCTCACAATACCAAAGGCAGTGGGTAGTTGGAATTTTGTATAAGCAGCTGAAATTTGCTAATTGACACAACTCGCCAATCTGCAATATATATAAATTTTACAAGGCGTGCATGCCAATCTAAATGCAAATTGCAGCATTGCACAATCGAGTTTTATGGCCGCTAAAATCGTTGACTTCCAAGCGTGCCAGGATGCTGGGATGCAAGGATGCGGATGTACGATAAGCGGCCAGCTGCAGTGTCCTAACGGAAGCAGCAACATTACCGTTTCCATGTTTAATTTTGGCATTGTTATTCAGTGTCTGCATTCTTGCAACAGCAATAAGAGGCAAGACAACAACATTTAAGTATACTCAACTAAAAGATACCCAAAGTAAATTGCAGCTTTGAGAAATGCTTAATGCAAACATAAAGCATTGATCATTATAATTAAAGTAGATAAGCAAAACTGGATGTTCGCAATTCCCGAAATTAATGTTTTAAACTTCCATACAAAAAATGCTTAGATCGATATGGCAATTTAAAAATCAATACATAATGAAATAGAAACAGTTATCAAAAATGCGTAGTATTGGTTGAGCCATTGTTCTTAACTTCATTTGTAAAAATATTCGGGCAACATTTAAAATGCTCGCTTTAATGTGTTATTCTTGCATGGGGCACAGCAATAACCGCTTGCCTTTCGGCTATAAGCAAAGGATGTGCGGCGAGTGTGGGCGGTCCTGTTTGCATACACTTGGCCTTTACGAGTGTTTCGTGGCTTGTTCTATTTTGGCGTTCTGATTCGGATCGGGGCGGGGCTGGGTCTAGGTCTTGGTGCTGCTGCTCTCCAAGCTGACCTCGGCTCAAGTGCGGCTTGCGCCTAAAAGATGCTGAAATGTTGGTCTTGATTTTGAAAAACACGTCATGGCTGCATGACGTAGGCATTTAGACTTAAAACAAATGCTAGAATTATCATAAAATATATGCACATATATTATGTGCTTGTTTTAATATTTTGAACTAACAATGATTACTTAATTAATGCAAGTTACAGTTCAAAGTTGTATTTGCCAATTGCAAATAATGACATTTTATAAATGTATGCAATTATGCATTTGAATGTTTTGGCAACTTGTTAAAGAGATTTTTTTCATTAATTTCAAAAAACAAATACTGCCTCATTGCATATTACTGTGGCATGTATACATACTGGCCTGTATGCATATTATAGGCACATCCAATTTTTACTTTTTTAATGTTTTATTCACATATGCAAAAAGAATTTCCGTTCAATTCAATTTCGCGCCGCTACCAAAAAGTATGCATCCGTTATTCCGTTGTTCCGTTATTCCTTACGCCGTTGTTTTTTTTTTTTTTTTTTGTTTTCCAACAAAGTGAAGCTCACATGAAAGCGGACTAACACAAATACCAGCGCATACCCCTCCACATTCACATATACACATACTCATGCATGAGTCCCACGCAGTATCGTTGAATTTCTATTCGACCAATTGTTGATATGCACGAACGAAATGGACAACGTTGAAAGCGAGTCCCGAACAGCAGTCGAGCTGCTTCGTGTTTGTCGTTGCCATATCTTGCGTGCGCGTTAGATGTGTGTGTGTGTGTGTGCGGGTGTGTAACGAAGCGTATCAGCAATTTGTAGTTGCGCTTGTATTTGTATTCTTCGCTGGCGGCCAGCGTCGAGCATCTATAAAGTCCATGGCTGCTTTGATCTGTCGCTCAGTTGTTGCATACTTCTCGGCGTGTTCGTTCAGCGCGCGCAAAACAAAACATAAAAGCAATTGTAAAAAATACAAAAAAAAAACAAATTCAGCTTCAACAAAATCACAAGGAGTTTTTGGAAAACGTTTGAAATTTAAACAATTTACATTTGTAAGTGCATTATTCATAATTTTTATACAAGAAACGCAATTTGTGCGAGCAAGAATATTCGTATGTGAATTTGTATCCTAAAATGTGGGACTGTTCATAAAATATTTGATCAAAATTTAATATGTGTAATTTGTTTAGTGAGAGCAGGTCTTATTTTTGCCTAATCGAAAATCGTTAGGCATTAAAAAACATGTTTAAAGCTAAATGGCTAAAATCTCTTTTAATTTTCAAGTTGGACATTTTACTTTTTAATTTCCAACACAATCTTCCCTTAGACACAAGTCATCTTTTTAAATATGTGACTGTGTCTTAGACTGACTGATGTTGCGTGACTGATTGAAAGTGATTGATTGAAGAAAAACATTAAGCGTCCACTTTCAAGTGTTAACCAAATGAAACAACTCAAAAAGTTTTCTTGCTTGTGCCTAACATTAACAGCAAAAGTTTTCTTGGTCAAGAGAATAATGAATAGTGGCTAAAAATAAAATTTGGGCATGCACCATTGCTTTCCATGAGGCCAAATAGTTGTGCTGCAAACGAATTTAATTCCATAAGCTGAATAATTTTAATGCCCCTGAAATATTTAAAGTTACTCAAGTTTATGTATTAAAAAAATAATTATCATATTGATTTGGTTTTCAAATTATATACTTCAGAATAAGATTAGAATATTCTTAAGTAAAACATTGCCAAACAAAGAAATAAAAATTTGTTGTTCAATGGTAAAACGAATATAAGAAATAAAAAAAGACATATTTTATAAAAGTGTGTGTTGCCTGCATTTCTGTCTAGGATTATGCACTAATTAGTCCATAAATATATTAATGAGCTTGTAATTTTCCCCTACAACGCTTTACACAATTAGCAAGGGCAACTTTTTTAACTGGAGCTAAAACGATTAGCATAATTCTAAAGAATCCTCCGCTGGCCACTGTTGAAAATGCATTGACATTTTATAAATAGTTGGCAACATTGGTTGACATTTGAACCTGAGCCGGCGGCAGAAGCTAATAAAACGCAATATCAATGGAGAGACACAATTATGACATGGCTCGGCGAGCCGGGGCCATTTGAAAAGCACTCACATCCGGTGCTGTGATATGTCACACGCAACACTCTGTACACCCTCAGAGAGGGTCCCCAAGCATTACAAAAAAGAAAAAAAATTAAATTCACATCAAAATCCATGTAAAAACTAGAAACAGGCAGCATGAAGTGAAGCTTTAGAACAGCCCCAGGGCCTTAACTTGTTGTATGTCAACTTGGACAGCAAACAGTAGCAATTAGTACATAAATATATACATATATATACATATATGTAGCTGCAAGTAGCATAGAAATGTACAAGTATTTGCACAGCACATCTACACATGCTGTGCACGTGTGTGTGGGTGGTACTCGTGTTGCAGCTGCGCCTAAAAGATGCTTTAAAAACGAATGTCTAACGGCTCTAAATCTCGGAGCTCACTAATTAACCGGAACATCAAGCACATCAGCAACTGTTGCTGGAGGGCTCATAATGCCAGCTAGATGGTCAAGTGGGGAGCCGTTCCATGGACTGGGCAGCCACTTAGCTCTATTCGCATTAATACTATATTAAGTAGAGTAAGGCAGCATCTTTCTGTAAAATGATTATATTAATTTAAAATTACCTCGGGCTTATAAAATAAATCCTATTGTCGCCACAAGTCACAGAACTAATTTATGTTTACATCGTAAATAACCTACTTAAATATTAAAAAGTAAAAGCCGATTAATAAGCCCTTTTTTGACAGTTAGCATTTTGGATTTAGGACTAGATTGTTTATCAAGAATTGTGATAAATATTGGTATGTTATTAGTGGAGATAATGCTTTAAAATACGCCTGACTATTTGGAGGCTATCGATGTTCATAATATCATATCATATCTCATATCTTCCAGACTTAATCAGGTTTGAAACAGAGCTGTTTGTCCTGCAGATATTTTGTCGAAATTAGTAAGTGGCTTCCTTCATTAAAAACAAAAGGCATCAGATATCGGGAAACCATATTAAACCATACTAAAAATGTTGAGAATATATATAACAATTGGTTATTTTTCAATTATTTTTAAATCATATTATTTGAATCCTTTTAGAGATAGTTGACTGCTTTATTGGTTCCCATATCAATCTAACAAAAAAGACATATCTATCTAAGAAAAATGTATCGCTTGATAGAGGCCATCATTATATATCGAAACCATATCTAGCAAAACTTACAAGCAACCAACTGAAATATGTTTGTCTATGTGTGGCATATGTGTAGCCATATTTAAACTTATGTACTCACATATTTAAACTTGAGCCCTAAAAGCAACGAGCCAAGACGTTGAATTTGGACTTTGAGTGACTTTCAGTTCATCAGCTTTTCCGTTTCTGTGGACTTCAATCATTTGGGATTAATTTGGCAAGGCGACAGGCACACACACACCAACACACACACACACGCACACACAAAGGTCACATGTGTGTCTCCCGGTGATTGTGGCCGTAATGAGTCTTTGAGCGGCAAGTTTTACAAAGGGATAAAGAAGCCATCACCCGACTTTAATGCCTTAGAAAAAATAAGTTAATTCAGATAAATTTACATGATGTACGATGCACTTAATTGCTAACATTAAGCTAATCTTAAGATCTGCCATTAAGAATGGGTGTATCCCGAAACTCCAGCTCCATTGATGTGGGCGCCTGTTGATATTCCACCACGATTAAGCGGTTATTGCCCACCTTGAGCACGGGCGCGGGCACATAGAGTGTTATCTGCGGTCCCACCAGGGGCCAATATCGCCCCAAGTTCTCGCCATTCAAGAAGACGATACCCTTGCCCCAGTCGGACATATCCAGATATGTGTCCGCCAGCTGATCCGCACTATCGATGCTCAGAGATCCATGGTAGATAGCTGGTCCAGAGCGTAGCATCGTACTTGGCCATCTCAGCTCCTGGAAACCAATGCTTGCCGCCTCCGTTGACTGGGCGATGAGCTTCTCCAGGTCATCATACGACTCCAGTGGATACTTGGTCATATTCCAGTTGGTCAGTACCTGCTTGTCCAGGCGCACATCTTTCGTGAGGCCCTTGAAGTCGTTCAACTGCACCCCATAGTTGAGGCGTCCCTGATTCTCAACAAGTATCTGCAATTGGCGACCCGAGCTGGCACTCAGCGGCAACTCATAGATAGGCGTCTCACGCGCCAGTATGCCCACAAATTCATTGTCCACATAGACATAGCCGCGATCCGCCAAGCCGTTCACGTACAACACGCTCGGATCCCGTTTGAAGTGCGCCGGCAGCCAGGCTTCATACAACACCAGTCCGGAATATTGGTCCAGTGCCTCAAAGGTCTGTGGCTTGGCGGCACGCACAACGCCCGTGCTGAGTGTCTGCCGTCCATCCGCAGAGAGCAGCGTGCAACAGCTGACCAATCGCACTTTGCCGTAAGCTCGCTTCGGCACTGGCATCGGCACCGGCACATCCGGCAATGGCAAATATCTGCTTATTATTCGACGCAGTGCCATGTATTTTGGCGTTGGATCACCAGCTTCAGTCATTGGTGCATCATAGTCGTAGCTGGTGATGTCCGCTATATATTTACCGGGGTTGTTGTCATTGGCGCCCGCCGTAAAACCAAAATTGGTGCCGCCATAGAACATATAAAAATTGACACTGGCTCCACTCTCCAGCATATCACTGCAAGATTCAAGGATATCATAATAATTTGTTAGAAAATATTTTTTAAATTTCATTTACTTTCACTAATGTTTCATAAATCATTTTAAGGCCACATCAAACTGTTTAACAGGAGAATCAATGAATGCAAGTGATAGTATTAAGTTTAAGTAAAAAAAAAAGCTCAAAAAAATATTTCTCATTCGAAAATCATTTGCGTTTTCCACGAAATTCCAGCAAACCTTTCAAGAGTTTCACAGTAGAAATTTGACAAAAATATCCAAATTAAAATTAAAACAAAGCAAAAATTTGATGCTTACATAAATGTGCCCGTTATTGAGTCTGTGCTCACGTTGGCCATTGGTTCTGTCCAGTGCGTCAGCCAGCCGGGATAGTATTCGGCATTAACCAGTGGACCTTTGGGCTCGAAGCGTCGCAGCCTTGCCCAGGTGTCCTTAAGATTTGAGGTGGCGCCAAAGTCCATTGTGGCCAAAACACCCTGAATCTTGCCGCAACGCAGCACAGAGGGTCCATCGTTGGTAAACAGCACTGCCTTACCATTCACATGGCTCTGGGTCTCGTCGCGTAACCAGTTGCGATAGTTCACGTCGCAGGCGAAGTAGGAGCCATACTCGTTCTCGACCTGAACCATGATGATGGGTCCTCCATTGCCATACAAAAAGGGTGACATGCGAACCATTAGCTGGGCATACCAGATGCGCACCTCGCTGAGATAGTCTGCAAGCAGTAGAATCAGTTAACCTGGCCAATTGATTGCGGGCTAATACCCACTTATGTCGGCTGTGCGCAGTTGGATGCCTGGATACTTTTTGAGTAGCCAGTAGGGAAAACCACCCATATCGCGCTCAGCGCATATGTAAGGACCCGGACGCAGTATCACCAACAAATCCTCATCCACCGCCAGGCGGATGAAGCGCTCCAGATCCGCAATGCCCGTCCAAACGTAGACGCCATCGCGCGGATTGTGCAGTGACCATTCCACGTATCTGCATAGAAAATATGTGTGGCAATTTCAAATTCAAATGCCAAATCAATTGTCATTGACAGCCATGGCCAAGCTTATAGAACAATGGAATCATTTTTGCTCAATGCAACTATTTTTTTTATAGATTTCTTACCATTGTTCTAGGATTCTAGGAAAATACCCACTGATTTAGCTATTGGGACTAAAGTACCTGGACTTTTTAATTTTCAATATTTCTATTTTCTATTCTTTTTTGCTATTTACCTGGCCATGACTGTATGTGAACTTACGTTGTAACTGCATTGAGGCCAGCGGCACGCATTGTCCTCAGGTGTCGGGACCAGGTTTCAGGATGTGCGCGAAAGTAGTGAAACGAGCCGGATATAAAGCGAAATGGCTGTCCATCCTTCAGAAATCGATCATTCTCATAATCCACAGTAAAGTTGCGATTAGTGCTCTCAGTTCCAGCAACTAATGTGAACGTCAAGATTGCCACAAAACAACTGATGAAATGCATGCTGACCAATGTCGATGCTGCAATGGAAGAAACATTTTTGTCATTCCTTTTTACAAATATTTTTTATTTTATATTTTTATTATTTATAGTTTTTAAATATGTACAAATGCTTTCCACTTAATCGAAATTTATATATTCAGATATCGCAAAATAACAGCTCAAGAAAATTGTGATACGATAAAATTGGGTAAAAGCTTAAATCAATTTTTATTTCCGATATATGTCGCCTAAGAGTTATATTAAGTATACGCTTATACATTTTAAATCAATCTCAAAAAAATGTATTCAAGCTTCTGAGCAAATTAAACCAAGTCTTTAAAATATTCTCAAACTTAAACTGCAACCGTTCGCCGAACTTAACCGATTAAAATTCATTACCTGAACTAGAAATAAAATGAGACTATTTTTGGGGAACCAGTAACCGAAGCAGATATCATCTGAGCCGAGTGACACTGTTTTTCTTTTCGCTTCAGTTTTGAGAGCACTCAAATCAATAAGAATATGGACACGAATTATCAGGAAAGCTCCAACAAAGTACTGAATTATTAATTAAGTACTAAACAACCAGTCCATTTAAAGTTTTTGGTCCCGTTTAACTTAAGTCAGAAAAATTTGTCTGCCCGAAAACTCTTTTTTTACGATCAAAGAGACGTTAAATTAATTGTAACGTCAGAAAGAACTTGTAGAACTTGTATTCTACGTTGATTGGTAAATATATTTCTGGATGTGGCTAACACATTATTATAAGGATTGTTAATAAATCAGTTTTTAATTGGTTAATGTTGGCGAATAAGATTTCTTTATTAAAGTTATGCAAATTACTGAATGCTAATTTATATTAAATTCTTAGTACAGTCAAAAAAAAAAGAAAAAGATTTAATAACACTTAATAGTCGCTCAATTTATAGTCTTTACAATTTTTAACCGATTTATTTTTTTAAGCTATGTTGACCTTATGACCCCACTATAGTTTTTGCAGTTAGTGGTTCGTTCCCAGTGTTATTTCCTAGCCTTACTATGCTGATCGAATTGTATTTCGGGGCAAAAGAGTGCATTTATTTAATGTGGTTTTGCATTGTGTCGAGATAAAAATGAAATATTACGCTTACAGTGATATTTTATTGTGTGAATTGTTTGGTGAAATTAAAGTATTTAAATATTTGACTATTCTATTCAATTGCACAAGTAAAATGTACACAATTTGTTTGAATTTGAATATTTTACAGGAAGGAAGTCTACTTCCCCTATGGAATTTCATTGCTTTTCCTGCTCAAAGCACACAGAATGAAAATATTCCGAAATATTGCTGCCGGAAACAAAATTGTGGCGCTTCCTATAACGCATATTCACTAGTTATCCAGCGAAATCTTGTGTGGCTGCAAATATCTCAGAGCTGAGAAATGAAATGAGATGCCTCAATTCAAGTTCATGGTTCAATTACTTAGTTGACATCGTTGCCGTCGCATGTCAGTTCTTTGCAGACTGACGACTGACCGACTGATTGACAGACAGCTAAGTGAACAAAATCTGTGTTTGTTTTGCAAACAAAATCGAATAATTTAATGCAACGCCTCGGTTGACAAATCAATTATAAATTCATGTGACTTTTGTTTTAGGAAAATAGCAAAACTGTTATATTTTTATCAGCACAGTTTTGACGTGCAATAATATACTTTATGATTTTATTTATTTAATTCATGTGCAGCTATTTCGAAATTATAACGAAATGTTTTCGCAGCTCAGTTCACTCTGGCGATTTCAGACAGACAGTTCTCAAACGAGCTCTTATCGCAACATGAGAAGTGCCAATATTTGTAATTTAATGCACGATTCTATACATAATATACATATATGTATGTATGTATGTATGTATGTTTGTATGTACGTGTGTTTTGCGCATAACAGATTCTCATTTTTATGCTCAATTCAATTATTGTCAACTTTATCATACAGCTGTGATTATCGAAATTTAGTGAACAAATAATACTCCAGTCAACACATTTGAATTCACTCAAACTGTGTTTACAGAAATTCTTTGAATAAAATATGAATTGATTACAATTTGGTTTTTCTTTTAAATATATTTCTTTTCCGGATCCGTTTCAAGTGTTATTTTTATTTAATATCGAATTCTGAAACCTTCAAACTCCACGGACACAGTGAAGCTTCTGCTGAACTCGATTCGAGACTCGAAATATATCAGATAGTAAAAAAGAAATAACCAACGAAAGACATATTTGAATTCAAAAATGAACACATTGAAATTGAGTTGAGCAGAGTTGAGAAATATACTAAGATTTCTTATCTGAATGTTCTATATGGAAGTCAATAGCAAATCTCCACAGTAAATCACCAAAAGATATGTATAAATCTATCTGCCAGCTGCCCCAGATGTAATTTACCAGAAACCTATTGATCCCCATTCAATCTTATGGCATTTTGATTATGCTTCGTAAATCCCAAGCTATAATCTACTATATAATATGTAAATTTATATGTATTTTGATGCGGAATCTGCTGGACTGTGGCAAAGCTAATGAAATGCGTGTACTTAATTGAGTGTGAACTAAATGATCTGTAAAGTCCCGACCCTGAACTTGGATGAGCGCTGCAGACTTGCGCCGAAAATTAAGTCAATCACCAACAACAATAAAAACCAAAAATAATTTAACCGTAGTCCAAAACGGAACTCATCATGTTCACGTAGTACTCGGTGTAGCGGCAAGAACAACACAATCTAAGGCACATTTTTAATGGGATTCAGCGTCAGGCGAACTCACAACATGAGTCAAGCATTTTAAACATTTGACCCAATTCAATTATTTTGCATGCCCAAGCCCATACTGAGGCTCAGAGTCCCCCATGGTTCCCGGAGGGTTCACTGGCAAGAAAGCAGCTGGATGTCTTTTGTTTTTGAATAGCGGCTTGTTGTTATTGATTGCTGTGGCAATGATCGGCCGGCGAGATTTCCATTCAACAGAAGGTCAACTGATTTTGCCCTTAAGATAACAGTACTTTCTATCTTTTCTCACAATTCTCATGCTCACCTGGAAGCCCCTTAAACTGCTATCAGTCACACTTAGCCTGTTTGTGAAAATTTATATGCCATATACAATCACTCCCAGAGAAACAGTGCTCCAGATATGCTTGTTCATAAATATAAATATATATATATATATGTATATGTATATGGGATTGTATAAACACTATGCACACGTTTTATTCACTACTCGTATTACTTTCAGAGGCAGAGGCAAGCCGTGTGTTTCGCTTGAAAGCTAAACTTAAACTGAACGATCATCGGCAGCGGCTTGCTGATAAGTGAGGCTAAACACGGGCCGAGAACGATACTCAAATCATTCACACAACTTTGTCGGCTGTTGTGTTCCTATGCTCGTGTCGTGCTCACGCAGCTTAGGATCCCCTTGCTCGATCCCAGCTAATTGTGGCCAATTAAAATTGGAAGATGAGTTCGCATTTCAGTGGCTAATTAAATCATTATTGCTGCGCTTTGTTGTCAGACTTATAATTCTCAGTGTTTTGGCGTGAACAATTCTGATACTTGAAAGTTTGTAGAGATATATATTTTTAGGTGTAATGGTATATTTGAAGTTCTAAATAATTTCATAGAAATGTTTACATATTTATAAATACCCTTTATTGAATTTGAATAGAAAAAATATTTTTTAAATGAATTTATAGCTATTTAACCAGTAATTATCATTCGATGTCAATGTATACATATTTTTTTATTATTCAGTGTTTTGTTACATATTAATTTAAAAAAAAAAGTCAAGTAAAGTCAATCGGTTTGTCTTAAAATATTTTATATTTTTTTCGCTTTTCACGAAAAATGTAAATCTATTTTTTATATGTTTGAAAAGATTTGTATTTGTTGTTATCAAAAAGTTATATTAATCTTAAATATATATGAAAGGCAAGCAGCATGATAAGCGAAGGGATCAGAAAAATTTGAATGTGTATTCTGTATTGTGTTACTCCGTTGTTATTATACTCTGAATGCAAAAGGGTAAAAATGGCAGGCAGAAGGAAGTATCTGCGACCCCATATAGTATATATATTCTTAATCAGGATCAACAGTCTAGTTGATATAGCCATGTCCGTCGCGAATACGCGGATCTCAGAGACTATAGGAGCTAGAGACTTCAAATTTGGAAGATAGGCTCTCGTATACCCGGCACTGATCAAGTTTGCTTTATTTTATAGTCGAAAATATATTCGCATTTTGATCTCATTTCTATAATTTTCTGCAGATTTCATAAGAAACTTTAATAAGAAAATATGAAACAAAATGAAAGTCAATAATAAAATACTGTTTTTTGCAAAAGAAATCAGAGAATATCCATTTTTTCCTGTGTCCAAGCACTTTCTTGGATGTATATGTTCGGGTCAGATCGGGCTTGCGATAAGAAATGAGTGCACTTGCAGACCTGCTCACATTCGGAAAATTAAAGGCAAACTCGCCAATAAAACTAGAATATATTTAACAGCTGGCTTCAGGTTATATCGTAGTCGAGCTCACTCGACTACAGCGTTCTTACTTGCTTGCTACATTGTTAGCAGAGGAAATTTGCTATTTTTGAATACTTAGAATTAAAACATAACAAAATATTTGTTGTACATAATTATTATTCAAATCAATATTTCGAAATTTACAGTAGTTTTCATGTAAGCAATCAAAATGCAGTCAACATGACTGAGAGTTATTCAAATTTGTAGCTTAAGGAAAATTTGATTTGAAATATATAAATTTAATTATTTATAAAAACTCGGCTTTCACATTGTTTGTTTTCCCATTTTGGGCTGCTTGCTGATAAGTTAGCCCCCGAAGCAATTGGCGAATGTGACCCATGTATGTATTATAAATACATATGTACACATATATATTTGTATATTTATAAATATTTATATATATATATGTATATTGGCATTATCAATGTGCATGATTGCTATGCCATCGAAATTTGAAATTGGCTACAGCTGCACGCTTCATATTCTATGCATTAACTGTTGCTCGTTCTATTTTTTTTTTTTTTTTTTTTTTGTTTTTTTGGTTGACGAGTTGAAGCCGCAGGCAAATTGAAACTGAAAGCGGCCAAAAAGTGAATTTTCTATTCAGTGTTGTTTTATTATTTGTTTCGTGTGTTTGCTTTTATTGTTGGGTCGTCTGCTTGGCTAATGGACCTTTATTACCCAAACGCACACACACACTCGCGCACACACACACACGCACACACACGAATATATCCGTGTCACGTTCTGTTGGCCGTCTTGGCTAAAATGTAAATCTCGCACTGCATCTTTAATGTGGCCCGTTGGCAGTTTAAAGTGTCCGCTGGGGTTGCACAAAGCAAACACAAATCTCTTCGCATACGCGTACGCTTACGCATACATAGACAATTAGACAGCCCACACACACACACAGATACACGTTAACAGCTTTGCTTTGGGCCATACCCATGCCCATATTAACGTTGGTGACACATGCGAGGACTGTTGACTGCGTCCTGTTTCTAAGCCATTGTTCGACTACTGCCTGCTGTCAGTTTCATGTCATGCTGTGGCAGGAGGCGCCCATTAGCAGGATGGGTGCACGGCGCCTCAAAAACAGGAAGCTTCACACTTTTGCTGCCAGCTAATTTTGCGGCCAATACTTTGGGGCACAGTAGTTGAAGCTCAGAAATTGCGTTCAGTTTGGTACTTTGACATTTGCCGTCGCTCCTATTATGTTTAGTATTTGAAAACTTTTAGCTCGGCTTACTTAAGCTTAGCCAAGCACAAATTTAAGTAGATATAGCGATAAGTCAGAGGACCCATCCACCGTTCAGCTTGAGTTTGCAGGCAACCTGTTGATTGCCGCAAATGCAACATCAATTCAATTCAAATACATTTTTGCATTCAATTCAATTGGCACTTGGTGTTGCCTCTTTGTATGCACCACGATGATTGCAACTGCTTCACTTTCCTCCACCCCGCCGCCTGCGGCAATCAATTGAATTACATGTTTCCAGCTTCCTGTGCGCGCATGGTTAGTGTTAGCATACCCTCAATGAGCACAGCTCTAACAGGGTATGTTGACTTATTACTAAATTAAATTTAAAATAACAAATTATATACATAATATAAATCATTAAATAAAGCACATAATTTAAGTAAAACATTTAAAAATGATTGAAAATCAAACTAAGGAATCCAACAAATTGTTTATTAAATTGTCAATTGATTTGAAAAATCGAATTTGATTAAATGTAGTATGTTAATATAACATAATTAAGCATAGCGATTCGGAAGTTGCTGTGAAGCTATAAACTAATAAATTTGTATTTTGTGCCCATTTTTGCGGTAAACATTCTCAGCCTACAATCCCCAATTGGGGTTGGGTAAACAAATTTTTTAAGCATAATAAGTAGAACAGCCTTGAAATTTCACCTGGCTTTTGTTTTAAAACATTAAATTTAACATTTCTAAGTGGCTGATCAAAACGAAATGGGTTTCACATACAATAATCCCTAAAATCGATAAAAATAAATATTCAATTATAAATTAAAGTGTCTAACTATTTTTCTCAATTATTTTTCTATACTTTTCAAACTTTCATATTGAAGAATGCTTTTAATATAAGGTATATTAGATTCGCCACTTGAGTTGCGTCAACTTTCTTATTTGTTATTATTGTTGCTAGTGTTGTTCTTGACACCAGTTGCCTAGCTGGCTGGATGTGCAACGCCACACAGTCTTATCGAGAGTGCCTCCCAGGCGTTGCCACAGCATTTGCATGGCAATTTTGCTTAACGAGGATGATGACAACTCTTGAGCATAATCAATGGCAAGTAGCTGGCTAGAGCTGCATTGGAACACTTTTTTCAGCTCCAAGGTGGCTCCCCTTGTGTGTGTTCCACAAGCATTTGCTTGTGTGACTATAAATTGTGGCACCAACAACAGTTAGCCGTTTGCGAACTGTGGCAACTGCAATCGAGCTGCTGTTGTGAATGCTAATGGTTGCCTGCCAATATTTATATGCTCCAAGCACAGACTGATAAAAAGAATAAATAAAACAAAACAAGAGGTGGCCTTTGGATATTGTTTTGATATGTAAATTCCGCTTTTATGGAATTTTTTGTAAATGTTGCTGCAAAGGAAGAAAGCCGTCGAAAACTGTATACAAATGAATACATATAAAATAGATTTAGCCTTCCCTTAGAATGTTAGCGAGCACCTAAATGGAGTCTTAGGATAATATTGGTAGCCGATCAACAAATAGTATATATATCAAACCTAACTATTGATAATCACTAATTAATCTGAAATTGTTTATTTTGTTTCGCTTTTTATTTTGTGCGCCATCTATGTGTCGTTGTGTAGAATCGCCCGCCTAAAAGCATACTACAACAATTTAAAAGAATGCATAATCAGAAAATGTTACTGCTGCTGTTGCTGCTAACGACTGTGGCAGTCGCAAGTGGCGACATCGATGGGGTAGCAGAGGATGGCGACGTGCACGTTGATGGCATCAGTACCTTAGCACCTGGAACTGTGACGCAACCAAGGAAAATCGTAAAGCGAGCACCGACCAACAGTTTCATTGGCATGCGCGGCAAGAAGGAGCTGGAGTCATCGACAGATGAGAATTGGTTGGGGCCCGATCCGCTCGACTATGAGGGCCTCGTTGATGTCGATAACTATTATAATGAGAACGGACGACGCCTCAAGAAGGCACCGTTGGCCTTTGTTGGCATGCGCGGCAAGAAATTTAATCCCAACAGCAACAACAATCTGCTGGATTTACTGCAGCACATGGAAGAGGAACGTGTGCGTGAGTATATCCTACAGGATTTCCTCGATCATCTGGCGATAGACGGCAACGGTATGGCCAAACGGGCGCCCACCGGCTTCACGGGCATGCGGGGCAAGCGACCAACAATGACTGAAGGCGACGCCGCCGCCCAGGATGAGGACGATGCCATGGAACTGCTGCAGAAACGTGCTCCTGTCAACTCCTTTGTGGGCGTGCGGGGCAAGAAAGATGTCTCCCATCAAAATTACAAGCGGGCCGCTCTCTCCGAGGTAATCAAAATTCACATAACTGAAGATGAGCGCATTAAGGGGGAAAACATAATTTGATTAGAATCACTAAATCAGATTTAATATGGCCAATCTACTACGAATTCGGATATGCACATATTTTATATTCCCGATGAAGATTAGATTGCCTTTCAGACTTACATCTATATTTTTATTATAAACTGAAAAACGACTCTTAGCAAGAAAGCTCAGAAGTGTTTTGAGGACCATTCGTTTCTCATCTGGATAGGATGTCATTGATGACCAAAATAATATGCTGCTGTTCTTGCCAACAAATAACAGAATTACTTTATTCATAAAAACATTTTTCAGTAGAAGTTTTCGAATATACTAAAGACAATATTTTGATGTTTAGGGTAGCATTTTGTCAATATCTTGCCCAGAAACTGTGTTAATTGGTTGATTGAAAGGAAATCGTCGTACAAAGACAAACTGATATATTGTGGCTATTTTTTCATGAAGAAAATATGAAATATAATTTAATTTTTTTTAATAAAATCCTTTTCTAAATATATTGACAATATTATTCATTTTGAGTTATGCATGTGCAAATTAATGATTGAAACTAATTTGGCGCGCACCTGTCTTCAATTCTCTAACAAATTGCAATTTATAAACATTTATGGAACTAACCATGGCCAGTTGTGGCGCAAAATCTTTAAAAAGGCATACGATGTGCGTGGCAAGAAGCAACGTTACGCGGACTTCAACAGCAAATTCGTGGCTGTGCGTGGCAAGAAGAGCGAACTGGATGACGCCACTGGCCTGGAGCAGAATATATTGCAGCAGCAGCAGCCTTGGGTCTATATCATTGGTGGCAAGCGTGCGCCAAACGGGTTTGTTGGCATGCGGGGCAAACGTCCAGGTGAGGAATGCAGATGCAGTTGGACCCAATTGGACCATAGACCATGCTTATTATATGCATACCAATGTACCATTGCAGAGCTTGTGGAGTAAGCGGCACTGGTGGCAGAGATAGGCGAGCGCTTTCCTCATTTACATTTGACGAATGACAGTCGGAAGTTCCTTTTAAACTAGGCAAAGACAATGTTATAAATAATCGCTGGGCTGGAGATTATTTAAAACATACACACACACATATATACACACACACTCAGACATACAGAAATTATAGTCTCTGTTACGTAAAGCTAATCAAATTTACTGCGATTTAATGTTAATCGAATTAAAATCGCATTTGGAGAATTTATTAGCTCCAGTTGATAATTGAATTGAATTATTTGTATATCTATTTGTGAACAAAAATAATCAAAATTAAACTTTAATAAGTACTTATGTACCTAAAATAGATTTTTCAAAAATCCATTATATACACCCACACACCCACGCACACACACACACACGCACACAACATAAAGATATGTAAGTGAGAGCGAAATGTTAATTTACTTGCAATTAATTTATTACAACTACATGCAAAAATTATATATATACTGACATACATATATAGCACAAGTGTCTAATTAAATATTGTAAATATTGTATGGTATATAAATCGAAATAAAAACTATTATTAAAAATACGAAATTCGTTAGATCTTTGACAGATTCCCCTGCACGCCTTAAAAAAAGAAACTCACCGATTTACATATGTTAATGTGTGTGTATAAATAATCAAACTTTTCCATAGTATAAACCACAAAATAATAATTTCAATCTTTTCAAAGCTTTGACGTTCTTCAAATAAAAAAAACTTTGACATTCACAATTAATGATTTCAGTCCAGCTGCCGACAAGCCTCATCGAAATCTAGACAAGGGCAAAATTAAATCTTAAAATGGGAAACACAGTCTTATCAACAATGACTAACAAACAATATGATCTGTAAAGACAATTAACAAAAAACAAGTGTAAATTGCAAAGTGTACACAGTTAGACTAGAAGATACCACTCACAATTAACTGAACTACCATTAAACATGATCTAAAAATAAAATCCTCATTTTCTAATCATAGTTTTTAAAAGTATTCAAACATGAGAGATGAGATGACGATGTGACATTTGACCTGCAACACAATCTTCTCGTACTCTTTTGGTTTGCTTATCTATTGGTACAGGGTATACAAGAAACAAAAGTGAAATACCAAACAGGCATCTCATATTTCTTGGAATTGCCACAAAAACAATCTCTACTCACAGAGTACTTACACGTGTGTGTGTGTGTGCTCAATACAACACACTAGTACTGCACAATAGAACAGTTTTCAAATATAATTTCAGCGGACTTTTAATAAGGCACCGAAGATGAGTGTAAAGCAATAATGTTTGTGGAATAACCGAAGACAAATGCGCATTTGAATAGAACACCCATTAGACAAACAGGTAGTCGCACATGATGCTGCCTGTACCTGTGTACCAGAGGTACTCATAGAATTTTTGCACCTAATTGTGATTTAATAATCAGAGTTAATGAGCAGAGCAGAGGAAATACATTCGTCATGCAACACTAAAGAATTGCGTGTTGTGCAGTGTAAACAGTTATCACTGTCGCGCACTTTCACAATTATTATACGCATTTCGCATTTGACGAGCCGAAATGTTCTCTGTGGCCCAGCAGAGAGCGACAGCTGTTCGCTGCTTAGAGCCGAAGCTCAAGCCGGCAATCATACAAATGCCGCTCTCTCTCTCTCTCTCTCGCTAAGCGCTTCGCTGCGACAGCTGTGATCTCAGCTTATAAATAGCAGACGGAGTGCGTTCTAAGCCAGTTACATTTCGACTGCCGCTCTAAACGTCTACATCGTCTCAGCAACTCGAACAATCGAACAGTAAATTGTTAGTATTCGTGTGTGTGTGTGTGTACGTGTGAGTGAGTGTGAGTGTGAGTGAAGAGGATTCATAAGTGGCGACTTGCTTGGATGAAAATGTTATGTGTGTCAATTTTGCAAGACAATACGAATACAGCAGAGAGTAATTCAACGAAACGAAACGATTGACGTTGCAATTATCACATGAGGACAGTGGAAATTTTTCTTCTATTACAACAAATAACAACTGTCCAAACTCACCTACATTTTCCCTCAGACAGCTTGCCGTGGAAAACCAGTATTTTCTGTTTTATATTTTGTCCCAGTCAGTCACAGCTGGTCCATTCGCATCAGTGAAACTCTGTGCATTTCTTCATTACATTAACTTTCTGTTTATTATTGTTGTTGTTATTGTTGTTTATGTTTTTTATGTTTTCTAGCTACAAAGTGTGTATTTCGTATTTGAGACAAATACATATTGTGACAAAGATGCTGAGACTCTGGGCATGCCTGCTCCTAGTCTGTGCCGCTCGAGCGGTGCCATTCTACAGCGAGTAAGTAAAAAAAGGAAAATGAAAAAAAAAATACATTTACAAATTATTTATGTTTGTGTGTGTGTGGTTTTTGTGTGTTGGTCATTTTGCATTGCAAATTTCATGCATATTTCATATCGTTTTTGCAGCAAGCTTTTGCTTGCTTTTGATTTGTCCATTTCAATCATACCTAACGAATATTGGCAAATTATTGCCACAAAATCAGGATTTATAATATTTCTAAATGTAGGTTAATTCATTTAAAACTCTATTAACTGATGTTTAACATTGGCGTGCTAAGTGAATACAAATTTATGACTGTTATTAATTTATCACGTATCGTACCATCAAATATAATACAAATCCTCTCGCACCCTCAATTTGGTCTATGAATTCAACTTTGGCTTTATTTACTTTCCCAATCGTGGATAATGCATGCCTTTTTTACAGCGTCTTCTCCAATTCAGCTTGCTTTTACCTAGATTCTTCGTCAGGCAACTCCTTCTGCATATATGCCAAGTGAACATTCCCGGCATTTAGCAACCTCTTCGCATATTGTTCCAACCACACTCCGTGCACTTTAAATATTGACATGTCAACTCCAACGTTTGTTTTTTATGGTTTAGCAAATCATAAAAACTCACCTAATTGGCAGTTTAGTTTTTTTTATGACATTTGTTCTAGCAGCGTATTTGCTTGTTTGCTCAAATTTCACCATTTGCAACATTAACTTCGTAAACAAAAGCGCGTTAAGCGAATTCGCAAATAGCTGAGCAAAAAAAAAATTGAGTCTACCGCAAAAGAACACAAAACGTAGCAAAAATTTAAAATAAATACACATAAACACGCACATATGTATATATTTGTATATATATATATCTGAAAATGCGGAAAGAAAGCCAAATCAGTGTGATGACCTCAATTTTACATCTGCGTGCACAAAAATTCCCTCTGTTGTGAAGGGTGTTTGACCGTAAGCATACCCAGTATTGTTGGCATTTCCCAACTACTTGAAACTTCGTTTCCAGTGCAACTGCCGTTTGGTGGTTACAGTGTAACAAGGAGATTGTTCCGTAGAGGGTTACGTGGCGAGAATCTCGTCCAAATATCGCCGCCGAGCACATTTAACCCTGCAGTTAAAGTTTTTGCGAAAGCCATTGCACAAATAACAGCAGCAACCAGCAAGAGCAAGAGCAACACCAAACCAAACTAACCATTCCGATGAGAACAATGCAGTTTCAAAGTGGGTCATCGACTTTAGGGCATCCGCCAGAGATGGCGATGCAAATGCAGTCACGGGATTTGACAGCTGATTGTTGCTCGTATCTTAGGATCGTTGCTTGCTGCTTGCTGCTTGTTGTTTGTGGCATGTCTGGGCCGTTTTACACTTGGCTGACTACAGCGAGCAACCTTAAAAAACCAAAAAAAAAATAAATAAGCTGTTGGCCCCTTAACTATTTAGTTGTACTTGTTTAACAACTTGAACACCGCCCTCACTCATTTTAACATTCATTAGTAAACTCCGCCAAAAAAAGCATAAAAAACAAAAGAAAATTGCCCTTTGACAACTCATTAGCTGCAATTTTTAGAGTCACAAACACCCTAATTTAATGCGCTGTCGGCAATTTTAAAGACCCTAAACTGGGTCAAAAAGCGACTGCTGCTATCCACAGTGTAACCGGGTTGGTTCTCCAAATTGTTTATTTTATTCCATGGTAGATGGTTTTAAACCTTTGCTCATCGACTATAACCAATAACTTTCGCTGTGCTTTTTTCTTTTTTAATTTTATATTTATTTATGTGTCCCTTCTTTGAAAATGTTTACGTTTTGCATTCGACATGCATCTCATTCAAATACAAACGGAAAATTTTCAGAAGTTGTTTTGTGTTTGTTTAATTATAAGTTTTACGAGTGTTCGAATCCATTTTACACGAGTTTCAATTAACACAAATTGAGTTTCAATAAAGTAAGAAACAAAACTCGTCTCAATAGAAAACATGATTGTTTATTTGAAGCACGATCAGATTTGTAGAAAAAAATGAGTTAAGAAATTGAACACGTTTATGTGTTTTGATAATTAATCAATTGACCCCAGTATTAAATAACAATTTTATTAGAAACTTAAAACTGCAAGTAACTCATCAATTTCTAATAGCAATGTGTTAAAAATAGGAAAATAACAATTTCTTCAGCTTCACACTGTAAATCTCTGCATATTTACTTGAGAAAGTGAAAGAGTTTTTATTTGTTTATTTTTTTATTTATTTTTTTGGTAACCCGATTTGCAATTTACTTGAAAACAGTTGTTAACCATTCTGCTTGAAGTTTCTCCTCTCGTTAAGTTTATGGTTAGGTGTTGAGTCGCTGTTTGAACTACCAAATGTCAGCAAGTCCAAGCCAAGTTGAAGTCGGCTTAAACATCAGTTCGTGATATGCTCGACACACATACATTTATTTCAAATAAAGACGACTCGTCGTCTTTCAATTCCTCGTTCAAGAAGCGAGTCCGTGACTCATGCCACAAGATAAAGATGTTATAAAAAAAATAAAAAAACAGTAACAATAACCTTACCAGAACTCTCAGAAAACTCGCCGCTAACTGAGCGTGGCTACCATTAAAAATTTGTTATGTTTGCCATATTATATATATATAATATATATATATATATATCATTTTTTTATATTATGTATTTTTTTAATTGACTTCCGCGTTGGGCATTTTTAATGAACGCGATAAACATAAAAGGTCCAGAAGAGTTTACAAAGACACAAATTTATATATATTTTTTTGAATATTTATATATACACATAAATGTATGTGGGTGTATATAGCAAAAGTCAGCTAACAAAAGCATTTGTTATTGTTTTTATTTTTTTTATTATTATTTTTCTTTTGTCAATAGAAAGCTGTCTGACATTTGTTTGCACAAAGCGTGCGCGTGACTCATTCGAAGAAGTTTTGGCTGCCCAAATATTTTGTAGGTGTTTTCTTCTTTTTTTTGGTAGTATTTATTGCCAAACACTAAAAAAACGAGAGACATAAATCCAGTTTGATTAATAATATTGTTTGTTCTATTGTTGCTTTAATTTTTTGGGGGAATTTTGGCAAATTTGCCAAGTCCAAAAAAGAAGGTGATTTTCATTTGATTTTTATGGAATTAGCTGTTGAGTTAATGAAGTCAGGTAATTAGTATGCGGCTCACAGAAATGCTGCGCAAAACAATTACTAAACAATGAGCACGATCAGTCCGTATACTATATACTATATATATATATATATACTATATACGTTATACTATATATAGGGAGAATGTCGGGCCTGGCCGGAGCTTCTTTTATGTGCGAAACAATGGCTGGCATATGAATTATGGTGGGGCATGAAGGAACTTTGGGCTTAGTTAGACTCTGGTGTGGATTTTGCATGAAATGGCACAAAACACAGCACAGCTCAGCACACCACACACACATATACACACACACACACATACACACACACACACATACACACACTAACCGATACTCTGCGTCACCACCCCTGCTTCTTCCCACTGCTCATCGACAGCTTTATGCAACATTTAACACGACCATTACCGCTGCATCGCACGCTGTTTGCGCCCATACCATTTGCACCACTAGCACCGCTAGAACCACTACACGCTCAGCCGTCCGAGCGTGTGGCGAGCGTTTGGGCAGCGCCCCCGCCCGTCCCGCTAACGGCACAGCATTCACGCCACCACCAAGCCACCTTAGCTAATGCGCCCCTGTTGCCAATCTTCAGTAGCAACTTTGGCAGCGATGGCATCACCGACACGGAGTTTGTGCCCCTCGAGCAGCAGCAGCATTCGCAAGCTCGCCAGGATGTGGCAGCAGCAGCCGCAGCTGCCTCCACCCAGGGCTTGCACCCGAAGCCGTTCAGTAAGTTCTCTGAATTAATTAAATGGAAACTCCTTAATAAGATTGGTAAACTGTTTCGCACAGATGTCGATGCCATCACCACGGATGTGAATTCACCCAATCCGGCTATATTCTTCCAGCAATCATTCCCCTTCTTTGGCAATGACTTCATCAACTCTTTTGGTGGCTTCGGATTCGGCAACACCCAGGAGCCATGGTGGAAGGGGTGAGTGCAATATTATATATATCAAGTCTTTATATAAGCTACAAATATAATAAAGATTTATTCTACGACTTAAATTAAAAAATTATACAACATGTTTTAGAAAATAAAGCATAAAAATAACATCAAAATGACTTATTCAAATTTTGCCAAGTGCTTTTTCTAAGACATTTATTTGACACATAAAAATAGCTAATGATGATGATCGATCTGTATTCTAGATTCTATGACGTAAGGGTTTAGTTGAAATTCCGTTCAGGAATTAACCAACTCATTTCGATTATCTAGAATTATTTTAGACAATAAATTAACCAACATTTTAATAATAAAATGAGAATTGATGAGGATTAAAACTGAATTAAATATTGTATTTATCTGTAGCATAAAGACATCTTGTTGGCTAAGCCCAATAAAGGTGTAAGTAAAGAAAGATACATTTCAAATTGATTTAAATCCAGTGAACATGTTTCAGTTTTCAACGGAATTAGTCTTGATGGAGTGTCACAGAGCAAAGTTTGCAGCTGGCGACTTTGAAACTCCCGAATATATATCTCGACCTTGGCGAGGCTAAGCTCTAAGTTCTTAACAAATATATAAATAAATGTCAATTGTGTAATTTGCTCGCTGAGACAAATAGAATACTAATTAGGTGTTCTCTATTCTGGTAAACAGAAATAATATTGTGTATACAAATCGCTCAAGCTTTGTGTTTCAGCTTTCAGCTGCTTCAAAGTAGCCTCCTAAAGTAGTTTTTTTTTGTTAATATTCCAAATCTCTTATAAGTCGCAGAGCATTTTCGCTATGGTCAGTCGATTTGTTTTCTTTCCCAATCGCTGCACACGACTGATTTCGACGTTCTCTTGGCATTTGGCAATTAGAGACAAGCACAATGTCAAGTTCATTTGGGCCATTAAATGTGATTTTGATTTGTAATGTCTCTTGACTTATCCAAGCCAAGCCAAGCCAAGCCACAAAACATGCATAATTTTCTATTTTAATAACTTTTTTAATTTGAAATGCGATTAATTGCTGCTAACAATAATGGCGATTTGACCATACACTTGAACGCATGTGCAACAGGTGCTTGGACAAAATTGGTCGACTCGGCTTCAAGTTGCCCCGGCGATTTCTCTTTTAATTGGTCTGTCAGTAACTTGATTGGATATATATTTATTTTTATATTTTAACTGCACTATATATAATGCACTCTATATAAGTACATATATATGTATAAATATAGATGTCGTTTGCACTTTGCTAAATTGTTATTAAAGCGAAATTGTGAAATCAACTAATCGTGTACTCATTGCATGATGTGTTTTTCTTTTATTTTTGCTGAACCGAGAACGAAAGTCAGACGCAGCAATTGATAAATTAGCGCTAAACGTAAATAAATACAACATATATATATATATATATATATATGCTTATATACCCATGGATATATAGTACACATTTGCGAGCCGAGAATTTTCGAAAACTATGCCCACACAATGGGGTCTCTCTGTGGTGCACACATTCAAATAATTGAATTGAAGGCAGGCAAAGCTGTTAGGCTGTTAATTCTATGCAGCTATATAGCTACGAGTATATAGTATAATTCATACTCAACCCAACGAACAACCCATCTAACTACTATTGCTACAAAACTTATCTATATGCGAATTGGCAACGCAAACATTCATCAGTGCCCACATTGATGTGGCAGATAACAACTACTCATGGGGTGCTGACTAACTGTAATATCGCATTCATAGTGTCAGCACGGGTCTACTATAAAAGTCTATTGACTTCTGATTTGCAAGTCTGCACATTGAACAATGTATTAGCAAGTCAGAAAATGAGACTACCAAACTATAATAATTGAAAGGAATTGCCAGCAATGGAATTTAGCTATTTGCTAGAACAGAGTTGGATAAGCGTATAAATTTTCGAGAAAAAATTCGAGAATGCTTTTGTTTAACCAATGAATGAATGTTATTTTTAGTTTAGGTATATTAAATATATTGATATAATTTATTATTATAAATGACATAATAATACTAATAATTAAGCAAAACATCTGATTCCTTTAAATAGAAAGTAAAGATACAACACTTGAACTGGTGCCAGTAAAAAGCATATTTAAATTATAAAAACAGGTCATCAAACAATAAGCAATTAATTAATAGCTTTTAATTTAATAATTTAGATTTTTAAACAGTTTAAGCTCTGCTATAATCCATGAATACTTCCTAAATATAATGTTGCTGTTGTTCATGTAATTCTCGTATATCTTCTGTAAAAGAAAACTCGATGATTAGCAAAGAAAATTGATTTGAGATTTGTACATTTCTTCGCAGACCCAATGTGTGCACCGAGAAGGAGGAAAACGAAGGCGCAAACGCGGAAACCGATGGTGATGACACCGTTGACAGCTTCGGTCAGGAACGTGATGGGGCTGGAAGCGAAGTGCGTTCGCCGCTCTTTGGCCAGTTCCACTTCAGCGTGAACTCCTGCTTCGAGAAACCCAACAAGCACGTCTGCACCAAGATGTAAGTGGGGCAACAGCGATAATAATCATAGCGTTGCTTATGCCACATGATCGATTGATTCACTGATTCATTAATTCATTGACTCATTTTTCTGCGCAGCGTCAATCAAAATGGCAAGAAGAAGACGCTGACAATGACACGTCAATGCTGCCACGGCTATGGTCGTCCACGGAACGCCGACTTCACCACACCCTGCGAGAAGATCGAGATCAAGGATATCGAAGCCACCGCCGCCGATATGGGCGCCAAGCAGTTCATCGAGAGTGCCAAGAGTGCCGGCCAGCTGGGCGACATGCTCGCCAGCGGCAGCGGCAAGAAGGTAACGATCTTTGCGCCCATCGATGCCGCCTTCCAGGAGTACCGCGGCCAGCATCAGCAGGAGAACGTGAGTAGCAATTACAAGGGTTGCATCTGTTTGATTAACCTACAGTGAGATTCGCTTAGAATGTGGATGATGGCAAGGCCGATGCAACGGGAAAGTCGTCGATTTACAAGCTGCACTCGGTGCTCGGCGAGGTTCAGCTGGAGGATGTGCCCAACGAGAAGCTGCTGCAGAGTGAGCTGCCCGGCCAGAAGATACGCATCAATAGCTATCAATTGCCGCCGGCACTCGGCCTGGAGCCCTATCGCTATGCAGCCAATTGTGTGCCCATTGAGAAGCACGACAAGCTCTCGGAGCAGGCACTGATCCACACACTCGGTGGCGTGCTCAAGCCCCTGACCAAAAACGTTATGGATCTGATACGTGAGCGCGCCGATATGTCCATCATGCGCACCGTGCTGGAGAAGACGAACATCAGTGCCCTGCTGGAGGCGGACAAGCCAGTCACCATCTTTGTGCCCACGGATGCGGCCTTCGACAAGCTGGAACCCCATCTGCGACGTGCCCTGAAGGAAGGACGCGGCTGTGCCTCCAGTGAGTAGCATTTGTTTTAAAACTCCCGTCAATACCACTCTGAAAAGAAGAAAGAGCACAGTTTAATTGGAGATATATTTTTAATATTTATAAGCCTATTTATACTTCAGCAAAGTTGTTATTTATTAGCGAAATAATATATATTTTTCTTCCGACTCTCCCCGCACAGATATACTGAAGAATCACATTTTGGATCTGACCTTCTGTTCGCTGGCGACGCTGCCCGGTGCCAAGACTACCGCCTACAACCTGCTGGGTGAGCCACTGCTGCTCAATCGCACCCAAAGTGCCCAGAATCAGAGCGAGGAGGCCACGATCTACATTAACAAAGTCGCTAAGATTGTGGATGCTGATATTATGGGCACAAATGGAGTACTCCATGTGATTGACACCATTCTGCCCACCGAATCGGCGCTGCCTATGACCACTTTGATGACGCAGAAGAATCTAACAATTTTCAAGGGTCTTCTGGAGGCATCTGGCTTCGATGATCGGTTCGATGACATGGACAATGTCACAATCTTTGCGCCCACGGACAAGGCGATGCAGAAATCGGAATGGGCACGTCTGCTTGCCGAGCAACCGGGTTCACTGAGGAATAACGCAGACTTGATGGAGTTCCTCAACTATCATGTGATCAAGCCGATGATCAAGACCTGTGATCTGGCAGAGAGTTCGTTGCCGACTTTGGAGGGCGGAAATGTTCGCCTCAATCTGTACTCCACCCATGCTCTCTTCTCGGACGTAATGAACCGGGCCACCGTCAACTGTGCCCGCCTGGTCCACTTCGATGACGAGAGCTGCGGCTCCGTGCTGCATCAGGTGGATCGTCCCCTCACAGTGCCCAAGACGGTAAGATTCGACAATAACAAGTACAAGAACTAGTCGAATTAATGCTAATCTTTCTTTTGCGCCGCTTAGAATCTGCTTAAATCGCTGGAGGCCAATCCCAACTATAGCAAATTCCTGGAGCTGGTGCGCAAGGCCAACTTGACCCATCTGCTGGCCAATGAATCCGACAGCTTTACGCTGCTGGTGCCCAAGAACGATGTGTTCGAGGAGTTCAGCGAATCGAACGAATCGAAGGCGTCACAGAGCCAGTCCGATCTCGTCGCACTCGTGAAGACGCACATCGTCAACGATGTTGTGTGCTGTGCTGGCATCATACCGACCAATTGGCCATTCGTTCGCTCGATCGAGTCGATCTCGGGTCAGCATCTACGCATCACTCGCGATCGCCGGCCCAAGATCGAGAATGCTGGTGTCACCAAATGCGATGTGATCGCCACCAATGGCATTCTGCACGAGATCAACGACATCATTGTGGCCCGGCCCGTGCAGCAGAATCGTCGACCACAGCTGGTGCCCGGCAGCTATCAGCCACAAGGCCACGAGTTTGAGGGCTTCTTCTAAAGATCGATGTTCTTGAGTCGATCATCTTTCTCTCTGTTTTGTGTGTATCTCTTTCTTTGTCTGCAACATATGCATATACAAGTATATATATATACATATAAATATATTTATATTATTTTATAATTATTTGTCAATGATTGGACACTCACATGAAGCAACTAATATCTGCACTTGCAAATCTCCCTGATAAATAAAATACATAGTTTTACACAAACAAATATACACTTGGTAAATATTTAAAAATGATTGATAAGTGAACAGATTAATAATTAAAAATATAAGCGCACTTATAAATTTCTTAAACAGCTCTGGAACTTCTAGCTCACAGTTTAACGGTATATATACAAAAACTGAATTGATTGGAATCACTTTCCAATAGCCAAGAATTCACTTGATAAGAGCAAAAGAAAACCGAAAATATAAGTTTTGCTTAAAACATTTATTTTTGTTGCTTGTGGAAAGAAAGGGACTAAAATCTGAAATAGTGAAATATTTCTACACTTTTAGTATAAACGATACAGAGCAAGATGTGAAGAAACTGAACTGATTAGTAAACTTCAACAATATGTTTTCAACCTTACAACAAAAAAATAACATTCTAAAAATATCCCTTCACTAATACGTTCGAAGCGTATTAAAGAGAGAGGGAGAGAGAAAGAGAACGCGAACTTTATAAGACAATGCTTCGAAAGTATATAAGAGATAGACTTTCCATTTGGCTCGCACCAACTCGCTCAACGTTCTTATCGCTTGAGTTAAATGAAAAACAAAAATGCATCGCTTTTTATACATAAATGAGCACAGATAAGGCATAAGCAATGCATCGAATGCGAGAATGTTTTAATATATTCCAGGCTTTTCCATTGCAAGTCACACTTGAACAGAGACAGTCTAGCACACTTTCAGCTTCCACAATGACCTGCAGATACGTCGGATAGGAGCGCGCCACCGGGTTAAGAGTCAGCACTTTGGCGCTAGGTGGCGCCACCTTAAGCTCTACGATAAGAGTTTGGCGCTGGGATTGGATGATGCAGCTGCCTTCTTGGTGGGCATACCCAATCGTCGTCGACTGCTGAGCAGGAAGCACTCCAATATTTATGCGATAAGTAAGTAATCCGGTTTCGTGCTGCTAATGTTGGGATTGCATTGCATTGCATCACAAGGCACTCATCGAACTTGGCCCATGAGAAGAACCGACTTGGCTTGCAACTCCAACTATCCATTATTTCTCCATCTTTTTTTCTCACAGTGTCTTTAAACATGTTTTATATCATCGATATCGTCTGTATATATTTATATACATGTTGGAATTGCTTCGAGATCAGCTCAATTTCAGCTGCTGCACCAAGAAAAAATTATGTATATAAACATTCTTAATGCAATTAAGCAAAACCAAAAATGATCAGAAATTTCCCTTTTTGTCAAACTGGCGTACTCTTCATTAAAGTTAAGAGTACCTAAGAATATTAAATCTTTAGTAAAGAGAAATGTACCTAAGGGTATTAAAAAACAGAAGTGCTGATAAGCTGATACCGCGTGTAGTAGACTCCCTGAGAATAATCTAATTAGTGAAGTTTCAAGTTTTGCGTTTTAAAAATTATATAAAAGTATACAAAAGAAAATGAACATAATGTTTTATAAATAGTTATATGCTCTTTTCATGCTATGCATTTAACATGCTATGCGAGACATTCTCTTTTATTGCCGGCGTTTGCATTTGCAATAAATGGGCAAACACTTCGCACACACACACACAAGTGTTTGGGAGTTCTCGTCAAGTGAAACGAAAAGTCAACGTTTCTCGTTCAGTATGTTTCATGAGCTCTTGGCAACTAGAAGCGATTCGTGTCGGTTGTGAAATTAATTTTATCGACACGTAAAAATACATGAAATAAAATTGAATCTTTGTGCTTGCTAAACTGAAATTGAAAAAATAAAACACAATTTATAAATACAAATAAAATAAAAGAAGAAAAAAACAATATAATGTCTGGAAGATTGCCAGCCACCTTCGTGAAGGGCTTCCACGATGAGGAGCAAGTGAAGCGCATGGAATACCGCCTTTTCGGAAAAACGGGTCTGGAAATTTCGAAGCTCGCGTTTGGTGCAGGAGTGTTCTGTTCCAACTACAGGTGTGCTTGCAATAAATGATAAATTAAATGAAAAACAGTTTTGTATTTTTTGTGTTATGCTGATGCAGCTTTATGGAGAAGGAGGCAATTCGAACCGTGAACGAGGCGCTCAAGTCTGGCATCAACTACATCGATACGGCGCCCTGGTATGGCCAAGGTCATTCGGAGTCGGTGCTCGGCAAGGCGCTGCAGGATGTGCCCCGATCTGCGTACTATATAGCTACTAAGGTTGGACGCTATCACCAGGACTACGATAACATGTTTGACTTCAGTGCGAAAAAGGTTATCGAGAGCGTCAGCCTGAGTCTGAAGCTGCTTGGCCTGAGCTACGTGGATGTCATCCAGATCCATGACATTGAATTCGCCCCCAACTTGGACATTGTGCTTAATGAGACGCTGCCCGCGCTGGAGCAGCTGGTCAAAGAGGGCAAGGCCCGGCATATAGGCCTATCCGCTTATCCTGTTTCGGTGCTCAAGGAATGCATTTCACGTGCCAACGGCAGATTCCATGTGAGTACACTCTGTGGAAAAAAAAAAAAAATGTAAGCTCATCTCTCGCAAAACAAAAGTTCCACCTGAAAAAAACGTGCAAAAACTGTAGTCGAGTGAGTTGAACTGCACAACCAGCTGTTACATATATATATTTCAAAAGCTTTTGCACATTCAACGCCAATCAGCTGTGAAATTACTCTCAGTTCATATTACCCACACATATGCTGAAGGGCACACGTACATACATACATCTGCATATACTTAACTGAAATCAGCGGCTTGCATTTGCATACATATGTATGTATGTGTGCAGTTGTAGATTTGGTGCGCTGGAGAATACACAGAAACACACACACACATTTACGCTCGCTTCTATTATCATGCTATCCCATTCTCACACATGCACGCGCATATTCATGCGCACAAAAAGTGCTCGAGTGTAATGCGATCAATATGAGTACTATAACTTGTGTATTTCTTATCCGATCTTGATTAAGTTTTGACAGTTGATCAATAATACATCAAATAATATTATGAATAATTCGAAGATCATATGTACTTTTAAAATTGCGACATTTGTGGCTATCAGAAATCGATTTGTATCCATATACATAGATCAGAGAAACGAAGAAGCACCAACAATAATAATTTATATTGTTACATTATATTATTATTAAATTATTTTTTGTACTGTTAAGGAGGACAAACATTTTTAAAGTTACGAAAGATTTCTTCCTATTGGAATACAATTATTTTATTATTCTGAGTTTTGAAAAGAATATTTCAAAATTGAACCCTTTACACTAAATATATTTCGTAATTTAAAAAGAAATATCTGTAAAACATAAGATATTTTTCAGAACATATTTTAATCAAATATTATTTAAAATGTTTAATTTTACAGGTGGTGCTTTCGTATTCCCGTTACACGCTGACTGACAACACTCTACTCGAGTATTTGGACTTCTTGAAATCCCAGAAACTGGGCATCATTTGTGCCGCTGCCCATGGCATGGGTCTGCTCACAAACGAAGGACCACAGTCCTGGCATCCGGCCACCGAGAAGCAGAAGATATCGGCTCTTCAAGCTTCAAACTACTGCAAGGAGCGTGGCGTGGAACTAGGCAAGCTTGCAATGTGGTACACGATGCAGCTGGATGATGTGAGCACCTTTCTGGTTGGCATGCAGACGAGGCAGGTGCTCCAAATGAATTTGGATGCAATTCGCAACGGCCTCAATGAACGGGAGCAGGAAGTGTTGCAGCATCTCAAAGATAAGTGAGTGGCGGTCAAGTTGCATTCGCACTCGATCTCGGAAGTTGACCGAAATTGTGCAACTCGGATACAATGTTACTGTTGCATCATATCCGACTCCATTTCCAGACACACAGATAGAGACACACAGAGACAGAGAGTCGGAGACAGACATTCAATTCACAATCCCAGTCTCCCAATCGGAGTCCGGTTCCATTATATTGTCTTTTATGTGCATAGAGATATTGTCAAACTTGGCCATCGGTGCAGTAGGCAGCCAAACACTCTCTTTCTCTCTCTCTCCGTCTCACTCTCTGTTGCATGTTGTTCAACTTGTTTTAGCTTCACATATCTATAGATTTATGAGTTGATTACTGCAATTGTTCACTTGCGCTTTTTTATCAATTTGCATCTTTACAATGCTTTTCCAATTTCGCGGATCTAACATTTTTCCATATTTTCAGCATCTTGGTGAAGCCTTCACACTGGGAGGGTATCGAAGTGGAAAGATACAGGGCCGCCATGGAAAGAGACAGGGCCGCCGTATAGAGGCGATAGCAATCCCTGTCAATTATTCACACGAAAAGAAAAAAATCAAATATTCATAAACGCAAACTATTATGAACATTTTTAAATCAATCAATTGAAATGTGTCTTAATTAATCTACAAATCAACATTTCAAATAAAACATTTTATATGATTTAATTAAATAAACAGATACCGTTTTTTATTGACTTTTGAACAAGCTTTAAGTTTTATTATTGGGGATTTTTTCGTCGATTGCTGACTAATTTAATAATAATACAATACATTAGCAGTAATTGTTATTTATCGATAACCCTTATCAGAAGTCAGAAATAAACTTATGCTTATATACTCGTACATATATGTTTATTGTTGCATAACCGGATGATAATATAATGCCATATAAATTGTGTACAATTTATGACAAATCTCAAATGTCCAACTAAGTAATTTCCAAAGCTCTGTAAAGTGCTTTTTTTGTTGATTGGCTAAAGGAGACCAAATGTGCAACTTCCACCTTTCGCCGCCATGGTCACCAGCGTGGCACTCAGCTAATTCACTAATTAAGCCTTAATTAACGCAATTGTTTGTAATATCTATTTGTAATATACACATAAAAAATAATAATAAAACAAAAACAAAATCCAAACAAGCCGCATAAATTGCAGGGAGAATCGTCGAAGCGCACAGCGGCGGTGTGGAAAACTGGGAAGTTTAATAACATTTTGAATAATGAATACTCGCAACTGCAACTGCAACAGCGGCAACAAAAATAACAACAAGCAAAAGTGCAATGCGAAATGAATGCACAACAAAAATGCGCATGAATAGCGGAAATGCCGTGGCTGAAGCTGAAGCTGAAGCCACATTTTGTTTTCCTTAAACTGCTCTTTGCGCGTTTTTTGCCTCGCAACAATTTTGTGCCTTGTGCTTTAAACATCTTCCGTTTTGCTCGCACTCACTAGTTTAGATATGCATGTTGCTTGGTGGCTGTTAATAAATTTAATCTTATCAATGCAACGGACGAACGGTGTCTGCGCTCCAGCTGATTGACCAGATTCTCAGTTGCGCACGCGCTCTTCCATTCACTCGCTCTCTGTCTCTCTCTCTGTATTCACTCTCCCTCTCTCGACGACTGCAGCCCAAGTCGAGCTTTGGGATTTATATGCGCTGTGCCGTCGCTGTCAAAGCGTCAGTTTTGCTTTCAGCTTTGAATCGTTGGGACGTGTTTCGCGCTTCAAGTCGTTAACCAATTTTGTATTAAATAACAAAAGTTGTGGTCAAGTGCAATAATGTTCAGGCTACAGAATATGCTTTTGCTTTTGTTGGGCTGGAACATGTTGCTAGCCGTCTACGCAGCTGGTAACAAAAAGCAACAACAACAACAAGGTAGGTTATCGACACGCATCTAAAAAGAACGCTGTGAATCATGCAGGGAGTGGAGAAATTTTCAATGGCAAGTTGGGGCAGTTCTATGCGGACCAAAACATAAGAAACCGGTTTAAATGTACTCGTAGCCGGCGTAGAACACAAAAAACAGTAAATACTGATGAGCTTAAGGTCGCTAAAACTTCTGTGTTGTGGCTCGTTGGTCACAGATAAAAACTCATTTATTTATACACATCTAGGTGGCAAGACACAGAGCAATTTTCTAAAAAGAAAACTGGATGAGAAACATAAAGTTCAGTAAAAAAATACGTTCCTAAAACTCAAACTATATTTGTTACTTTAATTGAATATCCGTTAGATTAGAAGTAAAACTTTAGCTTTTATTCATTGAAAAAGGTGAAAAAATTAATTTTTAATTAAAGGTTTAAGAAGTCAATTGGATATTATTTTTATTATTCAGACAAAAATGACTGTGGCTTAAGGGAAAGACTTAATGCCATTAAAATATGCTACAAAATTTAGGAGATACTAAAAAAAATCTAAAATTATTTTTCAAAACAAAATGAATTGACTAAGTTGCATGTTTATTAAAAATATTTGCAATCAAATCATGAAATTGTTTTAGAAGCCCGTTTTCCTTGAGTAATGTTTTAAATTAATGTTTCGCCAATCGTTGCAGAAATCTGGGAACAAGACCTTTCGGACACCTTTAAAATCGAGGGCAGCGATCAAGGCATACAAAAGGTTAATCTGAAATGTGGTGCGAATTCGATGAATGTGGTGCTGGAGACGGAGAAACCATTTACGGGTGTGATGTACACCCGGGGAAGTTTCTATAAGCAATCGGCGCCATGCTTCATGAAACCGAATACGAATCAAGGACTTCGCACATTGGAGATGAACTTCCAGTTGGATCAGTGCCAAACGCTGAAGGATGGCGATCTCTATTCGAACATTGTCGTCATCCAGAACGATCCGGAGCTAATCACGCCTGGTGATTCGGCCTTCTCGCTGGAATGCGATTTCCGTCAGCCACGCAGCCTGGATGTGGAGGCCAGCATGCAGGCCAGGGACAGGTAAGATAAAAGCCGCAAGCGTAATTACTCGAAAATGAATATATATGAACAAATACATATGTATGTATATATAAATACAAAACACGGATGTGTTCTGAACATAGAAATCCACAAAAATTGCGCGGAGCACGCGGTGGAACCCGCCAGCGTCAATAGAACTTTTCCCCTATGACTACACATTAAGTTCTTCAACTATATTCACTTCCAATAGCTGTGTACTTAAGGTACAAATTCAAATTTCAACTTAAAATCTCGTTCTAAACCTAAACCCTTAAGTAGAGCCTTACTAACCACCACAAGCAAAAACCAAAAACAAGAAGCACACAGAACACTGAACTCCAACATAACCTACATGCGATCCACGCATACATTCCGCATTCCACAGAGTGGCGACCAAATCAAAAATAACCCTCACAAGTCCCGATCCCGCGGCACCAATGGATAATCTACACAACTCGGTGTTTAGCAACAGTGATACAGTAGAATACATACCAAAGTTCTCAAAACCAAATGAAACCATTCGACTGGGCACGGTTGAGGAGGTGACTCTGCCGCTGGCTCACCAAAGGGATGAGCTCTAAACTCCAAACACTTTCGACCACCACAAACAATACAAAAAAAACATAAACACACTTTAAAAAAAAGAAAAGAAAACACTACAGGTGAGACTGCACCACACGCTTTTTGTTGTATTATTTGTTGATTGTTATGAAACCCTTTTTTTACTTATCTTATTAAACTTAAATTTTATTAACCATTTGTTTCGCAGGAAAAACGCACAGAATGCAACACAGACGGTCTAAAGGCAAACGACTCGAATTCTATATTGACTTGAATGCTCTTTTTAATATCTATATCCTGTGATATTTTTTAAGTTTGCTTTTAATAAAACAGAACACCCAAAACGTATATTTAATAAATGATTTTCAATTTACAATATGGGCGCGCATTTAGAGTTGCCCCAAAATACGTTGCTGCAAAGTAAACAAAACAGCTGAGCTTATATTTGGAAATTTCTGGCAACGCCATTAAGAACCAGATGGTCTGGCAAGCTTTGGCCTGTAGAAATTTACAATTAAATTTGCAATTTTTCCTAGAAAGCTAAACTTTTCAGACTGCGATTTGTTCGATAGTCGGGATTTTTGCATTTTAAGCCGATAAATATAAAGTGTAATTTAATGTACAATTTGTCTTGTTGCCCGAATTGCACTTAAGAACGACTCTAATCGATTGCAAATCATCGGTTGGGGGTTTTTTTTTATCATTGCGCATCTAAAATTACACAAAGAACGTCAATAAAATTAAATTAAATTAAAATTAGACACTAATGCTGACGCTTAGTTAAGGCAGCAAAATGGATCATCGTGTATTTATTACACTGCTCTTCGTATTGAGTGGAACCCTGAATGTTTTAGTGATCAAGTAAGTAACTTTAAAAAGTCACAGAAACTGCGTAAATTAAAGATAAGCTAATGACAATGGCACTATATCAATGAAAGATGGATGAACATGCAGTTGGTGCAGGGCAGCGATGGAAAACTGCATCGCTTTCAGCATCCCGTCTTCTTGACGTTGCTCATGTTCCTTGGCGAATTCCTATGCTTTGCAGTTTACAAATTGATCCATGCGCTGATGTCGCGACGCGGCGTAAGTGCAAAATAAAATATGATAAATATAAGTATATATATATATATAAATATGTATGTATTATATCTTCAGCACTTTGACAGTGAGGAGGATCACATTTTGATACGCGGCAGCACTGAGTTCCAGGCGTTTAGCATGTTGCTGCCATCTCTGCTGCGCAGCGTGGCATCCATTCTGCTATTCACCGGCCTGTATTTGACGTATGCCACCAGCTTTCAAATGTTGCGAGGTTCGTTAATCATCTGCGCCCGTTGAGTGTTCAATTTGCTGAACATTCGAGCTCATTTTTTTGCAGGCGTTGCACTCATCTTTGTGGGCCTGTTTAGCACGATGTACTTGAACCAAACGCTGACCACCCGCCACTGGTTAGCCATCTTCACCATGACGTGCGGCATCGTTGACATCTTGGCATTGGATGTGCAGCGCGTGGAATATGATAATCAAACTCTGCCGCATAAGGATCACAATACCATTCTCACTGGCGATCTGTTGATCATCGTTGCCGAAGTGCTGCACGGTCTACAGTATGTGTACGAGGAGAAGCACTTGAAGGCATCGGACTTGAAGCCCATTCAGGCGGCTGGTTGGCAGGGCATCTTTGGCATTGTTATCACCATAGTGGCAGCATCTTGTCTAAACTTTGTGCCCTGCGTTACGCCCTTCAATGAGAGCTCACGCGGTGTCTTTGATGATCTGGGAGATATTATTCCGCAGCTATGCAACAACACCTGGTTAATCCTTGCACTTGTCGGCTTCACCTGCTCTTGTGCTATTTACAATTGTATCGGAATGTCCATTGCAAAGTTCTCATCCAGCGGCAATCGTCTGCTCGCCGATGGAATACGTGTCTATCTCATCTGGGCGTTTGTTCTCTTTGCCGAGTGGGAGATTTTGAATTTGGTCACACTTATGGGTCTCATAATACTGCAAATGGGCATCATGTTGTTCCGACAGGCCATCTTTCTGCAATGGTATCGCGCCGCCTTGGCTCGCTGGCAACGCATTCGATACATGGACTTGGCCGCAGATGCTGGACCCACGCCCAGCACCCAACCTGCAGACGTAGTCTAAGATAATGTTGGTAGAAAGTATAGATTTTGTATAGAATGTGATATGAGAGGCGGGCTGATATACGTAGAGCTATCCAGTTTTCGGATTGATCATTAAAATTTACTTATCAATTGACTTTAGCATACAAATAAACGTTTTAAAAACCTATTGTACTCAATAACTAAAGCTGATTTTTGTTGTTAATTAACAGAAAATTTCAACGGTCAAAAGCAAGTATTTTTGTATGTTGCTGTATATTTAAGATTATATAGTTACTGTAATCATCGGAGATGAACCATGATAAGCCTTTTGGTTCAGATAACTTATGTCAGTTTGTTTCTATTACTAACTTAGGCAACAAAGATTTCGAAATAAAAGTCAATTATATTAGCCCAAATTAAACGAATCTGGAAACTGGGGAGTTTAGGTTTCTCCCTCAAAACCAATTATTCAAACTCAGTATGCAAATTAATGATGTTTGTTTTTCAGCGATTTTTAAAAACCAAACCCAATGCAATTTTACATTTTTCAAGGTTTTTTATAAATCTAATAAAGTAGAATCCAAAAAATGTATTACTATAATTAAAAAAGGCCGACAATTTTGTACCACAAACATTAAACAGATTTCTTTTGCTCAATACCCAGAATTCGCTCACCAATGCCCAGGAAGTAGACCATCTGAGCAATTCCAAAGAGTGGAGCTATTACAATCATTCGGCATAAGCCGCCCTTGAAAAGGGCCTTGGGTCCCTCGTACTTCAATGTTTTGCTAGTGGAAGTTATTTGGCAGTTATTTCAAATATCAAATTGAAAGACAAATACAAATACAATGATGATGTTGGAAACGCACCCAATGCAATCGGCGATGCCATTGAACTCCTTCTCGCCATCCGCCTTTTTAATGGCCTGCAAACGGGTTTTAATCACATCCAAAGGCGTAACCGTAAAAGAAGCTGTCATGCCCGACAACAAACCAGAAACGAGGGACCACCAGAAGACGGCTTCGCCGGAGTTGCCCGATTTCCGGGGTCCACTGTCATTCAACGAGGCAAACAGTGGAAAGTAGATGACGGAGAAGGTGATGTCGCGAGCACCAGTCGCCCGTACACCTTTGTATAAACCAAGGATGCCATTGTCTTTAACCAGCTGTTTGGTGATAGACCATGCGGTCACCTTCCGTAAATCCTTACTGCCACTTACACGACCGGCATCCTGCAATTGAATCTTTAGCAGCTCCATGGGCGTGGTCACAATAATTTGGAATGCACCTGCCAGTCCGCCAGCCAAACACTGCCTCAGCAATGTTAACTTGCCCTCCGGCGTGGCCAGATGGTAACGGAAATAGTCGTTGGCAGCCAATTTAATGCCCTTCTCTGGGGTAATCAGTAAAATGTTTACGGCCGAGCCGCGATACATGCCAAAGTATCCCTCAGCCGCGTAGGTTTTGCGGAAGCAATCAAACCTGAATAGAGGAGTAATGAGGAGATTAAGGAGATTCGATCAGAATGAACATGATTGATTGTTGGACTCACATGCTGGTGTACATGCGTTCGCCATTGGGACCAATCTGTTGATTTTGGAGACGTGTCTTCACCAAATCCAATGGGAACACACATGTCACGCCAATAACGCCCGCAATTCCACCGTTTATCACTCGGGGTAACACACTGTTGGCAGTACTCAATTGGCCAATTAAACAATTGATGCGATTCATCTGACCAAAAACTTACGCAAAGGTGTCAGGTTTTTTTGCAGCTGCCATTTTAACACAACCGATTTCGATTTTCTCAAGATTCTATACACTTGCAATTTGAATAAAAGTCTGTGTACACATTTAACTGCTGTAAAGGTGTTTATAACCGTTTTTTAAAATTAGATATATGCTTTTTGTATGCCTACTGATGTTAAAATAAAGCTAAAGCAAGCAAAAAATCAATTTTTATATGTATGTATATATATCATATGTATATATAATATTTATTCGCGCATACTAATATCGAAAGTAAAGCTAAAACAAGCAAAAATGCAACTTTCACTAGAAATGTCTATTCATATGGGCAAAAGAACGTACAAATTGTAACAGTTGGAGATGCTCTATGCAGCTGAACAGATATGTATCGTCAAAAATAAAGACTTAATTAGTTATAATAGCATTGACATTCAGTATCTTATTGTCTTTGTGGTTGAAGTTCTTTTGCCTATAATTGTTTGTATAATCGCCCATATTGATGAATTGAAATAATAATAATAAACTGCATAATTCTATGGCGAGCTATTCACTTTTTACATGGATATTGGACATCTTTAACAGCAATAACAACAATTCATACACATTTAACATTCATAGAGGAAACGCATAAAATGCTTCTGGATAAATTTCCTAAATTTTCATTTACTTCTTCTGCACGCCCAGCAGGCCCTCGGCAACGCCCAAATAGTATACGGTTTGGGCAATACCAAACAGTGGTGCAATCACAATCATACGGCAAAGACCGCCCTTGAAGAACGCTGTGGGTCCTTCATGCTTCAGGGTTTTTCTATCGAATATAAAACAGAACATTAATCATTGCAAGTTACAATGTATGTATATATGTATACTTACGTAATGCAATCGGAAATGCCCTTAAACTCCTTTTCGCCATCAGCCTTCTTGATGGCCTGCAAGCGCGTTTTGACCACATCGAATGGATTGACCGCCAGCGCGGCCGTTGAACCAGCCGCCAAGCCGGCCAAGAAGGAGCACCTAAGGCATACAAATAAACCGGTTAGTTAGTTAAGGATTAGGGTTAAGGCTAAGTGCATACCAAAAGACCGCTTCGCCGGAGCCATCCTTGCGTCGCGGACCCAGATCATTGAGCGTGGCAAACAATGGAAAGTAAATAACTGAAAATGTAACATCACGCAGACCCGTTGCACCGATGCCCTTGTATAGGCCAAAGATGCCCTTCTCCTTGATTAGCTGCGTAGCCAACTGGGTGGCCGAAACCTTTTCCATGGTTTTGCCAGCCAGTTTGGCAGCAGCGGCCACACGTCCAGCATCCTGCATTTGAATTTTCAGCAATTCCATGGGCGTGGTCACAATAATTTGAAAAGCGCCAGCCAAACCGCCAGCCAACATTTGGCTGCTCATGGGCAGTTTACCATCTTTGGTGGTCAGCTTGTGTCGGAAGTAATCGTTCGCCGTCAATTTGATGGCCTTCTCGGGGGTGATCAAGAGGATATTGACGCCAGAGCCGCGATACATGCCAAAGTAACCCTCCGCCCGATAAGTCTTGCGGAAGCAGTCGAACCTAGAGTTAGGCATTAATGAGGACTCATAAGGAGATCGGAATGATCGTTCGGCAGTTGTACTTACATGCTGTTGTACATACGTTCGCCATTGGGTCCGATTTGCTGGTTCTGCAAACGAGTCTTTACCAAATCCAATGGAAAGACACATGTCACGCCAATAATGCCAGCAATGCCGCCATTAATGATCTTTGGGAGCAAACTATAAAAAAAGAAAGAAAAAAAATATATAAGTACTTATTCATTTAAATAGCGTGTGTCTTTCTTTGTTGGCTAATTGTCAAATATTTGCACTGCGTTAACCTTTGCATTCATTTCGTATGTCCAACAACAACAAAAACAGACAGTTCCCAGGCAGGCGACCTTGACATTGGAAAAGCAGCGCTGCCGCATATCGATAAATCGTTAATCGATAATCGGTGTGACTGCCTCACTTTCTTTTTGTACTTAAATAAACAAATAACAAAACAAAAGGTAAACGCAAGCATTTTGTACGCTTTTATATTGTAGATGAATATGAAAAAATAGTTGGTAGCTTGCCAGCATAGCATAAGATTGTCTCAGCTATATGCTGATAGTACCTATTTTTAGTTGGAAAATAAAAACAGAAAACTTGCGAATGAATAAACTAATAAGGACTGCACTATACAAGATTATGTCATTTGCTTTGGCCCAATAAATAAAAAAAAAAACAATAGAACAGCGCCAGATTAGATGGGTGCAATGACTGATCTGTTTCACAGTAATAAATTACAAATTTAATTTAATTTTATATATATATATATATACATAAATAAATATCTATATATATATATATATATCTATATATATATATATATATCTATATATATATATATATATACATATATATAGATATTTATTTATTTATTTATGTATGTAGAAAACTTGTTACTAATTGCACTCGGACCAGTGTATAAATTTTTATTATTATCATTCGTTTATTTGGTGTTTACAATGATATGTAAACAGTAATTTCAGTAATTACTTACGCAAACTGCTGCTGCTGGGGCTGTGGCAGAGGAGGTTCATAATTTTGAGGTTGACTTACTGCTGACATGTTGCTAAAATCAATAAATATGAATTAGAAAGGAAACAGAGTAAAACTGACAAAATTAATTATACTTAGTTAAAAGTTAATTGCTTAAATTTAAACTGACGAATTAAAATTTCGCTTGTCGGCACTTCAAATATAAATTCTCATACATTCAACAGATGCTAGGCGCTTTCAATATCTATCCTTTACTTAAGATAAGCGCCTGTATTTGCTTTGTGCTTTCTATAATTGATATGCGGTCTTTGGCTTTGGTCTTGTCTACACATATTAAAAGCGCGATATCAGTGGAACTGCCAAGGTTTACTGATATACAGCGAAAGCGGGTGCGAAGCATTGTCAGAGATTAGCAACCTTATCAAATTGGAACGCATGCATTATGTGTGAATGCACGCGAAGCCATATTTGCTGACTTACATTAGTATATATACTACACTGAATGAATTTTAGCAATTTAGCATTAAAGTGTTAATTGAACCAACGAAAAAAAGGCGCTTATATAGTTAAAGTATTTTATTTAATTCGATCTGAACAGTTAAGGGGAATTCAATGACGCCATTACCGCAGTGGGCGGCAGATAAGCAATATTGCCATTCACATTTATTGGAACTCATTAGTGGCATAATCAACTTTATTCGACTGATTTTTACACTAGCAGTAGAGTATTGGGCAGTCGACTCTCTCTCGACATGGTTATCTTTAACAGCCGAAATATGCTGAATATTGAAGAAGGCCAAAGTGCTGGCAAGAATAAATTGTTATAACATTATAAAGTGATTTAGATTAAAGGCCACACATCTCAAAATATGTATAAGTATACATTGTTCTTATCAAGATATTGCACATTATCGATTGCTGTTACTGCCTGAAAAAAAGACCGAGTCGAACGACTTCAGCGAGACATTTGTTGATTTATCAAGATTTTTGTTGTTGTGTGCGCTGTGTTCGGCTTATTATATCTGATCTGGTTTGGCAGGTAAGAAGCTCGATATACTGATTATCAGAATTTCAGCATTTTTGCTGTTCAAACATTGGGTACAATTTTACGTAATTTTTGATGAACGTATGTATGTATATCAGTGAGCAGCAGATGCCCCGTTATAAATTAAATTGATTGACGCACACTTAAGCCTCGTATATCGTACTATCAATGTATGCATATATCTATATATATTTTAGATGTTCATTTATTGGTCATGAAACTCACATAATTTGTTTTAATTGACTTGTTCACTTTACACTTATTCTCTTTCTGTTAATTTACAACTTTAAAATGCATATGTCGGTATGTCTGACAATATACAATGAAATCCTATGTTTTTTTTGTTTTCGTATGATTTTCGGCGCTTTGTCATCAGCGTGTGGCACTCAACGAAAGCTCAAGGAATTTATGCTTTCAGCGCAACGGGAACTCTCTCTGCGAGCGTGCCGGCGTGTACTACTGAATATTTAAGTTTATTTTTTTTTATTTTAACCAGTATAAACACGCAAACTGCTGAGCGGAAAGCTCAACGAATTCTGTATATTGTGCCAGCGTCTGGCAACGCTCGAAGTGCCGTGCTGCTCAACACTGCTCAGTCAGCATTTTCTAGCACTGGGAATTCTTTCGACTAGTGTTTTCGCTTCGTTAACTGGGCGACAATAATAATAACATTGATACGTTCACAAAACCAATTTAGAATAATTATAGTGAAAAATGAGTTCGGCCCGTTTTGACCGTTCGGGTCACATACATACTGATGAGCATGTTTGTGGTACTCCAACAACGGATCCAGGTCCAGATAGGAAATAGAAAATAGTGCATGGGATTGGCGCCAACACCGACAGGTGTCTGCTGCTGTTGCTGCATGATCAGCTCGTGGGTATATTTTCGCGTACTGCTGCTGTTGCTGCCACCGTCACCACTGCCGCCGCCAACGGCAAACACACAAGAAACATTGATAATGGGTGATTGCTTGGCACGTTCCGCAGCAGCGGCGGCTACCTCGGCAATATGGCCTATGTAGCATCCCACATCCTGTAGGGTATGAAAGCGGGTCGCAAATGCGGCGGCGGTCCATAATCGTTGGTAACTATCGTAAAAGCTAGCTGTCAAAATTTTATCTTTGTAAGACTCTTTTGCTATTGCTGTAGGTTCAGGCTCTGCGTTGAACTGACCAGGCGCACCATCGGGTATCTTGCCATATGCCTGGCGATAGTAGCTGCAAGCAAAGAAACGGATTAAATTGATGTATATCAATCGAATTTAATCATATTCATATCTTGATTGCTTTTCGTGATTAAAATTAATAAACAGAATGATTGAACAAAAAGGAATTGATACATGTTGATAAGCAAATTGATTTTGATGGAACTACTGATACACTTTGTTTGCTTGAATGGTTGAGTGATTTGGATTTATTAATAGATTGATTGATTTCAACATATTTGGTTGCATTCATAACGATTTGTAGTTTGAAAAGCTTACCAATTTTAAGTTAATTTTTGAATCGAATATAATATGGATTGATGGAAATTGATTGATTGCTAGATAGATTTAAGCTTATAAAAAAAACATTTAGATTCATTGTTTTAAATTGATTGATTGGCAGCTAGAAATTCCTATATTCCTAGATTGCATTGTATAATATAAGTGTATAACATAATTTATTCAACTTGCGCATCCCGCTCGCGATCGGATATGGTGCGTGGCGGTCCAGTTTCGGGTACTGGACTCAGTATATAAGGTGCACGGGTCCCCGATAGAATGCGTTCGACACGCTTGGCCTCCAGCTCGCCCTGGCGCTAACGCTCCCGAGCCTTAGCTGCTCGCTCCTGATCGCGTCGCTGCTGCTCCCGCTGTTGATAAAATTGATTGTTTATAATTTTAGTGCTTAAATTTTTTGAGTGCATCCCATTTTAAATTTATTGGCACTTTTCGATAAAAGATATCAATAGAGTGAAACTATCGAAAAAGCATCTCTGCGGCTTGAGTTGAGTTGAGTTATTAAAAACGCTTGCGTTCGAAATTTAAAAAAATCTAGGACGAACTGAAATGTCGAATGAGAATTTTTCGCGTGTGCACAGCTTCATAGCAAATATGTGCGCATCCAATGAAGGAGTGCGCAAAGTTTGGGCTCAATTCGAGAATGCGGTGAAAAGGAAGGAGGAGCTCAGCGTCATCAAAATTCGTATGCTAACCGTTATGCATGTTTGTGCATGCCGCATAGAAAAACAGAAAGAAGAAGAAAAAAACAATGACTAACGGTTTATATGTATGTATGTGTTTAGAGGCGCAGAAGGACAGGAACAATTTGGAACTGGATTTGATGGTGCTGTGTGAAGCGGACAAGGTTAAGCAGGAGGCACAACAACAAACAGTCGAAATTGAGAGACTGCTGATGGTGACCTTCGATCAGGTGCTGGAAATGTCCCACCTGCTGAAAGACGATAGGATGATGAATATGCTACACTATGGGGTGCTGCGCAAACAGATCGAAGTCCAGGACACACTCAAACGCATCGAGGAGAGCCAGACAGCCGATCTCGAGTACAAGGCGACAATGGAAAACCGCTCAGTTGGTAATTGAAACTAAAATTGTATGACAAAAAAAAAATCCACCATATTTAACGTAAACATGCCATACATTTTTACGCTGTGTAGTGCAAGAGTTTCGCAAATGGCAACGTGCCTTGCAAAAGTCCCAAGAGAAATATGCGGGAATCCAATTGGAATCGGAGGAATCCAATCGCCAGTGGCGCATTAAAATCGAAAGAGTGACGCAGCAGCGCAACCAAAAGATTATCGCATTGGTTCAGCTAAGCAAACAGCTCGCTGAGGTAAGCAGAACAATTGAATTTGATTTGATTTGATTCCATCGACTCTCACACACACATATTCAGTTTGAGGCGTTACCTGAGCTGCGTCAAATGAGTAGTAGCAGCAACAACAACAACAAGCCGAGCAATGTTGCACTCACTCTTCATTTGCAATCGGCCCGCGATTTTCTGGAAAACTATCCCATTGCTGAGCAGATGGTTGAAGATGCAGAAGTTATGCTTGACAGCAATCCAATTGCTGACATGATCGGTGAGGATGCGGCGCCGTTGCAATCTATAGTGGTGGTTAATAATCAACCGCTGGAGGATGTCAGCGATTCAAATCCACAAAAGCAAGTGCATTTTGCTCCACTGCCATCGCCAATTCGGGTTGACGATGACTCATCTAGTTTGGAACAAGAACAAAAATCAGAAACATCCGCTAAGAATTTTACTGAGCGTGCCATTGTTCAGTATGTGCAAATTTTACCAAAATTGGACTTGTCCATGGAATTTCAAACTGATTCAAATAGGAATCTGAACTTTAGTGATACTTTCGAATTGAATGAAAGCGTTTCAGATGAGCATTTGGGCAATGGCAAACAAATCGAAGGCGTTAAGAAAAGCATCAACGACACCGAAATTTTTATTGAAAATAATTTCTCACCAATGCAAACTGATGATTGCGCAAATGTGAATATTAATGATATAAGTAGTAGTATGGACATTCAAAATAATGAATTCTTTCTTCAATTTGATGAAAGTAGTGAAAAGCAGGGAAATAATGATCGCTCCTATGACCTCTAAAATATAATGTAATATAACTAATATACATCAACTTAAGTATATAAAGTATTCGACTCTTTTGTTTTGAAACAATATTAATTTCCTAATGCCAAAGAAGGCTGTTTAATTTCTCAGTTTCTCGATTTTACTTAATTATAATTTGGAAATTTGTTTTCTATTACATAAAACTCAATATCAAATATTCAACCAAAAAATATGTAAGACTAGTTTTTAAGCGGAACAAATAATCAAATATTTCATATTTCAAGCAGCAACGACAACAGAAACAGTTGCTATAACAGAACAACTTAATTATAGTATTTTCACTAATAAAATAATTTTTCGTTATACCCAATCTCAAGCAGTTTGTATTTTATCCGTTGCTCATCTCTGGTCACATTGAGAGTAGTTTAGCGCCCTTATCGTTATTTTTGTCAAATATGCTGTTGAATCCTGGAAATCCTTCAATGCCAATCGGAAGTAATTTTTAATGTATGCTGAAAATGTGCCCATTCGGCATCCTTAAGGAAATAGCCGAGTTATGGCTTGGCTTGGACAAATCTTTATAGATTTTCGAAGAGCATGGTGCGTTGTGATAACATGGACTTACATTATCAATCTGCCTTTAGGAATTTAGACCGTAAATATAGTGGGTCAATGCACAAAGTCAATGATAACTTAAAAATCTATCTAGCCGATTCATTGACTCCCCTGTATCCCAAGAGAAACAAAAGTTTAATTTTGTTATACATTTTTTTTTTTTTTATTGTTATTTTTCTTGTTTGTTCGTATCTGTGTTTTCTTTGCTTTTTAATATGTTTATATTATTATTTGCAAGCTCAACTTAAGGCATAATTATTATATGTATATTGAAGAAGACCAAAGTGCTGGCAAGAATAAATTATTATAACATTATAAAGCGTTCTTATTAAGATATTGCACATTATCGATTGATGTTACTGACTGAAAAAAGCGGAAAGCTCAACGAATTCTGCATATCAATTGCGCCAGCGTCTGGCAACGCTCGAAGTGCCGTGCTGCAACACTGCTCAGTCAGCATTTTCCAGCACTGAGAATTCTTTCGACTAGTTTTTTCGTTTCGTCAACTGGACGACAATAATAATAATATTGATACGTTCCCAAACCATTTTAAGAATATTTATAGAGAAAAATGAGTACGGCTCGTTTTGCCCGTTCGGGGCGCGTTCGAATCTGCATACTGATGAGCATGTTTGTGGTGCTCCTTATGATGATTGTCATTTACCACATGTCCCAACAGCAACTGGACGAGACTCGAGCTTTTCGCTTACGTTGCGAACAAACCCAGGAAGGATTAAACACACAGCTGCAATGTAAGCTACCCTCATTCTCCCAAGATTATACGATTCTATTTATTTGTACACATTTTCAGCACTCACCGTCGATAAATTGACCGCACAGAAAAAGTTGGAAGCGATGCGCACCGAAAAGCAAACCGTGCAGGACGATTACGAGAAGCAACAGGAAGCGGAACGTTCTTTGCAACAGAAATACGACGTGCAAGTGAGCAAGTACAAGCTACTCAATGACGAGCACGCCGAACTACAGGCAGAATGTGCCAAAAGCAAGACGCAATTGCAACAGCTCCGACAGGACTCGGCTGCCTTGAAGGCAAGCATTTCTCTGTAGAATCTCTAGCTGTGCATGGAGTAATTTAGATTTTGTCTACTTTTAGGCCAAGTACGAGGCACTACTAACGGAATCGGCGCACAAGAGCCGCACGCTGGAAGCGAAGATTACCGAATTAAAGGCTCAGTGCAAAGTGGAGTCACAACAACAGCAGCAGCAGCAACAGCTGATTAAGCCAGTCGAATCGTTGTCACCGGAGACGACACCAGCACGTCGCTCGAGTCCCGCGCAGCTGGCGCACAGCATCGAGAAGCCGCGCAACGAAAAGTCATTCAACGAGCAAGTGCAAGTGAGTCAAGGGCTGTACAGAATTGGCGGCATTGCCAAGCCGAGCCAACAGGCAACTAACCAACAATCAACAACTAAAACCCATGGTGTCGGTGTCGTTGCCGAGCAACGGCGGGAATTGCAACATCAGCCCATGCAGCGCTTCGAGGTGCGCAACAATCACAGCCTCATACTAAAGTCTGTTGAAAATTTTCAGATTGTGCCCAAGTTGCTTAAAACGTTAGCCGATGACATTGATAAACAGCATCAGCAAGAGCTGCCCATTTTAGCCGGCGCCGCCGTCGCTGCAGCCGTTTCGCCTCTGAGCGCGCCACGCAAGTCTAGCTCCAGTACTCCAAATGCAGAGGCATCGGCAAATGCGTCTGTGGCGCCCAAGGCCGTTGGCAGCAGCAGCAGCAGTGGACAGCCACCATTGGCCATGCCACCGGCCAAGCCATCGCATATAGTTAAAGTAGAACGCAGACTACCCGAGAATGTGGCACCCATTCCAGATAATTTCGATGGCAAGGGCGAGCCAGCAGCAGATATGGATACGGCAGCCGAAGAGCTGCCCAAGAACGATAACAACAATCGTTATTTGAATGTGGTCAAAGATCTGGAGTCGAACAAAAATCCTGGTGACTCTGGTGCACATGAGGTGAAGGATGCTCTGAATGAGCAGAACTTCAATTTGCCCGGCGCTGGGCATAATCTATTTGATGGCGATCTTGTGCCAGCACATGCGGCAGAGGCGGACAATAAGCTGATCGCTGCCGATGCAGCCGCCGTTGGTGGTGGTGTTGGCGGTGGTGATGATGATGACGACGATATGCTCGGCGATGTGGCGGTCAAGCAGCCCCAGCATTTGCTCGAAAACTTAAACTTAAACAACGAGATCGCTGGGGATCAGGGCAAGGAGTTTGCCGATGCTGTGCACTTGGAGGACGGCATGGATGAAGACCAAGATGGTAACTCTACTTCGATAGTAATTTGAATGTCTCACCTTTTTTCCTAAACGATTTATTTACTTTTCCAGAGGATGACTACAATGTGCCGGCACGCAAGCAAGGCGCCGATGCACCCGTTAGAAATTAGTAGATCAAATAATCCATTGTTCACATATGTATTTTATAAAACAACTGCATCTCTTTTTACAATAACAATAACCAGCCACCTTAGTTGTTAAGTTTAGGTCCCATTTTCATTACTATTAGTTTTCTTTCAAAGAGGCAGAAATTAAAACGTGCTTCTACAAATTCATAGAAACATTTCCACATTCGCAGCGGCCAATAGTCAACTGCAATATTCAATTCGATTTGCTACACTCTCTTAAGCGTTAAGCATTTTATTTGGTTTTCAAATTTCAATCAAATTCTTGATTTGCATAGTTATATATGTATATACATATTTAGAAAACTGAACATTTTATTTCATCATCTTTTTTGAGACATTATGAAGCATTGTATTAAGATATGTGAAATTATATTGTACACTTAAGTTGTTTTTATCATTGCTCGCAGTTGGCTGTTCAGGCATCCATTTATCCAACTTGTAGGTGTATACTTTGTTTTCTGTGATAAGAAACTTGCTGAGCTGCATTTTTTCGTTGCTTTAAACAATTGTGTCTATACTCATTCATATACAAGAATATATGTTAAGTCGATTCCCTGGAATAGTTATTTAATTAGCTCTTAAGTGAAGAATTGATCGAACAAAAACGTGTCTAAAAAATGAAACACAGAATCTTTATTTGAAGCATAATAAATTGAATTGCATAAATGTTAATCGTATATTTTATATTTTTTTGTTTTTATCTTAATGCATAGGACAAGTGCGATAATTATATTAAACGGCGCTCTGATTTAATTTAAGTAAAAATGCAAATAACTCAAACAAACTGAACAAATTAAATAAAGAATGAATATGAAATCAAACCTAAGATTAAAACTCAATATGCTTCACTGTGTGTGCGCCGTTATCCATGGATGCAACATGATCTGATCCAGTGGCAACCGATGCTGCGGATTTAACACTAATAGCTTTGATATCAAATGAGCTGCAGCTTTGGAAACGTGCTCCGGCAGCTTATAGTCGACATTAAGTATCTTCTTGTACGTTTCCTCAAAGTTCTTCGAGTAGAATGGCGCATGACCCACCAGCAGCTCGTAGCATAGCACACCCAAGCTCCAGAGATCCACGTTCTTGGTGTGTGGCTTGTTTAGCACCATTTCGGGCGGCAGATAATCAACTGTGCCGCACAGCGTCATCCGCATCGAATTCGGTTCATGCACCGACCACCCAAAATCGGCAATCTTCAGCACACCCTTGTGGCCCAACAACAAATTCTCCGGCTTGATATCCCGATGAATGATATCACGCTCATGCAAATACATTAGCGCCGAGCACAGCGCCTTGATATACGTTGCCGACTGACGATCATCGAATCGCTTCAGCGGCTGCGCCTGCAATGCACTGAAGAGCGTGCCTTGAGGCGCATACTCCAGTATCAAATAGATGCGCGCGTCGTCATGAAAATAGGCGTAGAGGCGCAGGATGTGCGGATTGCGCAGATGCGATTGGATTTCGATTTCGCGTCGCACCTGATGCTCCACATTCGATTCGCCAATCTGTCGCTTGAAGAGCACCTTCAAGGCGACAACAAATTGAGATTCCTTTTCGCGTGCCAAATACACATTGCCAAATTTGCCGCGACCCAACTGCCGACCAATGTCAAAGTTGCTTAAGGCCCAGGTCTTTTTGGGTTTGGCTGTTGCCGTTGCCGTTGCAGTCTCTTTAAGATTTATTTTTATTTTAGTAGTCACCTAAAATGCAGTGAAGCTTACCAGTCTTGTCCTTATCAGTGCTTTTGCTGCTGCCCGTTGCAGTGGCTGACGACGCCGGTTGCTTCTCAGTCTTGGCCAAATCCGTATCCCCTTTTTTGGTGGCTACAGCTGCAGCTGAAGCTGCTGGCAGCTGCTGCTGTGTCTGATATTGCGGTTCAGCTATTTGTGGCGCCTTTGTTGTTGTTAATTGGGCGGCAGTTTTGCTGGTGCTAGCCACAGGCGCCACATTCTCAATTGTTGGCTAAGCATGTTTGTAAGTAATAGATAAATGTAAAGCGCGCTTAAAGTCATCAGTTTTACAATTATACGCACCTTTTTCGCACAAATTAGTTGCTTTTTCTGCATTGCTATTGGAGCGACTCCAGAAGTGCTGGTTCCTGGCTTTAGTAATACATTTTCCTTATTTCGCAGCACATTATTAGGCTTGTGCGACATGTTTTTTTTTTTTAAACTAAATTTTTGTTGTTTTTTCAATTCGAAAGCCTGTAAAAATGCCAATCGGTTAAAACACTAGTCTAGCACTCTGTGACCTCTGTGAAAATAAAATGCCGTTCGTTTGAATTGGGAAGCGCGTGCACACGTTGCGCAGCGAATGTCGATTACACATGTGCATGTTATTGTTGACAGCTGAATGGCAACAGCTGTATGCACTTGGGTGAACAGCAACATCGTGATTTTGACACAGTACTCGATTTGTATAATTATTTATTAAAACAAAGTAATCATATTGCCAAATATGTGATTTCAATTTGGCGACTGTTAGTTTGTGTATGATTGTGTATGTTAGTTGTTAGTTAGTTAGTGGATGCACTTTGCTTTTGAATTTGTGTGATGAGTAACAGTTACCCGGGTATCGTTCGTATTTAATTCGTATGTTGCTGCTGCAATGCGACTGTGTATCTGAATAGAGCAAGAAAATGGCGTAGATGTCGAAAAATCGTTTTAGAAAAATTGTGCAAAACTCCAGTGGAAATTATTATAAAGTGCAGACGAAATGTTTCCTGGTGGCAACACCAATGCCAATTTAGGCTACAACAAACACAATCAATATATGCAGCAACCGTCACATTTTCTAGCCGCCCCAGTTCGCGGTCCGGGTCCAGTTCCCAGCCCAGCAATCGGCAATCCACTGGGTGCAGCAGCTGCAGCGACGGTCATGCCACTGAACATGCAGGGCAGCATCGACTGGGCGCAGCTGGCACAGCAATGGATACACATGCGCGACTCGTCAGCAGCGCCGCCAATGGCTAATTTTAGCATGAATATGCCAATTGCGCCTCCGCCGCCGATCATTAGCAACGCCCCAGAGTACCACCAACATCAACACCATCAGCAGCAGCAGCCGGCAGTGCGTCTGCAGCAGATGAAAACAGCATCACAATACGAGGAGCACGGCGAGGCGGAAATGGACATGGATATAGATGAAGAGGAGAATGAAAATAGTGTGCGTGCTCTGCATCATATTGAGAGTCTGCCACCGCCTCCCATTGTTACGCAATCCCAATGGATGGCCGGCAGGGCCAATGATGTGCCCATCACAGTGCCATCCAGCGATGCAAGTGAGTAAATTGCAGCACATTTAGTTGTTAGCTATACATGTAAAACATCTCTTAAAATCTTATGCTAGTCGGCTCTGGCACTCAGAAATGGAATGATTGGTCGACGCGTAACAATCCCACTTCGCATATTCCATCGCTTTTAAAACTTAACGTTTGCAATCCCAATGAACCACCACAGATGCCGCTGCAAACGCATCAGCCGCCGCACAACATCACCAGCGTTGGCGGTGGCGCCGCCGTCAGCTCAACCAGTGATATTGATGCAAACAAGCGTAAAATGTTGCCAGCATGGATTAGGTAAGTGCAACGTAATGGATAGTAATCTCATCCCAGCCAAAAGGTTTGGTCCATTGTAATATTTGTTCCCCAAATGCATTATTCAGATTATTTATTGTGGCTGTTTTTGTATTGCAGAGAGGGTTTGGAGAAAATGGAGCGTGAGAAGCAGCGTCAGCTAGAGCGACAGCAACGCACAACGCCGGAACCCGAATTGCCAGCGATCAATGTTAAGCAAGTATCAAGCAAAACACTAACAACACCTGTTAATCAATTGAACATGTCGAACGTGGTAAGTAGAGAAGTGCGTCTCTGGCTGCATTTGACTTGAATTTTGACTTGTGCAAGTGCCGAGTGCAATTGCAACATGAAACTCAATTGGTTGCCCAAATGCACACAAAACAATGCACAGCAGACCAAATAGTCAGCGTACTAAACAGAATGCCCTGCCATTTACATATGAACTTGACCACACTCAGGCAAGCGACAGCGAAGATTCAATTGCCGCCAATGAGGAGGCAACGCATGCGCCCAACATGGCTCAGCTAATAGGTAATGATGTATTGAGTAAACCCACTAACAGCGATGACGAGCACGAGCACGTCCAGGACGATGATGATGACGAGGAGGACGACAAACAGCAGCAGCACGCGCAGCAGCAGCAGCAAGATTCAGTCAGTCGAGACAATGTTGCAGCTGTTTCAGGGGCAAGCAATGCCGAAACTGCATTAAGTGGTAAAAACTACGAAGAAAGACTAGCCGATTTGGTAGGCATCACAATTTTCACACAAGGTGCGCTCAGCCAGGCAATGAAACCTAAAACCAGTTCGTGTCCCAGTTACAAGCAGCGTATTTCACTGAATAATATATTCTGATTTGAAGAATAGTTATTCCCAGTCAATCAATCAAGTGATAGTAGATTTGTATATATGTATATTAATATAATATTATATATTGACTACTACTGCGTATATTATAAATGTTTTCAGAATTCTTAAAACACAATTTCTATTTTCAAAAGTGCTTACAAGCCAGATAAGAAAAGTTGAACTCAAACATTTCGTTTCTATTTTCTATATATAAAATATATATTTCACAAGCGACTACTGTGTGCGGAGAGATAATATAGAAAATGAAATGAAAATATATTTAAAAAAAAAACGAGGAGACGCTTAATGGTTAGCGGTTTCATTGTGTGGCGCCACTTTGTTATTGAGAGGCATTTGAAATAGCGCAAACCAATCTATCCAAAAACCAATCTATAGATGCTTGTTGTGCGTCGCACACTAACCGAAATACTGCTGGAAACGACAAACGAAGAGATTGCAGCTATTGCTACTGAAACACTCCAAGCGCATCGCGCTAAAGGTACATTTATATTAAAACTATAGAACGTTAAGCTTATCGCCACAGATCTTTTACAGTGATACAATTTTAGTGTGTGTCCATTTCTGTAAGTACAAATATGCCTGGCTCTGTTTGTTTTTTTTTTGTTTTGCCACTCAATGCTTGTGTGGCAAATGCCCAAGTAAGTTGGGCGAAACGTACAAAAACACAAGAAAAAAGGCGCTGAAATCGTATGGAATTGTCAACAGGAAGTCAAGTCGGGAGGAAGTCGTCCTTAAATTGTGACGATCGAGTTTTGCGTTGATTAGTTTGAAAAATTGTAATTTTAATTTTATGTCACTGCTTTACACTACTTGAAACAAACAATCCAATCACATGCTGAATTTAACTATATAATCGTAATATATATAATATATATATATGTGTGTATGTAAATCAAAAGCGTCATCAGCCCAAGTGATTCGCAAAAGCGCCTTGTCCTCCATTACCGGCAACTTGGGTAAGTAACAAATTCCAATTTATCTCGTAAGATCTTGAACACTTTTGTTTAATAGGTAGTCTGAGTTTTTTGCTTACTCCTCCCCTCCCCCCCCCCCCCCAAACACCCTCTTGGCAACCAATACCCAACCCCAAAGAACCCCACGCCCACAACTCCCCCTTTAAAGTATTCTATCCATATGTTGTATACCGTGGACGGGATTGGCTAACTAAACACATTTGCTTCACATATGCGTAAATTTTGCTTGATTCTGTCCAAGCTAAATCGGTCTAAACACTAAAAAAAAAAAAACCGACGAAATCAAATTAAAACGTTCTTCGGTCGTTCAAGTTTGGTACCCTGTTTTTCGTCACTCTTTCTCTGTCTCTGCTAAACTATCTATTTAACTCAAAACAAAACAAAACAAAAAAAAAAGTATATATACAAAATAAAAAACAAAAATAAAGAAAAGCGCGCCTCTTTCAATGTACGCTTGGCAGCAACAATTAGCACTTGATTGATTTGAATTATAGGTTTAGCTGTCTACGGCGATTCCTCGAGCGATAGCGAAAACGATGAAGCTGCTGATGGCGCTAACGATGGCGCTCAACTCGAACGCATCGATGCATCTTCCAAAGATGACGATGATACTGCCGAGCTTAGCATAGATGAGCTTAAGGTATGTGGCTGACTTACCTATATATTTAGCAGGCATATTAATAATATATATTTTTGGTAGGCACGCATACGGAAAAGCAAACGTGCCTTTGAGAAAGTCATTGATGACATCGAGGAGCGTGTATCGCAACAGGAGCAATTGGATGAGCAAAAGCTACAGCATCACCGTAAGCTGGAACTTGAGCAAGCCGAGGCTGCCAGGCAGTCCGCTCAGAGTGATCAGCGGCACACAGATACGCCAGCCGATGAGACTGCAACAGCAACGACAGCAGCTTCTGCCAATGACAAACTACATCAATTTAGTGGTATGTTCAAAATGATCCCCATCAGGCAAAAGCATTCCAATTTATTGACTCCCTATTCGAAAACTCTCTAGTCAAACGTCTGAGTCGAAAGGAGCGTACAACGCGCTTCAGCGACAACAAGGACGGCAAGCCAGCTCCGAATTATGTGAGCCAAGTGGTGGCAGCTGCGACGGTGCCAAGCGGCAGCATTATGCCGCAGAAACCAAAGCCTGTCCCCAATCCGGCCACCAATTTGCTACAGATGCCCGAATCGATGGCTAGCATGCTGAATGCGGCAAACAAGGCGCTCGACAAGGCAAACAAAACGTCCAAAAAGTCGAAGAGCCGTCGTCGTCAGTCCACCTCATCCTCGTCTTCCAGCAGCGGTGATAGCAGCAGTCGCAGCTCAAGCAGCGACACCAATACCAGCTCCAACAGCTCCAAGTCCTCCCGCAATAGCAATGGGAGCAGCACTCGTAGCAGCGCTGCTGCCAAAAAACAAGGCAAGAGCAGCCACCGGCAGAGCAGAGGCAGCAGCGATCACCGACAGCGAAGCGACTCTAGTCGCAAGGGTCGTCGCAAGGACCACCATAGTAGCAGTCGCCATAATTATAACCGTCATCGAAGTAGTCACGAGAGTCGAGAACGCGATCGTGATCGAGATCGGGATCGGCATACAATTCACTATAGCAGCCAGCAGCAGCAGCATCGACGACGAGGTGGTCGCCATCAGCGAGATTCGAGCAACTCGGCAGAGGAGGAGGGTAGCAGCAGCTATAGACGCGGCTCGCGGCACAGCAGCAGTCGCAGCCACCAGAGCAGCAGCTACAGCAAACATCGAGAACGGACTCGATCCCGATCCAATTCGCGAAGTACACACAACTCCCAATCGTCCGTTTCCACATCGCATCCGCAGCCGCATCGCAAGCGTAAATAAATAAATATGCAATAATTGAACAGTCTTCTGTTTATGATGATACTCTTTAATGAAGCTTAAAACAATATACAAAAATTATAATAAACGTTTTAATTGATATCTCCTATCCGTGCTGTGAATTTAATTGATGGTGACGCAAATCGTAAAGATATATAAAGTAAATATATGTTTGCCTGCATTCTTCAGTCTTCTGTTATGAAATGATTAAATGCTAATCTATTTTCGAGTAAAACAGCTCCAAACTCCCAATGTGGAAAATCAATTTTAATTGTGAAAAGATTTGGTCGATGCATGTTATTTCAGTTAAATTAGACTTGGCACACATGCTTATTTATTATATATATATATATATCTTAAAGACCTTCCATACATATTTGTTCATATATTTGTATACTAGCAAGCATATTGAGATGTTTTACTTTCATATTGAATTAAACATAGAATTTTGTGTTGCATTCAAAGTATGGCTTGGTTATACAATTTAGTAAAAACGCAAATGATGATGTCGACCAGTTGTAGAAATAAATTTGTTGTTGTAGAACTAAAATGTATATAAAACAATATTGCGAATAGAAATTTTTAAAAAATTGATCACTTTGTTTAAGACAAAAACTAAAAACTACACATTAAAACTTGTCCACTACCTTTGGCAATTGGAGCCAACATTAAGCGACTGCTATGGCCTATCGTGTTAGTCGACAGTTGAGAAATAATACAAATAGCTAGTCTAGTCTAGGTTTAGCGGCGATTAGATTGACTCTTGTTGTTCCAGCGAGATTGCTGCGACCGCTGAGCGCGATGCGACGGCTGAGCTTGATGCTCGCAGGCATCTGCACGACGCAAGACCTCAGCGTAGGACAGATCCAGCCTCTTCAGTTTGTGGAACTCCTGCGACACCGTATTTGGATGGAACTCAACACCATTGACTTCGATAACGCAACCGTTGCGCTTGGCGCGATTGGCGCTCATATTACGATTATAGATAACCATTGGCGAGCCATTCCATTCGGTGCTGGAGCGTTCCGCTGGCACCCGACGGCCGACAACGCGCTCGGGCGCAAACATTTCCGGACGCATCGGCACAAAGTCTTTGCGGGTGCGCCGAGCACTGTGCGTGGAACCGGTTTGAGCCAGCGGTGAGGGTTGTGCAAGTGGTGACTCAACGCGACTGCCATTGATGTGCAGACTACGGTTCTTGCGACGATTTCTCTTCTTAATGCCAACGCCAACGGTCAAATACTCGAGTGGTTCACGCTTCAGTGGAGTCAGCACACGACCATTCTCCTCGATCGATTTAATGGCATTCGTATTCGGATTCGGTGTGCCACCAACCTGAGAGATGGACGTGCAGCTTGCCTGGGAGACGCGATTCTCCTGATTTTTGCATTCAGTAATATGCTTCTTGGCTGTCTTGCGTTCCAGCTTGGTGACGCACTCGGACATGGCAAACGACTGATCGGAAAACACCGATGAGATAATACTCTGCGTATCGTCACCAAAGTCAACAGAGAATTCCTCGTTGGCTGGTGCATCATTGGTCATTGGAGTTGGCTCATTCTTTGGCTGTGCACCTTCCTCATCGGACAATTTTGGTTTCTCGCCATCTTCTTTGTTGTCGGCGGCCTTCTTCAGCACACCAAAGATCTCCTTAAACAGTTCCCTGTACTCGGGCCGACTCTGGAAATGTGTGTCGATGGGGGTGACATCGTCGTAAATGCTTAGCTTGCATTCCTCGCCATTGCTAATTGAGCATAAAAAGTAACCGGGACGCTCCTCCGTCTGTGTGTACTTATTGCTGGTCTCCTCTGAAAACCCAGACGACGATGTCTCAGCCTCCGAGAACTCTGTGGATGCCCGACCACGAGCACTCTTGGCATTTTTCCCATCATCGGCTGCAGTTGCAGTCTGATCTGATCTGGTCTCCTGGTTGGCTACCGTGTTGAGCTTTTGAGTGGTTGATTGCACATCGTTTGGCAGCTGGACGGCGGCGTCTCCATTGATTGGATTGGTTTTGCGCACATTTGATGTGCGCTGCACCTCCAGCAGAGCTTCATATTTCTCGACCAGATCACGATATGGGTTCGGACTGCCAGCACTCTTCAACTCCAGCAATTCCGCCGAGTTTTCAGCCAACTGTGCGCTAAACTCACTGCCCAACAGGCTTCGTTCGTCATCCTCGGCCACGTCGTCGGTCTGGGCCACAGATGATTGGCCGTCATTGTTGGAGGCCTGTTCCTCCATGATGCGCAAGCAGCGGCTGCACATCTGCCCTTGCCGCACATCATCCAGCAGCGAGAACTCATCCTGCATGGACATCATCTCCTCGTTTGTGCTTGTAATTGCATTACGGCTCTGAAGCGTTTGGTTCTCTTGGATAATGGCCACCAGCTGCTCCTCCAGTTCGACATTACGCTGCCTTTCCGCCATAAAGTTACGACGCAGTAGCTCCAAATCGGTTATCAGACTCATCAGCTCCTCATTCTCCTCACCCTTGATGCCGGCGGCAGCGGCTGCTTCCATAATCTCCTCCGGGCCGCCCACATCGCTCAAGGCCATCGATCGATCATTGCCATGCGATAACTCCGTGATGCCCGTTGAGTTCGCATTTGCAGCAAATGAGTTGTTCTCAATGGGCGTGGCATTCATGTCGGGAGTGCTGCCCACTGCCCATGGTTTGGGTAAGCTAAGCAGATCGATGCGCTCCTGCGGCTGCTGCGATGGCTTTTCATTTTTACGCCGTTCCGCACTTAGGCGGCGACGTGTCTCCTCCAGCTGCTGGTTGAGCTCCTCGCAACGTGCCTCGAGAGATTCAATGTTGGCGCCCAGCGATTTGATTTGCTTCTTGTCGCGCGTCTTCTCCAATGTCAGCCGGTGATTGCCACGCTCCAAATCCTGTATGCCCACCTCCAGCTGCTCGTAGACCTTCAAACGCGTATCGTTCACCTCGGCCATGGCATTGATCTGCTTGCGCAGATGCACAATCTCGCGCTGTTGCTCCTCGTTGCGGCATTTGTGCTCCTTCAGCATTATCTCCAGATCCTTGTTTCGCTCGAGCAGCGTTTTGCCCAGCTCCGCTGCCAGCTGCAGATCATTGAGCATGAACTGCGATGATACATCCACGTCCGACTCACCGCAGGTGTCTTCCTCAAGCTTGCTGCCGTCCATTTTTATATTTTGTTGTTTTTTTTTTTTGGCTTTACTTTCTTGGTCTGTTTCTGTTGTGGTGAGTGAATTATTCAGAAATTATTATTCGCCCTGACGACCGCAAATCACACAAATCACATGTTTATTGATTTTTGCCTTACGTTTTGGTTGCTGTGAGTACTGATTCTCTGCGCATATTCTGCCCGTCAATAATTACCAGCTTAGGCACTGAGCTGGCCTTTTCTCTATCCGCTATCCGATACCTGATTTAGATTCGCTTTCGCCTTGCTATTTACATATATATATGGATAAATATTTTGCTTGTTACGTCACCGATTTTAAAGCAATCGCCAATTGCATAAGTTAACAACGACCAAAGTTTTGCTTTTATGCTCGCTTTATGCTCAAGCGCAAGTGCAAGTGCAGTGCAACCATAAAGTTAGAAACCGGCAAAAACCTACCCCTTGTAGCTGTTAAAGCCAGGGACGTAGACAGGGAGGCCTGCGAAATACACATTTGAAAACAAAATATACATATAAATGCATGTTTATTGCAGCCATTATCAATTCGAATTCGTATTCATTTAACTTACGTCGGCTTCTTGAATTTGAGCTGTGTACATCACACTTTTATATGCATGCTATAAAGATTATTAAATTGTAGAAAGATGGACTTTAGACATTATATTTTATATACATATATATTTAAATATGAATGCACACTGGGCGTAATATAGGCTTGAAATAAGTCAACAATTGAGTCTCATTCAGTTTGATAGGCGATTGTGTGCCGCAAACCTGTTTGGTAAACGCTTCAGCTCAGACTAAAAGCCATACCACCAGCCATGACAACTCTAAAAAATTGTCGTTTTTCTTTGCTCAAATACATACATATATATATATATGTATTTATACAAAGCAGAGTATTGACAAAGAACACAGGGTCAGCGGCAACAGATAATAAAAATTAGCAAGTTCACCTTTACCGCAATTTGTCTAGTGTTAAGCAAATATAAACACAAGTGGAGATTTGTGGTTAAGCCAAGCCAGTGTTGTATTCCCCCATTTAAATAAGCTGCCTACGCGCCTGACAAAAGTAAAAACAGCTGTTCTCGGCTAGGGTGAAAAGTAATCTGTAAAAAAGCTCCCATGTTCAAAGTACGGAAAATATTTGAAATATTTATTAATGTATATGAAGACTTATATCAATGTGAACGAAATTAGAAATATGTATATTTGGTACAATATGTACATATAATTATAGCTAATATTAATGTATTAATTACCTTTATCATAACGAGTATTTAGTTTAAACTTAATTTTAAATTGAAATTTTTATGGACATTGGTAAACTTGTACAATTTTGAGCAGTTTGTAAAAGCGTTTTTAATTTAAATCAAATACGTTTAATCCTCGCTTTGCGCTGTTCTTAGTTGTTGCTGCTGCTGCTTGTATCGCTGTTCGTAGGGATCACCGTAGTCCACCTTGCCGATCTCATAGTGGGCCATTTTATTGCGATGAATCGTGAGCAAGGCGCCACTCTTGAAGTTATCCCCGCAGATACCGCAGTTGTATGGACGCAGCAACATGGGTGGCAGCGATTCGCCCTCCCGCTGGAGTCGCATCCGTTCAATGTCCTCGGCACGTCGCTTGTTCACGCGACTGTTCTCATAGGGATCGAGGTAATCGACGCCCTCCCGGCCAGTCTCATGGTGTCGCTTCTGGTTGCGATGAATATTCAAGAGGGAGCCGCATACAAAACTCTTATCGCAAACACCACATGCGTAGGGTCGTTCGCCCGTGTGCCGTCGCATGTGAATCTTCAGATCGTTGGACTGCACAAATCTCTTGTCGCACTTGTCACAGGCGTAGGGACGATGGCCCGTGTGGAGGCGCATGTGGCGCGCCAGTTTGTTTTGCGAAATGAATTTCTTGGCGCAGATTTTGCATTCGCTCGGACGCTCGCCGGTATGCTGGCGCTTGTGCAGATTCAGATCCTGGCCGCGTGGAAATGCCTTGTCGCATACGTCGCACTTGTACGGATTATCGCCGGTATGCCGTCGTATGTGTATCGTTAGGCTGGAGACGGGAAAACTAATTCCACAATGGGGGCACTCACGACGCTTGGCAGCACGCTTGGGCGGCACACTCCTGGCAAGATCGTCGGCATCGCCACTGGCGGCGACCACCTCCGGATGAAATGCAATCAGATGGCGGCGCAGTGTGTCCTGACGCTTGAATAATCGCGGACAGTGTTCGCAGATGAGGGCGCCGCTGCTGCTGTGCTCCCTGGCCAGCTCCTGGGCAGCAACATTTGCCGCTTGCCTGTGTGCGGTGGCGAAATGGCGAGCCAGCGATTTATTTTTAGCAAAGATCCGTGGACAACTGGCACATTTGTACATATAGTTTTGGGAGTGCGCCAGTCGCATGCCCAGCTGTGAGGGTCGCTCTTCCAAAAGACCGGGCTCAACACTTATCTCTGCATCGGAGTCTTCTTGTACAAGTTCGCTCGGTTCGTCAGTGCTATTGTTCAGCAGGGGCTTTTCCTCACATGGTGTTTCTTCTGAGTGTACCAGCTCCGCCTCCACTTCCGCCTCATCCTCCTCTTCCTCATGTAGTTCAATGACGGATTCGCATTCATCCAACTGCACGAAATGATCTTCCTCTTGAACTAGTTCCTCATATTCCTCCACATCCACATTCACAACGGCAGCAGCTGATTGCTCCCGCTCCAGATGGCTACACAATGCCTGTAGCGTCTCATTGGACTTTTCGACGTCGCGTATAAACTCATAGGCACTAATCAGGCGACGCGTGCAGCTCTGGCACAGCTGTGTCGGTAGATTCGGTTCGTTCCAGTTGCACTGCAAGTCCATTTTTCGCTCAGGTTACAAAGTTCGGTTTGTTTTAGTTGTAGTGTTTTTATTTACAATACCTTCACATTGGATACGTTCTCCAACAGCTGCCACAGCTCTAAGTTCAGGTCGTTAAACTCAATTTCATCGCGAAGGCATAATGTGGTTTCGTGGGACTCCAGGCAAACGCGACAAGTCTGCGCATTCACGCTTATATTGACTTGGTCTGGTGCCTCAATCTCTTCCTCGATACTTTCCATTTTATCATAGCCCCGGAGTAGGCACTACTTATATCTTTTATCAATTTTACCCAACACTAACAGCTACCCAGCAAATGTGGTCACCCAAAATCTGCAAATAATCTAGCATGTTATTAACAGAATGCATGATTTTGTTCGTTGAAGCTGCGTCGTTTTTTCTCAAAGAAAAAAAAACTGTAAACATGACTTGGTAGTGCAGTTTTTTAAGAAATAGTTTTGTTACCGGCTCAATGATAGAAATCTTTTTCCAGTTGGCGTCAGCTCATTTCCAGTAATACTTGAAAAGCTGCGGTTAATATTTGAAACTGAATTTAACAGCTGCTAAACCTTTGTATATGGTAACGTGCTGTAAGGAAACACATTATATATCGATAACTAGGAAGAGACATAACAAAACCTCAATACGACTGTTTATAATCCCACTCGACAGATAAAAAAAAGTTATCGATAATGAAAAACTCCAGAAAGGTTTAGCAGCAATTTAAAATATTCGTTTAGATTCGATTGTATAATTTCGAGATTCTATAACAGAAATGTTATATTAGTAATAATAATATAATGAAATACAAAATGAATATTAAATTAATTGCAAACAGATTCATTCATTGTAGATCACAACTAAGCTCAGCACCTATTCTACATATCTGGGTGCACTAGGATTATGGGGCAGTGATAAAAGCGGCACGCCCGGCATATCCTCCGTTGGTGGTGCCGTCGGTACTGCAAAATTTGTGTACATGGGATAACGTGGTATGAAATCATCGGTGCGATTATGCTCATTTACGTCCGTATCGATAAACTTATCACCAATATGCTTGGCTTCCTCAAAGGAAGGTGGTTCTGAAATTGATGAGAAATTTGAGTTCTCTAGTATTTTGAGCAGATTTAAGTCGCTTACTGCAATTATCATAGGTAGGTGGTAGATCTGCCGCTGCGCCTGATGGCGTATCCGGCGTCTGGGGTATCCACTCCGCCACATGTGTTGGATTCTCCGCGCTTTGCGCTAACGGTATAGTGCCAATTACAATAGGCATTTCAATCTCCGAGTCCGAATGGCAATCCCCAGTCTTAATTGCCATTTTAATGTGGTAGGACACGTTTATAATGCGATTATTTCGAGATGAGGGCGGCACGGGCGGTATGTCGAGGCTGGCAGTGATTAGCCGCTTCGATAGGCGTCTCACATGTTCGGATTCCGATTTTTCGAAGAGAATATTTGAATGCTTGCGCGTTTTGTATCTTGGCGTTGTGGCCTTGAATTCATAGATTTGTATTAGGGATATTTCGACTCCGTGCAAATCGTAGCCATGCGACTGATTATCCACATGCAGGGTATAGTGTATCCTCTGACCTGGCGCATATCCACCAAAGGGTATTGTTAGCGTTGAGATGACCGGACCCGAGGAACAGGGCCAGCAGCAAAAGTACTTGATCTCCTCATTTTTTATGGGTATCTGAAAAAAAAAAAAATTATATTATTTAAAATTTAAGAGAATAGAAGAAACTAAAGGATCTACCAGCATCTCCGGATACATGTTCAGATTATAGGATTGCAAGACAGTTATTGGCTGCTTGAATTCATTATTGAAGCGCCAGGAACGATCCACCACGAGTGAGACCTCGTAGGCGATCTTGCCGTACTTCTCCACACACGACGTCGGGCAGTCCAGTGGCAGGGGTATTTGGAATACGTAAGTGTGCGTTCCCAGCGGAAATTCGCCCTCGCCGAAGACATTTGTTCGAGTGGTCAAATACGTTTCGGTGCCCCGAAAATACTCTGTATAACGCTGGGTTTTACCGTTAACGGTGCGAGAGCGTTGCTCCTCCCATCGCACTTTTCCCTCTCCGGCGAACAGAATGTACACCTCTGTTGAGATACAAATAAATACAGCATTAAGTTCTGGAATACGCTTGACCTTGGGTATTTTGCAAGCTCCTCTTTGTTCGGTGTTTCGCCGGCTCTGAGTTTTTTGAATAAAAGCACACTGCTCACGCCTAATAAACTTTGCAGCAAATCTTGCTCGCTGCACTGATGAGCTTTTTTTATTTAGATTGCGTTGCTCTGAGCACCAAATATTTCAGCTCGTTTCTTTCTGATTTGATTGTTGTATTGTTTTGCACTGTGTGCTGTATTTCTCAATTTTATAATACTAACAAATATATAATATGTAAATGGGCATATTTGTCTACAAAACATTAAAAAAAATTTTTTTTTGTTTTTGTTATGAAAGCAATTGTTGAAAGTATACAATAATAATAATTTTTAAGAAAATATGTTGTAACTTGCTCTTTCGAAAACATGTTTTTAATACGCCCTAAAATATTTGATGGCATATCTTATCAGTACGCGTAGTGCAAGCAGTAAGATTATTCTTAGCATAAGGTCAATTTCGTGATAATTAACATTGAATACAGAGTAGCGCAGCAGCATTTTAAAATTTCAAATTACCATTGACAGACTTGTTGCTTGTGGTATTTAAAACAACGCGTCCATTAATTGTTTCGCCGCTGTAGTAAATCGGATTGGGCCGATCGAATTCGAAAACACAAGTAGAGGGCATGGTAAAAGTAGATACAATCTGTCACTGCTGAAGCCCACGCAATTGTATAAGTACTGCCAACTTTAAAGTATATATGTACACAAAATTCGAAATTAATTTTTAATGGAATGCCGCACGCGACTCAAACAACTGAGACGCCAAAGGTCCCAATACAACTGAAAAGTCGAACATCTAAATGCGCTAAAGAGCAAAATGTTTGAGAGAGTTTAACTAACGTGACATCATCAGTTGAGAGCGTCAACGTTAAAGCAAAAGCTCCTCGCAAAGAGAAATGAAATATTCTAAGAGCTCCGTTATCGCTCATTTTTTAATTCTTCTGCAACCGGCTCTTATACTGCCTAGTGCCAGTACTAATTTGAAGTAGATTAAAGAGTTATGCAAATGTGTGTGTGTGTGTTAACTATGCAGAGGAGAGATTTCCTACTGCACATACAAACATATGCTACGTTGATTTCCAATTTCAAAATGTAGCGACCGAAAAACAGACACGTATGCTACGTTCTTTTTTATGTTTTTGTGTTTTGGTCTTAGTTTGAGTTCGTTCTGCGTACTGTGCGACAAGGATTAATAAGAACTCAAGTGGGTTATTAACTAAAAACATAACATTTCAATTTCAGCTCTTTATATTGTTGTCGCACTTGATTATAAGATTTTATTTTTTGAGATTACTCCGCCGTCTTTTTCCCCACCAGGAAGCTTAACAATGGCGCGGCGTCTCTAATGGTGGACAATTCGGCTATCGATCCATCCAAATTAATATCGATCCTTCGTACTATCAAAATCATAATAATCGAGTAATAGGGATGATCAATGACACTAACAAAAGCATCGATTAATATACGTTAAGAATTACAGTATGGCAATTACACAATGACCCTAACAATATATGCCATACACCATATTTTATATCTTTCTATCTGTTCAGTTGTAAAACAAAGTGTTTTGTTCTATTAAGTGCATGATTTTTGAATTTGTTAAATATTTTTTCAATTATCGACCAAAGACATGACCCTTCCCATATTCAAAATATTGGTCTGCTGAAAGCAGGGCATAAATAAATAACTCAACTTTTACTTCAAATGTTTTTATTATAAATTTCGACACTTTTATGGGCAACTACTACAAAGGAACAAAAGAAAACATTCCAAAACAGAGTCAAGAAAGTGCTCATCAAATTAAAACAAGAAACTTGACTCATTATTTTCATTGTAAATGTAGCTTTTGATTATGAGTAAGTAGATGTGTGTGGGTGTATGTGTGTATGTGTGTATGTGTATATGTGGTTGCCAAGCTGGGAACAAGTTGTGGCTGCTTCACTTCTTCAGCGTCTGCACAAAGTTGCCTAGATCGTATTCCTCCTCATACTGATGTTCGGACCATAGCTCCGGCAAGTTCTCAATGAATGTGTTCATGGACATGCTACCAGCGCTGCCAGCGGCTGCAGCTGTGCCTGCTGCTCCCTGTGACTTATTATTGTTGCCGCCATTGAACAGGTCGAAGATCTGCGAGGTGCCCATGGTCTGGAGCGAGGCATTCTCGGCACTCACCACCGTATTTGCTGTGACAATTTTAAACTTTTGCAGGCTCATGATCTTCTCCTCGAGCGAGTTGCGTGTGATCAGGCGATACACATTGACCACCTTCTTTTGGCCAATGCGATGCGCACGATCCATGGCCTGCAGATCCTTCATGGGATTCCAGTCGTGCTCCACAAAGATGACGGTATCGGCACCAGTCAAATTCAGGCCCAAGCCACCCACCTGCACATGACACAAATAAAACATTTAACTTGGTTGCCAAATGGGGATCACAAATTTTTGGCTTACCAAAGTGGTCAGGAGCAGGACATCGATGCTGGGATCGCTGTTGAAGTTGTTCACAATATCCTGTCGCATGGAAGCTGGCACGCTGCCATCCAGTCGCAGATAAGTGACCCTGGGCAAATGTTTGCGCAACAAATCGTGCTCCACAATGTCCAGCATGGCCTTCAGCTGGCAGAAGATGAGCGCCCGATGCTGGCTGACTGACTCCGTCTGCACCCCAATGCCGCAGTCCAAAAGCAGTTGTCTGCAAAAGTGAGGCGGGTTAGAGTTAATCATAAGAAGTGGATGGGGTGGACTATAAACTTACTTTAAGGCAGGCAGCTTGGCCGAGTGCTCGATGTCGTCCAGAGTGCTATTGGTGAGTGCCAGCTGGGCGGCGACACTGCTGCTGAGATCATCGCTCGGCTGGCGCAGCACCAGCTTGGGATGATTGCAGACGTTCTGCAGATAGCGTAGCGCCTGGAATATGTGCGATTTGGTGCCGAGATTCTCCGTATCATCCAACTTATCCAAACAGTCTTTCAGGTGTTTATTGCTAAAGTCTTCGTAGAGGCGCAACTGCAGCGGACTCAGTTCGCACAACAGATCCTGTGTGATTTTGGGCGGCAGATCGGTGAGCACATCCTCCTTGACGCGACGCAACAGGAATGGCAGCACCTGGCGATGCAGCGCCTCCATGGCCAACACACCGGCCTCCTGCTCCTTGGGTGAGGTTTTGCCGTCGCGCGACGCTAGAATAGGACGGGAATAGCGTTGAATGAACTGCTTCTCGGTGCCGAGGAAGCCAGGCATTAGGAAATCAAACAGTGACCACAACTCAAGCACATTGTTCTGTATGGGTGTGCCAGAGAGGATTAGCCGATGTTTGGCCTTCAACTGTTTAATGGCCTTGGAGCTCTTCGTTTTGCCGTTCTTGATGATGTGTCCCTCGTCGAGGACACAGTAATTGAAGTGTATGCTACTAAAGTAGTCAATGTCCTTGCGTACGGTGTCGTACGATGCAACCACCAGATTGCAAGTGGTGCCAATTTGGCTGCGCAACTTCTCGCGTCCAACGGGAAAGCCAAAGTAGTGCAGCGGTCGCAACACCGGCGATTGGGGTGCCAAAAATTTCTCCACCTCGTATACCCAGTGGCCGGTAAGGGTGGGTGGACAAATGACCAGGCTGGGCAGCGGTGACGCATTGGCCTCCTGCCGCTGCACATGATCGCCGGCCAATATGCAGATGGTCTGCAGCGTCTTGCCCAGACCCATATCATCGCAGAGAATGCCATGCAAATTGTACTTGTTGAGGAACCACAGCCAGTTGATGCCAGCCTGCTGATAGCCACGCAACTCCACGCTCAGCGCCACCGGCACTCGGTAATCCGGAATCGTCTTGGGTGCAAACAGATAGTCGAGGAACTCGCGATCGCGTGTCTTGCGCTCCTGCAGCGGCTCGCTCTTGATGATCTGCTGTTGCGTCGCCTTTCCACTGCTGCTACTGCTGCTGGTGCTGTCGAGCGGCATTAGCTGGATGAGTGTGGCAAAGGAGTGGGTGGCGAGCAGGCGCACAGACTCATCAGAATCGCTCATAGCGCCGAGCAGCGGCACCACGAGCAGCACAATATATGGCACAACACGGATCTGCAAACGATTCACGACCCGCTCAATCGTCTCCACGGCGCCCTGTCGTTCAATGGGTCGCTCAATTTTGAGCAGCAGCGCCAGCAGCTCATCAACGACAAATTGCATCGTGCGACATGCATCAATCTCGGCCAGGGCGGCAATGCAACGTGCCGCCATGTGACGCAAGACCTTGAGCGGATGCCGCACAACGAAGCCTAGATGGGGCAGCAGCGCAAACAGCTCGCCATGCAACGATGCGTGCAGATGCGGCGCCGCCGTTTCGATCAGTTGCATCGAGCTAATCAGCTCATTGCAGGCCGCCAGATCGGGCAACGTGCTGGCCAGCGCCTGTGCATCCGTTTTAGCCACAAACTGCTCCAGTTTGCCGAACATCAGCTGCTGAAAGATAGGCACCTTCTCCACGATGCGCTCCCCAAACGCACTGCACAGCTTGGCAATGGCGCTGGCCGAACCCAAACGCTGAATCCGACACTGACGCGCCTCCGCCTCTTTGGCCTGCTGGGTGCTAATCTCAACACTGGCCGCGGCTGCGGCAGCAGCAGCCAGAATCTCACTGGCCGGCGGTCTGCCAGGACCCCGTGGTGCTGGTGTCAGTGTTGACGTCGCTGCTCCGCCAGCTCGTGCATTGGCGCCGCAACTGTTGCCGCTGCTGCTGCTATTGTTGCGTGTCGCCTGCTGCTGCTGCTTGAGCGTCAGAATGCCGTAGTAGTCGCAGAGGTCATTGCCACTAACCGTGGCAGTGGAACGTGTCTCCAGCAGCGTGTGAGCAGGCATCAACTGAAAGGCATAGATTTAAGCACAGATTAGCCAAGGCTTTACATACAACATAATAAGTTGGGCTCGTCACAAAATCATTTCAAGTTATAATTAACATAAAAGTAAAATAAAATGAATTTTATTTTATGCCTATTGTTGAAATTGAGAGAGATCGAGAGAAAGAGGCGTCTTACCAGCTTGGGCGTGTGGTCCGTATCGCTCCGGAGCAGGGTGCACAGATTGTTTAGGATTTTGCTATTGGGACTAGGATTCCTATCACAGACTTGGTCCATGAGATGCACCAAGAAGTCGGCGGACAGCTGCTGCAGTGGCAGGCACTGTTCCCGCTTTATTGACTCCATGAGTGGCTTGACAACCGGATTCAGTTTGTCCGGCAGGCAGTGCAGGGCACAGATGGCGCCGGCCAGGGCCGCCTGGGCGCTGACATGGTAGGCGCCCTGTTCACTAGTCGTCTGTTGATACGACGCTTGCAGGCTGCGTCGGCGCTCGAGGAGCGTGTCCAGCACCTTCGGCTTTAGAGCATAGCTGCGCAGATTGTCGCTGAGCGTGGTGGCCACCGCCTCAATCTGGTCGAGCGTCAGAATCTTGGCATTGTTGAAGTCATTGATGGGTATTTTGCTCTGCTTCAGCGTCGCTATAAAGTCCTGTGCCTCCTGCAGCAGCCGGGTCAACGACATGGCCACCTCATCGTAGTAGAAATACTCGGACACACACTGATGCAGCTTCTCCTGCAGATTGGGCGGCCCGGGACGCACAGGCTCATCGTCTAGCGCCCAGAAAGCGATGATCAAGCCGCACACAATGCGCTGCACCGCCGAATGGGCGTTCAAATGGCCGAGCACCACCTTCGTATAGCAATCCGTGGGACTCTCCACCTGCGGCGTATAGAGCACACCCGGCGCCGGCTGCACCAGATAATGGGAGAGGGCGCCCAGAGCTCGCGATGCCGTGATCCGGGCACGCACAAAGTTTGCCTCTCGCTGCTCCGACGGCGTCGCCTCGCTGCCGCCCAAATACAGCTTCTGCATGGCATTGCTTTGGGCCAAGGCGGCACCGCCCAGATCATCGCCAATGCGCAGCGGACGCCGGCGCACATTTGTCGCGGATGCGTTTGTTGCTGCATCTACGCCACCGCCGGCAACGGCACGAATGAGCACGGCCGGATCGAAGGAGAGACGCGGTGGCTGCATGGCCAGGCATATCCAGGACGAAACAAAGGGGCAGGCGGCGTGCAGTAGGGCACCCAAATCGGCGTGCTCGATGAGATTGGCCCAGACACGATGCGCCAGCGTTTGAATGTCCGCCTGCGGCTCAACAAGCATACGCTGATAGATGTGACGCAGCGCCTGCTGCAATAACTGCGCGTTCCAGTCGACGACGCCAAAGTTGGATTCGCTGCTTGGCTCGTCGCCACTGCTCGTCAGGGTGAGCAACGTCTTTAGCGTGGAGCGACGCACCGAGCTGGTGCTGTGCGTTAGGAAGGGAAAGAGGCGCGGCACCAGCGTGCCCATCGGATCCATCTGTATCCAGCTGGCCGCCTTCGGCAGACAGAGTATGGCCGCCAACAAGCCCATGAAACTATTGCAGGCCGAGGTCAGCTCATCCTGATCGACGAGCAGATCCCACAGCATCTTCACAATGGACGACACCTGTGCGGTACTCAGTAGCTTGGGCAGCCACATGGCAACTGGTATTAGAGTGGCGGCAGCCACAGCACCCACATCATCGACGGGATCGAGCAGACCCAGCAGTATGTCCGGTATGGATTTGGGCAGGTAAATGGGCAGCAGTTCTTCACGCACCACGAACACATACTTCAGGCCGAGCAGTCCGCCATGGCGCACCTCCCATTCGTTTTTGTGTCGTATCAGCTGCAGCAGAATGTCCACAATGCGATGCACCTTGGGCTCATCGATGGCCTTCACCAGGGTGCCAAGCACTTGGGCGCATGTCTCGCGGACTGGCGCGACCACCTGATCGGAGACAAAGTCACCGAAACGATCCAGGCACAGTACGCAGAGCAATCGGAGTGCTGCATCCTCCAGCCAGCGACCGTGTGCCTCGTGCATTTGTTCCTGACTCTGTTGCACACACTTCCCTGCCCCCTTGCCGTGCAGATTGATTAGCTGGCGCAGTGCTGTCGCCGCACCGTGACGCACCTCCCATTTGGCGTGAAAGAGATCAATGAAGAGCCGAGCACAAAAGTTCTCCAAGGGCCAAGACACAGCATCGACCCACATCCCCGTTACATCTGGCACAGCGGCTGTTGGCAATAATAATATTGAAATTATTAATTTATGTAATTTATCATTTGTATATATAAAGCTGTTAAAAGTTCCCCACTGCTGATATAATAATGCCACTAAAATAAAACGTTTAATGGTTATAATTAACACATCAAGATTATAAACCGTAGCCGGCATCTAAATATACTTTAATTTGTAAATTAGACACAGTTAATATTACTTTAAGTTTTGCTGGCACAGCTCATTTATGTGGATCAAAATAAAAATACAACCTGCAAGTGATCGAATATGCGTATTCCATTAAAAAGTTGAAATATATTATGAAATCCTAGCCGGGTTCTATGACATCATTCTCCCTAAATACTGCTGCGCATCTGAATCAGATATATACAAAAATATATTCTTCTCAAATGAGCCTCTGTGGCATTTACAACACATTGCGTTCGGCAATGTTTAGCAACATCTGTGCGCAATTAGAAAAATCGAAATGAAAAAGAATTTACAATAAATGTGAAGACAAAGAGGCAAGATAAACGAGAACAGCGTTTAGCGTAAGATGTTAGTATCAGGAATATTATAATAATCATAGCAGGATAATCACATTAATGGAATAGAGCATAACTATAACTATATTTTACACTTCTAGGCAAATGATTTAATAGGAAATAAGACTGACCACATAATCTAAGGGATTTATTTTAGAATTTAGCTTGATGCAGCGATTCAAATGTGAAGACAAAGTGCCTTCAATGAATTGAATAAACGAGAGCAGCCTTCAGAGTAAGATGATCAGCTGCATCGTTAAAGTAATTTAACTGCGTCTATTTCAAAATGAATACTTCGGTATGCGTTCAAAAAAAGAAGAAAGAAATACACATTGCGTCACACGCTGAGTGAGTAGCTCTGGCTGTGAAGCCCACGCACCGTTTAAGCTATAGAAGACCTCTTGTCTGTCGTTTGCCTTCAGTTTCTTCTTCTCTGGCTCATCCGATGTGGTGTTGCCGTTGCTGTTGTTGTTGTTATTGCTGTTGTTGCTATTATTATTATTATTGTTGTTGATGTTATTGTTGTTGCTGCTATTGCTGCAGCTGCTGTTGCTGTTGCTGCAGCTGTTGTTGCCAGCGCCGATCCCGATGCCAGCTGTTGAGTTGCGTCGACTGCAGGTGGGCGTCACTGTGGTGCCGCCACCGCCACCGCCACCAGTGGTGGAGCTGCCTTGCCGCGCTTTGCGCTTGGCTCGATTCATTTCACGACAGCTCAGCTTGTGGCCAGCAGCAGCAGCAGCAGCTGCGCCTCCCTTTCCATTGGCCGGCTGAATGTTGAGTAGATGCTCCACCGGCAGTTTCTCGGCATTAACATTGTAGCTGGTGCCGGAACGGGCGAGAGCCACATCCTCGTCACTGATCATGTCGGTGAGATGGACGCCCAGCTTTGCGGCAGTGGTCAGTCCCAGCTTGTCGTTGAGCAGCGCTCGCTGGCGACTTAGGCGTGCGGCGACACTCTGATCCTCGGCCCCGCCGCCACTGGCGGGCTGCTCCTCTTGGACATCGAACTCATTGCCCTCAGAGCCGATGAGACGGGCGCCCTTCTGCAATATCTGCTGCAGATCGAATTCATCGAAGCTGAGCAAACGTTCGCTGCTGCTGCGGCACAGCGTGGTCGTCGTTGTGGATGAAGAAGCATTCGATTGACAGCTGTCCTCCTCGGTGGCATCGCTGGCGGTGCGTTCCTTCTTCAAATTGAGAATGATGCCCAAAGGCTGTTCCGGTTGCCAGGGCGGCACCTGTTTCAGTATCGCCTCCACCGACTGCGCCGCTGCAATCCGCGTCTCCCACGACGCACTGTGCAAATAGCCGACGAGCCGGTTAAGCAACGCGTGCAGCTCATGTGGATATAGCTTTTGAACCTCACCAATCTGCTTGGCGGCCGCTTGCCGCGTCGCCGCCGTCGAGCCCGACTCGAGCAGTATGAAAAGGCGATCAAGTCTGCAATCGAAAAACAAAAATTTCATAAATACCCAAAGAAATGCATTACTTAGTAAAGAGCCACACTTACCGGGAAGTCATATTATAGTTGAGATTTGTGATACGTTTCAATTGATTGTGCAATCGAAGTCCGGACTGCTCTAATTACTAGAAGTACCTAATCTGCAAATAAAAAGGAATTAAAAACGAACAATTATTAGCTGAATTTGAATAAATTGAATATTGCACAATGTAAGTTAAGAGTACTAAATATTCGATTGACTTTAAGTTGTGTTTCTTTCTGGTTTTTTCTATTTTGTATATATGGTAATGTAAACTAAGCTTGTTAACTTGCCTAACAACTTGCATATACCTGATCCATCAGATTATGGAAAAGATCGGATATCACAGACTTGTGTATATCGGCGAATATAAATAATTGTAATTACATTTTAATTTAATTTTTATAAGCAACTTATTTAAACAGGTTACCTTAAATACCTAGTCGTATTGCTGATAGTAGTTTGATCCATATGAAAATACATTTTGATTCACAGAATCTGTGTTTCTTATGCGATCTTTTTGCAGTTTTTTAATCTATCGGATATCGACTCATATCTCCATTCTTACATGCAGACAGATGAACATGGCTAAATCGATTTGGCCCTTGAAGCTGGTCAAAAATATATATCGTTAATGGGGTCAAACGTGGTTCTTTCTGCACTTTGCATACCTTTGCACATAACTTTACCCGTTGCCCATTTAAAATGAGTTCAGGCCATGAAAAAATGAAGAAAAAAAAACTAATTTCAATATAGAACGTAAGACACATGTGCTGTTATCTAGACAAATGTGATAGAACAACTTAAAAACTCTATGCTTCAAAATAGTACTTTGAAGAGAGACGAATCAAAATTCTAGATTTTTGTTTGCTTGTTTGTTTGACTGTAGGCTTGCCTGTCTGTTTGTTTCCCTTTTTCCCTTTTTATTTGTTTCTTTGCCTGTTTGTTGTTTATTTTATTTGCTTGTAGTATGTATTTTGCTGATATCTTTTATATGTGATTGTCATAAAAGCATCAAATGTCAAATTCAAAACGATAGCAAATCAATTTTCATATTACAAATTGGATTTATAATAATAATAATTGCAAACTGGGCCAGCAGTTAGGAACCCTAGGAACCCCGGCAAAAAAGAAGAACAAAAAACAACAATAACAATACCGCAAAAAAAAAGAAGCTTCAAACAAGATTTGAGTTCAACAAAAAATGTTTGATTCTTTGAATTTGTTTCTCTTTCGTTTCGTATAAGGAAGCTCAATCGCCGTGGCAACCTTGAATATTAATCAAGTATTTATATAACAATATAGACACAAACATACACGAATATATATATATATATATATATATATGTATGTATGTACATATACATATATTTATCAAAATGTGTGAGTGTTTGTTGTTGTTGGTTTTGTTCGGATTTATTTTTATAGCAAGCGCGTTAAAAACGAAATACATTATTACGATTTTTTGGACGCATTCACAATTTGTAGTTATTTCTTGCTTTTGTTTTTGTTTTCGGGTTGATTAAGCACGCAAACAAATAATAAAAAAATAACTTAGCGACAGCTAGAAATCGATTAGTAGAATGAACAAATAGAAGTGATTACATGTGAAATATATTTTAGGGGTGTATTCGAAACAGAGCGTTGACTAAATTGTAATGACAATATATATATAAATGGCCTACGATTACATATACATATTGATATATGTCAACAACTTTGAAGTTACGCAATAGAGCTCCACAGAGACTATTTAAATAATAAATTTAATTTAATTTCAAGCATAAATGTGTTTGCCACACAGTCTGGCACATTATTATCATATCAATTTGCATATATGTATGTATTTAGCTACTTATGTACTCTACCAGTTTAGATAAGCTAATCTAGGAAAATACAAATAGAGGACAAAAACAATATTATATATATAACATATTATGTGAATAAAACAAGATGATTAGTTGTCAGAATATATATACTCTGATTCCATTAAAAATCGAATGAAGTTTTGCTACAATTTGTAACTGGCTGACGAACGAAACTTCGAGCTTATGAAGTACATATATTCTTGATCAGCTGTCAATTTAGCTGATCTTAGAGACTAAAAGCCAGAGATTTAAAGTTTGGAATTTAAGTTCACGAACACCATAGGTAGATCGAGTTTATTCCATATTATCGATAACTGCTCACACAGTAAAATACACAATTGTAAAGATAAGGGATTCCCATTGATATACAACATACCTATACATGTAATAAACATATAAGCTCAATAAATTGCATCGGATAAGAAACGGAGAAGGTTAAGATTAAGTTAAGCTATCTCCAATCGAGTTGTTTCAACTAGAGCTTCAGAATTTTTCAAAAAACCATTCAAAGTTACACCCATCGAAATCCAAAATATTATAAAAAAAAATTTTTTGTAGACTTTGTTATTTTGCCACTTTCATACTTATATTAGAAAATTTATACTACTTGAGCACATTTCTCAATTTGACAAATTAGTTTCAGTTTTTGTTACCCAAAAGTCAACATGAATTTAAATTATAAAGTGGAACATTTCAAGCTGCGTTGCGCAATAGCAAAATAGAGAAAAATGTGCGCAATGAAGATAAGTTTAGTTTGTTGGATTTCTCATTATTGTGTACAGTTGATTAGTCATATTATTATTAAGGATGAGTGGCATTTACAAAAATGCGACGTGATTATTTACCGATTTATAGATTTATAAATGCCAACACAAATGACTGTACAAAATCAACAAAGCACCACAAAAAAAATATATTCATAAATACTTCAATGGATACAGTTTTAGTCGGGGCATATCGCGGTAAATGTATTTATAGCAATTAAAAATATATATATGTACATCTAAATCGAAGGACATTATCAAAAATAAATTTGAAGAATTCCCCCAACACTTATATATATATATATACAGCGAATGTTGCCTGAACAGTGTACACATAAGAACAATAATGATAAGAAATACAAACTACTCACATACATAAGAAACATCAGGGAGAGGGGTTCACTAACCCCAAGAAATACACTGATAATATTCATATAGCGCGAGCAACGAATAATCATAAGACGAATATAAAAATATAAATACGCCACATGTGCAAAGCAATTGATAGACAATCAACATGTGTAGAAATGTGTGTATATTCATTTATCTTAGCAATAAAAACGATAGATTACGATTATGTACAAAGATAATGAACGTTGTTAAAGTTATAATGAAGACATTTGTATGACATGCATTGTTTGATCATCAATCGATGCCAGTTATAAATAAAATATTTATCGATAAACGCAACAAGAACAACGACGTTCCACGTACAACCTTGCGTGAGGGCAGCCTACGGCCAGGGGGTGGGTGCGGATGAGGAGCTCAGCGATTAAAGTTCTGCTACGATTGACGATTGCCATTGACAATGTTTGCAGAAAGCTCGAATTAGACCAAGTCCATCGAAATAATACTGTGTGAATAGAACTTCAGAATTGCATTTTGGCTCTTATACTGGAAGCAAATAATTTCTATTGATTTTCCTCTCTCTCTCTTTTGTGCATGTGCAATCAGCTGTCATCCTTGAAACTAGACGCGAACAATAAACGAACTTAGGCGAGCGAGACGAACATAAAACGAATCAGTTGAACGATAATCATATTTAAGCGAACTATAATCGGAATTAAATGAACCAATCGAACGATAATCGTACTTAAGCGAACTATAATCGGCATTCATCGAACGATACTCGGACATAGACGAAGAACTAAACGAACTAATGCTCAACTGCAATTATATCAATTCAAATTGTGTAGGTTGTTTTTGGTGTATTTATTTCCATGTATGTGTGTAGCAGAATCGTTTCGTTGCCGCCGATAAGCAGTTCATTATCAATAATGGACAAATAATGATTAGCAGCACACATACACACATAGAGATATATATATACATGAACAAACATTCACCGGGGATTATCGCATATTCATTTGATGTACAGCAGAGTGGTGAACTTTAACTTTTCAGAATTGTGTGTAACTATTTCTAATTGCGGCCAATCGTTGAAGTCCACGTTGGCTAAGCGCACGCACAAGCGACATTTAATAGGACCCTCCCACACACACACACACACCATATCCCTCCCCCTTATTTCTAAGAATCAGCATGCTCGAATTAAGATAATTTTTTCCCAACGAGAAACACTTGCTATATATTTATAAAATCAAAACATAATTTTGTGGCCTAAAATTTCTAATGATTGAAGACTGCTATTTTTATCGGCTTTTAAGTCGTTTTTAGTTTAGTTTTGTGTGATGTTTGCCCGCGTAAAGTTCTCTAGATTCTGTCGATTATCATAATTATCAGTCATTAAATGAAACGAATTTAAGTGGCTATTTTATTGTCCAATATTGAAGCACATTCTAAGCTGATAAGAATTATATTCAAATATCGAGAGGAATTCGTTAGAATTATTCCCACAAATCTATTTTAGATACACTTCACGACTTTTATCAATTTCACACATCATCAGAGAGTTGAGGGTTACACAAAGTTCTCTCAAAACCGGCCGATTAATTTTTTTTTCGTAGACAGTCAAGTATATAAACATATGTTTTCGAGTCTGAATGTATATAGAACGAGATATTGTAAACTGACTGACTGGCTGAGTTACGTTAACGTTACCAAATGTGGCGTGCTCGATTTAACAATTTTTTTTTGGAATTTCGCACAAGTGGAAACCCAAATGTGTTTGAATGGTAAGCAGTTCAATATTTGCATACACACAATGACAGCGATATTTAGCAAATATTATAACAACTGTTGTTGCATATTTCATTGCAAACATTGTGCCTTAAAAACACGTCTACAAATTTATTGTCTCCTATTGAAAGCTACAAATTATTTGCCTATGTGTGTGTGTTTCATACATCAATATTTCATCTTGTTACACCCAATTCCAAATTGATTTTGAATCCAGATGCTTTACTATTTATTTGCTTGATAATCCAGTTCTTTCTTTTTAGAGGTTATTCCAATTATTTGATAATTTTGTTTGTCAGCCCTGGAAATCATGAAAATTAATGAACGTAAATTTTTCATGAATAGGAAACATTAGCATTTAAAGAAATTATATTTTAATTAAAAACAAAAGCAATTTATATCTTGCACGCTTCAATTTAGATAATGTTTACATAAACATTATTTCAGTCCAATCCACAAATGTAAAAGGGCATCAAAATCAATCACAGCGTATATATGTGATTTATGCATGTATTATTTATTCCAGTCAAACGGTCAATAACGTTATGTATAAAATGCCAAAAGCATATGTATACAGTATACAATATATATGTACATATGCATGTTTCGTTTATAAAACTAGTTCAAGTGCCCTACCCCACTAACATGCAATACACACATACAATCATACATATATGAATAAAAGGAGAGAGAGAGAAGTATATGGCTGGGCCAGGCAGCGACTGCTTCATTCGGTAAATGTCGATTACGGTAGCAGACCATAAATAAATATAAATGACGCCAGCTGCTGCCGCTGCTGGGTCGACGTCGTCGCCGTCGTCAACGTGGACAACAACCAAAAGCAACGCATATCGTCGGCAGAGAATTCGACAGCGGCACTTGAACGTTAGACAAGGCAAAAGCATAAACCTCGCTTTGTGCTGTTATTTCGACAATTGGTTCGTTTGGCCGACCCAAAAGTAAGCGAGTTAGTTAATGAACAGAGATAAGAGGTGAGGGAGAGGGATGACAATGGCCGACGCAAATACCGATAAAGCCGAAAAACAAATAAAAGTGCAAAAAAGTAGACAAAAACCGAAAATAAAACACACAAGCGGCAAAGTGTATTGGGAAATGGGTGACTAAAAATACGATACAGACGGGGCACATTTCAAGCGGTGCCAAGAATTAAAACGAAATAAACACAAAAACTCCACAGCACAAAAAATCAAGCCAATTGAAGAAAAAAAAAGTAAGGATTTTTCTATTTACACATACATATGCACACACACACACACACTTGAGTGTCTTATAAAATTTCATAAATGTAAGCTTATCAGCACTACAGCCCCTGCCCCACCTCCTCATGCACACTCTTGCAGAGTGTATTAGAGAAGAGACAGTGCAATCACTCTCTCTCACACACACAAACGCGCGCGTGTACATTGAAAAGTTGAACGGAAGACGCGTTGCGTCGACAGCGCGTCAAGGAGAGCAGCGCAGTCAGCGTTAAGCGATAAGCGGACGAGGGCTGCATCTCCACAGAATACTCAGTATCCAATACTAATGTAATTAGGACGCACACACACAAACATATTACATGACACTTACCTTTGGCAAATGTTACGTTTCGGCTGTCGGCTGTGCCGTCGCGGCGTGCTGAGCTAGCAACTCTGTTTGCTTTACTGCAGCATACCTATAGTGGCGTCGGCGTCGACGTCTGCTGCTGCTACCGCGGCAGCGCTGCGACTGCTCGATTCAATTCATGCGCGTTGCTTTAGCTGATGCATTTTTCTCCACTTTTCACCGCCAGCTAATGATTTGTGTAAAAAAAAAATTGCCTATTTAATGCTTTGTTTATTTGCTATCGACGTCACAGTTCACTTTTGCAAGCGCTTCTATTTGTGTGTGTGTGTTTAGCTCTGCAGCAGCGCTGCTCTGCTACGCGTTCACTTTTTTTTCCTTTTTTTTTTATTTGCAAGCGTCACAAAATTGTTCTTATTCACTCGCACGATTAGCCAATTTGTTCCATTGAATTTTCAAGCACACACACACACCGGTGTAGGCATTGTGAAACCGCAGAATTAATATTGTATCACAATTGTTGCTTGGCCGCAAAAGTCAATGTTTTAATTTAACATTTGGTTTTACACAGACACAAATGCACTCGATACGTTCGATGTTCTCAAATTTTCGGATATTAAAATTACCAGGGAAAGCCATGTTCGCGGCGTTCAAGTCACATTTATACTGTGCGGTGCTCGACTGGCGCATGAAATAAAATTCAATTAGAGTTGCCACTGATCAGTTGATGACTGCTTTTATCCGATAGTGCAATGAGAAATGTTATTACAATATCTGTAAACAAATGGTACATTTTTTGTCAAAGTATAAAATAAACTGCAAAAATGTAGAAATTAGGAAAACAATTTCTTTTACATTAGAATTGTCCATCAAGTGAGCTTAGAATAGGCGACAACACTACTTAGATTTAGAGATGGAATTTTTGCGCTTGGAGCTAGAAATATTGAACTGGTTATATGTGCTGAGAATCGTAAAATTTCCAGAATAGTATCTATTCTAAGAAAGTCTAAGTTGAATGATAATAATTATAAGTGCTTCGCAGAATTCGACAATATATGTTTTGTAAAAATACTTGTTTTTGCGAACTAAACACACCTCTAGTTAGAGTCTCGTGGAGTGCGTGTGTGTCAGTCATCGAGTATATTTATATGGATAAGAAATAAGAAAAGTACTTCGATAGTATCGATACTCCGCAACCCCAATTGTGTGCGTCTGTTGCGGCTGCAGCATTTTCAATTTTCGTTTTCGTCGTGAAACTGTGCACCAAATCAAAGAAAAGCATTAAAAAAGTGTTGCACAATGAACACACTCGGTCCTAAAAAGGACGGAAGTCCCAACATCGACTTTTTCCAATCGCCGGAGACGCTGCAAGGCTTCGAGTCCATACGACAATGGCTACAAAAGAATTGTAAAAAGGTGAGTACAACAACGCCACCGTAAGCGAAAACAAAAATGGCGCTTCGCGCAAATTAAAAACATTCACCAATTAATGTATGTTTGCAGTACTTGGCGCACAGCTCGGAGCCGATCACAAAGGAGTCACTTGCCCAACTGCTAATACTTTTTCTGCAATATGTGGAGGCGAAATTAGGTAAAACCTCTGCTGAACCGCCGGCGACGAGAATCCCGGTAAGTGTGTGTATTTGTGTGTGTGTTTGTCTGTGCAGGGAGAACAGGGTGTTTTGGGTGTTCGAAATGTTTTGTATGTACACGCGCGATAGAGATGCGCGCATTTTACAATATGTAGAGAAGCACGAGTGTGCACGTCACAAGCACGATAATTAATATTGTTTTTAATTTTATAATGTACTATAATTTCGTATACACCGAAATGAAAAATTATTTATGTAATTATGGCAAAAATAATAAAAAATTCTATTATGGAAAATTTGCAAGTTAGACTAGTTTTCTGCACGATTTAAAGGTTGATCGGTTGATAATGATCATTTATTAATTATCGTTCTCATCTTGTAGATGCGCTGTTTTCTGGATTTTAAAAACGGTGGTGGTCTCTGCATCATTTTCTCGACCATGTTTCGCTTTCGAGCCGAGCAACGTGGGAAAAAATTTGACTTTTCCATTGGCAAGAATCCAACACGCAAAGATCCCAACATACAACTGCTGATCGAGATCGAACAGGCACTTGTCGAGGCCGATCTCTATCGCATACCCTACATTTTCATCAGGCCGGAGATCGAGAAGAGCTTTGAGGCGCGTCTGCGTGAGATTCTTGACAATCGACGTGTGGAGATCGTCACCGATGAGGAGGATGCAACGCACATTGTCTATCCTGTTGTGGATCCACATCCTGATGAGTACGCTCGTCCTATTTTTAAGCGTGGCAATCATGTCATGCTTCACTGGTACTATTTTCCCGAATCCTATGACTCGTGGACTCTAAATAGCTTCGATTTGCCGGACAATATACCGGAGAATCCGGAATCACCTGCAGAACGCTGGCGAGTGGCCGCCTCTTGGATATTGGATCTGGAGCAGTATAACGAGTGGATGACCGAGGATGATTACGAGGTGGATGAGCAGGGCAAAAAGAAGATGCATAAGCAACGCATGTCCATCGATGACATCATGTCCTTTGGCGATGATAAAAAGAAGCCAACCACCACCAGCAGCAGCAGCGGTGGTGGCACCACCGGCAAGCAGAAACGACGCCGCTCGCCGTCGCCCACAACTTCCACATCGACATCGAAGCCGGGCAAGCGAAAGCGTTCCCCGGCCGTCATACACAAGAAGTTACGCAATGACGACGACGACGAGGATCTCACCCGGGATCTGGACGATCCGCCGGCTGAGCCTAATATACAGGAGGTGCACAAGGCAACGCATTCGACGTTACAATCAACAGCCAGCCCAGCGCCAGGTAATAAATCCCGTGGTGACAACGATATGATGCCCATCAAAGGTGAGTCCATCCATAAAACCAACCAACCTGTAAATAACTGTAACACAAACCATTCTTTAACCACTCAGGTGGCACCATGACCGATCTGGATGATGAAATGACTGGCGGCAGTGGCGCTCAAGCTCTGTCCACCGGTGACGGTGACAATTCGCAGACGGGCAAGACAAGCGATAATAGCAATACGCAAGAGTTCTCATCCTCGGCCAAGGAAGACATGGAGGACAATGTGACCGAGCAGACGCATCACATCATTGTGCCCTCATATTCGGCCTGGTTCGATTACAACTCAATTCATGTGATTGAGAAGCGCGCGATGCCCGAGTTCTTCAATAGCAAGAACAAGTCGAAAACGCCCGAGATTTACATGGCCTATCGTAACTTTATGATTGACACTTACAGGTGCGTCACTTCCCACTCCTGCTCCTAATTCTCTCCCGAATCAGAATTGATAATCTTGATATGTTTTGCGCAGGTTGAATCCCACAGAGTACTTGACCAGCACCGCTTGCCGTCGCAATTTGGCCGGTGATGTGTGCGCCATAATGCGTGTGCACGCCTTCCTCGAACAATGGGGTCTCATCAACTATCAGATCGATGCCGATTTGCGTCCCACGCCAATGGGGCCGCCACCCACTTCGCACTTTCACATTTTGTCGGATACACCGTCTGGCTTGCAGGCGATCAATCCGCAAAAGACACAGCAGCCGTCGGCGGCCAAGACACTGCTCGATTTGGACAAGAAGCCGCTAGGCAAGGAGGGTGGCGTCATGGAGTGTGACAAGAGCGCTGGCGCAGGCGGCGCCGGTGTTGGCGGTGGCTTGGGCATCAAGGCAGAGACGCTAGAGAATGGCGCCGCCAGCGGTTTGGCCTCTGGGGTCAGTCAATTTGGACTAAAGTTGGATCAGTATGCCAAGAAGCCGGCGGCAATGAGGAATCGCACGGCGGCGAGCATGTCGCGCGAGTGGACCGACCAGGAGACACTGCTGCTGCTCGAGGGACTCGAGATGCACAAGGATGACTGGAATAAGGTGTGCGAACATGTTGGCACACGCACCCAGGACGAGTGCATTCTGCACTTTTTGCGTCTGCCCATCGAGGACCCGTATTTGGAGGACGATGGCGGTTTCTTGGGTCCGCTTGGCTGCCAGCCAATTCCATTTAGCAAATCCGGTAATCCCATCATGTCAACAGTCGCATTTCTCGCATCTGTCGTCGATCCGCGCGTCGCAGCTGCTGCTGCCAAGGCAGCCATGGAGGAGTTTGCCGCGATTAAAGTATGCTTTTTTTTTCTTGAGATGAAAGCTTTGCTGGCATTATTATAATTAATAATCGTCGTTTGCAGGATGAGGTGCCAGCCACCATTATGGACAACCATATGAAGAACGTGGAGAAGGCCTCGGCCGGCGGCAAATTCAATCCCAATTTCGGTCTGGCCAACAGCGGTATTGCTGGCACAGGCAATGACAAGGACGATGACGAATCCAAGGATGGCAACAACAGCAGCTCTTCGGCACCTGGCCACGATGAGGAAATGAAGGATCTTAACAAGAAAGACGGTAAGCAAACAAACACAAATAGAACTCCAACTGAATATTCATACCATTGTATACAATTCAAGTTGAATTTACTCGCTTTGGTTTTTAAGTCGCGCAGCTGATAAAGAGCACAGTTTTTGATTAAATTAGGTTAACCGATTTCTGTAAATTATCGACAGTTTTAGCGGTAGAGTCTTAAAGTTCGTTTGAAAGATGAGTTCTTGTTTAAAAGACTTCAAATTTAGAACATAAGTGCACGAATACCACGGGGGCATATCGATAGATATCGATTTCCGATAGCAACAATAGGTACGTTTGTAAGAATATTGCCTTAAAATTGATTTAGAATATAATAACATAATAATATTATTAAACAGTATTATTATGAAAAAACTACCATTAGCAAGCCTGCTATATATTCCAGAGTATCTGTCAGTCGAGCTCTCTCAACTAGATTATTCCAAGTTGTTAAAATTAAGCTTGATTCCGTCCAACGTTATTCATTCACTCATTCGCATTAAATATGTTGATTTAGTGTCGAACATTTCGCTTGAAATGAACTTGCAAAGGTATGAAATATGTGATGTCGGCATGCCGAGGAATGTTTTCGTTTTGCCACTGATAGATAGATATATTTTAAGTTTTTCTTTTATTAACATTTCTTTTATTTTTACAAAATTTTGCAAACGTGATGTGAATTTGGCCTATTTTGTATTGCGTTATTGCGTTTGTTCTAACAACGATAAAACACAACAAAGCCACAGACGACGCCAAGTCCAAAGACAAAACGAAATCGGATAAGCTCAACACAAACACCACAGACTCAAGTTCCACATCAACAACAACAACAACATCAACCACATCAGCCACATCAACAACAACATCAACATCATCAACAACAGCTACAACAACAACAACAAGCAACACGCCCACCACCAATAACACTGATAAAAAATCTAAAGATTCAGGCGGCGACAAAGCCAACAAAACAAGCGACATCAAACCGAGCAACAACAACGCCTCAAACAAAACGGCTTCCAACTCCTCACCCACAGAGACTGGCACCACCAACAGCGATGCGGAGATCAAAACGGAGGACAATAGCGGCGATGGCGAGTCCAAGGATGCCAGCAACGATGCCAGCGGCGGCGGCAGTGCCTCCGCTAAGGATGGTGGAGGCGCCTTCAGCGAGAACAATATGCAAACGGCAGCGGCGGCTGCTCTGGCCTCTGCTGCCGTCAAGGCCAAACATTTGGCGGCGCTGGAGGAGCGTAAGATCAAGTCACTGGTCGCGCTGCTAGTGGAGACGCAAATGAAGAAGCTAGAGATTAAGTTGCGCCACTTTGAGGAGCTGGAGGCGACCATGGAGCGTGAACGTGAGGGACTCGAATACCAGCGACAGCAGCTCATCACTGAGCGCCAGCAGTTCCACCTGGAGCAGCTGAAGGCGGCCGAGTTCCGAGCCCGCCAACAAGCGCATCATCGCCTGCAACAGGAGCTGCAGCAGCAGGGACAGCAGGCGGCGGGCGCACCCGCTCCAGGTGCAATGATCTTGCCGCCGCAACAGCAACAGGCGGCACAGCAGCAGCAGCAGCAGTCGCTGCCACCGCCGCCACCCCATCACCACCAGCAGCAGCAGCCGCCGCCGCCGCAGCAACAACAAGCGCTGCCACAGCAATTGCAGAATCAGCCCCAATCGCTGGCAGCACCCTCGGCGCAGCATCAGCCGTTGCCACCGCACATAGCTGCTGTTGCACCGCCGAACGGTGCACCATTTGCGGCGCCGCCAGTGGCGACGCCAACCGTGGCCGCAGCGCCGCCGCCAGCTGTTGGCGAGCTGCCGCCTGCAGCTGTGGCCCAAGCTCAGGCGCCCACGCCAATGGGTGAGTACAATTCACAAGTGCTGCAACAATTGAAACTCAATCGCATCTCTCTCACATTTTAGACACTACACCGCCAGCTATTGCACCACCTGTTGCTGAAGTCTCTGGCGTGGCAGCTGCTGCAGCGAGTGCTGCGTCTGCCCCAAGCATTCCGGCGGCAAGCGTTGGCGCTGCTGTCAATCCTCCCCCTTCAACTTAAAGCTATGAGTAAAAACTTTAGATTCTAAGTTGTACGCTCTCAGTATGTACTCTATATCCGATTTCTCCTCTTCCCTTCTCTTCCGTTGCCTTACCTTATTTTGTCTGTCTCTCCCGCTTGGATCCCTTCATTAGTCTACTTTTGTATTTTGTTGTAGTTCCCACATCCACCCCCCTCTCGAGGCGCCTGCTCATTGGTCGCCCTTCTCAATATTTACACCATTTTGAACCATGTTTCAAACCCAAAACTGCATTAAAATAAAATCTATTCATATGTATGAAATTATTAAGTGTGTCTAAATATCGGTTTATGTTATACATATAGTAAAGTAAACTATACACATATACATATAGATATACTTTATAATATTTAAAAATTAATAAGAGGACAATTTAGACAACCTGCCAACACCTAAATTTCACAATAAATTATAAAAAAGGTCATAAATTAAATGACGATAGACAGAAGAACATGGGGAGATGTCTCCTTCAATTCAAGGAATAAGTTCGCGTAATAGCAATCAAGGTTGTATCGAATCCGCCACTGATGTTCATCAAGAATACTTAAGGAGTCTGGGTAGTTTTGGCCACATACAGATCCACATCTGATCTATAAAGATTACAAACACCTTATCTGAAATATAAAGCAAAACAAGCTTATTTAATTGGATGGATAATTTCCCTCATCGATTAAAATCGAATTCAGACATATCTTGAAGTTTATAATTGGATTTTCCATGAAGCATGGTTAAACGGTTGTCAACCTGTATGACATACATAGGCCTTGCTTGGCCCATGCTCTGGTCGAAAATAGTTCATTTTTGTAAACATTTATAACTATGACATCACCAAGTGTATTCGCTTTTTTCCGAGTGTATAAAGTAACTTCGATTATATTTAAGATGGAGTAGTATAGGTTAACATTTAGTCGTGCTCTGAACAGGAGCACATTTCTGCTATTTTTCATTGTTCATTTAATATTATTCATATTCCTCATTCACAATGAGAATCACTAAAGTCTAAACTTAAAATCGATAGGCTATCAAAATAAGCAAGGCAAAGATGCCCAGTCACTTGGATGGGTTGGTTTGGAGTTGGGTTCATTGACAGGATGTGCGTTGCTTGTGTATATTTGGTCGTTTGCCGCTGCCCAAAGATAAGGATTTAATCAGCTCGTCGCTGGAACGTGCACGTTTGAGGTAGAGTGGCGTCTCCGCCTTGCTCATGAACTGGCAATCGGCTGCCTTGCAGATCGTGGGCATTGGCTCGGGCGTAAGGAAGACATTCATATTAAGGCCGTTGCTCATGATGTGCTCACCATGACCATTGTTGCTGAGTTGCTCAAGCAGTGGCCGCTTGGGAGCATCCTTGGCGAACTGCTTGCAATGCAGCGATTGCGCATAGTCCAACATTCGAGGCACATAGCACCGATTGTAGAAGCTAATTATGTCCGTTGTGGGTTGCCCGGGCGACATATACACCTCGCGATAGACGGCACTTTGGGCATGCGGCTGGTATCGGTACTGGAAGATGATGTCGCTGAAGCTGCTACGGAGGCACAATTTGCGCATGCAAAGGTGGACGGCACACAGGAGCAGCTGGTCGAGATGACGCTCCAAGAGAAGCTCGGCGCCGTGTACACTAATCGAGTGCTCGACAATGTGCCAGATTTGTGGGTATTCCTCCAGCATGCAGAGACCCTTACACAACTGGACAAGCCGCTGATTGGCCAAGTAATAAAATTTACGCAGACAAATGCTGGCCGAGGAGACAGACAATTGCACGTGCTGGTATCGGGGCAGGTTGCCATAGATGAGCCACAGCGGCGAGTTTCTCTGCCAGATGAGTGAGTCCAAGCAACGCACCTCCAAGTCACCCAGATGCTTGGCGAGATTACGCGTCAGCAAGTGCCTCCCATGTGTCACAACCAGCTCAATGATCTTATGGAACTCGTATGCATTGATGGCAAATAATTGGAGCAGCCACTGCAACTGCAGCGTCGATCCAAGGATGTGCAACATCAGTTGCAAGCAGCACGCAATCAGTGTGGCATTAAATCGATTCTTTTGCATTAGAAACTGGCCAACTTTTAATGTTGGCCGACGTTGCAACTCGGCGGCAAGGATCTTGCCCAGCAGTGTGTAATAAAGACCCTTGCCCAGGTGCAGGCAACACTCCATGGCCTCCCCCTTGAAATGGACAGCACTCTCGAATTTGTTACACATGTCCAGCAGAATGGTCTCCAAGACATTGGACTCGTGTTGGTCCAGCTCGTTGCTTATGTGGACTGGCATCGATGGCAGCAGTTCACCCGTTAGCAGCTTGAGGAGATTATCCCGCTGGCTGCTGCTCAACGACAGTTGAGCATAAGGATAAAGATCAGCTCCGTTCCTCGGCAGCTGTTTTCCTGTGAGTTGTGCCTTTGACGGTGTTTCAGCAATGAAATGCGTCAATAGAATTCGCTCGTCGATCTCAGTGATGTCGGACACGTGCTGTGCATAGCTGCTGTTAAGCGAGGCCAAGTTCACCTCCAGAATGCCATCCTTGATCAGATGCCGCAAGCTTCTATCGTTGCCGAGCAGTCGCTGATCCATAAACATGCTCATGACGGCCTTGTGAAATATCTTCCTCATCATCGACACACTCTTCGATGACAGCTCAGGAATTAGTTCACAGATGGCCTCGAGAGCGCTATAATTGCGCAGCAGATCAATGTCAAAGTCACCGCAGCTCCAATTGGTGGGCAGGCCCTTAAACTCCGCATTAATTATATCCGAACTGGGAACCTCGAGTGCATTCACATATACCAATTCCAAGGCACAGACGAGCACCTGGCACCCAGTGACCAGGCAGGACGAGACCACGACGGGCAAGTCGTTGCGTGCCGCCAAAAACAGCAGCCAGCCAAATTCGTAGACCATTTGATAATGCGAACGACTCTCAGTCTCTGTTGCCGGAGGCAGCACGTAGAGCTTCCTGAAGAGGTGCTTGTAGTGCTGCAGCAGGAGTCGATTTATGCCTAAGTGTCGTTTGATATCAACGATTTCCTTCTGTGAGATCGCCGAACTCTGCGCCAGATATATCCAGTGCTCCATTCGCTTCAGAAATCGCATAATATTGATGCCCATCCTGCGCAACAGTTTTGTCAACGAAATGTTCCAACTATTCCCATTGACTTTCTTCGATGCGGGGTCATCGCCAGCTTCGGCTTCCTGCCGTGTGTTTTTAATTTTGGCCTGTTGCAGCTCGCAGTAAATGGCACAGCAGAGCCAATCCTTCGCTTCACTGGTTAAATAGCCGTCCGAGTTCAATTTGTGAAATGTTTTGATCGCATTTTGCCAAATTATCGTCTCAATTTCCAGCTTCTGACAGTTCGCCACAAAATGTTGCAGGATTATGTCCTCTTTCATCATCTACACGAATAACAAAAACGATAATTGCTTTGCTTTTCAAAACACAAATTCTGCGCTTACCTTTATATGATTTTATGTAATTTTTATTTTAATTTTCCTCCAGGCGGGAATATCAAAATGAGATGCAGCGCGGTAAACAAAGACTGGTCACACTGTGCCAGAAATTCACAAATTCACCGAAATAATCAGCGTTTGCAATGAAAGTCTACTAATTCTACTGATGCAATATAATTGTGCATTTATATGAATACTATTATAATAATTCAAATTCAAATTAAGTTCTTTAAAGTAAGTTCAATAAACAACATCGTTTTATTTTCTTTGGGGAATATTTTGACTAAGTTTTCGAGTCCGCGGGTTATATTATTGCTCTGTTAGCTACATTCTGTTAAGTTCAAATACGAAAGCTATTCACAATTGGAATCATAAATATTTGGCCGGCTTAATAACTTTTTGAGCTTTACTTAATATTTGCATTTGGATTTGATTAAAATGGCATATAATGGCGAAGCGGTTGTTTTTTTTAGTCAGGCGCGTTCTTAACAGTTAATGTTAACAGTCTATGTCTAATCTAATTGTATATAGCCTGGTAACTCTGAAACTGCTAGTCGGCAAAGTGAACTTACTAAAAATGTTGCAAACAAATAAGTTGCTGCAAAAGGAACAAGTCGAGTTGTATGCCATAGAAAAGAAGCTGCTCAAAATAATACCCAAAGTGCAAGAAGCGATGAATTCCCTGAAGGTAATAGAGAGAAATCAAATGGGATTGCAATGATAAAGTGCTATCAAACAAAGATTCCCCTTGCAGGTGGAGGAGCTACATCTAAAATCGCTGTCAGTGCAGCAGGCACTGTCCACACAAACAGTTGCATCCAGCTCAGATGTGACCATCAGTGAAATATTACCTGCCCAAAGTATGGTCACAGCCAGCGAGCAGATAAACCGGCAAGAAATCGACTTGGATATAGTTGGAAGCAAGCTGGAACTTTATGATGTTGAAAGCGATTCCGATGAAGCGCAATTTTAGTTTGCTTATTAGTTTTATTGATACAAATTTAGCTAACTTGAAGATGGTCCGAAAACAAAATATACAAATTATGACTTACAACTTAAATATGGAATTAATTAATGTCCTGAAATCATCATAGTAAGTCTAGTGACAAAAAAAGTGAACTAAACTACTAAAGCTATTTATGTATATGCATAATACGCATATTTATGTTAAAACACAATATTACACCGTATAGATTATAGTCGATTTAGGCATCGGATGACTCCGCAGAGCTATCGCGTCTTTTCTTCTTCTTGGGTGAAGAGATTTCTGGTTCGTCGGCGCTATCGCTGCTGGTAGTAGAGTTGCCATCGCTGTCACTGCTGTCGCTAGAAGAACCTGATCCACCAGCCGAGGAGCTGTCATCATCATCATCGGAGCTGGAACTATCCGAATCGCCGCTGCTGCTCGATTCTGAATTCGATGAGTCCGAACTGCTATTCGAACTATCCGACGAACTGGATGATGAGGAACTATTGCTGCGTTTCCGTTTCCGCTTAGCGCGCTTCTCTTTGTCGCCATCGTGACGTACTTCTGAGCCGGCATCCAGCGAACGCATCTCATTTGCCGCTGACATTGAGTCGGCGGCGACGGCATTGGCGCTCTTTTCGGCCAAATGTTTGCTCAGTTGCTTTGTGCGCGAACTGCGGTGCACATATTTCCGTTTCTCCTTGCACTCGTAGCTCCAGTGCCCTAAATTCAGGCACTTCTGACAGCGAATGCCATTTGGAAAAGCGGCAGCCAATTTCGCAGTGCTGCGCGTCAAAAATATTATTTGGTTAGTTTTGTTTAGCTTGTTGTTGTAGCTATTCCGCTGCTTACCGCTGCTTTTGTGCCAGCTTGCGCGCTGCCAAGCCCACCAAAGTCATCCTTAGGTAATAATCTCTGAGGCGGTGCTTCGAGCCAATTTTGACGGCTGCGTTTGCAAACACTTTTTGTTAATTAAAAAATATACAAGAAATCGGCAGATGCTAAAACGTTTTTTTTGTTGTCACAGACTGTGTTACCACAGCAGGGAAGGCTTAAAATACTGAATTTAAAGTTATTGCATTCGATTAATGCAAAACCTAGATTTACATAAATTGTTTAAAACTTTAGAAAAACAATTCTTGCTGGCGTCCTGTAAATACTATTGTTTCATTAATGGCTGCTGTACAATTCAGATTACTGCTGATATTATGTTTTGTTGGCGCAGACAGTGTGACCGCAGCTTTGAAACCTTGAAATGCTGATTATATCAAAATAAGATCGACCGTAAAGTCGACATCATAACATAAATTATTTGCGATTAATAATTATATATAGCTTTGCTAACGTGCAAGTATGCATCGTTGCAACTTAAAGTATTAGTTGGCAATTCTAACGCGTATTGCTTAGATGCGAGAGAGAGAGAGAGAGATATATTTAACCAATCGTAGGCTAAAACAATAACAAAACCTAATTGGTGACTAACAGGCGAAAGCTGAAGTCCAAAGACAATCGAAACAAGAGGCTGGACGAGGTAATCTGAGTTGCCTGCCAATTGCTAATTGCTTAACACACATATACAAAACTGTGCACTACTTTCAGCTGTTGTAAGTTATGACCGAATCGGATGTAACTCTCAAAAATGCTGGGACAGCGGTGGAGGTAGCTGGCGCCGCTGGAGCAGTTGGCACTCGCCTTATGCCGCCCGAAGAGCTGGCCATGCAATCGCTTACCAAACAGCTATACAAATCAAAGTTCTTTCGTGGCATTTACCTGGAGCGCTGCTTTGTCGAACAGCTTGGAGGCTATCGTGATGTGGTTGTCCTGCAGCGCAGCGAAAGAGAGCTGGAGAAGCTACTGCTGAGTAGCGCAAGCAAATTGCAATTGTTCTATCAACGCTTCGTGCCCAACATGTGGGTGGGCATCACTAAGGGCAGCGTGGGCAACTACAAGCACAAACCACACGCGACACAGTTGGACACCTGCGTGTGGACGGAACTACGAGATATGGCCTTTGGAGAATACTGGTTCAGCATTAAGACACTACGCTTCCGGGATCGTGAGGTGCAGCTTAAACTGAAAATGGTTCGTGCCGTTGAGGCAGAGCCATTGTCAACGCCCCGACACTCGTTAACCATCAAAAAAGTTAGCCCGAGCAGAGCGATAACCTCTAGCGACAGAGACGCTGCAGAGATTGTCACCGAGGAGCAGCAACATTTACCGCAAATTGGACTTGAGGACTTTTTGGCTGTGTTGCAGCAGTGGCGTCAGTCCGTTGTAACGACCACATATGAGTTTATGGCCAACGATGTGAACAAGCGCAATATAATGGGCACCATTCGTTTCCTCGGACTGCTCATCTTTTCCATATTGAGCGGCGCTGTTGTTGCCCTCCGTTTCATGGGCATCTTTGCGGTGCGTTTCCTTTTTGAGGTCAGCCGCTTCACACACACTGCGACACCAATAGTATTCAAATTGATAGAGTTTGTGAATAGGATTGTTGGAGCGTTCTTCATTCTGCTCACGATGATTTGGAAGGATTTGGTGGTTAATCGCGGTCGCAACGACGGTGGTCGTTCGATGCCCAGAGAGCAACTGGAAGCCAACAATCGTTTCAAGAGCATCACGTACGAGAGATCACATCCTCATCGGCGCAGTCCGCGCTACGAATCATCAAATTATCGGTAATCCCAAATGGATTTGAATTCCATTCACGTCAAAATTGTTTGGTGTTTATTGTCTGCACTGCATAGCATTTAGTCACTCACTTGGGCTTTTGGGGTTTGGGGGCTTTGTTTTCTTTCAGATTGTGTTACTAGCGTTAAATCCCTCAGATTTCAGATTTCGTTGATGTTTGTGCTGCAAACATTTTAACAAGAGATTTTTAATTTTTTAGGAATTGCAAATTTTGGCCAGATCTTTAGATATTGTTGTCATTTTAACAATCTCATGCTCATTAATTTATAATATTAATACAATGTGTATTGTTTGCTAAATTGATTATTTCAAATGTATAGTCTAGTAGAATAATAACCAATTTTCTGTGAATAAAAATGTTAGAATGAAAAGAAAAAAAATGCTTTTAATTAATGAATAAGAATTTACGAACCTGTCTGTATTTGGTCGAACCTTTGGGGGAAATTGTAAATAAATCATGTGTGCTTTTAGTTTAGTTTTAATAGTTATACACTTTCATTTTATTTACTTTACTTGATGTTATTCTCATTAAATTTTTGTCATATATATATATATATATATATATATATATATATATATATTTATGTATCTATATATGTAGACTAGTATAATTTGTCGGTTTGTCACTAAATCTTACACAAATGATCTTGTTGTTGTCGTGTTTGGTTTATTTGTTGTCTTAATATCCAAACTTTTGCATGTTGGGTTCTTGTGTACTGGTACTCCTTTAGTAAGCGCATTAAATAAGTATTATGTACTTGACTTTCAATTTCAATTTGCTATAGTATTTTGTGGGTGTTTTGCTTCTTTGTTTCTCGCGTCTAACCTTGTAGTTTGTCAAATGTCATTTAACGCCAAACTTGTCGGTCTAAATGTTAGAATTAATAATTTTCAGTTTTATTATTAGTCAACTAAATTATATATTTTTTGTGATACATATATACTTTAATTAGTACATATACATACATATATGGTATTATTTTTATTATTATTACATTGCGATGTTATATTTATGGAAATTACTGTGGTGTGTCTTTGCCTTCATTATTTTCGTATGCAAATGCTTCAACGAACTTTGCTCATAACCTTTAATTAACGTTTTGTTTAATAATAATAATAATAAGCATGTAAATTGTATGCAGACAATAAAATATGTGTTTTTCTGAATGCTTGGATCTCATTTGAGTTTGATATATACTGTAAAACATGTTGTCAACATTATTATTATTTGTCATTCCTTGTTATTATTATAAGTATGTAGTATTCAATGATTTAATTTATTTATTACTGTATTTTTTTATGCACTAGTCGCCAACTTGTTGAGAAACGAACGAAATTAAATACAAATTTAAATATTTATGTTTAGGTTAACACTTGCCTGTTATTGTAAATACTTTCCTTTTTTTAAAGTAAAATGTACAATATACAATTTCAGTTAATTGTCATAACGTGTATTTAACTTTATACCTTCAAGTATCAATATAATTTGCCATTGCTAACAAATAATTACACATTTATAGCATATTTCAATTAACATGTTTTTGCCTGCTGAAAATAAGTTGATTTTTTTTAACAATTAGTTAGACATTTAGAGCAAAAACATTGATAATATAGATTGTGATTTTTTTTTTAAATTTCTTTTTAGTTTATGCATAAAAATTTGTCTAGTGAAATATATATGTAAATATATATATTTTTAAAGGTTTTGAACTGCTTATTGTTTATAATTGCGGTTTTTATTTTTATTTGTATTCATTTTTTTTTGTTAATTGCCTTTTTCATAAAGTTTTCTTAAAATTTTTTTGCTCGGATTATTGTGATTTTTTGGCATTGTTTTTTTTAAAGGATACGTGTGTGTTTTGGTGAATAGATAGTAAAATCAGCTTAAAGTGTGAACAAAAACTATTTAATTTTTTGACCGTGTGTTTACTTGAATAACATTTTCAATTCAAAACAAATGTCAATTATAAGTTATGTGAGCATCAACTATAGTTTAAACATATTTTATTTCAACTCAAAGTTTATTTGCTTTTAAGTTAATTTTTTGTGTAATATAAAAGAAAATCAATTTTAAAACGAAAAACTGTAATTTTGTTAAATAATTTTTTATATTTTATTTGAATTTTTATTTATTTTTATATTTATATTTTTACATAGTACATATAGTGTATATATGTATATATATATTATATATCTATATATTTATAATAATAATTTTTTACACATTAAATTCAAATGCATTAATTTATCTGTATCTGTATATATATGTTTATATATATATATACATTTAGTATATATATATAATTTATTTATAAATATAAATAACAAAATGTTTCCCTTTGAAGCTTTTCTTTTTTAATGTACCATTTTTATATTGAATTTATATTTGTATTAATTATAGTTTAACCAGTTTGTTGTTTAGCTTGAAATTTGTGTGTATGTTTTGTATGCATGTATGTATGTATGTCTGTTTGTATGTATGTATGTATGTATTTATTGGTATTTATAGTTAACTGTTTGCCATTTTTCGTGTGCTGAACAATTGGCGAAAGTTCCCATTAAGCTAATCGATTTGTCTGTCATCTCGTCACCACACATGTGAGTGTGGCACAAAAACCAAAAAGAGAATATGTCGCATCGGATTGATTGAATTTTTAAATTTTGCCATAAGGTTTGAATCAATACATAAAGTACTTGGGCTTAGTGTCTTATATCATCTTTTAAGGTAACTGAATAAAATAGTTTGCTTTGCATGAAGCTTAAGCACTGCCAATGGCCAGTTCTCAACCAACTTTTCCAATAGGATCCGAGGCAAACTCTATTTACATTGACGTTAGTCTTACGCCAACACTAGAGGAGGAGCGTAAAGAATGCCTCGTCTCATAGATAGCCCAACATGGTGCGCTTTAGGCACTTCAAAGTTCTGTTGATGCATGCGGCAATTAGTTGGTTGCGGATTGGATTCGGTTTGGTTTCATAACAATAGTGAGAGTAATACAAAATGTTTGTAAGTAAGTAGTAAAAAGAAAAACAAGGAGTAGAAAGGAAAGGAAAGAAACGTTAAGTTATAAACTTAGAATCAACTTAGAAGAAACTACGATATAAGCTCTTAATTACTTTAAATCATCGGTATCCTCAATTAAATCGGCATACTCCTCCCAATCGTTGTTAGACGAACGTGTGCGCAAATTAGATATTGTCGGTTCCTCTTCCTCCTCCTCCTCCTTGTCCACGTCATCGCCATCCACATCGCCGTGTTTTCTGCGACCACTGCCCGTGCCTCCATCGTCGACAACCTCGTAATCCTTAAGTTCAGCTTCCAAGTCCTTTTCCCATTGTTCCTCTGAGAAAGATGCATCAAAACTGACGATTACTATGTGTGTGGCTTACACGAACATATAGACAATTTATCGGTTATATATGTTCTACTACTATGCATGGTAGATTCACATATAGTAGGTAGTTTAGTTTATAGCATACATTTGTGGCATATCATGTTATATTTATTATATTGAGTATGTATATATATATATATTTATATTAAAGTGTCCAGCAAGCATTGAAAAATTGTAATTTAGTGACCTCCCAAGCAAGTACATGGTTTGTTATCCATTTCGGTGTCATTCATGTTTACCTTCGTGGCTAATCGCGTGGCACATAACTAAGGCATAGGTTTTCACAGACTGTTATTCGTTTAGGTATGCGCACCGTAACTGCAAAGTAATCGTCTACAAAAGTTGGAAATTTTCTTTTAATATGGTAATTATGCCAATAAAATTATATAATGCACCCCCCAAAACCATTACTAATTAACAAATAGCGTGCAAAAACCACGCACCAAGTAAGGAAATATATAAGTATATATAGGAAGGAGTCCTTTGCCATGACTTGCTTGTTGTCCTAACACCAAATCAAGTGCCACAGATGACACCGAATATTGTATATATATTTGTATATAATAATAATATTAATAAAATTACATGTATAATATGAAATAAAAATGTTGTGTGTATTTACAGCGTATATTCAACATCGAAATAAAAAGCAAGCTAAATATTTACTATATTTCAAACGATAAATATATACTTATATAATGCTCGCCAAATATATGAAACTAACTATAAAAGCTAGTCAATAATTAGGCAAAAACTTAATAACTTAGAGTTGAAAATGTGTTTTAGTACGTTGTTAGCGAAAGGATTTGTATATTTTCTTTCTTTGGATTTTGTGTGGTGAGTTGGTTCTAGTACATATTAGAATTCGAATAGACATTTGAAATCAGATTGTTTACAATAAAAGCTGTTGTTTGTTGTGCAGTTAAAAAGCCTTTATAAATTGCTTTCCCAAGTGTCACAAATCTTAAAGAGATTTGATTATTTTTTTTTTTAAATTTAAAATTTGGAACAATATTTATGTTAAGTTTGATTCTGAACGTGTTTGGCTTGCATCTGCAACAACAAATAATGAAAAACGTTAGGTAAGTAAGAAACTAGACGGCAACTACAAAACATCAAATCTAGTTATATATTTAATTTTTGAAAAGTATACGAAAGGAACTGAACTGAATACGAATACCAACAAACACAGAGACAGACAATATTATAATACTTATATTGGACACGTTGACAACAGCGATAATAAATAAAATTTAAATATGTTGCAACTATTTTGCTGAACACAATTTGTATGCAATTGAAAATCAACAACAGAACATTGAAAAAATTTAATGGATTTTTGTTGTTTTTTTTTTTTATATAATTTATTTTGTATAAGTGAAAATTTGATTTTTTTTAACCAACAATTTCTAACTTACCACACAAAATTTTGTTTCAGTTTTTAAGTAACATTTTTGTTTTCGCTTGTTTTGTTTTTTGTATTTTTTTTTTTTCGTTTCGGTTTATATAAATAATGTGTTTTGCTTAATTTTTTTTTGTCAAGTGAATATTTTATATATGTATATAATTTGGTTTGTTGCATTTGGTTTTTGTATATCGCTTAACATTTTGTTTTTAGTTGATTTTCTGTCATGTGGGCAATTTTGCTTGCGTTTGGGTTTTCTTTTATTTTTATTTATATATTTTGTTAGTTTTTGAATTTAGCGTTTATCCATTCAATCTTCTGCAAGATGATTTGAGAATAAATTAAGAAATACATGAAGAAAATTAAATGTTTGTTAAATGTTTCAATATAATTCTTATTGTGTCTAATACTAAGAATTTTGCATGTATTTCTTTTATTATGTTTTGTTGTCTTTTTTAATGTGTTCTTTCTGTGTTGGTAGTGTTGGTGTCATAGAGGAAAACGCGATTTCTTGGGTATATAATATATATATAAAGTATTTTTTTTTTTAAATTAGGCCGAAATATTGTGTGATAGGTACATACTATGAAAGAATATGTAAAAACCATAAAGTATAATACTTGAAAATTCATAAATATTAAAAGTTTTAGTTTAGCGAATTATCGAAATTAAATGGAATTGCAATTGAATAAAAAAGCACAAGATTGCAAAGAGTAAGGTAAGTAAGTATTTCATCAATAATAAGAATTTGTATCATTTTGGTCATACTCAACTTGTTCGAAATTGATTTGTGGCTAGTTAATATTTGATCTTGTTAGTTGTTATAGTAGTTCATAGTAGATACTTAAGTGGAAATTATTGGATTTGATTTTAATATTTTGTATGCTAGTTAGAATAGAATATGGCGGCAACAACAGATTAGACATTCAAGACTTTAGTTGCCTCTTGTGTTATTGTATTTGTATTTGTATTTGTATTGATCATTATTTAATTTATATTATTACTTAATTATCCATAAGTTGCCATACGTTTTTTGTATATATATATATATAGTGTTTTTTCATGTTTTATGGGTTTGTTGTTGCTTTCATTTCAATTGATATATATATATTTTTTTTGTTGTTGTTTATTTTTAATAATTAAATGCCAGAGCTTTGGGTTGTTGTTAGTATTTCGACAATAAAGAATTAAAGATTTGATAAAAATGTAATTTACACAAAAGAAAGAAACAGAGCAGAGGAGAAAAAAGAGAATTGTTTTGATTTTACACTTTGTTTTGTACACACATTTTTCGTAAAGAGTTTTCATTCGATTTCATTTAAAATATATGCAGATAGTTACTTGTATTTTTCTTTGTTTTTTTTTTTGTTTACAATGTGAAAATTAACTTTCAACATTATGTATTAAATTTAAGATGAATGATGTTAAGAAATGAAACTAAAAAATTCATACAGCCAAACAGTTTAAATATGGCAAGGGCAAGAGGCAAAACAAAATGTGATGTGACGATTAAAAACTGTTCACAATGAGGCATGTAGTTAATGTTCTAGGAGCTAAATGCTGTGTGAGCCAAGAAACAGAACTCAGAATCATTCATTTAATTGGACATTCTGGACTCAAAGCTGTTACGGACATACAAATTCCAGGACATGTCTATACACATTCGAATTGAATACAATTTGGAAATTTCAAATACTTGTACATATCTATACGTTGGTGCCATTAGGGAATTATAATCGGTGCATTTAGCAAGCTACTGACCTACAACGATTTTCTTTTAATCTTTTAGTCTAGTTGAGTTGTTTGTTTTTCGTTTTCCATTTAAGCCCTTAGCTATTTTTGTGAACAATGGCAATGTGAATGAGACTATCACGTTGAGAAAATCAATCGATGTTCTACTTATTTTGAATTATGCATGTATGTGTTAATGTTTGTATGCGTAATGTATGTGAGTGTTCGGTTGGATGCATCCTCAATGAAATTTGTAGAGCTCTTTGAAATGAGAAAGACAAATTTCAAGGGCAGTGCACATAACCAAAAATGTATGTACAAAATGTTGAACTTAATATGCAAAAGAATTTTATAAAGCAAAATATCTCATTTATGACCTTTACATAGGTATTGAGTAAGCGTTTAACTAAATATCAATAAATATATATTGTAAAGATTATGTAAAATTCTTACATTGTCTATTTTGTAAAGGCCATAACTGATTGGGTGCACATACGAAAAATTAATGTCAATTTTGTAATAATATTCCATTTAACAAAAATTCGCGTTGTTCTTTTCAGCGAAAGGCCGCAAAGTAACGGAATTTTTTTTTTGGTAACTTAATCAAATTGCAAATGTAATCAAAACATATTTGCATAATTAACTTAAGAAAATTATAATTAAATTTGCTAGCTAAGACCTCTTACCATCGGTGCTGGCGAGCGCCTGCTGGGTCATGCTATCAATGCCCAGTTTGCGCATGCCATCTTTGATTTCGGCCAAATCGGTATCATTGGATGTTTGAAATTCGTCCGAAACGAACTCGGACTCGGAGATTTTTTGGGTCAATTCTTTCTTGTTGCTGGCCTTAAGTTCTTTGGCCGCCTCAATCTCAATGGCAGGCTTCGGTTGCTCGGAGACAGCGCCATTAGCTGCTGCTCCTGCTCCAACTGCTCCTGCGCCTACCGTTGGGGAGGAGGAGTCGGAGCCTGTCGCATTTTTAGCTGGACTGGCAGTTTTATCAACATTTTCTTTAACTGGCAGCTGTTCGGCTGCTTTTATGCAAGTTGAGTTTGATTTATTTGTATAATTATTGCAATTTTGTGTATAAAATAACCACAAAAAGAAAAACATGAAACGAAAAATAATAAATTATAAAATAAAGATTAAATTCTAATAGCTAATAAGTTAGAAAAAAAAAGAATTAAATAAAAGGCCTACAAAGTGAGCGGCGCTTGAAGGGCGAATAGAGAAATTGACTTGATGAAAACGCGACGAGGTGAAAAGTGAAAATGAGCATCAGAAACTAAAATAGAAATCGAATCTTTGGCACAGGCGACAGAAGCCGGTGCAGTTGAAGGACAAACACAAATTATAATCGAAACAAATTGAATTCGAACCAAAACAGAACTGAGAACTGAAATTTAAGGTTCAGAGCATTCCATATAAGGCAGTGTGTGTGGTACAGGCGCTATCCGAAAGTTAGAAAGTTCGAACTAAAATTTTGGAGGCGTGTCTCAAAATGAGAACTATTTGAAAACTATAAGAGAACAGGCGCGTGTGTCAAAAGAAAATATTACGGAAATTAAAAATGGAATCTAATACTTATAGAGAGAGATAGAGATAGATAGAGAGAGTTTGATAGAGAGTTTAGTTAAAGAGCGCGCGAATAGCGAGTATGTGAGAGAGATAGAGGTAGAGGTAGAGAGAGAGAGAGAGATTGCGAGTAAAGTCATAGAGATACTGAAGAGGCGAGCGCAAGAAAATCATAAACTTTACTTTGGCACTTTGGCCACTTTAGCGCCGGCGCTCATTTGTGGGTACTGTTTTTTGTTCGGGTCTGCTCGGTGTGAAAGCTGATGGTGCTGTTATTTACAACAAAACTTACCATCTTCACCGCTGGAAGCCTGGCCCACGCCATCAGCGCCCAAAGTGCCCAGCTCGGCGGCCTGAATGATCAGTGAGACACGGTAGAAATAATTCCGCCAGAAGTTCTCCTCAGTAATGCTGCAAAAAGTGTGCACGAATTGAATTCAAAATTTAAAAATCGAAAGAGGAAAGTTGATTTTGTTGTTTAGTCCACTCACATCTTGGGCACCAATTCGAAGCGCATCGTCTCGAGCGCCTTATCCTCGGCCATAATGGCTATGGCAGTGGGATATGCGGTGTCATAGTTAAACTCAAAGTCCACGCCAGCTGGTGGTGCGCGCACAAAGTTGCGACGATCCTGTGACAAGCCCAATATTTCCTCCTTGATCTTTGACTCATTGGCATGAGCGACCCAGGGAGCGGCGCCATTGCCAGCACCACCTTGACCCTTGATAAACGCCTCCTGCTCCTTGTTGAACGAGTCGAGTATGGTCTGCAAAGCGAGGATAGTAAATACATCGTATGTTAAAGTATTATTTACAAATTATTTAATCGGATTACTCACATTATCCTTGACTGTTTCCTTGATCTTGCTGCCAGCCTTGCTGATGGCCGATGACAAGAATGAGCCAAAGTGTTTGGCCTGTTGTGTTACTTTTGTGGTAACTGTCGAAGCAACGAATTGTTCAATTAGTCAAAAGCATTGATTTGCAGTTTAAGTAAAACTTGGTTGCATTTAACTAGCTAGAAGTCAACCAAAATCGCTAGGCTACAAAGTAAACAGTTTGTTGAGGGGGTCAGGGGTCAGGGGTCAGGGCTACCAGCTATTTGGATGTGGGTTTAGTAAATAATTAAATGAGTGGGTAATACATAAGTAGGTAAGTACTGTGAACATAATGACTACAGGGAGTAAGTATTATTATTAGCTGCTTAGTAACCTGTCACCGCTTTCTATCATTTAATACTTTTTGTTTGTTTTTTTAATTGGCAATTGGCAATTTGCAATTGAAGTATACATTTTAGTTGACATTAATTTGACATTTGTATTGTTGTTTTTTGTGTTACCAATTAAACTGTGACACGTACTTTTCACTTCATCGCCCTTACCCTGTCCAATTTGGCCCTCATCGCCAGTGGGTGTGCCGCCGCCCGATGCTGGATGCGAATCAGCGCCCTCTGTAGCACTGTAATTACAAATTGCGTCAGCGTGCAACATAGAGAGAGATAGATATAAAGAGGTAGAAAGAGAGAGAGAGAGAGAGAGAGAGAAGAGATAAAAAGAGATAGAGAGAGAGAGAGAGAGAAGAGATAAAAAGAGATAGAGAGAGAGAGAGAGAGAGGGGGAGAGAGAACAAAATAAGCATGTGTTAGTTTTTGTTGGGGATACATTTATACATTATTTGAATACATATTGGATATCTGGTGTGGATATTGCAGTTGAACCCAACATGCAGCATGCAACATTCAAATCGATCACATTAAATTGGATAGTTATTGGCCCATGGGACTCATTCCAACAATCGATGACTCTTTCAAGTGCATGCAATTCAAGTTAGAGTCCCTAGCTTGTGTGGGTATATCAAAGGTAATCATAGACTAAATCTATAGCTTCATAGACGAGAGCAATATTTATCGCTCTAACTCGAAGGAATTTTGGCTATAGCTAACATCTCTGATTATACTAAGTTAGTTTGTAAGCGCAAAAAAATAGTATTCTCTTTTTCAAAAGATATTTTAAATTTATAAATAAATACGCTATCTACCTGCAAGGCATACTAATTAACAAATACTTTAAAATGAACTCATTTATTATTGGCCAATTATGCAGTTTGAAAAGAACCAGACATTTTAAATACTGTACAATAAAAGCACTCGACAATTCAAAAGGATTTTATTGTTCGTCAGAGCAGAAGTTGATGTTTAACAACCTAATTAATTAAGGTAACTGCCGACTGCAATGCTTTCACTTGTTTTTAGCTTGAATGTATGGTTGGCCCAAAAAGAAGTATAACTATAAAGCTCCTTTTATTTTGTTTTAGTTTTAGTTTGAATTTATGGTTAATAACTTAATTAGTCTAAAACGTAAAAAATATTACTTTTTATTTTAGTTTTAGTTTGAATTTATGGTTAACAACTTAATTAGCCTAGAAAGAAGACTATATTTTTTCCAGTTAAAGTTTGAATTTATGGTTATCAACTTAATTAGCATACAACAAAAAAGAGATAATTGTTTTTAGTTTGAATTAATGGTTAACAACTTAATTAATCTAACATTAAAGTGGCTTCTATTATTTTTTAGCTTTCGTTTTAGTTTATTCAGCATCCAAGTTTCCAAGTGTTTGCTCTAAACTTTTTGTTGTAAAGTTTTCTCTATGATATCTCAGAAAAGAGTGCCTTTGAGTTGGTCTATGATTTTGATGGGGTTTATGTAGTCACATTAACGTTTATGTATATTTACACGTTTTCATAGCATTGTTATTCATTTTAGGACAATTAATATTTAAATTCATGATGATTGCGATGCAAATGTATTGTATTAGAGATAAATTATGTGAATGTTTAATGATTGATGCTTTTAAATTGGGGTAAGGATAAAAAATGATGTATAAAATGCTTGAAACGGAAATCAAAAGGGAAGATAACAAACTAAGACATGCACTAATACTCGTTTGTTCAATGGGAAATTGTGTTTAAGTTTGTAGAGTTTTCCCCGAGCTACAAAGAGTCACAAAGAACTCAAGTACAGAGAGAGAGAGAGCAGATATTAAGAAGGAGCTGTCGAAGAGTCGAAGAAAATTATATAGTTGCTACATAGTACACAAATTAGATGAAAAGGAAATCATAAAATGAATTTCGACACAGGATGAGCTACACAACAACACAGAGAAATTATGGTGGAAGCGAAGGGGAGGTTGTGAACTAATAGCCCAAAGGAGGAAATGATAACAACTAGTAACAACAATTAGTGTTTGGTTTTATCTACTGCGTAGCCACAGAATAGTTCCAGATTTGTGTGGGTTTTTGCTTAATTCCTTGACGGTTGTTTGATGGCCCGCTCAATAATGATGGAATCTGATACTCTTGAACATATATCAAAGTCAAAAAAACATTGTTTCTGTTCTAAATGCTATATATATTATTCGATTTCTTATTTATTTTTGTAACGAAACGATAATATGAAATGAATCAAAGTGTGAAATCAACTAATGATGGCTCTTGGTAAATGTTGTATGGGGAATATGTGGAATCAAAACAAATGATTATATTTACTTGATGATGAGCTGTATGAAATGATTAATTTATGTTTCCGTTTCTTATCAATCATGTTTACAATCTGTCCAAAATTGTGTCCTCTTACAAAGTGTTGAAGTGTAGTTAAACTTACCTTTAAGTAAATATTTTTCGATTACACACTTTGCAAAGGGACAAAATTCGGTTCATAGAAACCAATTGGCAATAATTATTAAGATTCTTATTTATATACATACAAAAACGTTTTAAGAGTTATATGTGATTGGTACTTAGGTATTTGTTTGTACAGTATTTAAGTAGTTTTTTTTTTTTTTTTATTAAAAGGTCAAACTTGGGTGAGCAGAAGAATTGTGTAGAAAACTTGAGAAAAGTTTAAAATATAATCAATAGAAATATCAATCAAGTGAAAGGCGTAGCAGTATTAATTTTTTCTCAACTAAATATTAGAGGAAAATTGGTGAGTATTTAAAGCCAACTAAATGGTTATATTTAAAGTAACTTGTGTGTTAAAAATATATGTATTTATATATACGGAATTATTGGTAGTTTATTTAAGTGTAAGACATTTTAATGTGAAGGTTTAGACAGAAGTGTAAGTATAAAAGAATTTACTTTTGTTCTTTTTTCTTTGGGGTGTAACCAATAACAAAAAAGGCGAACAATAGCCGCCAAGTGAGTGAAAGTTGGAGGGCAGCCCAACATAAACCGAAGGCTGCCCCCTTTTGTTATTGAAAAGTTGAACAAAAAACTTTAAGTTCAACTCAAAAACAAAATAACAATAAACTATACGAAATAAAAGGATAAAATACAAACGCGCTTTCATGTGATAAATTTCTTTTTTTTTATGCAGTTTCACTGCCGCTGTTTGTATCGTATTTAATTCCGTCATTCTTAAGCAAGGGCCCATACCTAATATACCTCGACTTGTCGTCATCATCGCCACCACTCACAGCACCCGCAGCGCTAAGATCGGTAGCGCCTTCAGCACCCTCAGCTCCTTCGGCAGCGCCACTCTTGCGAAGTCCAGGAATCGATGGTATCGACGGCATTGCCGGCATCGATGGCATCGATGGCATTGCCATTGCCGGCATCGATGGTATCGAGGCATTGCCCAACCAGCCCTTTGCGCTGCCCAGCCAGCCACTGTAAAGGAGAGCAGAGGAGTGGAAAACAGTTAGTTGATAAACGTGAACAAAATGCTTATACGACTGCCCCTCCAACTGACAGGCTGACTCAGACTGACAATCAATCTTTGCTGTAATTTGACAATGTTCTCATTGCTTGACTGCTCACGAGCAGTCAATAATAAATGTATTATGTATGTTATCTATTATGTCAAACAATGAGCAGCCGCATCAAATTGACAAACGCACACTTCGAGAAGTCCACTTCACATAAGCACATACTTCTTTACGGGATGGTGTCGCAGCAAGTAACACTCAATAATATGGAAAATATTTGCAAATAATTTATATAGATATTAATGCTTCAAAAGCAACAGAATTATATTTATTTAACAAAAAATAAATCATGATTTTTCAGACATCAGAAGATAGGTTTAATTTTAATAAATATCGTTAGTAATATATTTAAAAACCATCAATTGTTATTTATATAGCTTTGTATATTATGTTTATGAAATAATCTTTATTTATTGTGTTGTTGAAGTCAAAGAAAACTAATTTGTAAATAGAATAGTAGCGAAAAATAAGGTTTTACTCCAAATATCTGCGCTGCAGGCAAAGTTTAAGATTCAAGGGGGCTTGAGGGAAGTGCGATAGAAAAAACTATCGGTACAATGGAAAGTGACAGCGCCTATGTACCTTTTATGACATGCTACTTATTGTGGGCTAGTGTGTGTGTGTGTGTATGTGTGGGTGGGTGTGTGTGTTTGATTGAGTGTGCAATTTTCTTGTGTTGAGGGGTCTGCGATTTATTGAGTCGGCCATTTATGCCGTCGTTTTCTTTGTTACGCGTTCGCTGTCATAAATAAATTGTCACTGACAAGCTCATCTAATACGTGGCATATGCTCAATATATTTGTATGTACGAGTATGTGCTGCGTGCATCGAGGCGGCGTTGAAATGTGATGGGGCACATCATCTAATAACTGTTCGGTGCCTTTGCAATAAACTTCACAGTTTGAATAATCGCTTCGTCATTTTTGCAGCACATTCACAGAGTATACGATTTTCGAGAAATTCATAAATATGGATGATAAAGCGGACCATTGTACGATCTGTTTGTGCCCCAAGCATCGCGTTGTTAGCATTGCCTGTAATCACACATTTTGCAAGAAATGCCTGAGGAATGTCTACAACGTCTGTTCCACCAAGGCTTGTCCATTGTGTCGGGCCCCCTTCGTATATTATGTTGTAAGTTATCGTCTGTCCATGTCATGTTGGCATCTTAAGTTAGCAGTTCTTCTAACTATCCTCTTATTCAGCGAAATCGCTCATCTGGCACTAAAATCGTATTTTTCACATAATCATCTCATCAAGTCGAAGTGAAATAACTGTCGGACTACAATGTTTCGTTAATTAAATTATGTGTTTCGTTCTGATTTTGATTTTGTTTGTTTGCTTTCGTTTGTTAAAATAAAGTTCATGTTATGGTTTAATGTTCATAAGCACCTCCAGAAAATCAACAAGTTTTCAATCTTTGCATAATACTCAAAAGAATCCTTACGACCAATATGAGAAGTTCACATGATGATCAATTTACAAACAAATTATTAGAATGGGAAGGATGCTCTACAAACTGTAAATTATAACTTTAATTTAGAAATATACATTGCTAATTGAATGAAATAAGTTTGCATGAGAGTTAAGTGGAAAGTGCTTGATAAAATGTAATCAAATGGAATCTATCAAGTTGTAATCCCTATTAATTCCACATAAGCTGTAAAACCTGACTAATTTATACCTACATCAACTGATGCATAACAACTAAGCGACAAATAAATATTCTACACAAAAACACAATCGATGCGATGCGATTTGAGCTGAATCGGGGAAACATGCAATGCCAGGCCGAGCATATTGAAATATTGAATGCTTGGCCTGTGGCAAGTACAATGCGAGCGAATCGATGAATGGCATGTTGCCACGCCCACGTGGCGCCACTTTAGACCATGCATGCAAAATGATGGTGATGATGGTGATGATGATGATGACGATGATGCAGTGAAGGGTAAAAACTGAAGGAAATGAAATAAAATTGACAAGGCAAAGCCGTTTTTTTTTTTTTTTGTTGCAGCCTAGCCTGACGCGTCCCATTTTATTATGCTCTATTTGCGCATTGACAAGGCAAGGCCAAAGACAGCTCTGTATTATTATAATGCCAGCAATAATGCCATACGGACAGGCTGACTACGTCGGCACACTTAACAAAACTTATCATTCAGAAAGTATATTTCTATAAGCAAAGGATTTCCTTTTGTTAATTCGAGGAAACATGTATCTAAAATTAAAAAAGGATTTGCTTGTTATTAGGAAATATATTTCTCAAAAATAGAAAAATATGAATTTATAATTTTTTCTAAAAGATAAGATCAGGATGATTTTCATTTGAGAACGATTTACTAAAATTCAGGTCGATTTTTTTTCTGAGTGCATACACAAATGCGACTGCCGTTCAGTGGCAAGAACGGAATTTATTTGGATGAAAAGTGGCTATAAATTGACGCAAGTGAATTTAATTTCATTGGAGTATTTATTGCATTATGTTTTTGCATGGGGCATGGCCAAATTAATTATTAAGTGCGAACGTGAAAAAGGAACAGATGCACATAGATAGCGCATACGCCGCGTTGCGCTCAATTAGTCAGCAGCCGAGTTCATATTGCAGAGCATTTCAAGGACTCGACTCGTGACTGTGCAGCGTTCATTGTTGCTTATTAGCCCTATAACTATCATTACCATTTCAGCCATCTCGGGGCTGGAGCACCCGCCTCCAGCACCCCTCTTGTTTTTTATGTGATTTATGCGTTTTTGGGGGAGCGATGCTTTTACGCAATTTTGTTCGCCTGACAGGCGGGAACAGCGTTTATTTATGGGCCGCCTAGGACTATCCAGCTTCCGTATCCCTCATACTGGCCAGAGTCTGATAAGTGGCATACTTAAAGACATATCCCCCTTGGGATGAGCTGAGCTGCACTTAAAGTTGAGCAGCGGCATCCGGAGACACCAAAATTAAAGTAAGTAAAAGCAGCTACAGACTGACAGACAGCAAAAAAAAACCATTGCTATTGCAACATAATAATTTTACTTGTTTCATTATTTCTGCAAATACTTGTAAATATCAAATTGGGAATTAGCTTATCTCGATATATTCATATTTTAAATGTTCTTGATATAACGCAATTTTCAAAATTGTTTTTATCCTTTTCGGAAATTGTATGTGTTTGGTAGCTTGGTTAGAAATTTCCCTGGAGGCAAAATGTTTCGCAATTTTCGCTTGCCATGTTGTACAATATTTTTTGGTCTGTGCGGCGAAAGTTGCTTACGCATTTTCTACGGAACAATTCATTCATGTTTTCATTTTTTTTGGCTCATTTTTTACTCGAATTGCAGACAAAAGTTTTAATTATAAAAGTTTTTTGCCGCGTCGTTCTGCGCATAGAAAACGAACGAACAAGAGGAAAAATTTAAATCGACTCCAAGACAAACACACTCTCACACACACACACACATATCCAGACTTGACATTTAGACAATGATGTCAAATGAGTTTACTTAAAGCTGTGGCAAGGAAAGTCGGAATAAAAATTAAGACAGCGAGCAGATGTTAGTTTTTTTCTGAAATGTACAGCAGCATTTTGGACTATACTCATAATTAAATCGAAAAAAGTCAAAAATTAAAGTTTTGATCATTAGTATAATGTGAATCTTTTTAATAGGTTTTTCCAATGAAGTTTTCCTATTGAAATATTTATTCGAATTCAGCATTTGGACTTGCTTCTATTTAAAAAAAAAAAAATAATAAACAAGCACTTTGCTGACTTTATTATACAAAAAGTGTTCTTCAAGCAAATATTATTTTTGTTTATTGAATAACCAGAGCTGAAGCATAGCATACTCATAAAGTAGGGCGACCTCAATTTACCACATAAGCGAAGACAAAACTAATTATATAAACTCTTTTATTTATTTTTACGAAAGACTTTATTGCAGTTGCACATTTAACGTTATACGTATCCAAGGACTCTTTTTGCAATGACACAAAATCGAAAATTCTGTTAGCGAGACTGACTGTAAAATATCCTGTATGCTTGACAGAAAACTATTCTGCCTAAATACGAGAGTAGCCATGTTTACACAAAATATGTGTAATTAATATTAATATAGACATATATTATAATTTTTAATGATTTGTGTTGTTAGAATAACTCTGGTTTCGGAAGATTTAAAAACTAATTTAAGCATGCCAAATTAAATGCAATTATGCAAATTAAAGTCAGAGGAGAGCGATGATCAAAATTAGCAGCCAGCTGCAAAATGTAATTGCAGTGGAGAGGAAGAAAAACTGGGCAGTGTCCGGGATCCCTTGCGTCCACTGATGCGCAAATTGCATTAACGGCCAACCCAGTTTATATGGTTTTTTCTTTGTCGGTGATTCGCCTGATTGCTTATCGCTATATTATGGCTTCTCTTTAAGAGAAAATCAAATAGCAATGGCCACACGAGAGGCGGAAGAGAGCGAGAGAAAAGAGAGCTGGGTGGGTTTGGAGTTGTTGTTAATGTAAGTGCTATTTTTAATTGAGTCTGTGTCGGGTGTCACGCGTGAAAACGTGCTTTAATTGGATTGCAATTGCCGCACTGAGATTTCGCTGTAAAGCTCCCATTTCAAAGACGACAAAAAAAGTCACGCAATTTTAAATTAAAGCAGAAGCTAAAGAGCAAACAAAACCAATTTCTAACAGCGCCCCCCCTTTCTCCCTCTCTCTCTTTTTTTTTTTGCCATGTTAAGCCTCTGATGGATCCACGTACCCATACTCACATACAAAAGAAAAAAACACATACACGCTCACCCAACTTATACAAGATAATGCTAAAGGAAATTTATTGCAATTGCGCAGAAAAAGAACGCTAAATGCGTATAAAAAGCTAAATAATATCACGCAGTAAGGCTGGCAGGCAGGCGGTTTAAAGCTGATGCTTTTTTCCTGAGAGCTTAGCGGGCATCGCTGCAAGACGGTGGAAAGAAAAGTAAGCGAAATGTATTTTTATTGCATTTATTATAAAAAATTACTTAGTAATATGTACCAAGCATAATTTTTGCTTAACGAAACTAGGATCGATATATCCTATCAGTTATATACTTTGTACAAGAGTACGTAATCTTCGGCCAGCCATGCTTTCTTGTTCTTAAAGGTTTTAAAATAACTCAATTTTATTTCAATGACCTTTTGGAATAAAGCCAACAATAATAACAACAATTAATAAGATTGTTACATGTTTTCTTACACACACTTGTAAATTAATTATTAACATTCAAATGACTTTCAAAGGCCAAACACTGTCCAAGTCTTATTATAAAATAGATATGTGCTTTAATTAAATACTATTTAAAAAGCTGTCCCTCGCTTACATAGCGATTAGTTCACGTATTTCTACAGTTGACAATTTGAAAACGTTTCAAGCTGCCCTCGCTTGTCATGCACACGTGGCAAAGGCGCAACAGCCAGCTAAAGAAATGAGAAAGAATGGCCAAAATCCACATTTGACAAATTACCAGCAAGCAGGTAAACACCAAGTTAATAGGCAGCTGGGCGGATGGCGATTAAATAGAAAGATGCATGTAAGGATGTCCAGATGAAATATACACACAGTCATATATCTATTATTATAACCATGTGTAGCTATTAATATAATGCGAAAGGCACACAAATGTGAAGCCTCAACTTCATAAGTTAGAATTATGCTTTTTGCTCGTCATCTGACATTTGACTTGTCGAGTTTGCTGACTTTTCCGTTTCTTTCTATTTTCTTTTTTTTTTGTGTTTTATTTGAGCATATTTCTTATAATTTTGCTTATATGCCATAATTTATTTTTGCCATTTCCATAATATTCCTCTTATATTTCGCACGCAGTCTTAAATTCAGTTTTTATGTGGACTGCGACTCTGGCTTATTTTCAATTATTTTATTTTTATGTGCATCCATCGTAAAGTATGCAATAAAATATGCATTGCAGCAACACAGAAAAGGGAAAATTGCTGATTTGAAAGGGAAAGCTGCTGCTTAGGCTTATAAGTACATATTTGTATGTGTATCAGTGAAATAAGTATTTTCTTATACGGCTGCATAACAAAACACACAATAATAATCTTGTGAAGCTGGGTTAAAAAATATTGCCCTTAAATAAGCCACTTTTAAGAGGGAGATTTAGGAAAATAAAAAATTGAAAGATTCAATGAATAATAATAATAATTATTTAATTAGTTGAAATAATAATAATAATCGGAAATTGCTTATTTAAATCAGATTTCTATATATCTCATTAAAAATTCACTTTTGTGAAACTTATATTTCGCTAGATTTTAAAGCTGGCGTTAAACTATTTGACACTGTTGTAGAACATAAAAAATAGAAACACATTTTGTGACACGACTAAACAATGAATGGCTCCCTCGCTTAACCCCCTAATGCTAACGTGCTAATGCCCATTAAGCGAAGTATTCACGACATCATTATTTTGTATGCCACGTATACAGTAGTTTGGAGTGCATCTTAACTGTGTGCCAAAATCATGTACCTGTCATTTGGTTGTAACCCAAGGCGCTCATCTACTCATCGTTCAGCAACTGTTAAGCTTTTTATGGCTGAAAATCCACAACATAACTGTTAACGACACTGCCACCTGGCCAGGGATATATATAATTGAGGTATTCACCCCACCTCACTTCACCTCACCTCAACTGGCTTGTCTCATTCTGCTGTTTTGCTCATCTTAATGTCGCTCAACTTAATGTGATTGCTTTACATCTGTCGCGGCTGCGGCCGAGTTGCCACATGAAAATACACTATGAGTTTGAAGCTGACTTTGTATGTTGCGCAAAAAAACAACAACAACAACAACAATAGCGGAAACAAACACAAAATATAATTATCAAACACAGGGGGGGGGGGGGGCTCCTTCATGGCATGAACAACTAAAATTTGCACAAATGTCTAAAAATATCAGGAAGCAAACTGCAAATGTTGCGTGCCGGTGACAGGCGAGAGGAAGGCCACGAGAGGTCCTTTGCCAGTGCTTAACTAATGTCCCAGTGTGTGTAGTATAATGCCTTAAAACTTTTGACATTTGCCGTAGCACGCACACACTAATACATACACACACACGCACACACACACACAGAGAGACACACACACGAGTTGTGAACGTAACGAGGCCTCGTATGGTGTATTTAATTTTATTTTGATCTCTCTACAAAGTAATGATGTGCCATGGACTAAGCAGATATTTACACACACACCAACACACACACACACACACACACACACATAAGCAGATACGCAGCAACAAATAAATCGCATTAACGACAGTTGATACCTTTTGTGAAGTGTGCGTGTATTTGTGTAATATGTCAATAAGGGTGCCGAAAGCAAGTTCATTGCCTGCCCATTCAAATGCGCATGAATAAATCATATAAAGATATACATATATATATATATATATAAACACATAACTATTATTGAACCAGCTGACTAATACACTAACCAAATAAATAATTGGATCTTATCATTCTCTTAAATACATCACATAGTTAAGCTATACTTTCTTAATGTCGTTTGCTATTTTGAATTATATTGTATACAAATAAAGTGTTTTCTTTTTCAATTGTTTCATCAACTTCGTCTAACATTACAACTTATCTAACAATACTAATTCCTGCACAAATGCATGCATTTTGATTGTGTTGAGTCTCATGTCTCATGAGCATAAAAATCCAAATCTGTTTCTGGCTACGAGGATTCCTTAAGTTTACTTTGAAATAGTATTTGTTATTTGTTATCTTTGTTAATTAATAAAATACTCAAAATGCACACATAATTCGAAAAATATGATGTAGAAAATGCAATAGTAAATAAGTAAATAAATATTGTTTTTCCTAAACATAATCGCATACAATCTGTCAACCATAATAAAGGTATACAAGGGTAACGCTCTATCATTGTGAAAAATAATGATGTTGGTTGTAAATATTAGGACATGTCCTTGCTGTTATGAACATGCATGTATATATATATATATATATAAATATAAATATACTTGTGTGAGAGTATGTGAGGCGATGACAAATCTTTGCATGATAAACAATCAGGACTAAGGCTACGTTTGTTGCCATGGCAGCACACTCAATCAACTGCAGGGCGGGACGTCGTAAAGGATGTGTCTGGAGGAGGCAATGTCTACCCGCACGCAAGGCACAAAAAAGGTGCAAAATGTCGAGGATTTTATGCGCATTAATTAACGGCAAGGCAGGACAAAAGACGAGCGTGCCCCAAAAAGGTGGCAACCAACCCAGCCCCAAATGCAAATGAAATATTTAGCATGATATTTAAGCTGATTGAGATGAATTATCTTGAAATGAATAGCCGATGAATGAGCAGAACACCCTTCCCCCCACCCAATAAAAAAACAGTGGGCAATGCTCAACACGTGGGCGTGTCGTGCGTACCGAAGAAGAAGAACAAGTTTGCTTCGACGATTCTTGCTGCCGCACCTGAACCTGTGCAAAAGGGCTGCCGGCATATAATTACAGCAAGTCCTTGACAGTGCTGTCTGTGCAAATGACACAACGCCCCAAGGGATATACCACACCGCGCCAAAGTGTCATTACAAAATCCTTTTGCATACAGGTCGCCGGCAGGTGAGCCAGCGATTAAGTTGCGCAACTTTCCACATGTGTGTACACTCTAAAAAAAAAAACGGCCTGCAACTTACTTCTTCCAATGAAAAAATTCCTTTCTGATATTCAGAATTTAATAAAGAAATTTGCTCTCTTCATCATGCTAGAGTGCTGTGTAGATATGTAAAGAATGCCTTGAAAATAAGATATATTTTTCTACATTTAAGAATAATCTACCCTGGAAATTGGAAAAGAAAAAGTCTGGTTTTTAGATAGACACAACCTGCAGTTTTAGAAATATACTTTCTGTTCTAATTAGGTGAGTTATCCTTGGCACCAAAAGTATGGCGATTTTTCTAACATGTACGTTGATATTTTTTCTGACTGCATGTGCCTGAAGGCGGAAATGGAGGTTGCGCGACGGAAGTTACACTTACGTGCACTTTGGCGCAATTAAAGTTTCAAAATGCCCTCGGGACGCGAGTCCCACAGCGACAGCAGCAGCAACTTTTTTATTTGATTTTTTCTACAATTATAGAGTTGAGGGTTTTTTTTGTTGCTGCCTTTGCCATTTCACGGCTGAAGCGTCTGACTGTGGTTTTTATGAGTAATTCAGTGTTCTGATGGCTTTACGATTTTAGCCACTTAAGTGCAAAGTTCTGATGGAAATTAACAGTCTAAAATGTTCATGTGCATAAAATCAGACCTTAAATGAATATAAATGTGAGATGTTCTCAAAGAACAAACAACTTTATAAGGTAAGACCAATGTGTCGCCTTTTGAGCATTTAAGTATTTACAAATAACTAGTTAAATTCGAGTAAAATAATAATGTAAGACTTACGTGGCTTCGTTGACTAATGAATCTACCATGGAAACTGATTTGGGAATGCTAAATAAAATAATAAAAAATTATACAAAGAATTAAATCAATAAATACAAAAGAATCAAATAAATTTAACAAATAAGTAAATTGTAGTTAAAAATGAATAAATATAATCTAAAAATAAAGTAAATCTGGCTCTAAATATACAAATATTAGTTATACATTTCTAAACAAGAAGCTTAAGAAAGCATTATAATATTTAATAAGATTGATTAATCATAACAAAATCCTTTCTCATGTTTAAATAAAAATATTGCAAATTAAAAAAATGAATTTACATTGAGTATACAAAAAATATATATCTGATATTCCTGAACGTTTCTTTGTAAATTCTACAATTTCAATTAAATTTTCAACACAAATTTAACATACTTGAATAGCTAAAACAATGTGAATTTTATGAACTAGCCTTTGCATATTGGCAAACATTTAAATATTAATTAAATAAATTAAGTCAAATTCCTTTTAATCTCTAAGCTCAATCAAGGATTAAATTGTTATTTAAAAAAAGCAACTATGTAAATTTAAATTGAATTTTACATACAACAATGTCAAACGGCCATTGTACATACTTGAATACCTAATCCTTCCTCCAAGGATATTTCATGTTGACCTTCAAGTCATGCCTATCAACGTTTTAAGTTTTACCATCATATTTACCTGAAAAGAGGGAAAGTTTTGAATTAATAAAGATTAATATCGTTGCCGATGGAAATGTTAAGAAATTAATTACAGATTTTACGCTGAGAAGGCTGTCCAAGAAATGCAAAGGATTACTTAATGACCGGACTTGGCCTGACCAGCGAAATGAATGCCTTTTAATAAAGCCCAAAGATATGATTACAAAAGCGAAAAAAGCGATGTGAAACGGTGCCCCAACATGAAAGCAAGTGTGCGGAACTTGATTGTTTCCTTATTGGTATTTTTGCAAAACCCGTAAAGTTCAAAGTTCACACGCAACCCAAAGGGCAATCGATGAGGGTGCTGCAAACGTCTTCGACTCCGTTGCCAAGTGCCAATAAGCCCACGTAATGCCAACGTGGCTGAGACATAAATCTTTTCAAACACATAAATCAAAATTAATGCGAAACTGAAAGGATACTTTATTATTATGCTCTTAAAGAGTGTTTTGTCAGGTAATTTACGAACCTTGGCAGCAAGGACAACCACATTGCAACTTTTTTCTATTTTTACAATCAATTGGCTGGACTAACAGAATCAAATCAAAGTAAAACACACACACACACACAATGGAGGATAAAGTTGTGTTGGCGTCGTGCTGCAAATTGAAATGTAAATCGTGCTGACCTTGGCCCGATGCATGCGCCATGCTGCTGCCTGGTGCCTGCAGCCCGAGTCCTTAGTCCTGTGATAAAGCGCTGTAACACAACACGAACGGCAGCCATCAAAGGGTAGGCAACAACAGCAACAAGGCAAATGAAATTCTATGTTGACACACAGATCGTACGTAGCAAAAAATGCAAGGACTTTTACAATTTATGCAAAATGTTGCCCCACACTGTAACAAAACACTAGACATTTTTTTATATAATTAAACTCAAGCCCAATAACAACACCAACTTCAACTTCAACCCCAAACCCAAACGCAATTCCAAACCAAACCTCAAACGCTAATGAGGCACGCGGTATTTCAACTTGTTGAAGCCGCAGCCATTTTCACAACGAGCCCGAACATAAAATGGTCTTCTTTATAACGCTAATTACGTATACGCCATGAGCACAGCTAGCGTTGCTTGGATTATATGTGTACAGTTTAGGGCCAGTAATTTGTTGTTTGTTGACGAGCTGCCTTTTCATCAGCATTTACTTAAGCATACTGCGAAACATATGGCAGGAACAGCGATGTGATGTGATAATGATGATTGAATTAGTTTGATATCAAAATAAGTAAGAGGATTAAAAGGCATACATCACCATAATACTAATCAGCCAAATAAACAGACAGACCTAATGAATATACTACCTAAAATACTAAAAGCTATATAAGGCTAGTATTTTAAGCAATAAAATTGGGTTGAATTACAACTCAAACCAGTAACCATCTTGAAATGCTTAACATTTAAAAATGAAATCGAGTGAATTGTAATATACGTCTATATATATATATATAAATTCTAGTTGAGATGTGTCTAGAAATACTCGTTAAGTTAAATTAATTAAACAAATATTCTGGCATAGTCTACTTCTTGTGCATGACGTAGCCAGGACAACATTATAGCTCAAGTAGCGCTACCAGGAAGTTGCTAGCTTTGAAGTTTATGGCAAACAGCCTCCTGGACCTCTGAGCGTTGTGTATAAGTCATTATTATCGTTGTTGATATGCAAGTGGCGACTAGAGGCTGAATGGTTAATATTGCTCAAGTTTGTGTGCACATATTTCATTACTCGATTACAAAGCAACCAGTTGGCTAAAAGCAGCTGGCGCTTACAATTTTCAATTAACGATTGAGTGGCAGGCATCAGAGCTCATGCAACATTCGCATTCAGCTAAGGTTGCAATGCAAACTCATGTCAGTCAAAGCACAAAGAGCACTATGGATAATCAATAGAGGTGTGCGACCCACACACCCATCCACACACACACGCACACACAAACAGCTGATGGCATCAGAGAAACATTCTAATGAAAGATGCAATTCCAGAAATAATGCAAGCAGTTTGACGTGGCTCTAAGCATCAAGTATTTAATTAAGAACGAGATAGAAAAGTGTAAATGAAAATTGAGTTCTTTATTTATTTTTCATATTAAGTTTGTATCCAAGTAATTAAAACATAAAAAAATAGTTCGTAATTGCAGTCCGTATGTTTTAATTGAAATAAATACAACAAAATTAGGCACCAACAACCTTTATATCAAATTAACTATTTCTCAATTGAAATTGAATGAGAACCCAACTTTATGCTCTTGAATAACTTTGATGTTTGCGAAAATTGTTGTTGAATAGAAGTGGCGATTTAAACCAAGGTCTCTCAAGTGCCCTTTAACTGAGCGACTCTGTAATTAAATGTGGTGGAGATGTAGAGAGATGCAGTCAAAATTACAGCTTAATGTTAATTAAATATCAAAAGAAAAATTGTTGGGAAAAGTTCAAGTTGTGTTACTACTTTAAGGCCAATGGGAATAAACAACAATATTGTTTCAGATTAAATTAAATTGAACTCGACAACTTTATTTAATTGCCTACTCATATCAAACTTTTCTAAAACTTCTTTGAAATACAAATTGTTTTGAATATTTGCAAATAATATTGTTGAAAACAATTTTGCATTTATAATTAGAGCTTGCTTAAAGTTAAATAAATATCAAAAGGATTTATAATTCTGAGGAAATTGAAGTCCACAAATTTTATACTCATATCGAACTTCTGTAAAACTTCTCTGATATACAAAATTGTTCTTAACATGTTCTATTTATTTATAACTAAAAGGCTTCGCACAATTGAAGATTTATAAAGTGCTTGGCAAACATTTTGTATATGATTTGAACATCTTGGCACTTTCTTTATGAGTCAACATTTTGGCCGCTCCCCGAGCACACATAAAGCGACGAAGATGCCAAAAATAAAAAGGAGACGCCACGCAAATGGCACCCACGTCCCTCGTAGGCTGGTCGAAAGTAGCCCGGGGCGGATATTGTATTGCCCATAAAATGTTTGCGGCTCAGACAACGTGTGTAGAGTAGTGTACTTTGTGTGTGACCCACTCCCGCAGAGCTGAGACATCTATTTTTAGATAAAGTCAAAGGTCGTGTCAGATCTCGTTAGTGTCTGGCGCACGAAGATGCCCGCAAGCACTTTTTTGGTCAGCATGAAAATTTTAAAAGTTTGTTGAAAATTGCGACAAAGGTTTGCAGTTTTCTTGACTTGATTGCCTGTCAAGTGCACTAAACTTAGCAGCTCGTCGAACATTTTGCCACAAATAATTCAAGAGCTTTCCGAGCTAAGCATTTGCAGTAGTTGCTGCTGGTAACTTAGACCCAGGTGATTCCACGTTGCGTGTACTTTATATAAACTTGGATGCAAGTTATTAAATAATCTTAGTGTGTACTAGAATATATATAACCATACCAAGTGAGAAAGCAAAGGATTAAACTTTAAAAAAGTTTGCTTTCAAAGTTAATACAATTTTAATATAGTCACATTTTTGCTTTAATTCTATTAACCGAAATGTTACACTTGTATTTGGGTGAACGGGTTGATTATCATCAAAAAGGATATACGTCGTAGCTGGGCGGTCCTTAAAAGTTATGCGAACCACATTCGAAAAGGTCGCCAACAAATATTGAGAGCATAACAATTAGATTAGACGAGCGGCAAGAAAGGACCAAAGCAAAATAAATGTAAAATAAAATAAGTAAGAATGCTGTAATGGAGTGAGTTCGACTACGATATACCCTCAACCCAGTTGTTAAATATATTCTGGTTTTATTGCCAAATGTCACTTTGAAAAAATGTTGGCTCTCTTAGATGAAAGCATGCGTGGACGTGCTCTCATTTCTTATGGTCGACCCAGGTAATGAAGGGTAAATAAAACTAAGAGAGCTGATAGTAATGAGATCAAGTTTAAAGGCTTTTGCTATTAGAAATCGATATGTATCGATGGCAACTTGGGTCAGTTATCGATAAAAATGATCAGCGTATGGTATACCAGAACCTATATTCAAAAAAAGAACCCCTTAGCTCTTATAGTCTCTGAGATTGGTTTACGGACATGGCTATATCGACTCGGCTGTTGTTGCAATTGCTTCGCTCTGCTTGATACATACTTTTGCAAAAAAAAAAACATTATACCCTTTTTAGCCATTTGTAATGAGTTCAGGGTATAAAGAGTTACGATCTTGGGCAAGAGAAGTGCAGGGGAAAGGTGTAGGCATCTCACATAGCCTCAAGGTGATTTGGTCGTGGCACTTTTGGCTGCTGGCTGCCTGTTGTTGACAGAATTAATTGCGCACGTTAGCGTCGAAGCGCGCAGCAGGAAATTAAATT